CAGATGTCCGATGCATCTGCCTTGGATTGTAGTTGGGTGAACCAGGAGGTCCAGTCCTTGCTGGTAGCCAGAGTGGCTTGAGTTTGGTTGTTGATCGTGTTGGTAGACATGTTGGTAAAGGCAGTGAGACTCTTAATTGTCAGATTTGATGGTATCTGAAGATGTCACGGTGACAGAAAGATTGATTGAGGATGGGTTGACTGATTGTATTCAGGTGTGTGCTTGTTTGTGTGAGGCTGGGGCCTGACACCGGTTTTGATGTTCTTTCTCTGGGCACCAAGGCTGTGCAGGGCACTAGCCACTGCAAAATCACTAGCCACATGTCCTCAGACAGTACCGGTACAGACAATATCTCCCAGTCCTCCTCTCCAGTCCCAGATGGGATGTCCATAAACTGGCTTACCATCTGACACCCTCCCTTCCTGTTATCCCTCTACTACTAACCTACCCACGCATACAAGAATCCCTAGCTATCCCTTCCCGCCCTCTGCATGCATATCTCTACCCTTTTCCCTGCTTTCCCGCTCTCCTAGAAACCCTTTTCCCCCTCCCTGCTGCTTAGGAGCAGACGCGGAATTAGACGTACTCGCTCTCTAAGTCGTAGCTCTCCTCCTCGTCTTCCTCCTCATCTACCTCTTCGAGCTTGATCCTCTTCTCGGCGCCATCTCCGTCCTCTTCGCCTCCTCCTTCTCGATCTTCATCGCCGTGCTCGTCTCCGCGACGGGAATCAAGAAGAGTGGACCTCTTCCTCTTGCCCCCACCCCCACCACCACGAGCACCATTCCCATTCCCATTGCCATTCGCCCTCCCCCCACCAGCACCAGCACCCACGCCCCTCATCCCACCACCACCAAACACATCCTCGCCGCTATCATCATCACCATCAGAGACGTACGTGGCATTCCCCTTCCCATCCCTTATTCCACCAAACCCATTCGAAACAACCGTCTTCCCAGTCTTCTTGCCAGACGCCTTGACGCCGAGGAGACCCGTGGTAGTGGCGAGGGACTTGGAGCGTGGAGTCTTGGGCGTGCTGGGGGTGCTGAGCGTGCTGCCTTTGCCGCCGCTACTGCCGCCGCCGGTGCCTTTGGCGCGGTTCTTGATGTTGGCGAGCCGATGGCTGACGGCTTTGGGGGTGCAATCTGTGAGGGTGGAGTTAGCGGGAGAAGAGTGGAGAAGTAGATGGAGTTGTATAGAAAAGACAATGGGAAGGCAAACATACCTTGACCGATCTTGGCGGCGAGATATTCTAAAAGCCCCTTGTTCATGGGGATGTTGGTGAATTCCAGGATGCCGGCTAGCAGCTGTTTGTTCGATAACGTTAGTGACTGTATACACGGACCCAGAACACACAGTCTACATAGGTGGACTGCAGAGCAAAGAGGTAGGAGGGAGACGTACCTTGGCGTCCTCGACGGAGGACCAATTAACCATGGTGAATGGTAAGTGATGAGATGAGTTGAGTTAAGTAGGGCCGACTGGGTAGTGGCAAGGTAAGAAGATGTCGCTGCTTCGCGCGAGTGAGGCCAAGTGCAAGACGTCGGGGTCAGATACTAAGAGGGTTGTCAGCTAGGCTCTCCAATGTCGAGATTGGCAATGCTAGGAAGGCGAATGTGGCGGCCTTACAGTGTCAGGATCAAGCGCCACTGCTGTGCTGTTGAAGATGTAGCAAGATGCTGAGCTGTGTGCTTAAGCAGGTAAGACGAGCTCGCGTTGTTGAGAGCGACGACGAGGACCAAGAGAAGGCGTTGAGTGGGCAGACGCGAACGTGAGAAGAAACTCTGTTGCGAGGAAGAGTGTGCAGGAGTCTGTGTAGGTAGAGGCGCAAGCGGTGCAAGTTGCAAAGGTTAGCGTTAGGCTGTGTAGGACGAGAGGTTGTTACAAAGTAAGAGGGGCGGACAATGTAGAGTAAAGAGGAGAAGAGGATCAAGAGGGGAGTAAAAGTGTAAGAGCAGGTTGAGGAGCGGGCTAGGCTATGCAATTTTTAAATCCAGTGTGGGATTGTCGGTGAAGGTTGCCTGGCGGAAGCGAGACGAAGTGAAGTGAGGTGCGGTCAAGATTTTCACTGTCAAGCCAAGTATGGTCTGGCGGAAGCGAGACGAAGTGAAGCGAAGTGAGGTCAAGACTGACGGTCAAGTGACTGTCAAGCTAAGGATGGTGAAGCAGTGATGGGATTGAGATGCCAAGGCGGTCAAGTCAAGTATGGTGAAGGTGTGCGGCGCCTTGGAGAAGGGTCTAGGATGAAGGTAGCGGAAGAGATGGGAGAAGGAGGGCGAGCTCTCCTTTAGAACAATGCAGAAGTAGAAGTCTTTGTGGTAAAGCATAACGTTCCATATCATATACCCAAAGTGCATATCTCATATTCAGAGACTGGGCAGTCAGAAAACTCCCACAAGTCAGTAATCCGTCCGCTTCGAAGAACACTTCCCTCACTCAAATCCATCACGCATGCAGCAGATGACAATCGATGCGCGAATCGAAAAATAATATGCCATTCCACTACCATGAAGAGGGTATCTGATAAACGAAGGAACCCCCAATCCGTCCATAAACACCCAAGAGACTTGATTCCTTTTCCTTTTCCTTCTTGGACAAGGCGAGCCTTAAGACAAAAGCTCATCCGGATGCGCGCTCACACCCTTCTAGTCATGGCCGCCCTCCGACCACATATGTGCGTCGTTCTCCCGACTCCTCCCGCCCGCAGCGACATCGACATGCATCCTCGTCTCCAATTCCTCCTCCATTTCCTCCACGTCGTCGTCATCGACCGTAGTCTCCTCCTCATTCCGCTCCTCATGCCACTCATTCCTGGCTCCCTCGCCCTCGCCCTCATGCTCCTTCGCCCCTACCCCTGGCACCCTGGGTGCACGCATCCTCTTGCCCTCGTTCCATCTCCTCCAAAGCTCCACGACATACTCGGGCACCTTCTGAAACGCCAACTCGGGCGGGACAATGGGCAGTCTACTCAGCAACTCGCTCTCCGTCATGAGCTGCGGAGCTTGCGCCTCCGCCTCCCTTAAGAAATACTCGGCCCAGGATTGCTGGTACTTGAAGACCAAGTCGCGACTCCACGGGGAGCGTTGCCTATACGGCGACTTTCCCGTGCGGCGATTCACCTTAAGGATGTCGCGCAGGTGCTGCTCGCAGAGATCGGTAAGGCGCGCGTGGCCGCCGGACTGAAGCCAGAGGTCGCGGAGGCGGGTGACGACCAGTTCGTACGCGACTTGAACATGGGCACTGCATGGGGGGAGGTTGGTGCTGAGGAGAGGGGGCACTATGGACGAGGGAATTAGATCAGGTTGGTGGCGCGGAAGTTTAGTGACGTACTGTACTTGAGGAGCTGTTCTTCACTCAGATATTCCGGAACAACTTTGGCCTTGGAAGGAGTGCCATCTTCGGATGCAGTCGCCGTGTCATACCACTCGTCATCTAGCACTGGAGTTAGCAGCTTCAACCAAATTGAAGTATCAAGAGACTCACCATTCGGCGCAGCCATCTCCTCCGCAAGCCCATCCCGTACCTCCGCACTCTCCTTCGCCTTTGCCCCTCCACTGCCCTTCCCCTTCTTCTTCGCCATGGCCTTCTTCTCTGTAGCAGCAGCAGGAGCACTCTGCGTATCCGTAGTGACCGTATTGGTTCCAGACTCAGACTCAGACCGACTCCCACTCTCCGTCTTCCTCTTCTTGTAGGCTGAGGCAGAGGCTCCAAACCCCGAGGTCAGCGGTAGAAAGGGAGACGTAAACCAGTTCCCCGCCATGGATTCCAACGACGTTGTCGCTCACGTGAAGGTGGCGGCAGGCTAGCGGAAGCTTGGGTCGGCGGTCGGGCGGATCCAGCCACTCGGTGCGGAGTCGGGTCTGATTGATTGGGAGACAAGGAATGCGGGTTAGCGAGGGTTTCGTTGTACAAGTACAATCGAGTGGAGTAGTAAGCAGCGAGCGGATGCTAACAGTAAAGAGAGACTAGCGAGCAACACCCAGTTTGGTTGCGCAGAGTAGAGAACGAAGAGATGAAGTTGTGAAAGAAGAAGGCCTTGCAATTGGAGTTGGAATGAGGGTATAAGATTGTTGTTCCGCGACTTCCAAAACAGCAAACACGAAATCACATGTCTGTGCGGAGTTTGTATGACGTCACTACCTACCCTCGTAGGGCGGACGGTTAGCGATGTGTTCACTGCAACACACTTTACTGTGTATACGATGAAGAAGGTTTCCTTTCTTCTATCATTTATATTCTCGGATATCGCAGCTGTGATTCGCAATAGAAGACCAGAAGTTCGACTAGCGGCAAAGCCAGCAACGGGATATCCAGCTCCCTTTCCAGCATGTAGGACCTGGTCCGTGAAAATGCCTCTGTCAATCCCCCTACTCCCAGTCCACTTCGAACCTCATCCGCAAGCTCAAAACCCCTGCAAATACAGTAGCCACTAAACCCACTCCTCAAACCCCATCACTGTCAACCAAACTCAAACCCCTTCTTCCCCTTCCCTTTCCCTCCATATTCAGCCTCCACCTCCACCTCCCCCTCTTCCTCCAACGCCCTCAACCTCCCCTCCCACTCCACCCTCTCCCTCTCAACCCTCGACTCCGTCCTCCGCAACCCCCCAGCACCAGCACCCGCAGCAGCAGCACCCGCAGCAGAAGAAGACTCTCCAAACTCCTCCTCAACAGGCGACCGTATACCCATGTTCCACGTAGTCTGTCTGTGGCGCCGCTTCGCCGCTAGTCTAGCATCGACAGCTGGAGTCTCGTCTTGCAATGGCGGCTGCGGAAGCGCATCAGCCTGTTGTTCGAGGGCTGATGATATAGGCGCCGATCTTGTCGAGATGGGTAAGGGGCGCGTGGGACGCGTGAGATGGGTGCGGCCTATAGGGCAGTCTCTGCGCGGCGGGAGCGAAGGAAATGAGGGAAGTGTGGGGCGCGAGGGACGCGGAGGATGTTCTTGCACGGTCGAACGTGTAGGAAGGGTAGGACGAGTCAGTAGCGCCGGGATTGAGGTCTCCAACGGCAGGTCGGGCGAGGGAAGCGGCCAATCGTCGACATCTACATATTCGCGCTGTAGCTCTCGGTGTCGTTGTTCGCGTAGACGCAGCCTTGAAGGTCCGGGGAAAGGTAGGTCTCGTGTGGGTGTGATACTTCCCGAGGATTTGGCATCGTGTTCATCTTCCTCTTTCTGTTGGGATGATGCGGTCGAGATAGGTAACGTCTCAGTAGGAACCGGAGGCGAGGGTGGCAATCTTGTCGGCGGCGACGGGAACAGCGTTAGAGGCAATGGCCAGCCTGCGGGTGCCTCGATATCCGGCTCTCTCTCCTCCTCACCCGTATACCATTCCGCTCCGGGGCCCAGAACCGCTGCCTTCATGGTCGGTGTCACAGCACCAGACGAAGGCACGACATCCCCCTCGTCTTCCTCTTCGTCCTCATCTCCCCTCTCAATATCCATAAGCAGCCTCGCATACCGCAAATCCGTATCATCGCTCGCCACACTCCTCCTCTTTCCTTTCTCGTCTCCCTCTCCAGAATCCGCGCTGTGAATCGACAAAGCCGGTGGCGGAACCGGCGTCATCATATCCCACATCTGTCCCAGCAGCGCAATCGACTCGCTCACATTCTGCCTTCCGCCTTCTTCTTTCTCCACCGACTGCGCATCGTCCTGCTCCTCCCTCGCAGCCTCAACTTCTTGATACCTTTCCAAAGCCTGCTCGTAAAATCTCGTCGCCCAAACAATCCTTACCGCCTCCACCGGCACTTTAAACTCGGCCCTCCGCGCCCTCCTCTTCAATCCATTGAGCCCCTGCCGCTGTCTCGCCAACATAATCTGTCCATGCGCAGAAAGCTCCTTCTCATCATCATCATCACCCTCATCCTCCTCGTTCCCAACCCCCTGCTTCCTCCCCTTCTTCTTCGTCGGCAACGGCTGCAAAGCCGGAACCGCAACAGGCACCCAAGCCCCCTTGCTGACATCGAAATACTGCCTCTGCTTCAACCTAGCCAGTCTCTCTTGCGCGAGCCGCTGCTCCCGTAAATGCATCGCCAACCGCGAAACCCGGTTTTGCCGCATCACCGCCTCTTCGTCCTTCACGAGCTCGTCTTTGATGGCGGCGTGCATGGCTGGTTTGAATCGTACGTGGTGCTCCAGGTCTGTCGTAGATTGCGTTCCCAGGTCGAGCGTGAGCTTTTGGAGGACGATGCGTGCGATGTGGACGGCGGCGAGATGTGGTGCCGTGTGCGGGGAATTGGAGAGGGCGACGAGGGATTGTTGGAGGGAGGATAGGGTGTCGGAGGCGTAAGAGGATATCTTTCCCCTGTTTGGGGTGAGGGGTGGGAGGGAGGAGTGGATGGGGGTGGAGGGTTCGGAGGGAGAGTGGGAGGGTAGGGAAGGGAGAAGGGGAGGAGCAGAGTGCTCTTTCTTGAAGAGCTGGAATTTGGACAGCTTCTTCTTGAGTCCTGGACGTGCCTTGGACTCGGACGTCGATGCGGATGCCGATCTGCTCCCTGGAGGAGGGCGGCTTGGGAGGAGGGATCCAGGCGCAAGATCCTGGGTGGAGGAACCCAGAGTGAAGGACGGAGGCTTCGATGGATCATCCATAGGCTCTTGCACCGTGGCAAGGCCTGGAAGGGAAGTCAATCCAAGCCTGATCCTCAGCCGCCCTTCACTCCAGGCCCCCCAAAGCGCCACCAAGGTGTCCTGCACCTGTATATATGCCTCCCTAAGGAGGGGCTCCCTAGGCACATTTTCGAGGTCGGCAAAGGGATGCTCGACTCCGCTTGTGCTCAGTTCTCCAGCCGGAATGGGTAGGCGTTCTACCCCAATGCTTTCCAGGACCTCGGAAACCGAGTACCTTTGCAGAGAGAACGAGGACTTTGCCGCCGACGTTGGCGTGGGCAGAGGCGGAATAGAGAGGTCGGACGTGACGCGGTGGAGAGTGAGGGATTCCGTATCCACGGCAGCGGGAGCGGTGGTGGAGCGAGGGAGATGTCTCGGTCGGCGAGAAGGAGTCGAACGCAATGGCCAGCGTGGAGACTCGGGAGGAGGTTGAGCGTGACCGACGAGGACAGGAGGGTCACTTCTCGAGGCGACATCTTCTTCTCGGCGGAGTGCAGGGTGGCCGCGCAGGTGGGGAGGGAGAATTGTGAGATCTTTCGACTCTGTGGCAAGCCCTTGACTGCTCGGTCCTCCCTCCGCTTGAGCGAAATGTTCCGGTTTTGGAGTGGAGGCTAGGACTCCTTGCTGGGCCCAGAAGCCAAAGGGACCAAAGGCGTTTCCCTGAGGCTGATTGAAGAAGATTTGTAAGTCTCGGAGTTTCGAGAAGTCGGCGTTGTATGTTGATATGACACTTACGAGAGGAAGGACAGACTCGAGCCCGAGGGGAGTATTGTCGTCAACCCGTACGGCTAGTAAGGAAATAGGTTAGCACTGCAGTGCAAATGTATACTGTGTAGGGATGCACACCTTGTCCGCCCTCCAGTCTGAGCGGAGGCGGTCTCGTCCGCCGCACCAGAGCCGCCCTAGTTCTCGAAGGAAAGAGGGAGGAAGCTGGGGGGCTAGTAGCCAACACCAGAGCGTCAGAGAGGGAAGAGGACGCGGTGGAATTTTCCTCTGCTAGCGGCAGAATTGCCCTTGGGGTCTTTGTTGCCTTCGCTGCGGCGACAACGGCAGCAGAACTCCAGCTACCCATCCTCCTCGCCCTCCTCAGCTCGGCGAGCGTACCTCGCTCCTCTTGCTCTCGGATGATTCTCGCACACTGCTCTGCAACCATGGTCTTCTCCAGGTTAGCTTCTCCATAATCTGTGCGCGAATTGGTTGCGGATCTTTGCTCTGTCCTGCTCCTCTTGAGCCGTCTGTGGGCACCGGGGAGAGGCGTCATGCCATCCTTGCTGTCCTTGAGGTTTTGGTGGCGATCGAGCTCCAATGCCCTGGGAGGCAGGAGTGGAGGATGTGGATGAGATTGCATCTCCATCATGTAGAGCGAGCACAGTGGCTGCGGAGCTTGCCAGTAGGAAACAAGTTGTTACTTACCGCTGCTGTGATGGTTGTGGGTAGAGGAGGGAAGTGGAGGAGGGAAGAAGCGCGACGCGAGATATGGGCAGAGTGCAAACGCGCGGACCCGTAAACAAAAGTCACTGTGAAGTTGAAATGGAAGGAGCGGGGACGAAAGACTGAATAGAGAATGACTGGAAAAGGGCTTCTTCCGACTAGGTCTGTAGAAGTGACAGGGCCCCAGCGACCTTTCACCGGCCGACCGAGCCTGAACACCATTACCTATTTCACAGAGTCGGTCGACAGGAAGGGGAGATAAGTGAAAGTTGGTGCGAATGGACATGAAAGTGTCTCGCTGGAGCTCGCTTTTCACTAAGTCAGGAAAGAGAAGTGTCCCTGAAAACTTAGGGTAGGTTGACAGCAGAGAATCGACTTGAACGTCTTGCGACTCGAGATTGCGCGATGAAGCAACTGACGTTGCCTTCCCTTAGTTGAAATAGTGGGAATTCATGCATCTCGTCCACTGTGATCTGAAAACGTGAGATGACGGCAGCACACCTTGACAATGGAATATCAGGATTGTATCGCATCTTGTCTCCGGACCATTTCTCCAAGAAGAAAACTCATGGACTGTGAAAAATGACGAAAGAGCATTGTACAAAAGCATGAATGAAAGGCAAAACGAAAATTTTACCATTGAACTGATGCTTTAATGCTTTAATGAAATCAAATCCCCCTCTTGTCTATCCCAGTTCGCTCCCTATATGAAAGCATGCTGTCTACTCCAGAAACGTGAAAAGATTCGTATGAACAACGTTAAGCGCGCGATCCGCTTCACGTGCTTCAATAACACACGAGATGTTGATCTCGCTTGCGCCTATGTCCAATCAGCATAACAACCTAACCATGATAAACAACATTCACGACATACCTTGCGAAATCATCTCGATGTTGATATTGCTCTCTCCCAGAACGCTGAAAAACTTGCCAGAAATACCAACCATATTCTTCAACTGCCGGCCCACCAAACTCACAATCGCCATATCCGGGACGATGTCGATGGTGCCCAGCTTCCCCAGCTCAATGACGGCGCCATTCAGATCCTCATTCGCGATGCGGTACTCGTCCTCTCCGCCGCCGCTCAACAACGCCGATTCGGAGTGCAATGCCATGGAAACGTGAACCTCGGACGAGGAGATCAAATCAACAGAAAGATGCCACTTATCGAGAATGCTGAAGATGCTCATAAGGAAACCGTGGGCGCGCGTGCGCTTGTTGCTGTGTACGTTAAGCACAACGATGTTGTGTTTGATGGTGACGGCTGTCGGGCGCTTGGGACCCTGAACTTGAGTCAGGAGGCTCGCCGACCTCGTGCGGAATAGCTTTGGATCGCGGAGAGGCGCCTTGTCATCGATCTCTTCTTGGGAGTCGGGGTAGATTACAGTTCCGCTGTTGCGAGGATTGATGACGTTCTTTATGCGGATTTGTATGCGGGCGCGTATGACCTGCTCCATAGTAAAGGGATGGATGACCTCTGACCCGTAGAAGGTCAACTCAGCTGCCTCGGACGGAGTAACGCTGGATAGGAGACGTGCGGTGGGGACTTTTCGCGGATCAGCGGTGAAGATGCCATCAACCTCTTTCCAGATTTCTGTGTAGCGCTTGTCAGTCAAGTTAGCAGTCATGCATTGGACTGGGACCTACGAAGCTCTTCGGCCTGGATACCCACGGCCACCAGCGCAGCACAGAGATCGGTATACCCTCTCCCAATGCTCGACAAGATACCGCCAGGCACACTGCCAAAGTATCCAGTAATGACGGGAACCTTGTCCCCGCACGCGCGCACCTCCTCAGCCAAAGACTGCGCCAGGTTCTTATAGAAGCTCTCATTCAACCCCTTGAGCGGACTCCCATTCCCCTTAATGATGTCCGACAGATCGACAAACTGAGCAGGCACGCCACGGTCCTGCAATAGCGCGGCCATGTACATGCAGCTCAATTTCTCGCCCTTGCTAACAATCTTGTCCTCCACACGCGACGACACTTCCTCGAGGTGCTGCGCCGACTCGAGTATCTTGGTCAGATTGACCATCTCAGCGTCCACACCCGCTGTATACGCGGCGAGTATCTCCGGAGACGCAATCGTGTTCTCCGCAGCCTGGACGTGGTCCGCCCGAATCGCCTCGATAATGTCATCGTACCCACGAGACCCGGGCTTCTCTGCAGCGCGGGCACATCGTAGAAGTCGATTGGTAGTCCCTTCGAGTTTAGTATTGTTGCTCCTCGCCGAGCACACAATGGCCGTGCGGTTCTCCTTCAGGCTCGTCCTACTCAGACGTCAGTACCGCGCAGTGATCAAAAAGTGGCATGTTCGACTCACTTGACGACCTGACATATGTTCTCCGCGTATTTACCGACAGCCGTGCCACCAAATTTCTGCACGATCCAACCGCCGGGGAGGTGTTTCTCCGCCGTGTGTGCTATTCTTTCCGACTGGTGTGTGAATCCGTTCATTGTGGTAAGTGTGAGGGGTGAAAGCGGAGACGCCTGGAACACTGCTTTTTCGCTCCTCAAGGCTCAATTTAAGAGATTTGAAGGATCCGGCTTGTCCAATGGTCCTTTCCTCGTCAATAAATCATAGAAAACAAGGGCGTAGGAGCAAGCAGTGAAGGGGTAGTCGTGTGCAAGAGGGCGGGTGGTGGGTCCTCGGCAGTGCGGGACCTGAGTCAAATAATATGTAATGCAGCCCGATGCCGCAATTCGGGTGGCTGCAGGTCAAAAGAAATTTATCAGCCATAGATTGTGGCGCACTAGATGTGGCAGTGCGCCCAACCGCGATTCGAACAGTTCGAGACCTTCGCGGGGAACTACCCTAGCGCCTTGGCGCGGGCCTTCCTGTTCACTGGTGTCCTTATGGCGCCTGTGGCAGATTTCAACACCACGTTTCAATCCTATTCAGATATCCCGTGTATAGAAATTCGTTGTCGAACAATAATCGGTATATAATCACTGGCCCTACTTCACCTACCGGAAGCCAATGCCATTACTTTCCTCACCAATGTGCCGGTCAGATGGACATGTACAAGCAGACAGAACAGATATACTCCCGCATCCTCTCGCTCTGACCAATAAAGTGTCCTCCGGGAAACCCCATCTCGTAATGCGCCCTGCAAATGCATAGTATCCTCCCCTCCAAACGCCAATTCATAGTAGTCACAGTCCGTGGAACCTGACCAATTCCCCCCGTGTACCCAAACGCCAACACCACACACAGAGAGAGTGTGGGATGATTGCAGAACCCATCCCGTAGCGTCCTGCCAGCATATCGCGTCTGTCCGCAAACAGAGATCCTTCCGGCCTTGCTGCATTCTTCGTCTCCCTCGTGGGACGTTCCTAGCGTCTGTAAATGTCCCGCTCGCGGTCGCGATTCCTGTTGTCACGCCGCTCTGGACTTCGGGATCGCGTCCTCCCATCTCTCCGGTCTCTTCCAAAGTTGCGCGAGTCACCCGGGCGGTCCCTATCCCTGTACGCCCTTCCACGATCAGATCTATCATCTCTGTAGCCTTCGCGAGAATGCCCGGAATCCGCTGAACCCCTTCGTACATCCCTCGCCCGGTCGTCAGGATCGCGAGAACGTCTTTCCTCTCGAGGCCGCGGTCCATCGCCGTCGCGGTAGCTAGGCACATATTTGTCCATGTGTCGCGGAGGTCGGTCACGGTCAGTATAGCCATAGCGAGGTGCATGTCCTGGAGGATACCGCCCATCGCCCTGGTGAGGAGGTGGTCCACGGTCTGCACCTCCGCCCCAGTGCGGTCCATGCCTCGGCGGCGGAGGAGGCGGTCCCCGGTTGTCATAGGGCGGCGGCGGACCTCGATTGTCATATGGAGGGGGCCGTCTGTCATAGGGACCGCGCGCACGATCAACACCTGGCGGGCCTCGATCCTGCGAGGGATACCTGGAACGATCCCAGTGAGGTCCGGTTTGAGGAGGTCCAGTTCCAGCCCATTCACCATTCGGTCCCCCGCCTACAGTGCCGCCAGCGGGAGCGGGAGGCAAGACGCGCTTCTGGCCACGTGCATTGCGTCTGTCCAGCTCGTGCGAGTCCTGGAATTTCGGGATTTCTTCCTCGCGCATCGGCAGCGGCTCAGTCTTGAAGTAAGGGTGTTCGATGGCGTCAATCGCGTTGATACGCTTTCGCCAGTCCAGGCGGAGCAGGTCGCTCAGGAGGGACAGGCCAGCCGAGTTCAAATGGTGGAATTGGCCTGTAAGATTGCCATTCGTCGGCTGAGAGTTCTTCACAGTCTCAGCGCCCGGTAGCTGCTCCCAGCCCGGCATGGTTTGGGCGGTCGGTGTGCCCACAAGCTCGAAGATGATCTGCAGCTGATGAAGGTCGCTCTGTCCAGCCAGGATCGGCTTGCGTTTGAACATCTCACCAAAGACACAACCGGCGCCCCACATATCGATCGCAGGAGTATATCGGCGGAGTTGGAGGAGCAGCTCGGGGGGCCGGTACCATCTCGTCACGACCAGGCTGGTGTAGTCACGAGTGGCTTCCCCATTGCCCTTTCCGCGCTGAGGCACACGTCCATCGTAGGTACGGGCGAGCCCAAAGTCGGCGATCTGGAGCCGACCTCGGTTATTGATGAGCAAGTTGGCGGCCTTCATGTCGCGGTGGAGGATATTGTTGTCGTGGAGATAGTGGAGGCCCTTAAAGAGCTGGAGCATGTAGCACTTAATCTGCGCCTCGGAGAAGTTGACTTCGGGGTTGTCAAGCAATCCAGACAGGTCATGGTCCATATATGGTGTGACCATGTACAAGATAGCCCTCTTTCTTCCCTCCGCTTTGGGCCTCTCCACAGCCATCTCCTCCAGCTTCAGCACATTATCGTGAGACAGCATCTTGAGCAGTTTGATCTCCCGTAATGCCGTGATGGGAAACCCGTCCTTCTCATTGTGCATCAATATCTTTTTTAGCGCGTAGACCTTGCCTGAGAATCGGTGTCGCGCCTTGTGTACTTCGCCAAAAGTGCCTTCGCCCAACTTCTGAAGCAGTTCGTACTCGCCAATCTTGGAGCAGCCGATGAAGCGGCGCGTGATACCCTTGGGTGGCTCTTTCATCGTCGTCGTGGTCGCCATGGCCGCGGCGGCGTGCGGAGGTTTAGACAGGACACCTGATCGGGTTTGAGATATCGTAGATCAAGGGGCGCGTCGTTGATAAAGGAGTTGGTGGTGGAGTTGGGCGGATGGGGCCGCAGTCGCGACCGCTGCCATGAGAGAGTGTGTGATTGAGGCGCCTGTTATTGTGCCGTCCTCATCCTATTGTGCGGGAGGCATGGGAAGTCTGCATGTCCGCGATGAAGGTGAACAGCGCGGCTGATTATGTAAGCGAGGCAGGACAGGGAAGCTGCAACCGCGCGGAACCTCACCTCGCCGTCACATTGAACCTTCGACACCCAGCACTAGCAATTGAAGCCTGAAACTATCGGTATGGGGCGGAGAAGACGAAAGGATATGTGGTTCATGAGCTGACAGTTCTAGGGCCCCTCAACGACGCAATGGGTCCCCCACGTCCTCGCCTCGAAGGCCCGCATCCCATCAAAGTCCCTCCGGTTCGCCCTCTATACAGATTTATGGCTACCGGTCTCGGCGCATCTATGTGGTTCTTTGTATGTCAGGTACTCGGTAACACTTGGGACGGCGCTGACGGAGGATAGTTGATGTACCGCGCGAAGCAAGATATGCCCGTCCTTCTGGGCTGGCGACACCCTTGGGATCATTGAGCGGTGGAGACAGATTCGCGAAATACGACGATGAAATGTACATAAACAGCGGGCGATTTCATATCCAAGCATCAGCAGGACGGAAATGAATCAAATCTATCAACCAAACCTTGCGAATGTTCTCCTATGCTGCTTCCCCCGGTTGTGTATCTCGATCCGGTGCGATGCGCCAGCCGAACTGTAGGGAACTTCTTATCATGCCGATGTGTTTCTCTGTGCAGTGGAGAAGCCAATTGGATCGAAGATCACGTTCAAAAATGGCCTGGCCGCTATCCAATTCCCCCCTTTTTAGCCCTTACATATCTTGTTTCCGAAGATTTATCATACCATTTTCTTCCGGCTCCTTGCATCATGCAATGTTCCTCATCAAGGCCACAAGATAGCAGAACAATGGGTTTGATAGCAAGTGGATAAACTTCCAGCCCAATATGTATTTACAGAATAACTAAGAATGGATGAATGACCAGGATATCTCGTGCCACAGAACCAATTCCCCCAGACATTGAAGAACGCCGATGATGCAAAACGCTACCTTTTCCCGTGCACGATAATAATAAGCGAGCTCTATCACCCATGCTAAATGCTAGAATCTACAGACAGAGTTAGCATGGAGTCCAACGGGGCTTTGATGAGAGAGGTGTAGAACATACCGTATCTCGTAGTTCCCTGCCCTGGTCATATACCTCACCCACTTAACACTACTATAATTACTCTTCTCAAACACTTTCAGATACCGCACCAGCAGCCCCGAACTCGTAAACATTAGCAGCGAAAAGTTCAAACTCAGGGGCGGACGACTCCACGCCTTCTGATTCGTCATGCTCGTCAGCGTGGCCTCCGCGCTCAGCACAAATTCGCTCTGTCCGGTGAACCGCGGAATCTTCCACACAATGTTATTGTGTTCGGGCTCGTACTTGGCTTTCCCCTGCGACGTCCGCTCCGTGATGCGCGCGGTATTCAGAGGTGTGGGGATGCGGACGACGACGTTGGTAGCGAAGAGTTTGGAGCCGTAGTTCGCGCGGATGGCGATGCTGTATTCGACTTTCGTTTTTCCGACTTCGTTAACGATGGCGTGCACTTTGAAGGGTAGGTTTACGTTCTCTGTGGCGCGGTACCGCATCAGTTCGAATTCGCCGTCGGGCGGGATGAACGAAATAATGCGGTCCGTATCGAACTTGCCCAGCTTGACGCACTGGTGGAATTGGCAGTCCTCCAGCGTAACACTGCCTGCAGCGGCGCGCGTGGCTTTTGTGCCCGCGCGGTTCCCGCTGGGATGATGAAGGTTATCCTCACCAAGGGTAAGGCGGTCGTTCAGGCCGAATTTGCATTCGGGAGTGCCGGAGAGGTACGCACGCATCACGATTTGGCCGTTCACATCTGCGCGGAGGACGGTGCCGGTTGCGGACATAAGAAGATTGACGTCTTCGATAACGTCGACGAAGGCTTCGTTTTTTCGGTATTTGATGTCGGCTCGTCTCCAGGAGAGGGCCCCAGTGGCTTGCATGGTGATCTTTGACGAATCCTCCTGTACGCAGACATGTCAGTATAACCATTTGGAATACTCTGGAAAGCATCCTCTGTGCCATCCCACGTACCATTGCCCGCTCGGACTTGACACCCTCCGTTGTAATGTACATCTTCAGTGTATCCGTCTCGGTATTCTGCGGGTATCCGAAATCGAGAATCTCTGTGAACTCAATTAGCCATGTCCATCTTCCCCTTAATATAGCTCTGCCAATTCCGAGCAGTTGACATACCATCCAGCAACTCATACACCAGCACAAAGTTATTCTTAACAGCCTCCTCGTCAAACTTCCCAAAATACGACTTCCCCAGCCCAATCAGCCTGTACAAGAACTCAAACACCAGAGCTGCATTCGCATTGCTCTTCGTTATCGCCACCAGGTATATATTCTCGTGTTTGACATGGCTGAACGTTGTAGACCCGAGGGTCAGAATCGGAGACCGCACCTGCGCGTTCGATATCACTTGGATGCGGAAGACGTCGGCGAGGCGGGGTCGGCAGTCGTTGCGGAAGGCGCGAAATATTAGATTCTCGCCTTTTTGATTGAATATAAGAATCCCGGAGAGCATGTTGGCGGGAGGAGCTGGGGAAGTTCGAGCGCCGTACGGTTGGGGGTTATGGACTCTTGAGGGTGGTGTAAAGGGAGGTGCGGTTAGTGAAGCTCGGACCATGACGGTCGAGTCGAGGGAATTGCTGGATTGGTGCTAGTGCCGTTTGTGAGAATGAACGTTTCTTAAGCGCTGTTATAGAAGACTGCGATACATTCAGATTATACGTGAAAAGTGTGACGAGAGTGATACAGAATCTAGGCGGTTTTCCTTTGTGGGCTCAACAAGCTCTCTTCAACCCAACAGGTCTGTTGTGACCTTGCATGATAAATTGGATCAAAATGATATTGAAACATAGAATTAGGTGTTGGCAACTGTACAGGCATGCGGTACGCGGGTATCTCGAAAGGGAGGAAAGCACTCAGCACTCCTTCACAGGCACTCCCAAGATCCCGGTCAACGCAGCCCATCGTGCCCTCCTCTCGACGAATTTGGTTTTCAACAATTCGTCGACCATTTTCGACAACGCCATTCGCCGGCCTATATACGAATGCACAATGGCCTCAGGTCGCTCTGTGAACTGCGATGGACGTTCAATGTCTGAGCGTAGTTTGAGTTCGGCGGCACTCATGGTTGAAGCATTGGCGAGAGTCCACCAGAAGAGCCGGCCGAGACTGCCGGTTCCATGCACCAGGGCTAGGTCAAGCTGCTCAGTGTTGTTACTAGCCGTCCGGAGAAACTGCAGGTAGGATTTAAGAACCCGGATGACATCGTTTGCCCTACAATCGGCGAGTTGCTTGTTGTCCTCTATCCAAAGGTGCGAAGAGTGATATGGATGGCTAAGTTGGCGTACGTTCCCAAGATCGCCCAGAATCCACTGTGTGTCGCTTTCCACAAAGATGTTCGAAGGTTTGATATCGTCGTGACAGAACCCTTTCCTGTGAAGTGTTTCCATTGTGCGAAGGAGCTTATGGAACGTCGCACGGTAGGTCAAGTCCAGTTGGCTGAAGCTGTTGGATGAGCTTTGTTGGCGTAATCTTTTAGCTAGACTGGGGAGATTTCCACCGGCAACCAGAGGAGTGACCAGATGCCATTCTGGAGCCCTTCGTGGTAAGGAAGTGGCCATGAAATAAGCCTGCACAGGCAGGAACCCAGATGGGTACTTCTCTTTCGCGTCAGCTTCTGCGCTCCATATTCCTCCAACTTCCACTGAGGCAGGGATCTCCGCTGGCCATCTCATGTTCGGGTCACCCGAAACGCAGTTTCGAAAGGGGCTCTGTCCTGGGACAAATGTCTTAATCACCGAGGAGTTAAAGGTGTACGTCTTGCCTTCCCACCCCGAACCCAGAACCTGCCATTGATTTCGATGAGCCAACAGCGTATCCACGAACTCCAAGTGTGAGGCCTCGGTTTCCCGTATCGCTCTATCTGGTCTTGCAAACTCTGTAGGGGAATATTTTGCACCCAGTTCGCTGCGATAGAAGAAGAATAGGTGCTGTCCGTGTAATAATGTCAGGATGAAAAGAAATATTCCTAGGATACGGTTTGTAAGAGTGGTGGAGCGAAACCTGGACACCAAGTATGGGCGACCTCCCCATGGTGGTATTGATGTCTCGAAAGGGCGACCCATGGTCCCAGGCACGAGTTTGCGAGCCTCCGAATGCAGTGGAGAGTATGTACTGTGTATGGAACCCTGGGAATGTGGGAGAGCAAGTAGAGATTGGGACCTACCTTCAAGGAAGGAGCGAAAGCTTACATAGTGGCGCCTGGGAAGGCATATTTGAGTGCCAGGAGTCACTTCCCCTTCATTCTTACTTGTAGGCGCTGTACTATGGCGCAGCATCTCGTTTCCGGGGCCGCCACAGACGTCGTCTCCAATCAAAGGGAGTGGTACTCAAAGGAAGCTCAGCCGGATGCCAGCGTTTGCATACAGCTACCCCCGTGGGCGGCCCTCCTCGTTTCCTAACATGACGTAGACACAATCATGCGGCCGGTTTTGCTGGCACGAGACATCGTATATGGGCCATGGGGGAAAACAAGGCATCGAGTCTCGACGCATTTCCCGCGGTTCCGGTCAACAAGATCGTTGGCATCGTGGCGGTGCATCAAGCAAGAGAGGCCAACAGCGCCTGCCTGGTGAGGGGCTCATGTCTCGCGGCTGGAACAGCTTGGCTCACACAATCCAGCTTGATGTTGTTGTATGGACTTGGAGAGTTCGGTGCAAAGTGCAGTGTGGTTTGGAGATGGCTCAGGGGAGGAAACCCAGAGATGTGGCTGTGTACAGTACTACTCGCTAAGCGAACATTCACCTGTCGACGTCATCGGCGCAACCAACCACCGTGGACTAGGCCCAACTTCATAGCGAGATGGAGATGGGGCATTATAGAGGGGGAACAGTTGCGCTCGAATTTTTCCGATTACCTGCAAGGGGCATTGATAGCAAGAGAAAGCATAACCCCGAGTCGGGAATATGTAGAGTTCTCCCAACCCTTGGGAACCCACCGTCCACCCCACACGCCAGGTAACCTCATGCCGATAAGTATTTCCGAACAGGTAACGTGACGTATCTCCGCTGTGTACATAAACAACATAGCCAACGTTCCTGCCTACCATTGATCTTACATCCCGCTTTTCAGCATGTCGATGTCAGTGGAAGAAGTTCAGACCCCGCGTGAAGGGTTCCCGCGCCCCGTACCCAACATACCAAGCAACGTCCTCGAGCAGTTTCGTCTAAATGGAAAAGTCGTAGTGGTGAACGGCGCGGCCGATGGCATTGGCTTAGCTGTCGCAGAGGCAATGGTAGAAGCGGGTGCCAATGTTGCCATGTGGTATCATAGGTGAGTTTGACGCAATTGCTCATGAACATAGCAATGACATGGATCCAGCAATTCTGCGGCCGTCGACAAAGCGGCAGAATTCTCGAAAACTCACAATGTAAATGCGAAAGCGTACAAGGTCAATGGTGAGAAGACTATACGCAATCAGTTGAGAGGCAAGTGGCCTAACTAGATCTTTAGTTTCGGATCCAGAACAAGTCCAGCAGACCATTGAGAAAGTCGTTGAAGACTTTGGCAAGGTTGATGTTTTCGTTGCGAACGCTGGTAAGCCACCCTATATTCAGGACTGTCATCACCACACCCTAACATGATTGCAGGAATGGCCAACTCCAAGCCCATATTGGAACAAAGTCTCGAAGAGTACCGGCAATTGATGTCCGTCAATGGTTCGTAACTCAAGAACAGTATCCCGCAACGTCTGAAGCAATGCGCTAATCCTCTCGCAGTTGACGGTGTAGTCCACTGCGCGAAGTACATCGGACAAGTCTTCAAGCGGCAAGGCAGCGGTAACCTTATCATCACATCGAGCATGAGCGCCCATATCGTCAATGTGCCCGTGGATCAGCCAGTCTACAACGCTACAAAAGCGTTTGTCAGCCACTTCGGGAAATCCATTGCGCGCGAGTGGCGAGATTTCGCGCGCGTCAACATTGTGTCTCCAGGCTTCTTTGACACGAAAATGGGTGCCAGTTCACGCATTATAAACGAAGCGTATCGTATGACGCCACTTGGCCGGCAAGGAGATGTCAAGGAGATCAAGGGGCTCTTTTTGTACCTGGCGAGCGACGCATCGACATATATGACTGGAAGCGATATCCTGATTGACGGAGGGTACACACTGCCATAAGACGGACCTCTTAGAGGCGTTAGAAGAAAATAAAGACACGGTACGGTGCTCGTAGGTAAATACAGGTGTAGTGGTGTGATTCTTACGAGTTCCTTATGCAGTGAACCTTCTGTAGAGAGAGCACATACCCAGGACCCATTTCTAAAGGTGCACAAGTGCCGCTGCCGATCCAAACATCTCCCGCTATGAGTCTCGATGTGTAGACTACCAAAAGCATACTGATTTCTAAAAGAGTATGGCCAACACTGAAACTGTCTGTTCTAGAAAATACGAAAAGTGGGATTTCCAAAACGCCTGGAAGTTCGAACAATTGCACTTCCAGACGATCGCAAATTTCTGGAGAGATATCAGCCGGTTGTCTGCAGGTATATTATTCACATATTTATTTAAGGGCCGATCGCGCCTGGTTTAGAATCTGTTCACATCTTCTGCTAGATCCGCGTATCACAACTCTCTAGAGTTTGAAGTTTCCCGATCTTCCCTGACCTCCGGCGTACCTCTTCGCACCCGCGATTCCTTCCTCCTTCACCACGCCAATCCCGTTGTCAAACTCATACCGTAGTCCATCTTCCAAACTCTTCGCCTCAAACGCCGCATAGTAGCACGAATCTCGGTCCCTGTTTATACAAAGCTGTGGGAACTTAACGAGCTGCTCTGCAATCTTTGTCGCCTCTTCAAGAGCCTTTCCCTTAGGCACAACACGGTTCGCCAAACCCATTGACAAGGCTTCTTGCGCGCTCACGGGTCGTCCCGTGAGGATCATGTCCAAGGCTCGTCCGAGACCGACGATTGCTTGGAGCCGTACGGTGCCGCCGTCAATCAAGGGAACACCGAATCTATGTGGAAATAACAGTTGATTATTATATCCGAAGCATTCCTTACCAAAATGATAGTGTACCTACCTGCGACTGAAGACACCGAAAACAGCATCCTCCTCAGCGACCCGCATATCCCCCAGCAAACTCAGCTCCAGCCCTCCCGCAACCGCATACCCACTCACCGCACATATCACGGGCTTGACGATCCGCATCCGTGAAGGTCCCATAGGCCCTAGATTCCGCCCTTCAACGGGCCCAAAATGCGGATCTCCAGAACCTCCACGCTCGGCCACGTCTTGGAGATCAGCGCCCGCACAAAATGTTCCATTCGCGCCGTGAAAGACGCAAACTTCTTGTGTAGGGTCGGCTTCGAAGTCAAGGAAAGCTTTATATAGCTTTTGGGCTGTGGCAGGGTCTACGGCGTTGCGTCGGGCGGAGCGGTTGAGCGTGATGGTCGTGATGCCGCTGGGCGAAGGAGAGTATGTCACGGCGTGGGGTTCGGGGTCCATATTGATAGATGATATTCGAGGTTCGAGATTTACTGAATTCTTATACTTTTTTAAATAATATCAAGCCACTGTATGTCCTTCATGTTGTTCCTCATTCATACACAAATTGAAGGCGGGGATCGATGTCTTATAACGGCATGCCTCGGCAACTCTGCTAGGGTAAGCTGAAACCTCATTCCTCCAAACGACCGAAGTGGCGCTGCAGGTGGCATATTTTTCATCCTTTCTATAATCACAATCGCGGTTGCCAGAACATGTACAAGATGTGCGTTCGGCAAGTCTTTGAGTCTCCTGTCCGACGACAAGTACTGTGGGGAACGTGTACGTGTCGATCTCTGAGTTCATCATCGTGATGTAACCGCCTTTCAGCGAAATCATGGGAACAATTTGTCAAGGTGTCAGAGAGAGTATCTACCACAGTTACCTAACCTTGAATCTGGAAGCGTAGAAAAACGTCCCATGGGAAGGTATACACTTGTGACAGCCATGACCACCGCAGCACAAATTTTAAAACCCCTAAAGCCAGCGGCAGGATTGCGTCCTCTCCCACCATTTGCCCCTCGAACACTTGCAAGACGCTTCACAACATCCAGAGCAGCATCTTCCTCTCAACCAAAGATCCTCCTAGAAGATAAAGAGAACGGCTATGGCTTCATTCGCCACAATCCCCTGCCGAAGAAACCGCGAAAAACCAGCGTAACAGAAATCCGCGGTCCTTACTACTCAGCTATGGGACCGCACTATCTGAAAGACGTTCTGGGCACGATGGGGGCACATGTAGACGGACTGAAATTCGCTGGTGGCTCTTTCTCGCTCTTCCCGGAAGAACAGCTTCGCAAACTTATCGACCTGGCGCACTCGCACGATGTCTATGTCAGCACCGGAGGCTGGATGGAGCATGTACTCACGCAATCCGACGCCGTTGAGGCAGTGGACAAGTACCTCGCAAAGTGCAAAGATATGGGCTTCGACGTTGTTGAGATCAGTACTGGGTTCCTCTCTCTACCTCCCGACGACTGGCTCCGCCTTGCTGAGCGGGTCATGAAGCACGGTCTGAAGCCCAAGCCTGAGATCGGTATTCAGTTCGGCGCTGGCGGCGACACAGAGGCCTCTGACCTCGAGGCACTGGGCACTTCTGATCCCTCGCGCGTCATCAACCTCGCGAAGCGTTTCATGTCCATGGGCGTAGAGCGCATGATGATCGAATCAGAGGGCATCACGGAGAATGTCAAGAGCTGGAGGACGGATGTAATCCAGGCGATTCTGCGCGATATCCCGCTCGAAAAAGTAATGTTTGAGGCTGCGGATCCGAAGGTATTCAACTGGTATATACGGGAGTTCGGCATCGATGTCAATCTGTTTGTGGATCACAGTCAGATTGTGCAGTTGAGTTGCTTGAGGAGGGGAATTTGGGGGATGGCGGATACGTTTGGGAAAATCACGACGTATAGGCCTACCGAAGATTGATTGCAGATGTAAAAACTGCTTAGACGAAGATTCTACGTGGAAAACCGGTGAGCTCTAAATTGGATCTAATAGGTAATTCTGTGTTAGGTTGCTGCATCTGGTGCAGTACCCTGGGACTTCAATTGTTCGCCCCCATCGCAACCCTCTGCAGTCGAACCATTTGCTAAATTGCACAGGAGGGTTTCAATTGATTTTTCTCACAACATTTGTCTATCCTTTCCACGCAGTCCGCATTGAGTTCTTTCAACGTTGGAATCTTTTGATGTCAGGTGACAGGAGACCCCACAAGGATATATTTCAAATCATTCTGCAATCTTTGTAGGAAAGAAAGAGGGCATCCCAGGAGAAATTGGGGATTACCATTCATTATAATGATGCTGGAGTGTCACGATATTTCCACGTGCCACCAGATTTTCAAAAAATGTTCCAGGGCCCCGGTCTGGGCACGCTAGGTTGGTTGCAGACCTTTCCAAATTTGGTGCTTCGCACAGCTTCTGCTAACCTCCCCAACAGTTCTGTGACAGAGCACAAGATGATTTCACTACATCGGAAGCTAAACTGCGTTGCTGCTCTATCATACTTCATATAAACGAAGGCCGCGCTATGCGGGCCGCCCGCATACCCACTCAGTCGTATTCTGGACTCTTTCTTTGGCTTCTCTCCCTCTCGGGAACCTCCGGCTTTGGAACCATAAACGAACCGAATATTATCGGCCAACATTGTGAGCATGAGCGCATCACTCGTGCAGCATTTGCCTGTCCCCCAGGAATCAGTGTCTCAGATGGAAGATGCTTCGAAGAGCTGAGCTTGCATCAGTTGGCCGGCCGCTCGGGCCCTGAGGGTTATGTCGGCACAGGATCGAATGGAGCCGTGGGGGCTCCCGATATGCTCGATCCCGTACCAGAAGGGCCGGAAGCTCACTGCGATAATGCGGACTTTCTGGATGACCCTTCTTACCCTCAAACGAGGATGGAAGCCACGGCCCAACTGCAAGACTGTGTGAATCATCTGCGAGAGAGATTCTTAGAAGGCGTTGAGGCAGCGAACAAGATTACAGACGAAGAATCAAGAATTATCATATCTGAAGTCGATATATCCACACTAGATTGCAGATTCTCATTCCCAGAGCTTCAGTCCCATCATTTCTCAAGATCAAAGTGCTCTGCCATCGAAGGTTTTGGACGGGCGTTACATGGCATTCAAGATTTCTACGCCCATAGCAACTGGGCAGACCGCTCCGAGCCGCCCTTCAGCGCAGCCAATCCTCCAGGCTTGGAGCGGACCGACTACCCCATCTTTCTGGACTTGCGTGCGGAAAATGATATAACAGAGCAAGTTCCACACAATTTGTCGACCGGATGCTTTGGCGGAATCTTCACCGATGGACCTGTGGGAAGAGCAGGGCACCCTCTAGAGCCTGGATCCATAGATTGTACTGGACGAATCACTCACGGAACCCTCAACAAGGATAACGGGATTATTGATGCGGTAACGGGGATGACCAGCAAACCGGGACCTAACACTCCGCGAAGCGACATTCCTGGAAACTTCGAACGAGCAGTCCAAGGTGCCATCAAAGATTCGAGACGCCTGTGGCGCCACTTCAGAGAAGAAATCAGAAGGACTTACGGCACTGAGAGAGGAAATATCATGGTTTGTGCTCTAGTCCGTGATAATCCCAACAGAGACTGCTACGGGCGGAGAATCGCTTTCCTACGCGATGCACCCAAGGATATCAATAGGGTGGCTGAGATACAGATCCCTATTCACAGATGGCTGCTGGAAGAGTTGGAGGGTAAGGCTCATGATGAAGGTCCTGACGAGGGAGGCACGCCACAAAACGCTACGAAGAGCAGAGGTTCCAGTGGTGAGCTACACGGAGTTGTAAAGTACGACGAGGACAATGTCCTACCAGGCACCAGTCAAGGCCTCGACATTAGCTCGGCGATAGACGATCTTCTAATCCATGCCGGCACGATTCCAGCCAACAAGTCTGCCATCATTGCTCTGACCACTAATCGTGACTTGCACCTTGGCGACAGCATCGCAGAGGTCTGGCGGGCTGGAGATAAAGGAGTTCGCGTACACTTAGGTCTCTTGCCACCTGCACAAACTGCTCAGCAGAGATCGGAGGACAAGACTATTACAGCATTGTCCGAGGCCAGGGCGGAGGATCTCATGACTGCGGTGCTGCGGACAGGTGGAACATACAGCGTGTTACACAGCCGGAGATCTATCCCCAGACTGCTAGATCATGTCATCTCGCGTGGATTGACGCAGTATGACAACGCACGAGACACGGAAACATTGCTACTACCTGGACTGTCCATCGGAGACTACGTGACACCGGCAGCGGAACCTCGACGGTTTTCCTTCGACGCGCATGCGTACGACAACGTCATGGTCGCTGTTGCCCCCATCACACCGAATCTAGCATTACATGTCAGCGTCCGCCATGTGCGCTGGAACGAAATGATTCGCGAGCTTAGAATAGGCGCCGGCGGGAATGAAACCTTCCGGGCAGAGTTCAGTGTAGCGGATATTCCTCGCACTGACGCTTGGTTTGAATTGGAGGTTGCTCATGTCGAGGGGACTGGACTGGCGGGCAGCGGATTATTTGAGGTCAGTATGGAAACGGAGGTAGTCTCTGCAACCGGAGATGGACAGAAAGCTACGAAGCCTAATGCTCAGGGGAGAACCGGCGAACACGACGAACTGTAGAAGCTTATTGCGTTAATAAGCCAATGTCATGATTCCTCGAATATTTCTGTTTATTGGGTATAGATGGCACAGGCATAACTCACTGCCCATATAACAGCACACATTCCTCAAGAAAGCAACATGGAAGCGGTATTTTGAGGGTTTGCCGGACAGAAGTTTGAGCCGAGTATTAGACGCGGCCCGTTGTGGAAACCGGCGAGACCCACCAGGATGATAGATGAGGTCAACATCTTGCACATCATTCCAACCCTTGCACAGCATGGCTAAATCAACCATACAGATTGGGCCGCTTGCTTCTCCACCCGCAGCATATGCCCTCCAATCCGAGTGGATGCTTTTCGAACGTGTCTTCTATCTCGCATCTTTCTCAACAACCTCACCTGCTATCGAGCATGCGCTTCTATACATGGGATATCTCCCGTCGATCTCCATCATACCTCTTCGGCCGCACTCGCGATTTGGTTAGGTAGTGACATTCACAGGTCGCCCAAATCGAGGGAAACGAGGTCGAACCCATCCGTCGCCCCCGCATCTTGTGCTAGGATAGATATTATCCCAGAGACATGTATAAATGGACACGGACGGCCGCATCTACAGCTGCTTGATGCTGTCTCCAACCGCACCTGAATTCCTCCGCGGCGTTTAATCGTACAAGATGAGATCTCTCATCACTTGGAGCACATCCCTCACTCTCGCTTCTGTCGTTACTGCTTCCTTCGAGACCAATCTCAATTACAACAGTCCCTCCCGACGCCACCCTTCCTTAGGTGTCGATGTCCCGAAACTGAAACTTTCAAAACGCGGACTTGAGCCTCGCGCCTGGGACCCAGCGGAGCTCAAATTCACTCACAATGTCGCATCCGGCGACCCCTATCCTGACAGCGTGATTCTATGGACGCGCATTTCACCTTCCCTGGAGAATGACAAATCGAATGTGACGGTCAAGGGAAACGTGCCGTTGTACAATCATGACACGGAAAGGTACATCAAGGCGTCGCCGAATCCCGTCTGTGTGGAATACGAAGTGTCCAAGAACGAAAAGTTCTCATCTGTAGTAACGAAGGGTACGGCGTACACGACGAGCGACATTGACTACACGGTCAAGGTGGAGGCGACGGGTTTGGCCCCGTTCACAACGTACTACTACCGGTTCACCGTTTGCGGGTCGACTAACCGGAGCCCCGTGGGAAGGATGAAGACGAGTCCTGGACCAGATGATAACGTCAGTAAAATCGGTTTTGCGGTATTCTCGTGCAGCAACTATCGTATGTATACCTTCAACGAGAGCTAAACATTATGTCCTAACTCCATTTCTAGCAAACGGCTACTTCAACGCATATGGCAATGCTGCCCGCAAAGATAAGATCGACTATGTGGTATGATTGGTATTTCTGTGTAAGCACGAAGTTGGTGCTAATGGTCTTTGCAGCTTCACCTTGGCGACTACATCTATGAGACTGGCAAGGGTACGCTAGGGAAGGATCCTCGTGCCACCAACCCGAAGGGCACGATTTACACGCTCTATGGTAAGATTAGGAAATTGAATTCCAGAAACTGTGCTAATACCGAGTAGACTACCGAACCCGCATTGCTCAGTGTATGAAGATTGCTCTGGTGCACTTACTAGCCATCATTACTAATGTTGCACAGACAGGACGGACCCCGACCTTCAACTTTCCCATCAGCGCAATGCTTGGATACCAGTTTGGGACGACCATGGTGCGTGATGAATGTCCCCAGGAAGAGGAGTTGGACGGCTCAACTAATTGGAAATAGAGGTCTCGAACAATGGCTACCGCGATGGCGCATCCGCCCTCAACAACACCGAAGATTCCTTTGTCAAGGTTGGAGGTATCTCTGTTGATCAAAGAAAGATGAATGCAGTAAGAGCCTACTTCGAATGGATGCCGTACGGTCCCTTTTCTCTCCACTGTCAATAGCCGGCGCTAACACCCCCGTAGTATCCGCCAAGTCGACATGGACGACAACCTGCGCATCTGGCGCTCGTTCCAGATGGGCAAACTTCTCGACCTCATCATGCTGGATACCCGCAACTATGACAGGAGTATCACTGATCTCGACTGGAATAAAGGTTACATCCAAAAGATCAAAGATGATGCTGGACGAACCCTTATGGGTGGCCGTCAGGAAAACTGGTTCTACAATCAGCTCTCCAAGTCCCATGAGCGTGGCGCTACGTGGCGACTTGTGGGGAACCAGATCGTCTTCTCGAGGATCAATAACACGGCAAATGCGAACTCGCCCTTGAATGGTGATGCTTGGGACGTACGTTTCCTTCCATGTCGGCAGTCGATTTCTATAACTAACTTATGTAGGGCTACACTGCCAATCGCAACCGGACCCTGGAGCACCTCTACAACAACCGCATCCCCAACACCGCCTTTCTCGCCGGTGACTCGCACGCCAACTGGGTTTCTGATCTTGTATGGCTGGACGAGAAGGAGTACAACCCCGCTACCGGTGATGGTGGCATTGGGGTCGAATTTGCCGGCACCGCCGTTTCGTCAAGTGGTTTCGGCGGCACCATTGCCAGCGCGAACAAGAGGAGCCAGGACTTGGTGAAGGCCAACAAAGAGTTGCAGTGGAGTGAAGGGTATTATAGGGGCTATTATGAGTTGCATGTTAAGAAAGGGGAGATGAGGGCGGAGTACTACGGTGAGTTGATACTCCTAGCCACGACCGGGTCTCTTTCTGTACAGTGCTGATGGTGTTTGTTTGATCTAGGTTGCCCAACCGTCGCGACTCGCAACCCATTCGAAATCAGCCTAGCAAACTTTACTGTCAAGGCTGGAGAGAACCATCTTACACGAAATGTAGCAAATGGCACTGTGGAAAGTGGAGCCCTCCAGACAGGGAACGTGAAGCAGACGAACGTCACATTGGACACCGAAACGAACACATGGAATATAACGAAGTTTGACCAGATGTTTATCAAGTATTAGTCGCAGTAGGGGCAAGGAGGAGGCCGAAACACCAGGTACAAGGCTGCTGCGTAGTCCGCATCGGAGATACAGAAGAGGAGTATATACAAAGCGCCGGATTAACACATACCGGGTTTGAAGGATAATCGCAATCATGGATCCAGAATCCAGAGAGTGATCACGTGCCTGTGCGTACTACGGCAATCCTTGAGTTGTTAATATGGCTTCATTACCAACAAGCGATCGTCGGTGATTGATTGGTTCAAGAACACCAGGTTCCATCCCGCGATGGCTGCCGAGTGCCTTGCATCGTGAATCAAGGTTGTGGGGCAGGAAGTATATCTGAGGTTTTATCTCAGCCGTATCTTCTGCATTTCCCAGACGATAACCTAAGAAGACAATCTTTACAACCTGCGGATTCCAGGCCATCGCGATGTTGCTAACCCCGATTATTGCGACAGCGCTGTGGGCGAAGAGGCTCGATGCCGCTGCTGTATTGCGATTTGGATGCTCGCAGATCGCGATTGAGCGTGTTGACCCGTAAGGCCATGCCCAGTGAATTATGCTCCATCACTGACAAGCCCCCAGTCTCGTCAATCCCGGAGTAGTTCCTTCTCCCCATGTTCATCAAGTACGTTATCAGAAATCCAAGAATCCTTCAAACTTGCTAACAAGTCTCAGATTGTTGGCGGCGTACGCACACAGTTCCCCTCCGTCTCATCACCACCCCTAACACCAAGCAGAACGCCTTCGCCGCCACCATTCCCAGCACCGACGTTTCGCAGCTCGCAAACTGCACTAGCTGCACCTTCAGCGAGGACCTTTCGAACTATTGGACCGCAAACATGTACTTTCGCGCGCGCAACGGGTCCTACAAGCGCGTGCCCCAGATCCCGAATCGGTACCTTGATGGTGCCAAAGGTGGCATTACTGTATATTATACCAGTCCATATGACGGAGGAAAAGTCACTGCTTTCAAGCCGGTAGGTTGCATCAATGTATTTCGTTTAGATTCCCCCTCCGCCAGTCGAATCCGACAGTGCGAAAGACGTGGAATCCAGTGGCTTAAATATTCTTTCTGGACAGGGTTTCCGTATGCTAGCCGGAGACGCGGCTCAGCGCACCAAAGGCGGTATCACCAAATGGAATGCTATCTGCTTCCGATGTTATAATGCGAAGAATTTCGGGGGCGATACGGGCGCGCCTTGCTCGGATAGCAAGGTCGATAGTGTGGAGTTGCCGAATAAGCCGTGTCCCGGTGGTATTCGTACGACGATTCGGTTTCCGACGTAAGTTCCGTTCTCAATCGTCAGGAGCTTGGAATGCTCAAGAACGGGAATAAAATTATTTGAGTGCAGATTACTGACGCTTCTGTAGCTGCTGGGACGGAAAGAGCCTCGATAGCCCCGATCATCAGAGCCACGTCTCTTATCCTGGTATGTTGGCGATCTCGACAATCAAATGTAGTTGGAAATGCTTACGCAGTGACATCAAGCGTCGGGGACTTTCGAGAGCAGCGGACCCTGTCCTTCCACACATCCAGTCCGCCTCCCTCAGCTAATGTATGAGGTTATCTGGGATACGACGGCATTTAATGATAAATCGCTATGGCCTGCTGATGGGAAGCAGCCGTTCGTATTCAGCCAGGGCGACGAGTAAGTATTCCAGTCTTTCCTCCATACATCCGGTTTCGGAGCATGGTGTTAATCTTCTCCTTCTAGTACGGGCTACGGACAACACGGCGACTATATCTTCGGCTGGAAGGGCGACGCTCTCCAAAAGGCGATGGAAGGCAGCTGCTTTGGCGCGACATGCAATACACTCAAGAGTCAGAGCTATACGGAGGCGAATAAGTGCACCGTGAAACGAGAGACTGATGAGGATGTCGATGGCTGTAAGTTTGATACTTGGTTCAGCTTTGTCCTTGAGGTTTATGTCTGACGTTTCCTAGGGCTGCAGAAAATTCCAGGAGGCATGAGCGGGTAGAACCGCGGAACCCTTGACAGGACAGCTTGGCTGAGAATATACCGCATTTGACTGGGTCGGGAGGATTGACCAAGCATCCCCCCGTCATGGGTTGGAGTGGCGGTTGTCGGTCAATATTTGCAGTTTTTAGAAATACATATGTGACGGGGCTGCTTCGGGATGAGCAGTCTTCCTACGATTGCTATAACTGCTGCCTTAGATGCAAGTCATGCGGTCCAAGAAACTTGAACCCGCAAGGCTTCCGATGCCTTAGGACCGCAGCTATTTTCGGGATGCAACCTGCCATGCATACACCACTCTGCTCTCTCTCCTGAGAACCTCCCATTCAATAAGAGGCGATGCCAGTGGTTCTAACCATGGACCGTCTCGTCTTCGTTCGTCTCCTCTTCGTTGGTCTCATTCTTTAATCTTATTCCCCACAGACTTTCATGAAGACGGTAATCTACTACTAGATGACTTCTTAGTCGCTCTGCCAGCTTACTGTCCGTCTCTTTTATCCTGCATATCACGGCCGTGTAGGGGTCAACCTACGAGAGTTACTTGTCCCTTGACTCGGGTAACTGCACTCTTTCAATAAGGATCATAACTTCCAATGAAATAGCTATACATACTGGCCCTTGTTCGAATGCAAGATTGCTTAATGAGTGTAGTCTTATGTGCTACCCTCTCTGCATGTACACTGGGGAGCTTTTTAGGTCCAGCTCAGAGCATTTGTCATACAGCCTCTGCATCTCTTATCGCAACCAAACCTTCCCTTAGGTATGACGAGTGGAATGCAGTCTTTCTCGCCCAAAGTACATCTTTGGGGATCACAGTTGCAGAGATACGTTTCGCTTGCGCTTATGTTGATCAGCCTGAGAGCCTGCAAAATCTTATAGTTCGCTTACTCCTCTTTACACGTCCAGTCTATTCTGTGCTCTTGCATGCCTCCCGCTTGTTTACGCCGTCCTGCCGTGGATCCCTTTCTTCCGCCTGTGGTAGCAGTTTCAGCCGGAGTGTGGTCCACAATGAAAACGGTCTGAGGGGTTGCAGTAGCGGGAACGGTGTTTGTTGACGCAGTAATGGGGTTATCGTTCATTGGGACATGGACGGGTATCTGTAGGCCACTGATAGAGCACACATGGTAGACGTGAAGGATAAAGTATGAGAGAAGCCACCGGTGTGGAATCATTGTGCTGATACAGGTCACTGAGCGCTTCTGGAGACATAAGTTCAGAATGTGGCATTTCTTAGAGTTATAATTCTGTGCGCTGCATTTTCAGACACCCTACTCTCAGAAGGATGTATCTTAATCTCGGTAGTGATGGAGTTGGGGCCTCTCGGATATAATGGTGATTGGTCGCTGCATTCGTACGGCTGACATCCCATCCCCGATACACGTTTAGGACGTTGGCTTATGACGTCTTGCATGAGTAGCTGCTTCGCTCAGGGTATCTCCTCTTTCAACACCGATCCATTGAATATTTTTACTCGTGTCATCGTATGCTAACAGAAGTTCAAAAGCTTAGGACGGCGGTACAGGCTATCTGTCTAAGGATCGGCCGGCTCGGAAGTGGCCTGTCGGTTTCGGTAGGCAGTAGCACATCACCGATTTAGCGGAGGGGCCGGCTTATGCGAGGATTCAGGCTCACCTAAACGTCAAACGTCAGTTTCAAGTCAGTACTGTGAGTCAGTGCGGAGGAGGAACGCCAACTCGCCTGCGAGGCCCCAGCGTCAATAGGATTCTATCCGAAGCGCTGGCGCACGAGATCCCCCTATTTATGGAGTATCTTCCGCCTCCAAGTGAACTTATAATGCTCCCTCAAGAATGCCGTGTGCGCGCGATGAATGATAGAAAAACCTCCGTTTAATCAACATGCACAGATTTCTCGGCATGAAGGAGGGGCAATTACAAGTACTTCGGGAGGCTGGAAACAAGTCATACAACGCAACACGACCACGCTACACCGGAGCATTATTTGAAGTTGGGGTGCGTGAGCCGAATCTACTCCACGAGCGAATAAGCACCCGGATCAGCCGTTTATATAGTAAGATTACTCTAGTACATAGTAAAGGTAAAGCGGGAATGTGCACGAAAAGCCCCGCGGTCTCTTACCAGGTGCGCGGAACAGTTGAGGTTGGCTCTGCCTCTCTCGACAAGGATAACCAAACTAAGCTCGTTTCGGAGCCGTAATAGAGCACTTTCACCGAATCAAAACATTCGTTCTTTGGCTTCAACTCTCAATGATCATGTACTGTAACTCCGCGTCCTGGTATGAGCTCCTCATCCAGAACTTTGAGCATCGCACACAGGCACTCGTGGAACAAAGAAATCTCGGAAGAACCGCACACAATTCTATGGAGGAGAGCCGAAGGAGAAATATATTTGGCCTTAAATTCGGATACAACAATGCTTAGCACCAATGTACGGTGTATATTCAGCGACAGAACTCATAATGAGAGAATTAGAACCACCCTCATAACTGTCTGAGCATAACATGCGGAAAATGAAGACGTTAACTCAAACAACAAGGCACTGCGGATTTACTCACCTCAAAGCCGCCACGGGTTATGCAATTTAAAGCGGAGCTGCTTATGCAATTTAAAGCGGAGCAGATTGACGACTTGAGTATGGGCTCTTCATTACACGAACCAAAGGAAAGTTTGGGGAAATTGTCTACTGCGAACGAATGAAGAAGCGCAAGGACTGCAGAAAATTGCATTCTAGACTTGTCGTTTTAGCCCTACTTTGTTTCACAGGTGCTTGCCGGAGAGAAAACAATCCGTTGCTGAGTATGTACAAGAAACAGTGAAATGACCATTCTGCGAGTGACAAAACGCTTCCAATAGTTGGCGATGGTGGGACGAAGAAAGCGCGTAACATGAGTAATGGGAGCGATCGGATTGTGGCGGGAAAGTGTATGTATAGAGGAGACGAAGATGCGTCAGACTATAGAGTGATGGATCTTACAGTGAGCGATCGATCGAAGCGGGGACAATTCAGACGACGAATCGTCGGTAGCGGGGAATGGGTCCAGTGGCAGGCTTCTCGCAATCATCAGCGCTTCGTTTCTTGTTCTGCGCCCAATAATCATCGAGGGCGCTTTCAACCTGACTCAACTCGCTATACGGTTGCTGCTGAGCCAACTCCTTGACGCGGTCCGTGATGGATTGGTCACTGAACGGACCTGTCCGACTGGTGTAGTCAGATTGAGCATATGGGCGAGCCCTCCAGCGCTGGTCCATGGGATCCGCGAAGTCCGTCACCTCCGTGTAGCCAAAATTCGCGAGGGCAGAGACGTTAAACGCCGCCATCATGTCTTGGTCTTCGTGAATGAGATTGTGGCAATGGAACATGTAAACGCCGTTCCAAGGTGCGTAGTGTGCTTCAACGAGCACGGTCTCATGGCGAGCTAGCCAGACAACGTCCTTGAGCCCTGCAGACTCATACGGCAAAACTTGGCGCCCATTGTCGGCGTTGGTGCGGGACAGCACGCGGAAATCGACCAGATGAACGTGGATGGGATGGGTCCAGCCACCGGAGCCATTTTCAAGCTCCCAAATCTCAACCTTGCCGCGTGGCACGTTGGCCAAGATACGGTTCTGCACGTCTGCGAAACCGACGTTGTTGATGCGCCACTCTGAATCGGTTCGGTGGAAGCGGAAATGATGGTCAATACCGGTGGATGCTGGTGGGAAGGGAACGGTCCGAAGATTGGGGGGTACGATAGACGGATCGCTGACGGGAGTCTTGCTCACGACGAATTTCATGACTTTGTTTGTAGCGGCAAAGTCTTCATCTGTGCCGATTCCATTGACTTCAGCGAGGTTCCTGAGCTCCAAAGTCTGGCCGGCGAATTGGGAGAAATCAAAGACGACTTCATAGCGCTCACCCATGGAGATGTAAAGGTCAGAAGCGGTGACGGAGTTCTGCAGAAGTCCAGCGTCAGATGCAATGACTTTGAAGGGTAGCTTAGTGTTAACAGCGCTAGACTTGGCAAAGTACAGAGCAAACGACCGCGAGACGGCGGCGTTGAGGAACCGGAAGCGATACTTGCGCGGTTGCACGTTAAAGTATGGCCATGGTTGCCCGTTGACGTGAATCACGTCTCCCCATAGGCTATCATCTTCACCTTCGGTGGATCTCAGGGTGCCGTCAGCATTGTAGAACTTTGACGTAAGTGCCAATGGGATATCAAACTGCCCGTAGCCCGAAGGAAGACCAAGTGCATCCTCACCGGGGTCGGTGATTATGTAGCAACCAGCTTGACCGAAGTAGGCGTTTTCAGCAGTCTGCCATAGTCAGCTACCGCTATCATCCGGATGTACCCCAGATCACTTACAACATGCATGGCATGGTCGTGATACCAGAGGAAGCGTGCGTTTTGATTATTGGGCCAGTAGTAGTCCTTGTACTGTCCCGGGTTCGTTATGTCCTCGGCCCAGCCATCAAAAGGAGCACGAGAAGGGGACCCGTGCAAATGAACGGACGTCTCGATCTGTGCATTGTTCAAGATTCTGACAACCGTCTCCGTGCCTCGAGGTACAATGAATGTTGGCCCCGGGGAGATGCCGTCGTAGCCTACCAAGCGGGCAGGCTTAAGGCCGGGGTACACTTGCTGTGTGAATGATTTGATCTCCAATTCATAGTACCAGATCTCCTTTCCGGTGACGGGATTAACAATTTTCCTTGTGTTCGTTAGCCTCTTCGAGCAGGGACGGATTTGAGCGGATAGTACTTCGTGGGTTGTTTGACCGGAGGAACGGGAAGCGGATTCGAATAGATCTGGTTATACACGGGACTCTCCCAATCCGAGCCTCCTTCCAAGTCGGATCTGGGCGGCGCTGGATTATCTTCCACAATTTGTTCGAGCGTAGCCTTCTCTTTCGCAGGGATTTCAGAAACGAACCGGTTTTGTCCAAGACACCGGCACAATAACGAAAGGCCAAGGGCCACTCGACTAATGCAAACCATGGCTTTGAGGACTTGTCAGCCTTATTGAAAAGGAAGTAGGCTTTAGTAGAAAGCACCTTATGCCTCAGGAGGGAATCCGTAGTGATGATAATCGGTGTGCAACCTCCTGTCATATATGTCCTCAAGATGCACCCTTGTCGAATAACCCACTGCCGTAGGGGAACGGTCTTTTCAACCCGTGCTGTGATAGTGGCTGCCATCACATTGCAGCAAACTATTGTTTCGACGCGGTATGAGTTGACAACCCTGTGAAATACAACCTTTTTAGATTGAAATATGCAGTCTTGCAAAGGAAAATAGGCCCACCTCGACAGGACCCGCGCCCCTTCCGGAAAAGGGCAGCCAACCGAATCCATTAAAATGGTGCCCATACTGCAGGATAGTGCTAAACCGCAGAAAGGACTAGACGGACTTCACTGACGCGAGATACGGCCGCCCTCACGAGGAGTCTAATACAGTTAGCCACATTTCTATTTTTTCAATATCGGGTTTTCGGGCCTTAGAATGGCGTTTCTTCAGTCGTCCAATAGAGATGAACGAACGTGTCAGAAACGTTTCCCTGAGCCGTGAGTGGAAGGGTTAGGAGTTCATTGACATCAATGCATGACCAAGCCACTGGCAGCCTCGTTCGTCTTGTAAAGCCGCGGCCAGCGCTTGCTTCTTGTGCGAACGAGCATGATTGGAAACCCCAGACATATGCTGAATGCATTGCTGTTTTCTTTCGGTGTGGGGTCTCCAACCCACCGAGGAGCCGTTTCTTCGTCTGAATGCCTAATAAAGCAGACGCAATTTGCGCCAACACTGCCTCCTTTGTCGTACTACAAAAGCAATTACCTCGATGTAGGCGTTAGTGATACTTGCAGCTTCTTCAAAACCAAGACAAGCCACTACCACTTGGCATGCGGCCTCACACTTACAAGCAGTAGTGTCAAAGACGCACGAGCAGGGACCCAAGTCAGTGAAGGACTTTCACTACTGAGCCAAGGAAATAGCCTCAATACGCCTAAGTCTTTTTTGCAGTCACCCCAGAAGGGCGTTGAATACTGATTACCGACTCTCTTCACCATGCGGTTGCCCTCTGCCGTCAACTGCTTGCCTACGCGGAAGTAATTTGAGGCGAACCTGAACAGTTGATCGCCACCAAATCATTGATCGATCGGTCCTACATCCGTGGTCCCGACACGGCTTCAGGTGTCCTGGGCTTGCCTTCTGGGGTAAGCATCCCACAGAGAATTTGGACTTGAATCATGTCCAATGACGGGCCATACTTCAACAGTGGCTGGCGTGCTTGGTGTATGTAAGAGAGTGAAATGGAATTTGATGTGTACTGGCAGGACCTCTACATCGGAGCTGGCCCCCGACCGAGATTCCATACCTTGGCGACCCAGTAGTACTGTCTAGGAGGACTTTGCGGTCTAAAAGATACGCCACCAGGTTCGTGGGTTCGGGGAGCGCTGTCGTGGCTTGGAGTTGCATGCGAAGAACCAAATCCGGTTATAGTTTCCGGTGTTGCTGCTTGCCGACATCTGCCACACTGGACTGTGACAATAAGTCGATATTCAACGGCTTTCTGCTCGACTATTTTGAGTCCCGGTCGTGGCCGATTAATGTGGAAGCACACAGTAGGCAGGAAATTATATGCGTCATCTTCTATAGGGTCTTGATGTCGATCGATATCAATGACAATCGACGCTAGGGTACTCCCGTGGATCGGCACATTATTCTCCCAGGGTCCTTCGCAACCTCGGGATACAGTTTAATCAGTTGTTGTTCATTGCGGCGGGTCCCTGCGATAACCCCAGGAAGAAACCTTGCCAGTAAAGTCCGTCACGTCGTTTGGAACCCCTCAAATCTCCACTTGCTCCCTGCCCTCTCGAGTCATTGTTCTGGACGTGCTTCATACCACAATAATTCACGGGTAGTGCACTGTATAAGTCTAGCACCAGCAACCCTGGGAACGGAATCCGTCGAACTCGGCACCTTGGCATCCGTAAACCAGGCCACACCGCTCGCATTGAGACCTCAGCTGAACACCCACACACGGTGCAGACTACGTCCGCGGGAAGGATACGAAGTGATTCTGCACTTCAAGACACAGTACCCTGGGTACTGTTGAGAGGAGAGCTGCAGTTGTAGCCCTAAAACGCGGAGCCGGTCCCGCACTTGCATGAGTTGGTACGCTACTTACAAGTATTGGAGCCGAATACGAAGAGAACCTTGGCTGCATCTAACTTGGAACAGTCCTAAAATTGTTTTGTGAGCCACGTGCTTACTATTAGCATACCACCTTTTCAAAAATCCCGTTCGACAAAGGTCCAGAACAACGATGGCAACCGTAACGCTTCGAGGCGATGGCAATCAGAGAATTGATAGCGGCCTAACGAACGCTAGGTGTAGCAAATACCGATCGATAGAAATGATTCCCTTCCCGATGGGGAATGGTGTGCGATCGCTGATGAGAAGGGGAAGGCGCTCATTGAGTTCTATGAGCAAGGTCTCGACTGGCGCGGTTGCCGTCGATATGGAAGCGCTGGTTGCGAAGGCTGATAAGCGGCGACGACTGTAAGCAGGAATGTTCATTCTTGGGGCTCGTAAGGTGTGTAGTCGACCGTGGCGCCCCACATCTGAGACTGTGTTGCCATCTGCCCCGTCTCAAGATGAAGGACGGTAATATTAGCTGAAATAGCAAACCCAAGGGCTTCTCATGAGTGAAAGTTCCATTCCCTGACGGGGACGGGTTGCTGAGTCTCAAATTTTCATAAGCATGTCATAACCATTCATTTGAGAGCGCGCGAGGGACATGAGTTCAAAGCCTCTGTACCGACATATGTTGTTGCCATGTCTCAGCGGGAACCAGACATGGTGATCCATAAACCGTCCAGTGTACTACAACCAGGATTGCTGATCAAACACTGGAAGCCAAATCGTACAGTCAGCAGGTTATCGAGCCGCTAAATGAGTCCCAATTCTGTTGAGTATCAGGACTCAGTGCACTAGAAGAGAACTTCGACAACCTCATTAGTTCAAATACCGAGGTGGTTGTGAAGGCGCGGGGTATCATGTTACCTTCCGGACAGACGACCATGGTGAAGGTTCCAAATCTGGTGATCAAATAATACGGTGTCCTGCTCGTCCCGTTTGTGAAAGGCCTACCTACGTTGCGGACGCTGTCAACTGTGCAGTTGGATAACGTATTCACGGATTCGCGGCAGACATTGATTGGGGTGTGACAAGCCGCTAGGTCATTAAAAGCTTAGCGTCTTGGGAGCCATATTTAGACCAGACCATAATCCCACATCATCCCCGGGCCATCTGTTTCCGACCACTTAGGGGTAACATCTCGTGAATGTTCATCCACAGTTACTGGTATGATGGGTATTCTTGGTTCCCCGCCACACGTAACGCTCTCTATGTTCAACGTGCTGATGTACTGCCACTTCAGAAATACCTGAAACATTCAACAATGGCATTTCTAAGCAACACTTCGGCTGACGTCGAGTTGCCACGAAGTATCTAAGACAACCAGCAATTCTAGACTCCAAACCTGATGGGCGTGTACCGTCAAGCCCCTCAGGTTGCCCTCATTGTCTTGGAAATGGTCCTATAGGGTACCTTCAAAATCGCATCCCTCGAAGCGGCCATCAACGAGTCATCCTCGTAGGAATGAGGTCAACTTTACCATTTACGCGCGCCTCCTTCCTTTGCCCCGTTTGACGATCCAGGACCTAAAGACGAATCATGTGGCTTGTGACGTCATGTCGTGAGTTCCCAGGATCCACCGCGGATGTATCCTCTTCCGGTCGAGAGCGTAGCGTATCCTGCTAGCATTCGCCTCACGTAATTGACCACGATCAGCCACCGTGGCTGTGGCCTGCCAGAAGTGCCCTAAGATTCCTAAGAGATTGTGGGGTTCCAAAATTGGCAATGTTGTGTTCACCAGTGTCTACTCAGCTGCGGCTCCTTCTCTGCTGACGCCAACACACTCTTTCGATAATCTAGACAATCAGGATTGACCCTAGTAGATCCTGAGATGTAGGTTTGAAGAAAGGTGGCAGCACAAAAGTATAAATCCTCTTCAGATTCCGTCTTCTTGACCTTCAGAACAACAATCAATCTCATCAACCACTGGAACATACTTCCTCCTTTTCTCATTTCCTCTTTTTTCCATTTCCTCTTTTTTCCATTTCCTCTTTTCTTCATTTCCTACATCCAACTTTTTCCTTATTTCCTTTGTCCTCTTGGTGTTTGTTCATCTCATTATTCTCATTCAACAACATCATCAACATGCAATACAGCACCGTAATTCTTGCCGCACTTGCCGCCAGTGGTTCGCTTGGGGCTCCTCTTGACTCCCGTCAGGTTGAGGCCGGGAGCCAGACGAACGGCATTCGAATCACCCTGGAGGACCAATCCGTAGAATTGGGACGTCAATTCACCATCAACGGAGACGGAAACGCAGAGGTTAGGGTAGCTGTCGGAGAGCCAGAGAAGTTTGCCGCGATCAATGTCAGTCTGGGCGACAATATCAGCAACAAAGAGCTTCGCTGCCAGGCTCGGGGTTTAGACGACCAACCTATCGTCGGAAAACGCGGCCCCGACGACAAGCCCAACATCGATGTGAACTTTTCCGATGCGGGCAAAGGCCCATGGACGTTCCTCACCGGCAAGCAGGTCGTCAAAGAAGTCGTCTGCAGCCCTGAATTCAAGAAGATCACCCCAGAGAAGCTTGCAGAGGGACAACAGGTCCTAGTCCATTTCCGAAAAGAGAAGGGCGACAATCAACCCTTCACCATCCCCGTCAACCCAGCGGCCGAAAAGTCCACGCCCTCGAACACGAACGAGCAGTACAAGACGGTTGAGATCGAGGTCGGCAAGTTCACTGATCCTCAGAGCATTCGTTGCCAGGTCTTCAGTGACCGCCGCCTTACTCGTCTCGTTAGGGGCCAGCGTGGCGAGAACATCGATACCAGCTTTGCCGATGGTGACAAGGGCGAGTGGGATTTCCTCGTCCACAGGAACGGCCAGTGGGTGTCTGGGCAGAGCAAGGTTCGCGGCGTCTTCTGCTCTCGTCAGATCCAGCAGAAGAATGCCGCTGGTAATGCTTAAGCGACGATGAAGGGGTAATGAGTTCTTGGTCACATTGTTCTGCGCATCTTCTGTCTGTCATAGATCTTGGTTCATTGCATTGGGTTGGGCTGGGCTCGCATTTTCCGGCGTTTTGCATATTTGTTACTTAGAATCAGAGTACAATGGACTGGTTTCCTGTCTACACTTCATGATTTTCAGCATATCTTTAGCTGGAAAGGAATCTCTAAGGATGTGTGTGGATGCTGTGTTCACGCTTCAGATTTGTCGATCACTTTTGGATCAGGAATTCGCATTTCGGAGTCACTGTTCGGACTCGAACAACTGACATATATAACTGTAAGTCAAAAGTATAGCTGCACTGCAAGGAGGGTTATCCGTTGGATTATGGAAGAGAAAGTAACCCACCGTATACAGAGTCCCGCCAGTCGATGAACGAGGGACGCGTGCGCCATCAGTATCAAAATCACTACGTGTTGAAAACAACAGAACACATTGTTTTATAACGCTGAATAGATAAGACCATTCATATGTTTGATAATTAAATCTAACGTACATGACAAGCGAGCGGCCCACCCCACCAAGTTTGTGCACCTGTTGAAGCGTACACCCCAACCACGTCAAGAGATAATATATATATATTAATATAGCAGATTAAGCAGTATCTAAAGTATCTTTTTTACATGTACGTGAGTTATGGCCAGTCTCTCTACATCTCTTGCAGCGTGCCAGAGCCTGGCGGCTAAGGCCTGATCGCTCTCCACCTTGACGCTGTTCATGCTCTATCTGCTGGTCAGCCTCCTTTTGAGCGAGTATATCCTCTCCCTCTCCTATTGTTAAGGTCCCCTGCTTCTGTATCCGCTTCTTTTTATGCTGCTTTCGCTTTAACACTGCCTCGTTGGCTCTCTCAAGGCTAGTAATCCGATCGTGCATTAGCTCAGCTGAGAGCATCATTACCTCAGCTCCTTTTTTAAGCTGGTTGATTGCCTCAATAATTGATGCTGGTGATGAGCTCTTATACCTTCGAACATGCTCACATATTAGAGTCGATTGAGCCTCAAGCTCACATATGTTGCTTGGTGTTCGAGCCTCCCAGAGGGCCTCTGCTAGGGCTACGGGGATAGGTATACGAAGTTGCACATCTAGCTTTGACAGAACAACCTCTGGCTGGAGAGAAACTAGGCCTGCACCTCGAAAGGCTGAGCAGATATTAGCTGAGGTAAATGTTCGATCAAAGGCTGCCTTAAAAGGCTGGCAGAAATTCGAGCTTCGTGATGTAGTTGATGTGGTGGTGGATTAGAGCCTCAATCTCGTGGCTGTACATATGCTTCAATGGTGAAAAGCAGCCAACATCAAGAGGTTGGAGTAGATGAGATGAGTGAGCTGGCATACATAGCATGTACATATTGTTCTCCTTGCAGAGTTCTTGAAACTCAAGGGAGTGGTGGCTTTCGTGGCCATCAAGGATGAGCAGGCGATGAGCACCTACAACACAAGTCTTAGTATGAGCGTTGAAGTGCTTAAGCCACTCAACTCCAAGCTCATTAGTGGTCCAGCCATTGTCACTAACAGCGATAGCCCAGTTGTGTGGGATATCTTCCTCGTACCAGGCAGATAGATGGTGCTTGCCAGCAAAGATGATGAATGACGGGATAGCCCAGCCAGCAACGTTGATTCCTTGGATAACCATCACCTACTCGTGATTGCCTGGCTGGATAGCCTTTAGCCGGCCTCTCCTCTCTGACCCTGTTACAACAAGCTGAGTCATGATCTTGCCCATCATAAAGCCAGCCTCATCGAAGTTGTAGACATCCTCGTCACAGATACCATACTTGGCCTTTGTCTGCTCTACCAGCTCAAACCAGCTTCTGATAAGGATAGGGTCCTCACAAAGAGCTCTCTTCCTGTTGTATGCTCGGTTCCAATGTGTCTTGAAAGAATCTGTACACCTAACAAAGTTGGCTGGCCACTTCTGCCCGACCTGGCCTGCACCGCGTGCAGCTAGCAGTTTATTCGCCATATCACGTATGGCTGCGTATGTAGGTGCAAATCCACGTTGATCCAGATCGAGTATATAGCTGATAATCACCTCCTCTTCTAACTGGGTGAGCTTCTTTGAGTTGGGCAGGCAATCGTGTCGGGCAGGCTTTCCAGCGCGTCGGCGTCGGAGCGTCGTTCGGGGGACTTCAAATGTCTGCGCAGCATCTCTTACAGACTGAATTTGGTTTCTATTGATAGCTGAGATTGCAAGGTGTATATTAGCCTCAGAAGAGGCTGTTTAGGCTTGAATTGGGGAAGCCATGGTGGGTAGGAGTTCACGCGTCTCAGAAACTTGGTGGGGTGGGCCGCTCGCTTGCCATGTACGTTAGTTCAGAATGAACATAACTCACGATCTTTGGCGGACGCCAGGACCTCCCTGGGGAGCGAGCGGACTACGCTAGGGTATGAAAGTTTGGCTTCAGCAACACTCAACTGGGAAACACGGATGCAGCAAAAAGAAAACAGCGAAAGGAGAGGTCCTACCCGGAATCGAACCGGGGTTCCCGGAAATCGCTTCTGAAGGAGATCAGAATCCGATGTGATGACCGCTACACTATAGAACCGAGTCGGAATTTGCGGCGAGAGTCTTCGCCTATAGTACTATATTTTGAATACGAGTAAGTTCGCTATGGGCATTCTAGATGTATCCTCACAGTTGGGGGATGTGTGATTGCAAACAGGCTTGAGATAATTTTTCCACTGCCCCACTCTTCTTGTCCCACTCGGGCCGGACCCACTCTTAAGGGTGAGGTACTGTGAAAGAGGGGCTTGTCTCTTTCTCTGCTCCTCGCCTTTAAACCCTGGGAATGGAAACGAACAATTGCAATCCATTCCTTCCATAACCGCAGCATTCTCAATCCACTAGCTGCACGGCAAGGAAGAGGACTATAAATGGACTTTTCCCTAGAATAAAGTCACTCGAAGTCTTTACATCTATACCAGGGGTGGCACTCTTTCATCCGCTGTGATAGTCGAGACAACTCATCAATAAAGCCTAGAGCTGGAAATTTGCCGCGGATCGCTTATAACCTCCAACCCGGAGTCAACGTAGAGTGGTGAATAACCCGAATGATAGACCCTTGCAATATTCTTTATAAGAGGAGAATTAATCCACTTTCCAAGGGCTTGAATCATCTTCGTATAGACAGCTGGCATTCCAAAGCGCCCCATTACCTGCTCCAAAAGAAAGCTGACGACAGGCACAACGGGTACCTGACTGCGGGGTAGACTCGCTCAAGCCCCGAAGGCACAGTAGTGCCCCGTAGTGTTACCGAGATAGAACACCGATTTGCAAGCCAGGTACAAACTTGACACCCAGAAGCTTCGACGCTATAAAAGGGACCTCGGCAAGTTGAGTGGGGGTATCCTAATATTGAATGAGACGTAGTCCTTATATCTCTTTAATACAAGTAGCCATGAAGTTCTTGGTGCTGAATAGCCAAACTGCGCAAAGCGAACAGCACAGCCTCTCAATTCCACTAAACATCGAACTTCCAATAAAGCAGGCTTGACATACCGCTCGACAAAATGGACTTCTCCCAATATGGTGGCCCGTCAGAGGAATGGCTCGCCGTGGAAAAGACCCTCCCCCAACTCTCCTTCGACACCTCCCTCCCTCCCACCGTGCTAAAAAAGGATGTCAACGCCCTGCGCGTATCGCTCGCATCCGAAGCCATGAAGACACTCAGACCCAAAGTGCAAACGGCGGATCACACCATTCCCACCCGTGACGGCTCCACGATCGGCGCACGCAGTTACAGGCCCGCATCGAAGGACCCCTCCGAGAAACTTCCTGTGTATCTGTACTTCCATGGCGGTGGATTCCTGTTCGGCAACCTGGACACGGAAGACCCGGTCTGTGCGGCTATCGCTATTCAGACTGGCGTTGCAGTCTTGAGCGTGAATTATCGGCACACGCCGGAGCACAAGTTCCCCACCGCATGGTGGGACACGCACGATGCGTTTGCCTGGCTCCATCAAAACATCGACGCAATCGGCGGCGACCCCTCCAAGATCGTCGTAGGCGGGATTTCAGCGGGCGGACAACTCACCGCTTCTCTTGTGCTGGAGAAGCATCTCGGAAAGGCCCTGACCGAGTATCCTCCCATTGCTGGGCAAATTCTTCTGATCCCTGCTCTGGCGCATCTTGCCACGTATGAGGATGGACCGATCAAATTGATGAAGAGCCCAGAGGTGTCGAGTTACAAGCAGAATGAGAATGCGCCACTGTTGCCCGTGTCCGCGATCAAGTACTTCTACAATCTCCTCGAGACGGACAGCAAACCGGACCTGAAGGACACCAAGTTGAACATCGTGAATGCGACACCAGAAGAAGTGAAGGGGCTGCCGCCGACGGTTTTCTGTATTTGTGGTTTGGATCCCTTGAGAGATGAGGGCTTGCTGTATGCGAAACTATTGAGTGAGGCGAACGTACCTACGGATACGTATTTGCTGAAAGGCATACCGCATGGGGCGAGGAGGTTCGGGAGCCAATTGAAGGCGAATGCGAAGTGGGATGAGGTGCATCAGCAGGGTATTTTGTGGACATTGTCCAAACCGGCGGCGACGGGGAACCTTGAGGTTAAGGTCTTTGAGTCTTGAGCGTAGATATTGTGGTATATCCATATTGCCTGTGAAGCGTCAGAAGGCCTCTGTGCCGAGCCGAGTTAGTTAGATGCTCTGCCTATAATCGTAGGGTCGCTGAGTAATAGATAGCTATTCAGATGTTCTGTCTGCAGTACACTGGCAGGGTTCGTGCCGTGGGAATTACAATTAGCATGCTTCCATGGGAAATAGTCAAGTATAAATGGGCAGGTTTGAGGAAAGTTGGCCCCCTGCTTCAAAAAATGATATTGTTCCATTCAGTAAAGGGTACTTGCAGAGTACTGACGGTACCTCGACTGTCCACCTTAGACAACCTTCCGCGCCTTTCCGGTCTCGACTTCGTAAACCCAGCCAGTAATCTTCACACCCTCTTCGACCTTATGGCTCTTCAGCCACTCGACATCGTCCTTAACGGCCTGTTCAAGGTCCGGGAAAGTGAGGAAATCCAAATCCGCAACCTCTTTAAATGCTTCCTCTCCCTTATTCTTCTTCGTAAGATCCCTTGCTGCCGCGTTGTCGAACGTCAGCATGCCGCAACCGGTGTGCTTGACAACAAGAAGCTCGGTAGTACCCAGCAATTGCTGGGAGATGACGATTGAACGAAAAGCATCTTTGGCAGAGGCGCCAGCGTTGCGAATCACGTGGGCAGCTCCGAGAGGGATGTTGAAAGCGCCCTTGGGGTCGATTCGAGCATCCATACAGGTCACTTGGTCGTCAGCAGTGAAGAGGGTTGATTGTGGCTTGCATACAAACTGCATATTTCTGCGAGGGCGGCAGTGCCAAGTGGCCTTCAGTGAATTGGGCGGCATAAGCCTTGTTCCCTTCGACGAGATTCTGTTCGCCCTGAGCCATGATGATGGAACCGTGTGTTTTGTTAATCGACCTCAGTTTCAGTCAAGGAGCGGATGCATAGTTATATAGCAATGGGAAGCTGGCCATATCAAAGCCTTATGCAAGCCCCATCCAAGCCATGGCTGTCAGTGAGAGGATCTATGCGGCCGCATGCGCCCCAAGGTGGTGATGGGACAGCGGGGTCGAATTGCGCAATCTGTGGATGGTCGGCGAGGTGGGCTGAAAGGATCCATCCCTCATCTTTCCGATTCTCTGAACGATATCCAGAGCACCTTAGCAGGCGCATTGAAGTGCGATATGTGTGCTCAGCAGACTCGAGGATGACTTGATGTGAGGAATGACTTTCATCTACTGGTTGCCCAGGTGCTGAGTAAGGTTAGCGCGTTCCCAGAAAAGGATTAGTTTGCCAAGAGGTGAGACTTCACTTCAACCCTTCCAACACGCACCGTCAATGTTTCCTCGTCCACATGTTGCGTATATGCTCAAGTGTGAAGGAGAATTCATGGTTGAATCTTGCAACATGCTGGACAGCTGACAGTTAAACGGATAGTGTGCGCTTCCGTCCCTTGGGCGCCCCAGCCCAGCATTTGCCTGCTGGGATATCATTCAATATATTTCACAGAGGATGGAGGCATAGTCCAATCCAGTTCGGAGATCATATCCTTTTCTAGAATGGATTGGCGAGGTTAGGATGAAGATCACGAATGTTCATAAGTTCTGTCCAGCTCATCGCTTTGTCGCGTCATAAGCGACGATACTTCTGAGCGGTGGAGCGAAGCATCTGTAAGATTTTCGCCTCTATGCATAACGGCGCCGCCTCCTCTATTGGTGCTTTTGCTAATTTTGACAGCTCCATATGATACTGAGGCAAACGGTAGTCGGGGAATGAACCCCCGACGGACCGACACTACCCCTAACGACCGGAGAGAGAGTGTTATAATTGGAGTCTGCTTTCCGCAAATGCAATCCTTAGCGGTCTCCTTGGCCTTCCCCCCACGGACTTAATGACCTCACCCATTCAACACTTGCTGGTTCCATAATATACTATCGAGAGGTCGCTCCACACTCCAAGTCGGCCGTCTGAGGGACGTAGAAGAGTTAGACAATGATTAAGATCTACTACCCTTCGAGAACCAACGCCAGGGCTGCACAACTCAGCCAACCGAGTCCGACTTCCCCCAACGCAGCACCCCGTTTGTTAGCAGAACCCGCACCCAAATCCCCAGATCAGAGTCAACAGGCCGACCGTTTTGGTCCGCTGGCTGGCCGTTGTCTCGCACAGCAGTTGTCGAGCGATTAGAGCCCAGTTAGGGTGGGGGCCTGGGTGTTCCGTCCAGGTCTCTGACCGTCCGCCAAGGTCATTGTTACATCAGCTTCAGTTGCTGAAGTCTCGCACAAACGGTCGTTGATACTGGCCAGCGCCGGCTGCCTACCCTTCCCGGCAACACATGAGCTCTGTCGTTCATTACTCTTCCCGATATATTCCCGAAGCATCAGTTTCCTTTGTGGCCTCGACACAACTGGTTAATCTTGCGCAGACCCTGGCGCGCCTGCAATGAGGCGTGATGCCGTTGCGTTTGTCGCCCTCACGCATCCGTCATTCTCATTGGTCGCTCATATGGAATCTTTATGTACGTACAAAACTGACGTGTGTCAGGTGATGAAACGCCACCAAAACCAGGTCTCGAGGCTACAAGGTCGGGGTTTGTCCATTTACAGTGGACGGCCTTCCGAATTTTGTCCTGCGAGATCCTGAGGGCCTAAGAGTGCCCACCGCCCCACATTTCGTTGGATCCGTGATCCATGTAGAAGTTCGAACAAGCTTTAGGAGTAGTCTCGGCTGACTGAGCTGGTGAAACCGAAGTTAAAGAATGCAATCAACTACGAGTTCCTACATTGCTGTTGGCCAACCAGGTGCGAAGAAGTCTTCGAAAACAGTAATACTTCCTTGTACTCCATGCTCAGCGTGGGCCGCTCCAGGCTCATTCCATTATGCAATACTCTGCACGTTCTCGGATAAGTGACTTCTTCTTCTTCTCTGTTGGGAGCATACTATTGGCCCAATTGTTCTATGAATATCTTGATGCTCAGTCCATCCATCTTTGTCATAACATCAGTCACACAACTCCACCGCATGTTCAAACGAAACAGTTCTCGGGGCGTGCTACTGAATCCACGGTACGCCGCCATCGGAAAGAGCACACCGCTCAGGCTGACTTGACGCCTTAGCCGATGGTTCAGAGTATATGATCCTCCGCTTTCCAGATCTGCTGCCCAGAAAATCTCCTTAACCAACTTTTCTCAATCTGCCGCCATTAGGCTTCCTCGATCAGGCTCTGTCGAGCAAACTTCATCCCAGTCTTGCTTCACCTTCAGCTTTCAAGATCCCCTCTCACCTCCTCTCAAGCGATCTTAGCACCACCTCATCGGCAGCCGGCCGCTGGGGAAGCCCCTCGATCTGCACTTACGGTCACCGACCTCCAAGATCTCTCTTCTGCTGTCCGTTGGGCTGCTGGTATCTGCGAGTCATCGCGTGCACTTCCAGAAAACTATCACTTTGCTGGGGCATTTCTGCACGATATCGCACGGTCAAGTCATCTTTCTTATCCTTCTACGACGGCGGTTCTGGTTTTTGACCTACTTCGGGCTTTAGATATCCAACAACCTTCAACAGCCCATCTTGCAGTCAATCAGTTGCACTCTCACCTGCTCCTGCTCGAACGGTAAGTGCGAATCGCCCTCATCTCATCCGGCATGTGGTACCATAACTCGATACTCCCTTGCAAAGCGCATTCCTTCCTTCCCCAACTTCGGTCGTACAATTCCTTCCACAAGCAATGCTGTGGTGATCTAAGAACTAACGAAGCAGTGCTTTGTGCATCTTTCTCATTCTTCGACCACCATGGAGGAACAGCTGGATCCTCCCACAATACAAGAATCCACAAAGCCACCGACCGAGTCCGAATCATGCGTCACGTCGAATGCCACCACACTGCAGGCTGGTCATGAGGGATATAAGGACACGATCGAGGAGTTTACCGAAGTTGCGCCTGCAATCGTCCTTGCTACCACGTGCACTGCTACGGCAGACGAATCAGCAGTCAATACGTTGAAAGCAGATGTTGCCGCAGCTCAGCTTGCTATTGAACAGCAAGCCAGAGTACAGTCAGGTATAGTGAATCTGAACAGTCCTGCTGCTAGTGACCTCGGAGGCACCGGCGTTGTAAGCACAGCCACGACGAGTGGTCTGGAATCACCAGATGTCGAAGCGCCTGCGGGGACACTGGATTACTCTGTGAACAAGACCTCAATCCCAGTATCCCTTCAGCCCAAGACAGATTATGAAAACCGAACAGATAATCCGTCGCAGGGAGTACGCGCTTCAGGAAGCGACGACGGAGTTCCAAATGGTTCAGCAGCCGTGGACTGTTCCAGTCCTGTTCGTAAAGACTATGCATCCACCGCTCAGGCAGATGTGCAACCGCAGATCAAGGACGCTGCAGCGAATCAAGAACCTGCTGGGCAGGAACATTCGTCGAAAAGCAATGAGTCTGTGGCAAAGCGTGAGAGTGCTGCGCACGAGCAGGGGAACGGAATCCCCGAGAACATGCCAAAGGAGGGGGTAAACGATTCCTTGCTGCGATCTCGTTGGGCCGATGTGAGTGATCTTCTTTCATACTGCTGCTCACTTACACTGACTGCCACAGTATGCACCGGCTGATATGCCTATGCCATCGGCGCCATCCATGAATACCTCCCCAGTCACATCACGAGACCCAGCCCGACCCTTCCGGAATGGAAGAACAGCCTACAACCCCAGCTACGGCAACATCAACAATAACGGTTATGCAAATGGCGGACGGCCATTCTTCGACCGCGGGGATGCAGCACGTTTACATGCCCAGAATTCCAAACTTCGGCAAGATTTGGAGAAAGCGCAGGAGCAAATTCGCACCATGCACGCGAAACTCCGTGAAGAGATCTTCAAGCAAGTACATGTAGCTAGCCAGGACATCATTGCAGAAGTCTTCAGCAAACAAATGGACTTGGCCAAATTCCGTGCGTCACTTCAACAAAGGGAGATTGAGTTGCAGCGCCGATCCGAGCAGATTCAACAAATGGAGCGGTTCCTCTGCGTTGGACAAAGCTTGATCACATCCAAGTACCCGGAAACACTGCTCATTGATCCTACCTTCACCAACCAGGAGCGTCGCTCTATGGATCCCACTCATATCAGCCGCGAGTTAATGCGAGAGGAAATCGCCAATGAAATGAACGCCAATTACAGACTAGCCAATGCTAGATTGGATGCAAGAGCTGAAGCCCTTCAGCTTCATGAGCAGAAGATCGAACTTCTGGAACAGAACTGGAAGACTCACGCTGAGGAGTCCCTTCGTGAGGAGTTGCGGGGATACTTGGAGGATGAGATCTCCACAAGCATCGCTGAGGCGGAATACAAGCGTGGATTTGAAGATGGTAAAGAGGAGGGACTGGCAGAAGGTTCGAAGGCTGCCCACCACGACAGTTATCTAATGGGCTACAGTATGGCTCGGAAGTCATTCGATGCCGTAACAGCTCTGAGGAATGGATTGCTGCCGTTTGACAGTCCTGAGGTCTCTTTCCTGTTTGACCCTACTCATCCAGAGAATCCCTTCAACCGTGGCATGGAAATTGGTAGCCTTGGCTTCAGCGGTAGAAGGTATAGTACTTCACCATGTTAGTGCTGGTGCACTGCTAACACATTCAAAGCTCCCGCAGTGCATCCTCCGATTTGGGATCCTCCCAAAGCCTTCTGGACGGTCAGAAGGAGCACAGCCAACATCTTTTCCGCAGTGGCCCTCATGTGCATGACATCATGGTCAAGTCCTCAGGTCACGGTTTCTACTCGAGTACCAAAGTCGAAGGCCCTGGAGTCGCCGTCGCAAACCCGAGTCCCGCTCATCAGAACATGGTTAAACCAGTGCATAGGTCCAGGCCTGCCTTTCCAGAACCTGCCCCTGAGCCAACTTTATACCAGCAACTCAATGGTTTCCGTCCCAAATATAACGGCCAAGAAATACTTGCGAATGGTAACTCTGGTATGGCTGGCGACGTTTCGAACGTCAGCCCGGCGCAGCAGGTTGCAGACCAATTGCAAGTCAAGCCGCACCTGAACAAACTCACACCACCCGACAGCCATCGTTGTAGTAACCTTGACACTCCGGGCATCTCGAAGAAAGATCTGTAAGCAAATTAAAGTTATGTAACGGGGTTTGCTCACTGACAAATTTCCAGCGGAGAACCGGTTCCGGTGACCAATTTAATCGATCTCTAACGTCGGAAAAGACCCTCGACATCTCATTGTCGAGGACTTCGAGACATCATCTCGATAACGGACTACCAAAATTGCAGACCTTCTTTGTTTCTCTAGCCATGTCTCTTGGCCTAATTTTTCTTTTTCTTTTTTTTTTTTTTTTTTTTTTTTCAACACTTCTTCTTCTTATGACGGCTTCACACCATTTCTTCTAATGACAGCTTCACATCATTTCTTCTCATGACAGCTTCACACCATTTCTTCTTGTAACGGCTTCACACCTGGCTTGCAGAAGTGTCAGAAATATTGGCTCTTATTTCCTGGCGGATTTACTGCAATGGCGTGGTTCTAAAGGGAGGTGTATAATAGAGGATCCGCCGAGACCTCATCTTCAACACTCTGGCCCTTGAATCTATAGAACAATATAATGGTGGCTATGCTTCCAGCGTCTTTACTTGGTAATGAGTGACAGATATTTAGAAAGCCTCGCGCCGAAAGGTACGGACGGGAAACAACATCATTGGGATGAACTTTGAACAATTACCAAAAGCTTATGTGCTTTTTACTGTGGACTCATCGAAGGTTCTGATTTCAAGAGAACGCCGTTGGACCTCGAGACTCTAGTCGCGCCTGAGTATACGTACTTCGTAGTTTGCCTTCAAGACATTGTCGATTCAGTAGCGTCGATGTAGCACTTGTTACTAATGCTGCCACCCACATCTACAGATGAAAGTGACGGTTGTTAAAATCTACGTATTGGTGATGTAGGTCTAGAATGCCTTCTCTTCAACGACTATGTCGATTAGTCGATAAGGCTTCCAGATCGGGGAACAACCTCGGTTCTCAAGGTTAGCGCCTTGGCATCCCGCTCTCCAGCTCCTCCCTCGACCTCCGCGCCGCCAGCTGTCGTGCGACCCTTGTCCCAATTATACATAACCACGTCCCGAAGTTCGGTAAAGAGTATAACTCCTCGATTGTTTCGTTTTCTGTGGCACCGAATACCGAACGGGTTCGTTGAGCCATCATTCCCGCTCGACCATGATATCAGCGACTCGCAGGTGGTTCCGGAGGAACCGCACCAACCTCGCCGTCGGGGCGGGCGTGTTGGGTGCCGGCTATCTAGCAGGGCAATATCTGTTGGGCAAGTTGACGGAGGCACGACAGCGTATGAGTGAGGAGAGGATAGCAAAGGAGAAGTGAGTATTGCTGTCTCTATAAGCTGCTTCCCCACTATCGCATGAGCTTCTCTGACGTTCCCACTCAGTCTCCGACGCCGCTTCGAACAGAACCAGGAAGATTGCACATTCACAGTACTAGCAATCTTGCCCGCAGCGACCGAAAACATCCTCAACGCCATTCCTGTGGAACAGATATTAGAGGAATTGCAGAAGCACAAGGCGGAGAGACTCTCACGGAGTGTGGGACCGAGCGAGATTGCGAGTAGCGCGGCACCGAGTGTCGCAGACGATGACAGCAAAAGCTTGAAGAGTTTCCAGAGCGAGAGTTATGTCCATGCCAGCCAAGTTGGAGTAGCGGATACTGGGAGCGCGAGCGCAAGTACGGAAGGTGCCGAAGTTCCCACGGAGAAGAAGGTGAAGAAGTCCAAGGCTCAATTGTGGAACGAAATGAAGATAAGTTGTATGTTGACATTGAAGAAGCACTGATGCATGTACTGACACCTCATAGCAATTTCACGGGCGTTCACTCTACTTTACACACTATCGCTCTTGACGATACTCACTCGGATACAACTCAATCTGCTCGGCCGACGGAACTATCTTGCTAGCGTTGTCGCGTTAGCTACACCCGCTGCTCAAGAATCGAAGATCCACCTGGAGAACCATGATGATGACAACCTTGAACATGCTTACGGCACCGATTTCGAGACAAATCGGCGTTATCTTTCCTTCAGCTGGTGGTTGCTTCATCGGGGTTGCATAGACTTGATGCATAAAGTGCAGGAAGCTGTTAAAGAAGTGTTCGGCGCTGTCAATCCGCGAGACGAGATGACACTGGAGCAACTGTCAAACCTTACGCTTGAAGTCCGCAAGAAGGTCGAGGGTGCCACCGAGGAAGAACGAAGGTATGTCAAAACCCTATGTTCTCTTTGATGAGTTGCTGACATTTCGTCATAGAACGAAGAAATGGCTTCCTTACCTCCTCCCCAGCCCGTCTCAGGAAGCCTACGTCCTCCGCGAATCTGGAATGACAGACGCCTCCAGCCCGCCCACGCCGTCCCTCCGCCGTCTCGTCGACGAGACCTCCGACCTCATCGACTCCCCATCCTTCACTCACGTCCTCACCTCTCTTCTCGATGCCGCCTTCTCCCAGCTCATCGAGATCAAAATTGCACAACTTGCCTACAAGATAGCTCCCCCTCCCTCATCTACCCCCGGCTCTGACGTCCGCGTCCAGGACGTAACCGACATCCCCGACCCGTCTCAAGCCAAGACCAAGGTCGCGAACGCCCTTGCCATCTTTTGCAGACAGGCTCATTCGATCGGCTCTGGCATCAATAACGAGTACCTCGCTGCCATTGAAAGTGTCTCACAGTTGGAAGCTTTCGCTGCCGTCGTCTACAGCTCGAACTTCGAGTTTGAGACTCCCGGTGCTGCGATGCCTTTGCCGAGCCGGCCTGCTACTTCCGCGGGCCCGGATGCGTCGCAGAGTGAGAGGGCCGATGCGCTTCCTGAGGGTGGAGACACGGATGTTGGTTTCGAAAGCGCGTGGGACAAGGCGGAAGAGAAGGCGAGGGCCGCTGCGGAAGTTTGACGTTCCTACCTGAAGTATGCTGCGCCGCTGCGCTTGTACACGTTGTCATTGTGAAGTGTGGAGAGTTGAATGTCGTCGTCGCTTTCCCCTGTATGATAGTATCTTATGATGTTTGTAATGATATATGGGTAAAGGGGATCTGGGATTGGAAGCGCATATCGGATATGCAGGTATGCTCATTAAGGAAGAAGGGTCTTTATAGATACCCCGGAGACGGATATGAAATTTCGTTTCATCTCTGTCCATTCATTTCGACTTATGGTGCGGACTTTGATACTTAGATTTCCGTGTCGTGAGTTTTAGATCACTGGGGGTAGGAATGATACATCATACATGCCGCCACAGATGCAGGGCTCGGATCCAAAGGAACGCTGTATGTTGCAATGTGGATATGTATGCTAGATGCATGAGTGGGTCCGGTAATGACCGCTCGAGTTCGGTTGTGGAAGTGATTGATGGGAGGCAACTGGAGAGACGATCTATGCGGTCTCATCTGGAACAGCACTTTCTCCTCCAGGACGCCGGTATACGAAGTATCGGAGTCCCTTTTGGGACAGCGAAGCAAAGTACCGAAGTACGTGCAGGAGTTTCTGGCGGGTGGGAATTGTCAAGGCTTCAGCCTATAGCTATCTACCAGGTCATCTGTGAACAGCGTTGGGGAAGGGATCAGAGGACTCGAGGACTACTCGAGGAGTACACGAACAAGGTCCTGCCATCGGTATCGGTGTGATTGATTGGGCATGACGTGAGTCAGCTTCGGCTGCGATGGCCGCAATTGAATCATGTTGGGCACGAGGGAGGCTGTGAAAACTTGAAAACCCTTGAGTAACAGCGTGGCGAACGGATGCATTCCATGTAATATCCGTGGCTTGAATGGTGTTGGTTGACTCTTCAAGTTTACGTCCAGATGAACGTAGAAACTAATATCCCCGCCAAGTCTACGGTTCCCAAATGGTGTCGGTAACCTCAATTGGAGGCCACCTTGAATATCTTGCCTTGCCTCGCTGGCAACCTCAGGAAAAGCACTTATGCTCCTGGTCGGATCAAAGATGATTGACACAGCTAGGTGGGTACTAACCGCAAAGATCTGTCTATAACCATCAGGCTGTCAAGGGAAGTTTTCGAAGGGAAGCCCAATCTTTTTGGTCACGAACTCCAATACCTTCAAAACCTTCTCATCCTCAAAACGCCTTCCAACGAGCTGTAAACTGACGGGCAGGCCATGGAACTCTTGCGGATCGTAAAGCTTCCGGTTATCAGAGTCGTGACCGCTCATTGGCTTGAAGTCATCCTCGAGCTTGTCCACGGCCTCATCGACTTTACAAACAGGGAAAGCAACTCCTGGATAGTCGAGCAAGTTCCACTGGCTCGTGTAACACCAATACTTTGCTGTATTATGACGAGGCGCTACCCCAGGTCCAACAGGGCAAAGCAAGGCATCGACTCCATACTCATTCCAGTGAAGCGCATATTCCTTACGATAAGCTTCACGTTCCTCGAGCCAATAGGTCAGCTCACCGACTGACATCTTTTTGACACAAGGATTTTCTTTGACGATCCATTTGGAAAGCGGTCTCCATGGTTCGCCAGAGCTTTGGATAGCATCGGAGTCATACTCCCCTCCGTCAGGGTAGTAGAGAGAGGATATAATAGCCCATGCCTCATCATGCAAATATGGCGGGAAATCGACAACCTCTATACCAGCTGTTTTCAGCCTTTCAGTGACCAAACGTAGTGCCCGAGAAACGGGTGGATGGGGCCGCACGACGTTATCATGCCACAGGACGCCGATTTTGAGGTTCTTCGGAATTTCTACTTCCCTCCACGGCATCGGTATGAGGGCGGGTTCCGTAAGCCAGGGCTGCGAATCGATGATTACTTTCATGAAAAGCTGAAGCCCAGCCAATGAGGTGGACAGGGGTCCAAGGACGCTCTCAACATTGTCCGCCCCAGCCATCATGTAGCCCCAGCCGTCTGTTGGTATGCGGAACGCTGTCGGCTTGAATCCATATATGCCGCAATTCGCAGCAGGATTGCGTATACTGCCTCCCACATCGGAGCCTATACCCAGCGGGGAGCCTCTAAGAGCAATGAGTGCACCTTCCCCACCAGATGAGCCGCCAGATGTCAGTTGCGAGTTGTAGGGATTCACAGTGACACCATATAGGTTAGAGTCCGTTTCGAGGTGCATCATCAGCTGGGGCACAGTTGTCCTACAATGGAACACAGCTCCCGCATCGGACAACACCTGCAATATGTGTGCGTCTTCCTTCGAGATATGGTCCCAGTGTGAGACAAAGCCGGTGGTACATCTGAGCCCTTTCAATCCCAAGTGCTCTTTCAGGCTGATCGGGAGGCCATGAAGTGGTCCTATGGGCTTCTGATGCTTCTGAAAATAGTCGTCAAGGTATTTGGCTCTGGACAGTGCCAGAGAGGGGAGGAGTTCCGTGAGACAATTGACGAGGCCTTGAGCCACTGCTGCCCGACGTAGATAGGCGTCAGTAACAGCAACCGCAGTCAGTTTTCCAGTGGCCAGCGAGACCAGAAGCTCCTCCGGCGGCAGCTCTGTGATGGTGAGCACAGAGACGTCCAACAGCTCCTGCGGTAGCGGGAGGACATTTTTGGGAAGCTTCGCCGGCACTCTTGGGGCGCTTGGAGACAACTCAGCAATGGTTGAGTCCCGATAGTCCTGCGCCTCTTTCGCAATCACTTGCCACGGCTTCTTTTTCGTATGGGAGCGCGACATTGGAATAGACACAGCGCAGTGCTCAAGTATTAATCTCAGGAGTACGATATCAGATCAAATTACACGTTACCCTAGGGTAGGCGGACCGATCCACGCGCGGTGGAGAGAAATCTGAGGGATATTGTTTACTATGAAGGAGAGTTCACGGCTATACAGCCATGAAATCCACTTTGTAGAAGGTAATGTTGAACAATGGTCTGATGCTGTGAAATTGAAAGGTGGAGAAACTGGCATGGTGCTTAGTCAACTTCGGCGCGGACAAATTCAGCCTCCGTCGCTGGGAAATGTTGTCTCGGAACATTAGCTCACTTCTTTGTCACTTTTTCGTTTTCTTGGAGGCGTAGTCTTGTTTTCAGGCAATCTTCCCTGTTGGTCGTACGCGGAGTGTAAAGTAAAACGAATGAATTTACTTGTTGGCGCTTTCTCACGACGAGTTGTTCCTACTTCCAACCGAGCTTTCAACTGCCCTGCTTTACTCCACACGCTTCAGGCTACTACCCGCGACTCTCCTTCAGGTATGTCGTCGCGGGGCTCGCAAAGCGGTCAACGAGGTCGAGGTAGTGGTCGAGGTGGTGGCCGAGGTGGTGGTCGCGGTCATGGCCGAGGCCGTCATCCTTACAGGCCGCGAAAGACGGAGAAAGAGAACGAACAATCATCCCAGACTAGCCGAGCGCAACAGATTCGTTCCCCCACGGGGGATGTTCTTCAGACGGGGGATCCTTTTCCTACGTTGCCCCCTCCTCCAAAGGTTGAACCTCCAACGATATTGAGGGATGAATGCATGTACATGGAGATGAAGGAGATTGTGCCTATTCCAGTGGATCCAAATTCAAGGCCATTCTCCTCTCTGCAGATTACTTTGGGCAACGCCTTGTTGCAGGGCCTGGACAATATGGGATTCAAGTAAGCGGCTTCTGGCACGTAGTGGGGTTGATGGTATCGGGAATGATGGCACTGTCTTTGTGGCTCGCTCAACATCTTGATGCCTCACATCCCAGATTGACACTGACGACTACAGATACATGTCCCCCGTCCAAGAGAAAGTCCTCACGGAGTTACCGTCGTATTCCTCCGACTGTCTCGTACAGGCGAAGACAGGCACAGGAAAAACAGCCGCTTTCCTCCTTCCGGCGATCGTGAACCTACTTCGCGGAAATCGACCACCTCGAGGTAAAGTAGCCGTCTTGGCCATCTGTCCCACTCGGGAGCTCGCACTACAAATTGCCAAAGAATGTGAGGGTATCACAGAGTTCCTGCCCGATCATCAGAAGATGGAATGTCACACTGCATATGGAGGAACCGGGAGGGCGTCAAGTTTGAACAAGTTTCTGAAGGGTAATCCCACGATCGTAGTCGCTACACCAGGGAGACTGGCCGACATATTAGGCGAAGAGGAGGTTCGTGAGAAGTTCGACAGCCTGAAAACCCTCGTTCTCGATGAAGCGGACCAAATGCTGGACCAGGGCTTCGCACCAGATATAAAGAAGATTCTCAAATATCTTCCGCCCAAGAGCGAGGGATGGCAAGGCATGTGCTTTTCGGCCACACTCCCGCCAAACGTCAAAGACGTGGTCAACTGCGTGCTCTTCCCGGGGTACATTTCCCTTTCTACCATCGACAAGAACGAAGCTCCGACCGTTGACCGCGTCCCGCAATTCGCCATAGAGGTGCCCACCATCAACGAAACCTTTGCTGTACTCCTCGCTCTCATTGAGACGGAGTATAAGGCCTCCCCTCAAGACTTCAAAGCCATTGTCTTCGGAACCACAGCCAACGGCGTCGGACTTTTGTATGACCTCTATAAAGCCGCGCTACCCCAATTCCGCGTCTTTGAGCTGCACAGCCGCATGTCACAGCCGAATCGGACACGCACGACGGACGAGTTCAAAGCTGCATCCAGTGGCATCCTGTTCGCCTCGGACGTCGTCGGCCGTGGAATGGATTTTCCCAATGTTGGCCTCGTCATCCAACTCGGGCTTCCCGCATCGGCTGAACAATACATTCATCGCGTCGGCCGGACGGCTCGAGCCGGGCGTGATGGCCGCGCCGTCATGGTTCTGTTTCAATACGAGTCTTTCTTCATCAAGGTCAACAAATCGCTTCCTATCGGTGCCTATCCCACAGACTTGACCACCGACTTACAGCCTTATCAGGAGCGTATCGATCGCGCCCTGACTCTCGTGGATGAGGAAACCAAGGCAAGGGCATATCAAGCTTTTCTCGGGTACTACAAGACGTTCTTGCAGAAGCTGAGGCTCGACGTCACTAGGCTTGTGCGGCTAGCGAATCAGTATGCCAAGGCAATGGGGTGCCCCGAGCCGCCGTTGATTGAGAAGAGGATAGTGACTAAGATGGGGTTGAAGAGTGCGTCAGGGTTGAGGATTGGGAGTCGGAAAGCCGGAAAGGAGTGATGAGATGAGAATGGTCACTCAGCTATAAAACTTGTATGATAGGGATGGATCAAGGATAATTGTAAAAAATCAAGAAGGATACGGAATGGGTCGAGGCTATAGAAGTAAGATACCCCCGGAACGATTGCATTCATATAACATGGCATGGTAAAATTCTGTAAAGTTCTATTAGACACTAATAACTGATGATGCATCCTCATTATCATACCTAACTCTCACAACTCAGCTCATGATTCATCTACTAAATATTCTTACATGTTTGACGACAACCAGGACGACACACTCTCCTCAAGGTCCGACTTCGCAATCTCTATCGATCGTTCCTATCCAGAATCTCTTATTCCTCTTGGCCAGACGACTCCCATCCTGTCGACCGGACTCTCCGACACGTCTTCCTGCGCCGCGCTGATTGAGACCGGTGGTGCATCATATTCATGATTCCCGAGGTATCTGTCCGTCCGAAACGGTATCTGTCTGTCCGGAACTGAAGGACACTGCGGTATATAAAATGGCATAGTCAGTCAGATGCTAAACCAGGCGAGTAGGAACCCGGACCAGAAAATTACGAATTCAATCGCGAGGTTGTTGATGGACGGGTGGAGGAACTCCTCCAATCAGCTAGACATCATTGTAAAACGTTACGGCACAGCGGTTGTCCACGGTTGCCGACGACACAGTGTATCAGGAAATTGCCAAATAGGGAAGAAGTGGCTACAGATTCCGTGTCGAGACCCATTCCTGAAACTAAAGGCGGCATGCGTGTGCTATCTTCGACGCGGGTGGACATGCATGTGAAAGGGACAGTAAATCCTTCAGGGTCTGCCATGAGAGCGCTGACCTGATACTGGGCCGGAGAACAAGTTCGTCACCGGTAAGTTGAGTAAGGGGACCGTTAGATACATGCATTGACTAAGTCGAAACCGGATCTGAGAACGTAGGAAGTCTCGACTCTATGTCCTGCGCGGACTCCAGTACCTCCCCTACTACAGGCTTATGTAGTAGTCAAATTGCAGAATTAGACCGCGCAACTATAATCATAGACGGGCGAGATATAAGCTGAGTTGAGCGAGGAATTTGAAGAGCGAATGATCTCAGAGTGCGCCCTACGAGCAAGATTTATTCCCTCCTAGACAAGCAATCGCTATCAATGCAGGAAGAGGCTCGATACGACGTTGACTCCTTCGCAGCGCCACTGGCGGCGGGAGATATCTGCGAAGGAGTCAACATCAGCAGGAGCCACGACGTCCGGATGACTAACTCTCTCATAGGATAAGGTACAATCCCGTGGTACATCCATTGGCTCTTCTTGAACCGTACTCGATGTGGAGACGGCACAGTCCTTGTCCCTGTATCTGTCCGTCTTACTGGCCCTCATACCCGACCAAGTGCAAACCAGGTGCACAAAGAGTCAGGTGTTGGCCGTTACTAACTGGGGCGTCTGCTAGATGAGTCCACCCATTCCGCAAATGAAAGCGAAGTACGGCCACTGCAGTGTGTACCGTCTCTTCTTCTCGCAGGCTCAGTCTCCCGAAGCGCATCCTCGACAACCACAGTTGACACACTGTATATCCTGATCCTCTTTCATCTGCTCCCTCGGCACCCGACAAATACACGTCGACCTAAAGTTCGTCTCCTTCGTCTGAATACACCTCAAGCAGCAGAGCTACACGCAAAGTCAGCCATCAAATATACCTCAGCCAAAGTTCCGCACCAGAACCCACCTTCTCATACCCCTGCTTCTTCCACTTGGCAATCAACATGGCATCCGCATACCCATTCTTCAACAGCCAGTCGTACAACTGCTTGCTGATGGCCTCCTTCTCGTAGTACAAGTCGTAGATGTAGCGGCTCCGCTGATGCGTGATTTGGAACACTGGCCAGGTCATCTCGTACTTCTTCTTGCCCTCGTGCGAGGCGTTCTCGGCGTCCTTCATCTTGTTCTGGAATTCGAGGAGCGTGTCTTCGATGTCTTCGAAGCCGTCGGGCGGGGGCTTTTTGGAGCCGCGGGAGGTGCGTACGGGTGGCATTTTCGGTCTAGAAGATGGAGATGGTTTACGGGTTGGGAGCGGAGATGTATATGGCAGTGACCGTTGTAGCGCGGTACGTAAGGTGTGAATTGTAGAGATGATGTTGCTGGTGGACTTTTCCAACCCCAAGTTCATGCAATCGTCCGGCCAAGCCATCAAGCTTGGCATTTCCGAATCTCAACCTCACATCATAGCGAGCATCGTCAGAGTTCAGCACGCACAACGCCGCAATCATGACCATCAACGCGACATACCTTGCGCAACGGACACGCTCGTGTAAGCTACAGCTCCTAATGGATATATGTCAAGAAAGAAGTTAACGTATGACTATGTAGCGGCGAACTGGGCCGATGCGAGACGGAGGGTGTTGCACGCCTATAGGGCGTGGCTGCGAGCTGTACGTTTTCCCCGACGATTTCTGTTTCTGGAATAAGACGTGTTGGTGCTTCCTTGCGCTCTTGGGTCCGCAATGGGGCGGATACTTGGGTTAAGTGGGCATAGAAGAGCAGGAAGAACATGTGGGATACAATTGAAAGAGAAGGAATGAGTATATGGCCGAGGGGTTCACCAAGCCAGCGCATACCTCCTTCCCAAAACCCTCTCTTCATCCAGATTCCGCAACCTCCACCGTCCAACTCACTAACCCCTCCCTCTCCAGGCCCCCGAAGTCCAAACCATGTACACGCTCAACCTCCCCGTCTCCTCGCTCCGCACCAAGATACGGCAAGAGTTCGAGCGCCACCGCTTCGTCAACCAGCTGAGGACCGTCGACGTGCTGCTGTTCCAGTCGCACCAGGAGTTCCAGGAGACGCTCAACTTCTGGAAACAGCAGAGCCATGTGCTGAAGTACTTCCGGGCCGAGGAGGAGCCCAAGGCGAGGCTGCCGAGTAATTTCATCAATGGGTTTTTGGAGGTGAGATCGACTTGTTCTGTGGAGTTTTCTTGGAAGCTAATGGCGTTGTAGGGCCGCAATTGAATTGGTGTATCCGAGGGGTATGCGAGTATGACGATAGAGAGCACGGATGTGTACATAGGTATAACCAGAGAAGAAGATACACGAACATAAGCAATCTTTCATATGTTCTGCAGGGCGATATCTCGCTGTCGTCAAGATTCATCAAACATTCCGCCCCATCCGTCAAGTCTATCCCAAGTCGCGTGCGTCCCCACGCCTGTTTTCGATCCTAGACTACTGGTCCCTACTGCAAGTTCTCCTAATACAGTACCCCCTTCGTACTCCTCACCTCCCCCTCCCACGCCTTCACCACCGTCGTCGCCATCCGTATCGCTACGGCCAGGGCCTTAAACGCACTCTCAGCCCTGTGATGATCATTCTCGCCCTTCAGCACATCCACATGCAGCGTGACGCCCGCATTGAAAGCAAAACTCTGCAGGCAATGGGGAATCATTTCCGTGCTCAGGTCGCCCACCTTCTCCCTCTGGAAGCAGGTATTCAGATTCGAGACGAAATACGGGCGATTGGAGAGGTCGATGACTGCGCGCGAGAGAGCCTCGTCGAGGGGGCAGTAGGCGCTGCCGAAGCGGGCGAGGCCGGTCGAGGTGGAGAGGGAGGACTTGAAGGCGGTGCCGAGGGCGAGGAAGACGTCTTCGGCGGTGTGATGGTCGTCGACTAGACGTTCAGAGTCAGCTCTGCCCGTTCTGAAATCTCAAAAAGGGGAATATAGGAGAGGGGAAGGGGATGTGAGAGAAGTACGTACTGTGCAAGTCCCCCTTACACCTCACCCTCAAACTCCACCCCGCATGCTTCGCCAGCGCATGGATCATGTGGTCCAGAAACCCAATCCCCGTGTCAATGGCAATGATTTGGCTTTTGCTGCTTTGCGCCGCATGTTCCTTCTCCTCCGCATCTCCCTTCGCCTTGTCAATCTTGTCCCAGAAGTCGGATTGCGGGAAGGGATCGAGGGCGCCGCCGTCGAGGTTCAGCGAGATTTGCACCTTGGTTTCGTTGGTGTCGCGCGAGATGGTGGCGGTGCGGGGCATGGTTGCTGTGGTGGGTATGCGCGGAGGAGGAGGAGGATACTTCGAATGGAAGAGGTAGGGTTGTTGTTCAGGAAGCGTCTATCAATCTATTCTTGGTGAATATCCAAAGAAAATATCAAGTACCCCACGCTTGCACAGTGACGTGTGGGATGCCAGCCTGGTTCCTTCTTGGCAGGGACCCGCCATGATCTGCTCGTTGCCCCACTTAATTTTGGCTTGTCAAAATTATAACGAGCTTTGATATTCTCAAAAGAAGCAGACTTCATCTCATACCACCCTTCAACAACACCCAACCCTCCCTCAAAAGACGAAAATACCCCTCATCCCACAAAACAAATCCCCTCGGCACGACTTTCCGCATTCCCTTCCAACACCCTTCTGTCCACAGTAACATCGCGTAAACCTTCCCCATCGCAACGCAAACGCAACCATCCGAATTTCCCCAAAAGCAGCGCAAACGAAAATGCCGGCCTTCCCTTCCGCCCACCAACAACGGCGAGAGGAGCAAGAGCACACGCCGCGCGACGCCCCCGCAGTGCAGATATCGACGGCAGAGGACCACGAATTGCTCGCGCAGCAGGACGACGAGATGGATGCGGTGGCGGATCGGGATCGGATTCGCGTGGTATGTTTTTCTTCCTCCAAAGAGGTGTTAGGGGTGGGGTGGAGCTGGAGGGTAGATGCAAGCGCTGGGTAGAGCGAGCTGCGAAAGATGGGATTGAGGAAGAATGAGAGTGCCATGGGAGCTGAAGGATGATGAAGACCAAAGCATCAGCCGGCGGCAGCTCGTCCAGCTCCATCTATCCTCCCTCTCGCCCTCACTCTTCCCTTCCCTCGCTTTCCCCAGCTCCCACACCCATCCTCCTCCCTCCCTCCCTCCCTCCCTCCCCTCCCTCCAACGATCCCAAAAACCCAACCACTAACAACACCACCAGCTCCCCGGCTCCACCGAAACCGCCGCCTCCTTCCAATTCGACAACGAGGACCACACCCTCGGCAACGCCCTACGCTACATCATCATGAAGAACCCCCAGGTCGAGTTCTGCGGCTACTCGATCCCGCACCCCAGCGAGGCCCATCTGAACCTGCGCATCCAGACGTACGGTACGTATACGTACATGCACACCCACACACATACATACATACATACATACACACATGACTTGATACGCATAGCGGTGGCGAATCTTGTCTTGACGCTGCGTCGAGAAGGAATAAATACCCGCGGCGTTTTCCCCTTGCTCGACCTCCTCTTTTCCCTCCCCTTCTTCTTCATTCCCCTTTCCAACCCGGCCTGCCTTTGCCGAGAGACCGCAAGAGACAAATAACTGACGGACGGAGACAGATAACGTATCCGTCTATTCGGTCCTGGAAAAGGGCCTCCGCGACCTCGAGGACATGTGCGACGTCGTCATTGACAAGTTCAGCGCCGCGAGGGCCGAGTTCAGGGCCAAGCAGGGAGCGGCAGGAGGAGCGGATACGGAGATGGTGGATGCGTGAATGGGGTGAGTGGGATTGTATTTCTATGGAAGATCGACTTCTTGGTCCCCGTCCGTTCCACCCTCTTCATGGCTGTTGGGCCAGTTTGGGAGGCATCCGTGTAGGCGAAGAGAGGAAGAAAGGACGAAGGGAAGAAGGGAAGGGAATACCCAGCTTTAGACCGTGGCAGTACCACCTGCATGCGTGCGATGTCGATGGATGGGGCAGGACGGCAAAGGTTGCATCATCTGGAGTCTTACTGGGGATTGCTTGGTGCGCATCATCGTGGCGGCGTTTTACTGGAATCAGCAATATCTCTCTCAAATCGTGACCCTGTTTGCTTCAACAATTCTATCACGACGCCAGCATGTCGAATGGATTCGCGAAGAGATTAACGGACGATAGAAATCATCACAAGGTCCAAGCATGAGCTCGATATGGATAAAGCACGCAAAATAAATTCATTGCAGAGAACACTCCGTGGACGAGACCTGTTGACTCCACCTCACCCCATCCTTGAACTCCGTCCTTCCGTCCATCACATTTTCCAGGTCCAACCCGTCCAGCCCATAGTCCCTTAAAAGCCACACCCTGAAAATAGAAAGCAGTCGTTGAACTCGTCATTAGCAATGGGAAGAAATTCCGGCGCCAAAAACACAGCATCCGAGGTACGCCACAAGCAGGATATACACAGAGAGAACGCCATCATTTGCGCACAGGATAACCAGTCGACCGAGCCCAAATGCGCCGGGCAGCAGGGCGCACGAAGGACATATACCCCCAGGCGCCGTGAAACCGACATCCATCCATGCGCCGTACCCAGGGGAGCAAAATATCCCGTTCCCGGTAAGGCAAGATGCTATGCAAATGGCCGGCCAAAGTAATCAGTCGTGGGTATCATCGAATGATCATAACGTCGTGAGTGAGAGCCATCCTGAACCGAACACCAGAAATAGGAAGAGTGAAGAAGGCCAATGGGCAAGGAGCCTTGGCGATACGTTCGCTCCGTGGCGGGAAACCAGTTAACAAGAACTGGAATACGAAGCAGAAGCAGCCATCCAGAAAGTCATCTAGAAGCGCGCCGTCGAGCTGCGCCCTAAGCCGGGGTGCGAAACTTTGGTTGGAGACCCGTTCGGCGCGACGGCGCTTCGTGCACCGATCTTCTCAAACCCTTTGAGAAGATCAATGCCAGGTTCCGACTCATCGCTGTGAAGGAGGTTGAAGAGGTCATCGTCAGCAGGCGCGCTCTGAGCCGAGGCAGCCGCAAACGTTGGCTTCAGCCCGAAGCCAGAGTTTGTGGTTGTGAATGTCGAAGTAGGAGCGACAGGCAGCTCAGGTACTGGTGCGGATGTGGGTGCCTTCATCGGCGAGTTCTGCCGAAGAGGAGACAAGGAGAAGCCAGGAAGCTCGTGGAAGGGGGAGCGCAAGTACGGCCTTGGTGAAGCGGTGTTGTAGTGCTTGTCGACGCCGGTAACATCAGCCAAGATGCTAGAGGTGGTGGCGGCACGTTCAAGGCGGGGACGCTTTGCGGATGGCTTGAGTGGTGACTCCTGGTAAGGATAGTCGCCAAAGATATCGAACGTGGTGAAGAAACCATCTCCCACCAGATTGACGTTCTCGTCATTGGGACCCTGAACAGCGGGACTCCAAGATTGACTGTCCAAGAAAGTGTTGTTATTCAAAACGGGCATGTTCTTATCCGGAGATCCAACGAGCTCGCGCATGCGGTTGCGATGGTTACGCAAATTCGTGTTGGGGGAAACAGAAGCTGGCGGAAGAGCAGGTCGTTTGAAGACGACTGCGGGGGTGAGTGGCCCTTCAGGAAGCTTCTGGTTCGCTCGGAGCGGAGAAGACGCGAGCGGCGCATCACCAGGATGCTTGAAGGTTGGTCTGCTCTTCGTCGGAGAGTCATACGATGAGCCACGGATACGGACGATCTCCTCCTCGGCGCGACCGCGCTTGAGCCTGTAATTGCCAGCATCTGCTTCAGAGGTCAACAGCGTTCCCAAGGGGTGGCCTTTGGTAGCTGATGATTCGATGGAGGAGTAGTAACCGCTGTCACCAAATCCGAACTTGCGTTTGCGGCCACCCGACCTGCTGTTGCTGGGGAGCCGGGGAGCGGGAATGCGCGGAGGCGTGTCCTCACGAGCGGCACGTGCAATCGGCGGCGGTGATGATTTGATATCAGCTGCGGGAGGAGAAGATGGGATTGCCCTGGTCGGAGCTTTGGCGGGAACTGGATCAACCCCATCGTGGCAGGTCGGGTCTGAGCAAGGGATCGTGGCGTCCGATGAGAGTTCAGGCTCCTCCGGGAATTTGCTCGAGTCGATGCTCTTGACGGTGCTCATGAGGGGCGGGAAGCTCGCCGACGACGACATGGGGCGCGCCAGCTCGCTGATATTGGTCTGCACAAAGCCGTCCGGGTTGGTAGGGCGCCGAACGGGCTTGGACTTGTAATACTGTTTTTCGAAGCCTGGGTTGATACGCCAGTAATGTCCTTTTCCGGGGTCATCTTTAGGTCGCTCCTGCTTGGAGAAGGACTTGCTGATGCTAAGGTTATGGCGAATGCTGTTCTGCCAGCCGGTGCAGTCGGGTTGATTACGGTAGAAGGCAAATGTATCCGAGATCCACTTGTAGATCTGAGCAAGGGTCAGTCGCCGGTTGGGGGCTCTCAGGATGGCCATTCCGATCAGATTCGCATAGCTATACAATGGCTTGGTGCCGTCGTCCTCGACCGGCGGCATCTCATGAGGTTCGGGTAATGGGCCGTCTTCTTGGGTGGAACGCGGCGTTGGGACCTTGGTTTTCTTGTTCCTATCACGTTGGGGTGCGGCGTCGGAGAGTCTGCGCTTGTTGGCTGGCTTGATGGCCTCAGTGGAGAAATTACGGCTGACGGCATTTGAGCTCTCTGGCACCAGGTTTTCTTTGTCAAATTGAGCTAGCTGCGACGCGAAGTTGGTGAAGACGGGAGCGCCGGTCGCGGCCATCATCTGGGATTGCTTTGGAATCGGTCGCTGTACGCGCTTCACAGGCGCATCGGTGCGGAATAGTTGCTCGGGGGGACGAGGAAGAGCAACCGCGTTGAGTCCTTTTTCGGTCAGAGCGCGTGGTGGCGGAGAACTGGAAGGATGTCGGCCCTTCTTGGGCGATGGGGCCTGGGTGAAGACTTCTGGCGGCTGGAGGAGAGTGTGGTGATCAACTGACACGTCGGTGACGGGGCCATGGGGCTCGAGAGTGTGCGATGCGTATTGTGCGATGTCATGGTGGGCGGTGGAGACGTTGGGGTCTTCGAAAATCTGCAACGGCGGCTGCCGACGCGTCGCGGCCATGGCGATGAGTATTCCCAAGGTCGGAAATCGATGGATAAGGGTTGGGGAGGAGCAATGACGCGTGGAATCGCGTTAATTCTGTCGAAAAAGGGTCAAAGTGGGAGGTTGCGGCGGAGTGGATATGGAGCGATCTGGTGCGGCTGACGCGATACTATATCGGGTTGCGGAACCAAAATACGATGCCGGAAAGATAATTCTGCTGGCAAGGTGGTACGGATGCGGAGAGGCGATTATACGCGATGGCATCCAGAGCGAGTGCTACGGTCGAGAAATTGAGTATGGGCAGCGACGAAGGAGGCAGTTGTGGGAGGAGGTGGTGGAGGTGGTGGTGAGGTGCCAACTTACGGTGAGGCAAGACAAGGCAAGGTGGGCGGACAGTGGGCACTACCGAATAGCTTGGCGGGCGCTAGCTACTGGCAGTGACGACAGGCTGGCTGGCGGGTTGGCTGATGGATGCGGCAGATAAATTGGTTGGTTTAAGGGAAACTCGGCAAGCTTGTTGGGCTGAAAGAGATGCTTGATGATTGTAGCGATGGCAAGCAAGGTACGGGGGAGTATCCAGACCGTGAGGAACAAGGGACGAGAGAGGGGAGAACAAAGGGAGGATGAGCAAAGGAAGAAGGAAGAGGGGGATCTCCGGACTTGAGGCGGTGCGCGCAGAGTGCCGGGAAGGCGCGCTAGTCGGGACGCACCTGCCCGCCGTGGCCCAGCTGTAAACGCAAGGAAGGTGCGGTCTGCCCTGGTTACGTGGCCAATCACAGCCACCCGGTCGCATCGGGAATGGCGCGAATATCCACCATGCCATCTCTCCCGACTCTCTTCTCGTCTCCCTCGAGGAACGAAAGGTGAGCTGTCTCCTCTTTGTCTCTTCCCTTTCACCGCCCTGACTCATCATGACCTTCTCTAAGCTTCTTCTCGCTTCTGCTTCACTTGGTGTATGCCAAGTCACGGATATTGGCCAATGGACGCGAAAAAGGTGCTCCATAACGCGTCCTCCCATAGACTGAGACACTTACTGCACCTCTTTCGGTTAGCGCCGTCCTACCTTCCCTACCTTTACACTACTGCAAACCACAGCCTATCAACCCCGCCGCGCATCTACGTCGTGATTCTACCCACGTCCCAAAACCAACCTACAGGTCGCCGTGCGAGCTGAGAGCAACACGCCGCAGTCGCGACGATTCCTACAGTCTCCTCTATGGCTTCCGACTCGACTCTCCCCTCGAAGACGGACGCCGTTCCACGGCACAGCGTGATCGACTTTACATTCAACGACTCCAACACCAATTCCGACTTGAACGTTCTCTGCAATGGCAAGCAGATCCACATTTCCCTCTCGGCAGACTGTTTCAACGAATCGCCGTCCATTCAAAGAACCTACCTTCATTATCTTCAGGTTATGGCTGCTTTCGAATTCGATGACCTTACTGAGGAGGATTTCTATGACTGGGTCCTCACTCCCTTCTTCCCCATCTTGAGCCAATTGCCTCCCCTTCCAGAAGACTATCAGCTTACCCTGAATGACTATCTGGTTCCCGACATGGTCGATTATACTCTGCGCGGTGAGGATGACAAACTTATCCCAGTCTTGGACAACGAAGGTGAGGCCCGCCGACGGTGTCAAGGCGCTGAAACCTCGCTCAGCCCGGAGATTCTGTCAACTTTCCCTTCGTACCATCCTCGTGAGCTCCGGATCTGCTCTGAGAATGGGGAAGGAGGACGGTCTATTCCCCCACACAAAGTGACGATAGACGGAACTTCGACCTATTTCTTTAAGGCCTATGGCCGTGAACACTATACGTGTGCGCCTCGCGAGATCAGCAATTATAAAGCTGTGAAAGACGCTGGTTTCGAGGACGGCCTCCGCATCGCTCGCCTCCACGGTATCGTTAGAGATGGACGCAGCAATGTTGTGTTTGGCATCCTGCTAACCTTCGTCGATTGCAATTGTGTGACTTTGGAACGCGCCGTCAAGCCTGACACTACTCTCAGTGTGCGAGAGCATTGGGCTCGACAAGTCACTGATACGCTGCTACGTCTGCACGAACGTGGCATCGTCTGGGGAGATGTGAAACCTGACAACATCCTGATTGACCGACACAACAACGACGCCTGGCTTATTGACTTTGGTGGAGGATACACCGACGGCTGGGTCGACAAGGACGTCGCGGGTACCGTACAAGGCGACTTACAAGGACTGATCAGAATTCTCGATTTTCTTGGAATCAATCCGCTAGACTATCTCCCACCCGATGTCACTCTGCAGCAAGCACAACTGCGCCAGCCACAAGAGCCGCAATTGTATGCTACTGCAGCCAGTGCTTGACTCGACAGTCTCACGGTCATGCAGACAGTGTCACTCACTCTCTGACAAAGATAATGTGCGGCCGGTTTCCAACAGGAAACTTAAGCCGCGTTAATGCTCACGCTCAAAAGGAGAAAGCCGTAACGCTCTCAGAAACGCATACTGTGGATATGCGGCAACATTGGATGGAAGTGGACTTGCGGTTCACACTGAAGCTCAAGGGTCTAGTTTATTCGAATTCATGTACAATATGAAGCCTACCATATCAGAACAGGCTCGGATAATGTATACATACTGCATATGATCCGTAAACGCTTACCGTGACTTGCCGAGTTGACAACCAGCCTATTTCCACTCGTGCCATTACATCAAAGTCTGCGTTTCATACAGATGGAGCATCACATGAGGCAAGCAAAACCCGCGTCCCCAGTATTGTTCAGTGGGTGACATTTTAGCAAAGCAAACCTATGCACCACATATCCCGTTTCAATGCTAATAAGGAGGAAGGAGTTCCCGATTCTCAAACTACGGTGAAAGCCAGAGACGCGAGTGGGCCTCCATCTCGCTGATTGGCCTCATCTCCCGTCGATGCCTACTCGCGGTCATACAGGCAAAAACTCGGTGAAGGATGCGAACTTCTACGAACCCGCATATATAGATAAAAACCATCTTTGTTCTCCCTCCGCTCCACCCTTTTCCCACCTCAAACAATCTACAACAACCCAATCCTGGAAACCTTCAGAATCGACAACTTACATTCCCTATCGCAAACCACCACCACCTCCTCCTCCCACCACCACCATGTGCTGGCGCACCTTCCGCGTATACCGCTGCGGCTGCATCATCCCTCAAGGTCCCAACGGCGTCAGCTACTGCCACTACGCCACCCTGAACCCTCGCACTCGCCGTATGAACATGTGCCAACCCCCGAATTGGTCTGGTCGCAGTACGGAACATATCGCGGACTCGAACCTGTGTGGTTCCAACGAATGCTGGGTCAAAGACATCAAGAATCACCATAATGGGTGGACGTGCTGTCGTTGCGGCGAAGAGGGCAACAAGATGGAGAGTTGCGAGGGGCCGCCTGGTGGGCACGGCGAGTGTCCGCATCAGGTGTGCAAGCACTGCAAGAGGACTAAGTAAGGACGGGGACTGAATGGGGTGGGTCTTTAAATGCTCTACGTGATTATGGCTATTTTGCTAACTGGGAAGACGAGGAGAGGCACATTACGGAGAAGTTTTTCGATATCCTGGTGTCAAGCCGGCGGGATGGGCGAACCCGACGTCGCTCGCGGACAGTGGAGTTTCTGCTTGTACCTCGCTACACTACTCTCACACATGAAGTATCTCAGCAGCGGCGGGACTTGAATGACATCCTTAATTAGAGGAGTTCTTATACACGGATAGAACAAGTACTATCGTTATTGGCTCACGGCAGATGTAGGACATACATCTCAATACTATTCCTCAAACGTGAGAGCAGTGATTTGCTAGTTCAGCCCTACCCTTGTGAATAAGCAGTACATCACTTATGACGGTCTCTAAACAGCAGGAGAAGCTCGTATCGAAGTTGTAATGATACCGTTTTTTCCTACACCCTTTTCACGCCAAGCCAAGCCACGACCCCTGCCATGCGCCCACGCAAAAAGGGCAGTCGCAAAACGAGGACTCCAACTTTGACCTCTCGCGAACATTGCAACACCATATTGAAACCGGCAGAGTTATTAAGGGAATGTCGAATTGACTTGATGCGCCCTACGCGTTGCTTCACACTGGGCCCGGAAACTTCCCATAACAGGTACGATCGTCTAACAGTGAGCAAAGATTTGCCTGCCTTTCACCGTGAAATTTGTTAGAGTTGTTCTAGAACTTTCTTTCTCTCTTCGGGCAGGCAGCAGACTAGGCTGCGGCGTCTACGCTATTTCGCAATAGGCATGACAGCCCCGTTTGACGAAGAGTTGTTTGAAACTCGTTCTATGCCTTCGCAGACTCCTCGCTCAACTCTGCAGCTCGATCCATCCGCGCCATCATGTCCGTTGAGCAGAACCAGGAAAGCGCACAGCATGACTCTGATCCGGCTCCGTACTACGAAGTCATCGACTGCTTGTATAGCGATTTCGACACAGAATGTCGACTAGTCGTCTTGGGCAACTACAAACAAATATGCATCTATGTCGACGAGAAAAGCGTCCATGGATCGCCTCCAATGGCCGAAAAGTACCTACACTTCCTTCGCGTCATGAACGCGCCCGACAACGAACTGGATGGCCTCGATGACCAGGATTTCTACAACTGGATTACCGATTTCTATCACCCTATACTCCGCTCTTTTCCGCCTCTTCCAGAAGACTTCCAACCTACTCTACAGGACCGGCTCTGTCCAAACTCAGCTAACTATACGTTACACGTCGTGGATGGCGAGGTCGTGCCCATGCTTGATCTTCATCCAAATAGGGCTGGTGGGCGACGACTCTACGGTGTCTACATCGACGACTACTTATCCACGGCCTTTCCCTCCTTGCATCCGCGTTCAGTCCCAATCTGCAAGTGTCCAAGGGGAACACTGTCTCCCCATAAAGTCATCATCGACGGCACGGTCTACTGGTTCAAACACTACCTCTCCGGAGACGATGACATCGCAGGCAAAGAAATATCCAACTACAAAACCATAGCACAAGCCGGCCTCGAGTCTGACCTTCGCATGTCTCGACTTCATGGCCTCGTACGAGACGACGAGACCGGCAGAGTTTTTGGACTGCTTCTAGATTATATCGATGGGAAAAGCATGGCTATGGAGTCTCTGCTTAGGAACGCTTCAATGGACGCTCGCAGGAAGTGGGCTGTGCAAATCGGTTATACTGTATGGCGTCTGCATGAGTCTGGTATTGTGTGGGGAGATGCGAAAGCGGATAATGTGTTGATCGATCATGACGATAATGCATGGGTTATCGATTTTGGCGGTGCGCGTACGGAGGGCTGGGTTGAGGAGGACCTGACGGAAACGGTCCAAGGGGATTTGCAGGGTTTGGGAAGGATTATCGAATTCCTTGAGATTGAGGACATGACGGCTTGCGGAGATGGCGGTATTCGTGAAGGGGTAGGCTCCCAAACACCTGAGGACATCCATCAGGAAGACGAGGGAACTGGGAAGTAGTGTCACGGCTTGCTGCATCTTCCCAGTTCCCCAAGGGTTATGACCAAGGCCATATACGGGAAACAATCTGGAGATGCACCGCAGGTCTATCTGGAGCTACTCACAACCATCCGGCTTGAACGTACACCGGTTCTCTAAGCGAGCGACCTCTGCAATCTGTCATGTCTCAATGCGAGTGTTGCCCTTCTGTCTCTTATCTCCTACCCTTGCAGATAACATCCTTCGATTCGGCTCGCACTACCACTTGATTGCTTCTTTTGGCTGAGAAAATACGGTTGGATCAATTTTCGGTGAACACACATCTGCAAACTTTTACCAGAGTCACGTGTATGTAACATGCTACCAATATGATATATGGACAATTCCGATGGAAGCTTTACATACTGCCACCTGTAGACGGAATCGCTGTGGCTGCCGCCCATGACTCTCCATTTGGGGTGAACCAGACTTGCGCGAAGCAAGGGATGGGATGAACTCCCTCCACGAAACGGCACCTCACGGTTTTGACAATGTACAGCATACAATATCATCTTTCGAATGTCCCTGACATTTTCTTGTGATATCCAGAGTACTAATTCATTACAGTGTCGGTTCCCTTTCAATTCTGAATCACTCCTCCCTCGCTTCCGACTTCTCGTTTCGCATCTTAATTTATGAGCGCCCTTGAGGAAGTGAGATCTCGGGAACGCCGACGTCTTCGGGGGAATCCAAATGGTCCAGCCATTGCTCTATTGAAGCGTTGGCAAATTTGGTAGGGAGCTTGGTACAACCACGGACCGAGGTTCTTCATTGATGGCTGAAGCTAACCTTTCCACGCCACTGGAAGGACGAATACCAATTGACCGTTCTGTAAACATTGCTTCGAGCCTAGATCTTACCCGCTGCGCGGTGCAGAGACGGGATATATAAGTGGCCAGAATAGATCTGTCCGACCTGTTCGCCTGTGGGATTTCGGTGGACATCGGAGCACTCATTCTACATCAAGCTTCGTGTGAAAGCCCTTGTGCTATGTAACCAGACGCCACAAGGCCTCGATAGTATTCAGCTGCATACACCAGGTACAGGGCGCAAGGTCTCGACAGTTTTCGTGCGACGATATTCTCTGTCAAGCTCGATCACCAACCAGTCCTCTCATCACTTCTCATGATCGGACAATTGCCAGGCCGAAGATCTATATAAGATCCTTTGCTTTCCCATCATCCATTGTCCATCATCGAGCAGCTACATTCGCTTTTCTTTTCCAAACGCTCGTTGACTTCGCCATCATGGTCAAGCCCACTTTTCTGGCCGCCCTTTTGGCAGCCTTCCCATCAGTTCTTGCTCAATCTTCCAGCAGCAATAACACGTCCTACTTCATTCGGTGCACCACCCGCTTTGGTTATTACCCTCTTCCCACAGGCACCGCCGGCGTCCCCACCTGGTACACCTTCATCGAGTCGACAAACACCTTCGTCGTGACAACCACTAGCCAAGATACCATTACCGTCACCCCCAACGCCACAGTCTGCGGCGGCATAATCACCGAAACCTCCACCGTGACCACCACCTCAACAGCCACTCCAGCCGCAATCACCGTCCCAGACCGTTCCGGCCAACTCCCTCTACTCAGGGCCATCTCAACCGCTGCCGCACTCACCAACCCAACCCCCATCCCACGCATCAAGGGCCGCTCCCCCGTCGCCGGCACCGATCTGGAAGTCACCCATCTCGTGAACCGCCAGACCCTCCCAGGCAACACCGGCGGCTTCATCGTCAACCCAGACGGCTCCGTCTCCTACCTCGGCCGCATTTTCCCTCACCGTGTACTGTGCGAACAGCGCCGCGTGGTCGGTACCACCAGCACGGTTACCGCCACGGGAGCTCCGACGACCGTGGTACTGCCGCCTGCGTCAGTTACCGCGTTTTCGACCACGACCGTTACGACGACGGTTACGTTGGTGCAGACGGCGCCTACGCCGAGGGTGTATGCCGCTTGTCGGGGGAATAATGTTGGTATGTACTTCTTTTCAATCTTCATACTTGGAGTGGTTATGAATGAAAGCTGATACAACGCAGTGAACTCCATCACCGACCAATACGGCAACCGCATCAACTTCGACCGCATTGTTTACCGCCCTCGAGGAGGTTTCCCGATTGCGAATGAGCTTGTTGTGAATACGACGAATGCTGTGAATTGCTGCGGCGCGTGCCAGAAGACTGTACGTCTACGCTTATCCCGTTCTCTAACATACTCTGGTTATTTCCCAACAGCTGTTGAAAAAGAAGAGGTATACCCGCTAACGTTTTCCAGCCCAACTGCGCAGGGTCCTTCTTCGTCCCCTCCCGCCGCGAATGCCACATCCGCCTCACTGCCCCTCCGCCTCCGCCTTCCAACTCCACTCTCCTTCTACCATCGAATGGGAACTCCACATTCCCCGTTCTTCCCTCAGGCACCGGCATTGGCACGGGTATCTCCCTCGTCCCCACAGGCACATCCGGCGTCGCCCTTCCCTCCAGCACGGCAAACCCGTGGACTACGTGCGCGAGGGGCTCGGATACTTTGTACCTGGGTACGATTCGAGGGCGGAGTCCGGCGGAGTTGGGCGATGAGGTTGCGTTGGTGTTTAGTAATGGGCCGTGTGGGCGGTTTAGCGTTAGTACTAGGAGGGGGAGCGTCGGGGTGTGAGGATGGGTGGGTGTGGGAAGGGAGTTATGGCAAGGGATGGGGAATGGGTGGTACTGCTGTTCGTTCTGGGTACAGAGGGTGGCAGAGGAGAGAGATACATCTTTGAGTGCTGTCCGTCCTGGTGAAGGTCTCTGATTGACTGGTGTGCTGGGTGGAGGAGGTGTGATCGCTTGTCTAATGACATTCATTTTGGACGTCTGCGCTGGGTTGGAGTAGGTATACACGGTCATACGCATATGGAAGAAATTGGATTTTTTCTTGTTTCTTATCTTCGCACGGCTCAAGAGTGAACAATTTTTCCGATCTCTGGACTTTAGTTACGAAAATACATGCCGCTATGTAGGAGGTGGTAGATTTCACTTTCCGCAATGCACACGTATATGCACAAAATTTCAAAGTAGGCTGGATGCCACCTAGGTATTCGACCTCGGCATAAAAACAGCAAACAGGCGTTGTGCCTGCGAGCAAAAATTAATGTAGATACGACCGTTAGGTGCACTCTTACGTCAACACCAAAGTTTACTCGAGCGCAAGAGCTGGAGGGCTGCATTGGGGCATTTGTCCTGGGGCCGAGTAAAATCGCGTGCTAATCGCCGTTAAGGGAAATCCGTGACCTTCCAATTCATGAGTCTCCGCTCCCCAGGTTGATGATAAAATTTCCTCTCCTGGTGACCGCGAGGCGAATAGCCCGTATTGCCTCGCTCCACGAAAGTTCAATCTGTTAGTAGCGCGGTCGTGACTGACAAACATCCTATGCACTCGTCCTGGTAATCCGGGCCCTCATACCGAGGATTTGTGTCCTCCGCACGGCCCAGGAACAACTGCCTCTGTGCGCCATGGCGCGTGCAGTGCCGCTGGGGAGGTCGGGTGCTGCGATATTAATTACCCCTCACTGTCCAAATAGGTATTGGGCGATATATTGCGGTCAGCCGGAAGATGAATGATGGATGGAGGGTTGGCAACACACAGGACTGGCTGAGATGCGGTACAACGCCGGAAGCTCTGGATATACTATGTAGCACACGTAGTGGTGTATTATTCTTAGAGAGGCTCACAGACGTACGCCCCGTGCGAGGCTTATTACCCTAGGGTACGTGGAGATGTTCCCTCTTAAAGGCCGCAGTCCCGGAACAGATTGTCTGATAGTGGCCAACATTCAAGAACGCCAGAAAGAATACCTCGTTCTGGTGGCAACCATCATGTCCTCTCATGAGAAAGTGGGTCTTCTCCTCTCGCACGAACTGGATCTCGAAGGACAGACGTCCTTGATAGAGTCACCATCCCTCAGCAGCAACCCGGAAACAAACGCACACCTCAGCGCCGCCGAAATCAGTGTTCTCTTCGGCAGCCTCGTCCTCGCACTCGTCCAAGCTCTAACGCTCTATTCCTTCTACTACGCTGACTCTCCACCATCGTTCCTCGACGCCCTTGCACCACATCTGCTCCCTCTCGCCCAGGGGCTGCCATCGGCAATAAGTTCGAACCTACCGACGGCGGTGGTCTTTTTCCTTGCCAGCCCCTATTTGGCGTCGCAAGAGAGGGTTGGACTCGCGAAGTGCTTGACGCTCTTTTGCTATTTGGTAGGATCAACGTGGGGAGCTGTGCTGTTAGGGCGTGAGTTGCTGGTTGTGGCTGGACAGCGGAACTAGGACGGTTCCGGTTAGCACGGACGGTGCATAGTGAGAGCTGCGATAACGGCGGCGGACAAGATTTCTACAATACTCAAGACACAGGCACGCCCTACGACTCAGAAGTGCGGATTGTGAGAGATATCAAGGCCTCTGCAGACGTGTGACCTTGTAAGTATCTATGATTACCGTCCAATTCTCTCAATCCTCTTACGCCTCTCAAACCCTCTCCCTTTCGTGAATCCGAAGCTATGCGTCATAGCTCAACTCCGCTCAGAGCTCTGAACGAGCTCCATGGCCTCCATTTGCATGGAATATCGCGCTCACTCGTCTACAGCAACATGTCGCTCGCACGCCCTGGCCCTCGAGCACTATCGCGCCGCCTCATCCTGTCCAAGCAACAATTCCGCAACTATGCAGCTCCCGGCGAGGGCAGCATCCCCGCCTCCAAGAGGAAATATGTCCCAACCAGTGGCACATATCCGCTAGGTTTCAAAGTCGGCACCGCGCATGTAGGAGTCAAGCCGAGCAACACGCGGTTCGACGATCTCGCCCTCATCGCTGCCGAGGATCCGTGTTCGGCCGCCGCAGTCTTCACGACGAATAAATTCCAAGCTGCGCCTGTGACAGTGTCAAGCGAGATATTGAAGAGGAGGAAGGGTAACGGGATAAGGGCTGTCGTTGTGAATTCTGGTTGCGCAAACGCCGTGACGGGAAAAGCAGGAATTGAGGATGCAGAAGCCATGGCCAAGAAGACAGACGAGTGCTTCATCAAGGACAACAACGGCGAAGACGACGGCAGGGGCAGTCGCACACTTGTCATGAGCACTGGCGTCATCGGCCAGCGTCTTCCCATCGAGAAGATAACGAGCAAATTGCCGGCAGCCTACTTCAACCTGGGCGGGACTCACGACCACTGGCTCTCCGCTGCCCGCGCCATCATGACAACCGACACCTTCCCCAAGCTCCTCTCCCGCACATTCACCCTCCCCTCTACTGGCGACAGGCGGTACCATATCGCCGGCATGACGAAAGGCGCAGGCATGATCCACCCCAACATGGCCACCCTATTAGGGATCATGTGCACCGACGTCCCCATCGATCCCTACCCCCTGCGAAATCTTCTCCTGTCCGCCGTAAAAGACTCCTTCAACAGCATCTCCATCGACGGCGACACCTCCACCAACGACACCGTCGCCATTCTCGCCAACGGCGCCGCAGGCGGCAAGGTCATATCAACCACAGACGCCTCCGACCCGGACTACGCCGCCATGGAGGAAATCCTCACGGACTTCTCCATCGACCTCGCCCAGCTCGTCGTCCGCGACGGCGAAGGCGCCACCAAATTCGTCGCCATCCGCGTCACGGGCGCTCGCTCCTATTCCGACGCGAAAAAAGTCGCTAACAGCATTGCACGGTCGCCTCTCGTGAAGACGGCGCTCTACGGCAAGGACGCGAACTGGGGGCGTATCCTGTGCGCAACCGGCTATGCCGAAGGTGTCAGGAGCGTCGAGCCCTCGCACACGACCGTCAGCTTCGTCCCTCAGGATGGGAGCCCCGAGCTCAAACTCCTTGTGCGCGGCGAGCCCGAGACGGTGGATGAGGAGCGGGCGGCCAAGATCCTGGAGCAGGAGGATCTGGAGATCCGGGTGAGGTTGGATGATTCGGGAGGCCATGAGGCGGAAGGCTTGGGTGACTTTGAAGAGAGGAAACATGAGGCGGTTGTGTGGACGTGCGATTTTAGTCACGAGTATGTCACTATCAATGGGGATTATAGGACGTAGGCAGGCATCTTTTTGGGGAAATTTGGGAATATTTGGAGTTTTAGGGGGAGTTGGGGGATATGGAAAAGAGAAGCGACAATGTGTAAATTGTCAGTGTTTGAAGAGTTTGCCATCATGTATGTGGAAAAGCGATAATGTACATATTTTGGCATGGGTTTGATCACCGCTGTTTATAAGCTCTCCAAGCAATGGTGTCTATGTGGAAGGTTACGATCTATGGTGGCTACATGATCATCTTACGGACTTCACCGGCCGCGACTAGCTGTACATGTCGCGCGAACAAAACGCCGACGCATTTGCATATCCAGAGTCATACTGTAGCCTCCGCCGCGACGAATGCCTTCTAGATGGTTTTGACAAAGTGATATCTGGTTTACTTGGCATGGTGTTGACACTAGTTGATGATCTGGTCTAGACCTTGTGTCCTTAGCGGCGAGCTCAGGACCAAGGGTCAGTGAGTCAGATACCGAAGTTCCCTACCTCAGTAGCAATGACAATCCACTCTAGATGTCCGATGGAAGCACGTACTGTATCTTTATTGCTGGCCACAGCTTTGGAGGTGTTCAAATAGAGTAATGTGCCAAAAGAGAGCAAGATAGGCTCTGCTGCGCAGAAGTGAGCACGGGGGAGCACGTTGGAGCCAGGGTTGAACAGTGCGATATATCTGCCATAATCTTAATGTTCTGCCGATAATTTTTCGAGGTGGTGGACTTTGGTGAGAGGGGAGTGCAGTCACGGTTCTATTTGGCTTGATTCTGACAGTGACTGTTTTCATGACGAGGCGCTGTCTCGTTTGTTGGTTCGACGACCCCCACGCTGGTTTTGATGGTCAGCTGAGTACGAATGATTATGTTCGGTTGGCACTAGTTCTTCGTATTTCGGTCATACTTTCAGATTGCCTTCAATCTTTGGAGGAAAACACTTCAGAACATGTGCCTCGGAACCTCTCCATGCCGTAAAAGATAAACTTTGCTTGGTCAAACAGCTCAGTGTATTAAACTGTGTCATACAGATGCTAATTAAAAAAATCAAGACGCCCATCGCCCCGCCCCCAGTGAATTGTTACAAAAGAGTTTACACCATGCCGAAGAAGAAACCAAACAAAGCCATCCCAAGCAAACAACGCCTTTTATCCCCCTCGCTTTTATCAACAAACCTGAACGTAATTCTCCAGCGTCTTCATCGCACCCACATGGTACAAGCTCTCGAGAGCAGTCGTGAGCTCGCGGACGAAACGCTTGTCACCGCGCAGGTCATCCCCAAACAGACAATTGACTCCCAGGAGAACATCCGGGCGCTGACCGCCTTCCCTGGCTTTGGCACGCAGCTCCTCGGCCATGGGATCGTTGATCTTGTATTCCTGACCCTTCTCATCGACGCCGTTGAGGTAGCGGAACCATGCCGCGACGCTCAGCGCCAGGCGGCGGAGGGAGCCGGACCCAATCATGATCTGCTCGGCGATCGAAGGCATGATGAACTGAGGGAACTTGCCCGAGCCGCCCAAACACAAGCGGGTCACCTCGTCCTTGAGGGCCGGGTTGGCGAAGCGGCGAAGCAGCGTGTTGCAGTAGTCGTCAATGTCGACGCCGGGGACCTGTGGCAAGAGAGGCTTGACCTCTTCCTGCATCATTCCCCGGATGTACGTTTGAAACCGCGCATCTCGGATGACTTCATGCACGTACTCGAAGCCGGCTAGATAAGCCAGGTAGGCGATGGATGAATGACTGGCGTTGAGCAAACGCAACTTGATGAGCTCGAAGCGTTCCACGTCATGGAACGTAGGGACGACCTGGACACCGACTTTTTCGAAGGGGGGACGTCCGTCGCTGAATTGGTCTTCTACGACCCATTGGCTGAATGGCTCGGTGACTACGGGCCATGCGTCTTCGATGCCGAATTCCGACGACAAGAAGGTCATGTCGCTTTCCACGGTTCTGGGTGTGATCCGGTCGACCATGCTGTTGGGGAAGGCACCCTCGGCCTCGAGCCAGCGAGCCATCTCAGGGTCCTTCAGACGCGCAAAGGATATCAGCATCTTCCTCGATATGTTGCCATTTGCCGATAGGTTGTCGCAGGACATGACCGTGAAGGGCTTCAAACCGGCCCGGAAGCGGCGTCCGAGGGCGGCGGTGAGGTATCCAAAGGTGGTACGGGGAGGTCCATCGGTGGTAAGGTCTGCGACGATATTTGGATCCTCGACCTCCAATTCGTGCGTGTTCTCGTTGTAGTAGTAGCCGCTCTCGGTGATGGTCAACGAGACAATGTGCGTGTTTGGATGTGCCAGCTTGGAAATCAGCGCCTCGCTGTTTCCCGGGGCGAATATGTAGTCGGTTATACTGCCAATGACGCGGGCTGTGCTGCCTTCTGCGGCACGCTCAAGCAGTGTGTAGAGGTAGTCCTGAGGAACCAATGCATCCCGCATGGAGGCATCGAAGGGCTGGAGTCCAACGCCGCATATCGACCACTCGGAGAGGTCGAACTGACTGAGGAGACAGTCTACATAGTACGCAAGATGCGCTCTGTGGAAACCGCCCACTCCAATGTGGACGATGCCGTGCTTGACGTTGGTCCTGTCGTATCTCGGGATTTGGACTTCTCTCGGGAGATGGGATAAAGCCTCGCTGTTCAACCTCCGGGGGGTGATGGTGCTGTGAGGCATCTTTCGAGGAATGGGACGGTAGAATCTGAAGACAATTTTCCTGGACAGCTCATCTTTTCAATGGGCATTTGGAGGCCGATTTGTAATTGTAGCTCGCACGGGGGTTCCTGGAGCTTGTCCCTTTGCGCTTGTAGTCTTTTTCGATAGCGGTGGCCAGATCCCAGGATTTGCCCCTTTAAAAATGGGCACGTGGAGACGGATAGAGTCGCGGCGGACACTTAGTGTGGAGCCAGTGCGGATGTGGAGAAGATTCCCAGGCTTGGACTGGGCGAGATCCGGCCGAGCTCGGCCATCATGGTGTTGAACAATTGCCATGCTTCCGTAGACGGGTGGATATCAAGGGATCGGCGTGATAAATTTGACTCCAGAGTTTGCAATAGGTTTATCTTGTTGAGGGAAAACCGAAGAACGCTGGATATGGAGAAATGATGTCCTGAAGGCAGGAGTTGCTGGTTAGTCAGCCAGAGAATTTTGGAATGCGCCTCACCGACAATTGCTCACCTGAACATCAATATCGCTCCCCCTTTCATGCGCTATCCTACTTCAGCATTCGCGACGACCAGTGCTTACCGCCATGACCACCTTTTAAGCTCCTCATGACTGTCCCATTTTTTTAGCCTACTGTCCCGATTCCCCAGAGGAGACGGTATACCAGGAGAGGAACAGCGCAGCTTCTAAAGAAGCTGCTGCGACCGGGTTTCTTCTTCTGTGATGATGAATGCTTCGATCCAATTCGCATCCCACTGCCAGACACGCTTGAGAAGTAGAGGCACTCAACTATTGATATGCCCACGCTAATAACCTGACTTTCTCGAAGGTTGTCGAATCTATCGCCCTGTCTTATTCACGAAATCCAGTCCCACGCACGCAATCCTCTCCGTCACCTCCACGCAGTCACACGTCGGCATCCGCATGCCGATTCAACCGGACTAACGAATCCTTTTCCAAGTTTTCGTAGTCGAAATACACAAGCAAACGAGGATTGACATCGTTGTATCCAGTGCAAGGCTGACCAAGCTTGGGACATATTGTGCATCAGTATCGACGGGAGTCCCTGGTGTAGGCGTACTAAGGCCTGAGGGACATTCGTTGCATAAAAAGCCGATGTGCTTCTGATGCAGAGGTGGTTGCCTTAAGACAATCAGTCGCGGTGCTTGATGCTCGCCATGGACGCGTCTTCTCTCATTCCTCGAGTGGAGGTCCGGTGTACCGTGGCATTGGCTTTTCCTTGTGCCTTGCTTGCACCGTCTCAATGCCAAGGGCACGCCGATCTCGATTCCTGAAACGCTTTCCGTTGCACGCCAGACAGCCTGCGACAACGACTTGTTGGATATTGTAAATTCAGAGACCTCATGCATTTGCGGAGGTGTCTGAGTGACTGGTGTACCCCCAGGTGCTCGCAGTTATGATCACCCTGGAAGGAAAGCCTGACCGTGCAAACTTCTGGATGATCGCAGCTGGGCAGGAATCGTGCTAGAAGCTACCAGGCATATCGACTCCAACGCGAGAAAAATGCAATCGCCTCAGGTGCATCCTGACGTGCGCCACATTGGGGTGTCACAATCATCGTGGGGGTTAATGCCAATACACAACAACATGTGATCATACCACTGGATGTCGTCAACCTACTACTGTGTTGATAGTGGAACTCCGCGCGACATGCTGAGAGTCTGTCTCCATTGAAAGAAAAAGAACACATAGCACAAGTCGTCAGCATGCCCAAGTCGAGTCTCAAGGGTCTTCGCAACATTTTCATTGGTAGAGGGAAGCACTGCAGGAGATACCCATTTGGGAAGCAATTGCATGTGGTGTGGCATGCAGATACGATTGGTCAATATTCACGTCACCTTCTCGTCGCTAATAGAGCGTTCACACAGCAGAGGGGCCTTTTTTCAAAAGAAACCTGCATTGGCCTATTTGCACGGCCTAGGTATCTGCACCGTCAGGCAGTCCCCAACCAGCATGCCGGGCTCCACAACGCAATTGGGTGCTCATCAGCAGTTCCAGATCGGTGAGTTGGTGCAATTCACAGTCAGTGGCAAACCATGCGTCCCGCTTCCTTTTTTTAGCGCGGCATGAGCTTAACCTTATTTTGACAACGACGTTTTGCTTTTTTTGGATTGCGCAACAGTCCAGAGAGATTTGCAATTGATAACCCACTTTTTTCTGATAACACTCAGCACCCAGGAGTTGTTCGTTTTTCATGACGAAGGGGTTTGTTCTTTTGCGTGGATCGGTCGGCCTTCGTAATAGTGGCAGGGGTTAGATAGGACAATCAGTGTAGGGAATAATTGTTGAGCAATACCTAGGGTATCGGGTGATCGATACTTGACCGTGTCTCGCAGAGCAAAGTGCTCTGCCAATGATTGCTCAATGTGAAACTTCAGGACTTGAAGCACTTGTCAGCCTGTTCTGGATAGGTTACAGTGGCATACGGAGTAGTGTTCGTTCGCTTGCGAGTAGAAGAGGTTATCCTAAATATCGCCTTCGCACACTTGAACTCCATAATCAATTCAGATTATTGGGCAGACCTATGATGAACTTCAACATTCTGTTATCCAATCATGCATCATGTGACACCTCCGCCCAATGCACCAGCGTAAAAGAACAACCCACGTGCGATTTTCCTTCAATTCGAACGTGGGGCTCACGCGCTAGAATAACGGACCGACTGCCGGAGGAGAAATCCCCCTCAAGGAGAGAATCCCACAGGATGACCAAGCACCGATGAGATTCTCAAGACCACGGGTCTGGATATTTGCTTTACCGTGTGCACGGGCGGCGACTGCATGGACATCCGCATCAGCGGCGGTGGGCTTACTCTGTCGACGAGGCCAGAGTACCGGTCCCTCGGGTTGGGCATGTAACACGGTAAATGTGTGCATGCATGTGCATCCTTATCTGGCAACATGTCCTGTGGCAACATCGCGTTGCTTTTACTGTACCTAGGTTCCTAGGGTACAGTGGTGATGCTTTTCTTTTTGCCCGCTGGAACACACATGCGAATCGTCCTGGATGCTTGCTTGTTTGAATACGAGGGAATGAGGACGATAGATAGCAGGGGAGAATTGCTGACAGTGGTTTGGAAAGATGTTCACGTTTCTAGGATGGTGGACGCGAAGGACTAGTCCTGGTTTCAAGCTTGCAGCTAAGATCTTTAGCCAGAGAAGGTTACCTCGCCACTCTCGCTGGCAAGGACGGGTCGGACAGATCCCTTAGCCTACCTGAAGTCGCTAAGGAAATCAGGCCCTGAGAGCATCCACTAGGAGGCCGTAGCCGACTCCTCTACTCTAGAACATATGCTTGAGCCCTTCGATAGTGCCCCTGAACCCAACAACCTCGTTGCGATCAATACCCAACTCCTCAGGGCTGATGAACTCCTCAGTCTCCTCCCAGGGATCGCACATCTCGCCAAACTTGAATTGCAAGCCGAGTTCATTGCCGGCGGGACCCCAAAGCTGAGTCCAGGCGTCGATAGTGGTCTCCATGAAGACGCCCTTCTTACCCGTGATCTCGGACCACATGTCCATCATCTCTCGGAAGGTCAGCTTCTCCAAAGCGACGTTGGCGTACTTGCCATAGGCGCGGTCGCCGGTTGCGAGGACTTGGCGGACCCAGATGCCGGGGTTGACGGTCATGTCGCCGGAGGTGAGGACTTTGGCGTCCGGCTTTGTGGGCATGGCCTGGATCCAGTGGCCATTGCCAGGCTGGGACATGTTAGTCCGAGTTCTCGTGATCAAGACACGAGGTTTACTTACATGATGGATAGGCTTGATAAGAGGGAAGAAGGCCATATTCTGTGGATAGTATCCGAAATACAGGTAAGTAGTGATGGCAGCCAAATCGGGGAGTTCAGACTTAATTCGTGCGTCGACATTGGCCTTGTAGTCCATGTGAGGGGTCAGGAGTTTCCCGTTGAACATGCGCTTCGCACTTGGAGTGGTGGACCAGATGTAGTGCTCCAGGGTGTACGTGGCTGCGGCAGCCCGCGCAAGCTTCATACCCTGTTCCTCCTCAATGATACCGGACTCCTCCTGGCTCTTGCCTTGGAAGAGATGCTCCCACCAGTTGGTCACGGCGAAGATAGCACTGACACCCTGTCTGTTGTTAGGGAGAGTTTGTAAAACGTGAGCTGAATACGTACGTCGAACGCCTTCTTCAGTGATTCTTCGTCATCGAAGTTGGCCTCCACGACCTCGATGCCCTCCGAGGCAAGCTTCTTGGCTGCATCACTGCCTGCGTTCCGGGTGATAGCCCTGACCTTCCAGCCATCAACCTTCTTCATCACATTCACAACGCCTCCACCCTGACTGCCCGTTGCGCCCGTCACAGCGATGATCTTCGGGCCCTTCTTGGGGGGTTCCTTCATGGCACCGGGAAGCTCACTCTTCTCGCCATGCATCAGTTCGAACCACGGTTCATACACCTTCTCAGTCCGCTTGCCAAAGGCACCACTCTTGTAGCCTGGATGACCCCATTCGTAAATCTTGTCATGGGCCGTCTCGATACACTGGCCCGTTCTGCGATTCTCTGCATCATCTATGAAGAGGTCATAGCCACGGAGCAGGTTCGACTTGAGCGTCATGTGCTCAAACAAGAAAGCGACGTCGAAGTCAGGCATGGCAGGGGTATCAACCCCACCGGGCATCACACAATTGATGCTGACATTGTCCTTCTGCAGAGACAGCGGTCCTACGGTCCTGACCCATTGGTGGACAGCAGCCTTTGCACCGCAGTATTCTGGGAAAGTAGCGCATGGGTAAATACCAATCATACTCCCCGTGACAATGATCTTTCCACCCTTTCCTTGGGGGTTGTGCTGCATGAAGTGGCGAGCCAGGATGGTTCCATAGATGACACCCTTGAAGTCGATGTCCGTGCAAGTCGTATCCGGCTCCGGAGGCAGGTCAGTGACCGAGGCATTGCGAAGGCCGAAGTTGTACTTGGAGTCTCGATCCACGGTGCCAGCGTTGGCGATCAACACGTCAAGACGGCCCCATTTCTGCCAGACTGTCTGGAACAGTTTGGACTGGGATTGGTAGGAGCTGACGTCCGTCTGAACGAAAATGGCAGTGGAGCCAGTGGGATCGAGGGAAGAAGCAACTTCTTGCCCTTCCTTCTCACGGCGCCCGGCAACAGCGACGGCAAAGCCCCGCTGATGCAGGCTCTCTGCGACCCACGACCCGATTCCGCTCTGTGACGATGGTCAGTCAGGGTTAGGGCTCATAACCCTCCGACGCAGGTGGTCATCACTTACCGTAGCACCGGTAACGATAGCTACTTTGCGCTCAGTACTTCCAGAGTTGCTCATTTCGACGGTTTGGGAGATTGAGGGGCTGTGCTGACGAGGAAGGAGGGGTATCTGCTCTACTCATGTGAAATACGGAGAACCCTTACCCCGCTATATTTCATCAGGGTCCTGGCGCTATAGGTAGGTCCGCGGTGGCCCCGGGGAGCAGCTGCGTCTTGCCACGGGAGAGTCGAGACAGATACCAGCCATGCCCCCATAGGAGGTTAGTATGTTTTGGAAATTTCTCTCCCATCCCGCGCTACTAGACTTGTTCAGGCGGTGAAGACGCTGGATCGGCAGTAGTGTGAATTGGCGATTGTGCGCCTTCAAAACGGCGAATTGTCACTTGAAGGGTTTGCTACACGAAGCGACGTCGACCTGGAACATGCAAAGCGAACTGGAAAGGGTAGTAGAGCAACCCCTAAGCCTGGGGTCACAACCATTCACGGCAGTCGAATGTAGGCCATCATAAAATAAGAAAAATAAGGAAAATAAGGGCGTACGGGAAGGAGCCGGGGCGACGCGGTGCGGCGCGGGAATGGCAGCGCCTTGAACTCTTCCTGGCCAGAGTGGGGGCTAATTCGCGGATACCTCCCGGCGGCCACTATGGGACGTGAACGGGCCGGGCGGCCGTTGTCTCGGAATTATGGACTTCAGGGCATGGCTCACGGTGATATGTAGCCCGGGCAGCTGTCTTCAGTTAGGCCCACGGCGTGTCGCCGCTCGGAGAAATACTCCGATATACAATCTGAAAGCGACCCAAAGCGTGAATAGAACTACACAGTACTCAAGATGCAGTGCGACATCTACCTACATAGCAGACATAGGTCTGGAACGGCAGTTGACATAGACGGGCTTTCATTGGGCGCTGACCTGTGAGTAGGTAGAAGTCCAGAGCTGAATTATCTGAGGTGCCTCATTCTGTCTTGCAATGGCGAATGCGCGTGCACCTTGGTCCCACGTTCGGCACCGTGGTCGGATTCGTATAGGACTACTCTAGCCGAGGGAAACGACTACCAGTGGTTGGTGTTAGGCGACAGGGGCACCGTCAAGGGTCCAAAAGTCCCCTGGTTTCACAGCACCGTTTGCTGGACACCGTGCAAGTGCGGGTACTAGTATGCCATGGCACGACGGCAGACCCCCACCGTCCGAGATATTAACCCGATGGGAGAAGCAAAGATTCTGCTCATTCCTGCCTGGCTCGTATGCATCCGTGACCGAGAAGGGGTTGTGACAAAGGCCTGTTCTCCTGGCTCTGAACATGGCGATCGATTTTCTTTTTCTCCAGGGGCATGTTTCCTTCACTTCGACACAGTATATGATGTGGAATAACGCTCTTTTGACGGCTCGCTCTCCTTGCCTCCATTGCCACGTTCGTTTGCGAATTTCTACTTGTACAAGAAATCTATCTATTCACGAGAGACGATGGTGACAGTTCCGATTGAAAACAGCGGTCAAGTTGGCCTCATTGTTGCGTCATGCATCTCAATCTTCATTGTTGCGGTTTCAGTAGCCTTGCGGCTAGTAGCCAAATCAATTAGCTCCGGAATCGATTACAGTGAATACTGCATTCTTGCAGCTCTGGTATGTTCCAAAGTAATTTGCTGTGGCGTGTCAAAACACTGACGTACCATCTCCTCTCTAGTTTTTCAACACGGCTCTGCACACATGCTGCCTCCTTCTGGTAACACATGGCGGCTTCGGTCTGCACGTGGTCGATATATTTGCACGATTTGGTCCTGAGACAGTCACATTCTTTTTCAAAGTGAGTACTCCGAGTGAGACAACCTTTAGCCGATCAAATTGACCAACTTCCTCTCAGGGGATCATGGCTTTCGCCCTTCTCTGGAATGCGACCATCTGCTTCAGCAAACTCTCCGTTCTTTTGATGTACACGGCACTGATACCCGTACCCGCCATGGTCAAGTGGGCTAGGGCCATTGCTGCGCTCATCATCGCCTGGTGTCTCGCAGATGTCATGGCCGGTTTCCTGATCTGTCGACCGCTAGCGAGAAACTGGGACATGACGATACCGGGAAAATGTGGGAGTCAGCCAAAATTCTACTTCGCCATGGGTCTTATCAACATCATCACGGACATCGTCTTGATCATTCTTCCTATGCCTTTCCTGTACAATCTCCGCATGGCGACAAAGAAGAAGCTCCTTGCTGCGAGTTTGCTCAGCATTGGCATCATGTAAGTCTCGAACATCACAGTGGATCTTCACTTGGGAATGCACAGCGCTTACAACTCCCCAGGACATGGATCATCACCATCTACCGACAAGTTGTCCTTCCTAGCCTGAACTTCGCGGACATGACGCACGAAGGTGTCCTAGCCACTCTCCTCTCAGGCCTCGAACCTTCCATCGCCATTGTGCTCGCATGTCTGCCTCTCCTGAGACCCTTACTCGGGAGATCAAATAAGAACAAGCCTTCGAGCTACGGATACGGGAGCGAAGGTGGCAGCGGACTGTACTCGAAAAAACCGCACCGCAGTGGTCCCTTTGTGGAGCTGGACGAGGAGACTTCCGACAACGATAACTCATCCGAAGTGCGCCTGCAGCCCCTGAAGGGAGGAGAGCCGGTTGGAAATAACCGGCATGAGATGGACACTTCTACCATTGCTGTGGAGAGGAGGTGGGAGGTTACACACGAGGTTAAGGACCCGGCCGACCTGAGGTTAAGTAACGTCTAGGACGTCACGGCTCGCAGGACGACCGGTATCTGAGGCTAAGATGGAATCACGGTCATCTGCTCTTCTAGAGCATCGTGTATATGTATCTTTCTTAGCGTCAACCACTGCAAATAGACAAAAATGTAAAAACTTAGATTTCACCAAGTACCTTGTCTGATACTAAGTTTCACTCGACATTACCTAATCCCTTCTGCTACAGAACCATCATTTGAGCCTCTGCAAGATGCCAGCCTTAGCGACGGGGCTGCCTATCATTTCTCAGCGGTTAAACTCAATAACACTACGTGTACGGGGATGCATGCACAATGCATGTAGAACGCCTCTCGCACGAGATATTGCTGACGGTCTATGAGACACGTTGAGGCTGCACTGCAGAGAGACATAAGTAGGATTTTTCTTTCTTTAGTAATCCTCCGCTGCGCATTCGCTTTCCGGTAGAGGCCCTTACATCGAGTATTACTATTCTCTGTCCATCTGCATGTCCACCATAAAAAACATGATGGAACAAGAAAAACATGCGCATTTGGGCGCAACCGAGGTTGTAGAGACTGCGTCGTACCATGCCCAGGGACTTCCGGCGGAGAAGAAAGGCACAGATTTCGACCAACGCGACATGCACCGCATGGGGAAATTCCAGGAACTGAGGAGAAACTTTCGCTTCGTGACCATTTTCGGCTTCACAATGGTGCTTATGGCAACGTGGGAGGCGCAACTGGAATGTGACTCGGCTCGTATAAACCTTCTGAGCACTTTTTGACGGTAGCAGACCGCTAACATATTCGGACTAATCAATGGAGGCACGGGAGGCTTGATCTGGATGTACATTGCTTCCTTCTTTGGGTTTCTAGCCGCGATTATCTCGATGGCTGAGATGGCGTCTATGTGCGTTCTTGACGGCTCGCTCTCATGCTATGTTAACGAAAACAGGGCTCCTACAACGGGCGGTCAGTACCACTGGGTCAGCGAATTCGCCCCTCCATCCGCCCAAAAGTTCCTCTCCTATATCGTTGGCTGGCTCTGCGTCCTTGGCTGGCAAGTCGGCAACACGGCTATTGCTTTTCTCAGTTCCCAGCAAATACAAGGCCTAATGATCTTGAACAATGAGGATTATGTACCACAACGCTGGCATCTTACATTGCTTGTCATTGCTCTGGTCACTTTCTGTCAGCTGTTCAATACCTTCTTCGCTCACAAACTGCCATTCGTTGAAGGCATGGTCTTAATACTGCACCTCTTCGGCTTCTTCGGTATCCTCATCCCTCTCTGGGTCCTGGGCAAGAGAACTCGAAGCGAGGCAAGGACCGTGTTTACCACTTTCACAGACGGCGGCGGATGGGGAAACATGGGTCTTTCGTGCTTGATCGGCATGCTCTCACCCATCTTCTCATTTATCGGACCGGACTCCGCGACACACATGGCAGAGGAACTACGGGACGCATCCAAGACCCTCCCTCGAGCCATGATCGCAACAGCCCTTGCGAATGGTGCCATGGGTTTTGTAATGCTGGTTACATTCTGCATGCACGTAGGCAACGTAGAGGAAATTCTGGCGACCCCGACAGGACAGCCGTTCATCCAGCTCTTTTACAATGTTACCGGGAGCAAGGCCAGCACCAACGCTATGGCATCCGTACTCATCATCATGGCAACCTTCGGCTGCGTTACGAATATCGCGACGAGTTCTCGTCAGCTATGGGCGTTTGCGAGGGACAAGGGGCTGCCATTTTCGGGCTGGCTTGCCCATGTAGGTTGGATTCTGCTGATCGCTTGGAACTTCTTTTGACATTTACTTAGGTCCGACAGGGCTGGGATATCCCTCTCAACTCCGTCTTGCTGTCTTACGCAATCGCAGTGTTACTCTCACTCATCAACATAGGCTCAACCGTCGCCTTCAACATCATCACCTCGCTCGGAACCGGCGCCCTGCTCTCGTCATACATTGTCTCCATCTCATGCCTCACGCTCAAGCGACTGCGGGGCGAGGCGTTGCTACCTTCTCGGTTCTCCCTTGGAGCTGCTGGTCTCCCGCTAAACATCTTCTCCGTTTTGTTTATCACACTGGCTTTCATTATGACGTTCTTTCCTAGTAGCCCGCATCCAGATCCAGCTACGATGAATTGGAATATCCTAGTTTTTGGTACGGTTGTGGTTTTCTCCGTTGGGTATTTTCTTGTAAGAGGGAGATATAGGTATGTGGGGCCGGTCATGTATGTAAGGAACGTGGACTAGTTACGGAACGTACAATGCCATGGGGAAATTGCGACGACCGTCTAGGGGGATCGATGAGCTTCACGCGCGTAAGGAAAGTTATAGCTATTCAATACGGTTGGGTTGCACGCATAAGCACAGTTACCTCACATCTGTAAAAGAACCGGAGGCAGGAAGAATTGAATCCAGGGTAAGACGCATACCAAGGGCGGGCTGAGAACACGAATATGAAGGCGGAGGACGGGAGTACTGCCACGGCAAGTTTGCCTGAGGTTTCGTACCATCTACGTTCGCGCAAGTACAACCATCGCTAGCTGGATCCCTATCTCAGCCCTCTACGTGCGCAATCAAGCTTACACTGCCACCTTTGATGGTCGTGTCTACGCCACCATTTTTCAAGTCTTGTGCATACTTAGTTGCCGTACGTCCCAGACACCTTAAAGTGGCACTCTTCCGGATCCCACCTGATATTGACGTCGCTCCCTGACATGCGCAGAATGGAATAGCGAACCTTCCCTCTGGGATGGCCAACGTTGTCGTAGAAATCATGCAGGGGCATCTTGAACATCTTCTTCTTATGACTCTCTGGTAGCTTGAGCATGCGTTTGAAGACAGCCTCGTCCCGGATGGAGGCCCCGTATGTGAATCTTGCTGTGCCAGTCTTGCACGACGGCTTCCACTGTAACAATTGTTCAGTATTCCGAGAGAGATTTTTTACATACGCTCGGAGACCTTACCGTCATCAACTTCTCGATTCCCTTGATTAACATGACTGCCGCTTTGTGCGCCTTCTCCTGGACCTCGTCCTTGGATAACTCCACTCTTCCTGGCATTGAAGCGAGTTGGCCTTGTAACTCGAGTGCATACGCTACAATTTCTTCTTTGGACATGGCATCAAGCTCACCTTTGGTGTATGGAACTTGCGCTGATGCAGGTGGGTTGGTTCTTGAACGCTTGCTAGCGACTTCGGCAGTGCCGTCGGACTTGCGTTTCATAGCGGGCATTTTTGGCAAATATGCAGTTGGTTCTATTGAGGAGCGTGTAGTGTTAAAGAGATTGATGAGAAGCGAGTGTTGGAAGTGAAGAGCGAGGTGGGAGTGACCGTTTATTTCGTGCAGTCAGCTCAGTGGGTGCAACTACCTAGTACGACAATGACGAACAGTAAGGAACGAGCGACTGATAGGAATGGGAATACAGTCGTAGAACAACTTCTCAAAGTCGGAGAGGAGAGAATCGTCACCCAGGACGCGTATCTGCTAAGGTGAGGACGCGACGCGCTATTCCTTGTATAGCTAGTGTTATAAACGTTATAAACGTTGTTAACCCCACGATCCGCCGAGCTGGCCTTTCCTCCTTTTCCGCTCCCTATCTTTCCACAAACGGTGCCCGGGCGGTCACAAGTAAAACCCATCTGCTTTAGAGAATTTGATTTAACGCCTAGACAGATTACAAACTGCCCGTTCCTATGTAGGCATTCTCCATCGTGCACCAAGTCTTGAGGATGGCAGAATGGAAAAACGACCGCAAACACCCTTTCGCGGAATACCTCGACTGAGTTATAAATATGACCTGCTGTGTTACTTGTGTAACAGTTCATTTTCGGTGAGGCGGCGATTAACGTAATTCCCGGCTACTTGCACATCCCGGCTACTTGCACACCCTAACCCCCCCGCACACACAAACTTCAAAATTCTGTAAAATGGTCAACGAAGCAGATATTCAGAAAGCGATTGATGATCTGAATTCGCAAGAAGCACCAAATTATGCCCAAACTGCAAAAAAATTCAAAATCGACCGAACAACCTTGATGCGCAGGCATAAAAGCATTTCTCGCACTGTTCAGCAAGCGCACTCTGAATCTCTTCAGCTGCTTATGGACACAGAAGAAAAGGCTCTTATACGGCATATTAATAATCTTTCAGACTGTGGAATACCTCCCACACCTCAAATTGTCAGGAATTTAGTGTTTGAGATTGTGAAAAAGCAACCTGGAAATAACTGGGTCCCCACATTCTGCAAACATCACCAAGACAAGATCAAAAGCCTCTATCTTCGTGCAATTGACCTGACATGTCAAGTCACTGATAATTCTGCTTATTTTGAACACTTTTATTTAACTGTAAGGTCCTGAGGCCATTCTTATATTCTATTACTTACTACTTAAAAGTGGAAGCAAAAGGTGGAGAAATACCATATAAAGTCACACAACATCTACAACTTCGATGAGAAAGGCTTTCTTCTCGGCCTCTGCCATTCTATGAAGTGGATTCTTGGTATAAACCAACTAAAGAGCAAAAAAATCATCGGTGTGAGTCAAGATGATAGCCGAGAGTTTGTCTCTCTACTGGCCTATATCTGTGTGGATGGAACAGCCATTCCACCGGCTCTTATTTACCAGGGGACATCCGGAGATCTTCAAGACACTTGGTTAGAAGATTTTGACCACTCATCTGACCAGGCATACTTTGCAACTTCGGAGAAAGGATGGACAAATGAGGATCTTGGTGTCAGATTTGATGGTATCTGAAGATGTCACGGTGACAGAAAGATTGATTGAAGATGGGTTGACTGATTGTATTCAGGTATGTGCCTGTGTGTGTCTGTGTGTGAGGCTGGGGCCTGACACCGGTTTTGATGTTCCTTCTCTGGGCACCAAGGCTGCGCAGGGCACTAGCCACTGCAGAATCACTAGCCACATATCCTCAGACAGTACCGGTACAGACACCTTCTCCCAGTCCTCCTCTCCAGTCCCAGATGGGATGTCCATAAACTGGCTTACCATCTGACACTTGGGATGAAATGGCTCGAGATATTTGACCGGTATACAAAAGAGAAAGCGGGCAATTCGAGGCATCTGTTACTCGTAGATAGCCATTCGAGTCATGTAAATCTCTGGTTTATCGACTATTGCGACAAGAACAAGATTCTACTAGTAGTTTTACCTCCACATTCAACCCACCGTCTACAGCCACTTGATGTTAGCATTTTCTCACCTCTTGTACATGCATACTCACAGGAGATCGATCAGTTAATTCAATCGAGTGGTGGGTTTTCCCGCTTGACAAAACGAAGCTTCTGGCGGCTTTTTTCAGCTACCTGGAAGCACTCAATAACTGTTTCGAACATCAAATCAGCATTTTCCAGCCCCGGAATCTATCCTTTTACACCTAAAAAGGTCCTAGACTCTATAAAGAAGAAGACTCCATCTCCAGAAAACAGCGACAGTGATATGAAGAGGAAGATGCCTGGTTCTGTGAGAGGAGTCCGCCGGCTAGCCAAAGAAATCCACAAGGAGCAAGGTGTGCATACAGCCAAAATAGAAGAAATTATCCGAGTGTGTAAGAAGCTTGCCATTGAGAATGAAATTCTCAAGCATGAGAATTCTGGGTTGCATGCAGCACTTGTGAATGAGAAGAAAAGACGAAAAAGAGGGAAAGGTATGGGGCTCTTCAATAAAGAACGACCTGGAGAAGCGCAGTTCTTTTCATCAGCGAAGGTTGCAGTAGTTAGAAAGCGAGCAGAAGAGATTGAGATTGAGAACCAACTGCAAAAGTCTCTTGCAGAAGAAAAGAAGATTCAAAAGGTGCTAGAAAAAGAGGAGAAGGCATGGGCAAAGGCAGAAAAGGCACGAGAGAGAGAAGAAAAGAAACAGGCTAAAATTGCAGAGCACGAACAGCTTGCAAAGCAGAGGGAAGAGTGCAAGTCTGAAAAGCTCATTTTGAAACAAATACAGCTTGAAGAAAAGGCTCAATTAGTTGTTGAGCGAGAGGCTCTGAAAAAGCGACATGGAGAAGATCTTGGAAAATCAGCCATGAAAAGGTGCAAGATCACAATCCAGGAACGAGCAGATGCACCTAAAAAAGTGACTCAAAAGCAGAAACAGGTTTCAAAGAGTCGATTTATAGCAGAAAATTCATCTGCAGAGGTTCGTAGATCAAGTTGCAATGGGTCAAACCAAGATGGGCAGGTTTTGAGAGTTTCAAGGACCGGACGTAAAATCGCTCCTCCACGGCGATGTCTAGACTAGAAAAGATTAAAAATGGCTTCTCCAGGTTATATTCTATAAGTCTATAAATTTTCATATAAATTGACTGATATGTTGTGGAGTAAGACCATTTTAGAATCCGGTGTTTGATTTTTGGTGGGCGTGCAAGTAGCCGGGATGTGCAAGTAGCCGGGAATTACGTTAGGTTAGCCAAACGGGGGTGCCACTCAACCACAAGCATACCTGTCTCATATCCTGGACATCGCTTTCGTCCCTGTGCGAGAGTGAGAGAATTGCAAGCCAATTAGGATGCATTCATCGATCATATCGAGAGATCAGTGTTTCCTACCAGGTCGTTCGCATCCCCTCCACCGCACAAGACTTCCTGGCTGCATAAATAAGTCATCCTTTCTAACTCTTGCCTTGACATTCTCTTACTTCCTCAAATCCCGTGGTACCGCAAAGTATAATTACGGTTGCTGGCCTTATCGGGCTGTATATCGTGGGTACAATCGCTGTATCTCCTGCGGCATTAATGCAGATGTGAGTTCCGAGGTGCGCGGCGTGGGAGGGAATATTTGTGCTTTCCAGATGACGAGCTTTTTCATGATCAGAAGGTTAAATAAGGCCTGAGCAGAGCTGGTGTGGATGTAGCTGACGAAGGGTAGTCACCAATGAAGACTTCCATGCATGAGCTTCAGTAACACAAAGTGAGCCCGTGAAATTTCTGCGATTAATAGTTTCTTTCAAACCTTGAAAGTTTATTCACATAGTCAACAAATTTCGGCCCTTATGATGCCAGTGACCGTTAGATGGGAGATACACTGGAATGAAGTGAAGCATGCGCTGCGTGAGCGAGTCGATGCGAATGTGCCAGCTAGGTTATAAGACTGTACCAGGTCCTAGTTGTTCCAGGTATGCAGAATCAACATATCAGAAAGGGTCCCTCTGGTAATACAGCCCTGGCAACTACCAAGAGGGGGGAACACTGGCCGCTGAGATTCGAGTCGAATAGTTTCAGCAATCGAGCTTACAAGATCAATTGCCGGTACAGCTATAGCATGCTCAACTTTCACCTTGCATTGATGCCACCACGTGACGTTGGAGTTCATCTCCATATTTGGCTTAGGATTCACCTTCCATAGTCACCCCCATACCCACCACCATCCGCCAACCGATGGCTGAGGTAAACTCTCTATATTGTCAGCGATTTCGGAGCGGTTTTCAGGGATGCAGAGTAGGAATGCGGAGTTGGGCCTTCCGATATCTGCGATGTTCGGGCGTGGAACCAATGTATATAACCGTCTCGTCCTTTTTGACTTCAGTTATCGCCACGAATTCCCAACATCCATCTCTCATCTTCATTTCTACAGGAAGGAGCTATAGTGCCGGCCGCATACGCAAAAATTCATTTCTAATTCACAGTTGCTTGCGGATACAAGCCAACTACGAGTCTCTCAACCTTCCCCTTTCGGACTTCCTCCATTCGGGCTGTCGAGAGCCATTGCGCATATACGGGGCGTCTTGAACGCAACCGAGGGCCTACCTATGTACTTCAAAAAGTACCTCATGGGCTGACAATGAGCAGTCTGGCTCATGATGGCACCATTTTTGGGGGGAACTGGAGAGGTGCTCGGTTCTGGTGATGGTGTTCTTGGTTTCCTCTCCGTCGCGCTAGCCATTCGCGGTATAGCATGCCCATCGAGTTTTCTAGAGTCGAGCACGACATCGGCGAACTTTGCACCATCAACTCAGCATTTGCCACCTTGAAAGCGGCCCTGAATTCCTCTAACAGTAAGGTGGGGAATATGGTGCCTGGATACCGCTGCTGACAGCCGCTTTTGGCCGTCTTCCCATGAAAATCCTGTGAAGTTTGCAGCAGGGATGATGGCGGCAACACACACGCAATTTCTTGGGGATATGGCGAGGTTCGGAGAGAACGAGATGGAGTTGAATATATATCCACAAGCCGGTGGTGACGCAGTCCGTTGCATAATTGGAAAAGCGGACCCTTGAATATTCTCCTTTTTCTCTTTCTTCCCTCTCCCAACACACCGGGAGCCCCATCATGTCGAAGTTCCTGGGAAAGCTGTCAACCAGCTCTCCAAGCTCCGAGGACGACTCCAAGAGGGATGAGACTGCTGCCGTGGACATCGACGATGGCTCCCTCTATCAAGTCCGGCAGTCGAAACGCCAGATTGGTGTCACGTCTGCCGTCTTCCTCATCTTCAATCGAATGATAGGAACCGGCATCTTCGCTACCCCCAGCGCAATTTTCTCCCTTTCCGGAAGTGTTGGTCTCTCGCTGTTCATTTGGGTCGCAGGCATGTTGATCGCCGCTGCTGGTATGGCTGTCTACCTGGAATTTGGCACTGCTATCCCCCGGAATGGAGGAGAAAAGAACTACCTCGAATACGTTTACCGGAAGCCGCAATTCCTGGCGACGGGCTTATACACTGGCTATGTTCTGTTGCTCGGCTGGGCAGGTTCCAATTCGGTTGTATTCGGAGAGTACATCCTGCACGCCGCCAACGTCGAAGTCAACCGATGGAACCAGCGAGGTGTCGGACTGGCCTGTATCACATCCGCCTTCCTGATTCATGGTCTGGCTTTGAAATGGGGATTGCGCCTTCAGAACCTCCTCGGTATCATCAAGCTGCTCATTATCATGCTCATCATTGTGGCTGGATGGGCGGCCCTAGGAGGTGCCCTTAAGATTGAGAAGCCCCATAACTTCGATAACGCCTTCAAGGGCACCACCGGAAGCGCATATGGAGTCGTCACTGCTTTGTATAACGTTATTTGGAGTTACATCGGCTACAGCAATGCCAACTACGCCCTCACCGAGACGAAGAATCCTGTCCGAACTCTGAAAATTGCGGCGCCCTTTGCTCTGGGATGCGTCTCCATCCTGTACATGCTCGTCAATGTAAGAAAATCAAGTGTGTCTGGCTTAGAACAGACAACTGACTTAGCTAGGTTGCATACTTCGCTGCCGTACCTGCTGATGAGATCATCTCGTCCAAGCGTTTGGTCGCTGCATCCCTCTTCCGCAACGTCTTCGGTGCAAAGGCCGAACGCGCTCTATCTGTCTTCGTCGCACTTTCAGCCTTTGGCAACGTGCTCAGCGTCATCTTCTCGCAAGGCCGTCTGGTACAGGAATTGGGTCGTGAGGGCATTCTACCCTTCTCGAGGTTCTGGGCCAGCAATCGTCCCTTCAACGCTCCTCTTGCCGGCTTGTTCGAACACTGGCTTGTTTCGGTCATCATCATGCTTGCTCCCCCTCCTGGTGACGCCTACAACTTCATCTTGAAGTAAGTTGTCACGGAACATCCCTTGTTTGACTGAGCAGTTTACTTACAGCCTCCTAGTGTAATCTCGTATCCCCTCTCCGTCGTCAACGTCTTCGTCGCCGGCGCCCTCATCCATCTCTACCTTAACCGCACCAAGTGGAAATGGAACCCGCCAATCAAGGCCTCCCTCCCTGTTGCCATCTTCTTCCTCCTCAGCAACATCTACCTTGTCGTCGCTCCCTTCGTCCCGCCCGAGGACGACGACAGCATCTACGAGAGTCTTCCATACTGGCTACATTGCATCGTCGGTATCGGAATCATCATTGCTGGTGGCGTCTACTGGCTTGTCTGGGCTGTCATTTTACCCAAGCTGGGTAATTACAGGTTAGAGAGGGAGGTGTTGATTGATGATATTGATGGCTGGGAACGCCATGTGTTCAAGCATGTGCCTAATGCCCAGTCATAGGCTGGGGCATTTTCACGAGGGTTCCTTTTGCATTTCGCTTTTCCTGCGTCAATATGTTTAACGCGTCGTGCTTGTCGGTGCGAGCAGTCTGACCTACAGATACCCCTAATTTTTTAATCGAAGCAATGACGGACTTAGGCAATAACATCATTTTACATGTGCCATCCCTCTTAGTCGCTCCTGCTCAACGAGGTCTCCCGCCCAACCCAGCCTCTCCCGTGAATCGTCCAATATCCTGGCATACTCCAACACAAGCCTATACAGATATAGCAACATATCTTCTCTCCTAAGCACTTTGCTCGCCCACTGCCCTGCTTCCTGCGCAATCCTACGAGCCATATCGTCATGCCCATCGCCTTCTCTGCTACCTCCTCCTGAGCTTCCCAGAAAGAACGCCATCACGCTATAAAGGTCCACGAAAGTGTTGTCCAGAGGTACATAATGCACCCACGGCCACACCCTAGCATCCTTCCAATCTTTATAAACGCTAGCACGAAGCACCACGCTCCCACTGGCCAGTCCTCGCAAGAACTCCCCGCCGTCGTCGGCGCCACTCCCATCAAGCACAGCCACATACTTGTAACTCTGTTGAGCCTGGTCTCCCGCTTTGTTTTCATCCAGGTCGAAATATTCTGCAAAATATGCACATGGTGATGCACTGGAATCCTCACACTCCATTTCTGTGAACCGAACGTCGGCCCAGCTCCGCACCCAATCGGACAGGCGTTTGTTTCGCTGCGCCTCTACTTCATATACACCTTCCCCGGGGAGGATGAAGTTGCCCGCGGGTCCAACGCCTCTGACACTTGAGTTTGCGGAGCCCGAGTTGAGGTCTGCGACATGTATGTGCGACGCATTCAACATACTAACGAACCTGTGTCTTTGCAATCGGCACCAGTTCCTCCTCGTTATTTTCCCTCCAGTGGCCGGTCCGCGCCAGTACAGCTTCGAATTTCGTTTCTCCCATGCTGTAGTGACTGGTGAAGTCGTAGGATCAAACACCAAGGCGCTCACATTCCAGTCCCCTAGTCCGGGAATCAAGATATCATTATTGACACCCAATTTGCCGCCACCACTGAACATCGGAACCATATGCTGCGTGGTCCGTATATCGTCAGGTGCCACAAAAGCTCCATGGAGACCTTGCAACCACGGCATGTTGCATATATCAGTCGGTTTTGTCCAGTTGCCGACATAACCGCCGGAGTGATCCCTTGTCCTATTCAAGAGAAGATTCGGTGCAGAATGAGCAGCATCCGTGTGGCCCTGTGGCTGCCATATATCGGCCAGGATAGGATTGAAAGGCGGTTTACGAGCTGCAGAAGATGGAGGGCAAGCGGGTTGCACCAGCGACCAGTAGGGTCTGTACGGGCGCGGACCCAGGTAGCCGTCCGATGGGGGTGGGAGATGAGGGCCGAGGAATTCCGGGTCGAACGAGGATGTCGTTGTCGTTGAATTGGAGGTGTTATTTCCAATGGGAACGCTGAAGTTGAGTGTGAGATCTTCAGCTGGAGGTAGGACTCGTCTAGTCTCCAGGAGCAGCATCTGGATCTCCTCCCAGGGCACCAGAACGGCAGGTTCGTTGTTCGTGTTTATTGCCATATCAATACGGATATTGGGGAACCGGGCGCCGTCCCTGATTAATTCTTCGAGCATGGCTTTCCAAGCATCCAGCTTCGAATGTGGACCCATTTCTTCATCATCCACATCTACGTGACCGTCTTGTAATCGTATTCGGGGCACAAGCTCCGCAGCTTGTGCGCGTCTCCGGAGCTCAGGCGGCGTTAATCCCCTCAACGGCTCTAGATCTTCGCATATCTGATCCCAGAACTGCTCTACTATGACCGCATTGTAGGACTGCGCCAAGCTATACCATGTTTCGAAGCCTGGGGGCGGATGCCTGCCCCTTCGTACTCGATATTTCGCTGCTGCATCTGGAAGGGAGGATGCCGCAGAAGCCAGAGTTCTTGCAAACGATTGTTGAGAGTCGTCAATGAGCCGGGAGATGAGATGCCGCGATGATAGATATGGTTGCTCCTGAGACGATGGCCTATGTGAGCCTATGCGAGTGTCTATACTTGTCCTGAGATAGCGTAACGAGTCGAAGGTGCTGCCGAGGCCCCAGACGGCAGCATAGAGGGAAAGGAGACCAAAAAGCGCCAAAGCAGCCAATACTGATCCTCGAACTAATGTTATTCGTCTGCCTTTCGGGAAGACGCTTGTTTCACTCCCCCGTCTCAAGCAAGCGAATAGCATGGTTCATGTTTTGTGGCAGAGAGATTCAGCGGGCCGGTCTGGGTTTCTGCGGAAGGCGATTGGAATCCGAAACCGATCATCGCATGGTGAAATGTGTTTCGCATATGTCCCTCCAAAGCGCTGAAGGCGAGATAGTAGCATCGGATGCACTGAACTCTAGTTGCGGGAACGGTCGCGACAATGGCAGGTGGAAAGTTCGCTCAAGATTCCGAAGAAGTCGGGAATGCGACTCAACTGATTAATAGATTGTAGGTGTTGTCGATCGCACATCGGCCTGGGAAATAGATTGCACCTGCATGGGGTTGGCATACCCCAGACCCGATTCAGCCAAGTCAATTACTTGATTATTGCTGTCTTTCGCCGCACGTCCGGCGGCGAGCTTTTACAAGCTAAGTATGAAGAGGGTCTGGCAAAAATCGCAGGCGCAGCCGGCGATGACGTGGACCGGTGGCATCTGTAAGTTGAATCGATCATGCACTCTGGGGCAGATGCAGCATGTTCCCCATCGGAACCTTGCGGCAATCAGTTGGAGACTTAAAGGTGACCCTAGCGGTTTCAGGCATCCATGGCCGCATCTTCGTCCTCATACCCATCCTCCTCAACATCACCCGTTTCTGGGTCATCATAATCCTGTCCCTCTTCGTCTTCACTGTCGGTCCCGCTCCCTTCGCTTTCGCCCTCGCTTCCAGGATCGAAATCGTCGTCTTCCTCCTCCTCATCCTCTTGCTCCTGCATGAGCCTTGCTGCTTTTTCCAACTCTGTCTCCCCGTTCTCCTCGCCTGTAGCGGTGCCGTTTCCTTCCTCGTCCTTTTCCGCAGGTGGGTTGATGTTGAGTTTCTTGGCACGGCGCTCTGCAGCCATACTGGCGTCTTGAAGACCGTGATGTTGTACGTACGCATTGATTCCCTCATAATCGGCCTGATCAAGCATGCCGAATTCGACCTCTTGTGTTGGCGTGGTGATGACCAGGTTGAATGTGTTACGGAGCACGTTCGTGTACGAGACCGAATTGATAGCTGCGAAGTCGAAGAAGGCAAGGGGCTTTTTGAAGCCATACACTATGCCGCCAGCCGTAAAGAATAGATAACCTGTAGCATAATGAATACCAGTATCGTGATGAACAAGCCCGAAAGGACGTACCCTCTTTGCTTCCCCTGTGAGCCTTGACGTGAAATGCTTTCTCGCCCTTCCTATGGCTCTGAGGTATCGCACTCGCAAACTCATTCGCGTCCGGGAAGATCACCGATTTCCTCACTCCGGCCTGACCTAGACACTGGTTGATTGCATCCGCCATGGGTTGCGGGCCAGGATCCTCCCCTTCAATGATGTTCTTCCCCGTTGCTTCTTCGAAAGTCCACACGACAGGTTCAGGCGGAGATGCCTTCAGGTGCTCCGGCACGGGGTTGACGCCGTCGCCATGCACCGGGATGGCAATGAAGTTGTGCTGACGTTTTGCTTTCTCGGGGACGGGTAAGCAGAAGATCTGGTCTTGCCAAATGTCAGCCGGAGTCAGGCTCCAATCAATCTGTACATTGCTACTCACCGATATCCTTCCAAGCTATGCCGAATTCCACGCTACCATCAGGCCCAATGCCCCGTATTCCGCCATCTCGCTTGCCGGCCACGAGCTCTAGTGTGAGCTTTTTCCTTTGGGGAATAGAAAAGCTGACAGCAGGATATGCCTTCCACGCCTTGATTACGGCACTGGAGAGGCCTCCTAATCCAGCCCCCGTAGCCCCATTAGAAACGCCATTGTTGTCCTCTAGTTTCCGCTTTTTCGTCGCGGGCTCTTCCGCTCCTTGTGATGTGCGATTGAGAATATAGATAGATATTTCCTGGAAGAGAGTGGTCTGCGCAGGGTTCTCATCTATGCCAAGGTTTTAGAAGTGTCTATGTCGAAGAGATCTGGACCAGCTTGACATACCTATTGCAGCGCGTACTCTTTTGCGAAGCTCATTGTTAGCGGCAAATGCAAGGTCAATCTCCTGTCGACGCGTGCCCGCCATGGTTATCCAAGCGACAAAGTGGTGACTGAGGCGCCCTTTCACGCGATACCGTGGTGATAAGAGGTTGACGCGCCTTGGAGTCGTGTGTGGCTGGAGCTGTGGCAGAGCTCCCAAATTGTCCTAATCCGGCTAGACTCGCGAGCCCTAGCGTTCATTGTAATACGACCTCAATACTCCTATGCCATCACGTCTCGAGGTCAATCCGCCCTTTTTGCTCTGTCACCGGCTTCTGCTATGCCTCAATTGCTGGGTTACTATTCTCCTATTGCGTTAAACCGAGATTTGGTCAGCAGGTCGTATTCTGCTAACATCCACTCGTCTCTCCTTGCACGACATGTCATTCTCCACATCGAACCCGCTGGGGTCGGCTTTGCAAGGCGTTGCCACAGACTTTCCTTCAGTTCAATAATATCTGGGCGCTCTAACACATATTCTGCAGCAGCCGTCCCAAGTTTAGAGTTGATCGCCAATACATCCCACTTTCTACTAACCACACTCGCTCTGACCACATATGATGGTACTTACATATCAGCCTATACTTCGGGAAATATGCCATGAAAGGACATTTCAGAAACAGCTGGACAATTGCCGCACATCCAAACATGCTTGATCCTCGATGCAGAGATTAGTTCAGCCTTATATTGCTACATCTCAGGAACGGTGAAGGTCCGTGCGCGTCGCGAATCTCTAACACCAGTCGTCGCGGGACTCCGGGAGAACCAATTTCATCGCTGAATTCCTTCCATCGCATAGTTTGGGAGACTAAAAGGGCATTCTATGGAACACTAGGTTCAAGCAGTCTGCAAAGTACCGTTATATGCCGTGGTACAGCATTGCCTGCCGAGCACAGTAGATACAATCGCGGAGGGGGTTCGGTACAATCTCAGTATGAAAATGACAGTCGCGTCCATAGCCATGCATTATACCTCGATGCTCGTCTTTTCTTGTCGTCCTGCAGCTTTGCTGTTATGAACGCTACACTGTCCGGTTCCGTCCACTACTTCACTTTGCTAACCCCTTCACTGCCTTTATCCGTTGTCCACCTGCTGGCGTTGGCATTCTCCTTTTCATCTTCTCAGTACCTTCGATCATAATCTCTTAATTCATATTTCTGGTCGGATTATTCAACAACTTCTCACCAAGAAACCTCGGTGACGGCCTTATGCAAGAAAAGCCCTAAGATGGAGTCTTCCACTTCCCAGAAATCCGGTTTTCGGCTCCCTGCGTTGTTTACAAGAATCTTTCGACTCAAGAGCACCGCATCACAACCTGTATTCAACAGGCCCGTCATCACTGAGCGCGAATATCATATCTCTCGCGCCCTCAACCTTACACTCCTATCGCTCATGGTCGTTTTATCTGTGGCGACTGTCGGACTCAAAGCGATGACTCTTGCATTCATCGAAGACAACCACGATATGGGATTTGTCTTTGAAACCGGAGATCCCGAACCCACCGTTCTGGCAGCGTTGCCCGGGCGGTTGTACACAGCGCCGGCAAAGCTGGCCATTGTAGCCGGCGTAGTCGCTTTTGTGATTGGGGTTGTACATGCAGCATGCGTGCTATGGGATTGGAAGCGTGGTAAATTCGTAAGACATACCTTCAAACTAGGTTTTGAACTTCACCGTCGAGCACCTGGCTGACGACACATGAGTAGACACAATCATATGCCTTCCGTCGCAACAGCATGTTCCTGCACTTCTGCAACTCTGTACTTGTGCTCTTCTCCTTGGTTTCCATCTTCATCACGCACAAATCAACCTCGCATTTCCATGAACGATACATCATGCGACAAGCGGATCGCTTTAACGATCCAAACAATCCCTTCAACAACAGCACCGATAATGATGGCATCCGTTATAACATCGGCACTTTCGACCTCGAGACTTGGAGCTGCGAACTCAAGACCGTTGAAGGCGCTAGGAGAGTATGGAGTGAGTACGAGCGACAATGTTCCATTGAAATGGCGGGAAGAATCCTCGTTATACCTTTTATGATAACAGCCTTCTTGATCGCCGGTGCATGCATTGCGCAGATGATGAGGTGCAGGAGGGATGCCAACGGGGAACGCATGAAGACCGAGGAGGTGAGCATGGAGATGGGCAAGTTCAACGCCATCTAAGATTTTCCACAGAGCCCTCAACTCTGCATTTTTCGTGTGACTTCAAAGCAGTCGGACATTTTGATCATTTCCTCTTTTTCTAGAAATGGGCACGAATCTTGAGGTCCCGGCAAGGCATCGTTTGGCGTTGTATTCGGGCCCTGATGCCACCTTTTCCTTTGGAGGTTAATTGTCTCCTCCACCTAGACCTAATCGCTTCTTTGCTCTCGCATCATGGATAGATATACCCCACGTTCGTTGTCAGATATACACATATAGAGTCGACAGACTATGGCTGGCTTCCTTGTCTGTTTAGAAAGGGAAGGGCGTCTCTTGGTTTGAGTGGAGCGGTCCGGTAAAGAAATGACTATGTCCCTGCATTGGAATATCACAGTATCGGAAATATACTCGCCAGTTTACAGTTCTTCGAGCCGCCGTCTCTTAGTATACAATGGTATGTTGCGTCGGGGGGCACACCGTATAGATTTGCCAATTTGATTGCGATATATGATCACAGCTCAATGTTTGCACTCGCATACAACTCATGTGCCATCCGCCGACTTTTACTGTGTAGCGCCATGGGTGGGGATACCGACTTTCACGTGTCGCTAACATAGGTGGGAGACCCTTGGAATGGACTCCACCCTACCATGTAGACTATCCACCGGAAATCGTCATTGCACCAACCCCCCGTTTAAACTCCAGATGCCAAACGCAGCGCAAACATTGGAGATCAAAAACTGTCTTACAAGCAAATTGAAAGAGATCGTTCGCTTCCGATAAGGAGTTGTAGCCAAGGCGCCAAGAAGCTCATTTCACCAGCAACGATACACTCCCACAATACTTACACCGAACCCCTATCTAACCATCCACTTCCCCTGTACCCAACGGCATACCCGATGCATACGTTTCTAGTAACGACGCCTCCTCGACCGCGCCCACCATGTCATACGCCCCATTGCCCTCCTCCGTTGAGCCAGAACCCCTGAACGGCACTCAACCCCATCATCGCGATGACCGGTCCCGAAACTACGTTTCACACTTCGATCATGGCTTCGAGAAGGAAGAAGAAGGTCTTCGCGCCCCATACTACTTTGTCGGTCACAAATTGCACACCGCAATATCCATTGCTGCGGGCACAGTGATGTGTCTGTTTGGATACGAGCAAGGTGTCTTCGGAGGCATTATGGTCGGACAGCCCTTCATATCGTACTTCGCGGATCCTTCGCCATCAGTACTAGGCTTCGTAACCAGTATATACGATCTCGGATGTTTTGGAGGCGCTATCTTATCGTCATTTGTGGGAGAAAAGTTGGGACGAAGATGGATGCTGATGGTGTTCACTGTCATCATGACTGTGGGAATCGTGATTCAGACTGTGGCGCAGAGCATGACCTGGCTGGTCTGGGGAAGACTGATTGCAGGGATTGGGAATGGGGGAAACACGGCTACTGCGCCTGTATGGCATGTGGAATGCAGCCGCAGCGAGGAGAAGGGCCGCGCCGTCGTGAAGGAGATGACCGTGAATGTCGGAGGATTCGTGATGAGCAATGTTATCACGCTTCTCTTCAGCGGTGCTAGCTCAGAGGCTCAGTGGCGGTTCCCGTTGGGCATACAGCTGATCTTCAGCGTGATTATCCTATGCATGGTTTATATCTTGCCTGAGAGTCCTAGATGGCTTCTCATGAGGAGCAGGGATGCTGAAGCTCGGAACGTGCTCAGGGCTTTGAGTGATAGCGATGGCGAGGCACAAGACGAGTTTGTCAAAATCAAGGAGTCTGTAAAAGTCGAGCAAGCAGCAAAAGCATCATGGAAACAGGTCTTCGCTGGAGGCCAGGCTACTCGACGAGTGTCTCTTGGTGTCCTGCTTCAAATGGTAAGGGATCTACCGGCATAAACACGTCCGCCGCTAACAAATGCAAGGCCCAGCAGTTGTCAGGTATAAATGTCCTATGCTATTACTTGCCTCTGGTTCTACATCGTTCGGTCGGTCTGCCGGAGCTCACCTCTCATATCATCGCCACCATCAATGCTTTCTGTTTCATGAGCGCGACTTGGGCATCAATTACAATCATCGAGCGCGTAGGGCGCCGTCCTCTCTTGATGATATCTGCCGCTTGCATGTCCCTTGCCTTCCTCGGTATTGCAATATCAGTGGGAATAGGGCAGTCCAACCTCGGAAGCAGTCTCGTTCCGGGTATCGTCGCCACGGTGTTTATGTTCCTCTACTTCACCGCCTTTAGCTTTGGCTGGATCACGGTCCCTTGGTTGTATCCAGCTGAAGTAAACTCCCTTTCCATGCGCTCGAAAGGTGCCGCGCTTGCCACAGCATCCGATTGGCTCTTCAACTATGTTGTGGTCCAGACGACGCCGATTGGCATTCACTATCTGGGATGGTTCATGTACCTTATCTACGCCATCTTGAATGCTTCGTTTGTTCCTTTCGTTTACTACTTCATTGTGGAGACCGCAGGCAAGAGCTTGGAACAAATCGACAGATGGTTTGCGGGTAACCCTGGCTGGAGAGTCGACAAAACAAGCGTTCAGGAGGGGCGGCTGTCTGAGCATGCGCTTGCACCGGACCATGAGCGGGACGACCAGGAAAGGATGTTGAAAGAGTTCGAAGTTGAGAGTGATGAGGAGCTTTGAGAAAAGGTGGTTAAGCTCCCCTGCTTGAACGAAGACAAGTAGGTTCAACATCAGACAAGCCGCAACTACCCTCGGTCCATTCGTGGAGGTACTCGCCATTGTTCCGGAATCGCATTTGTGGGTGACAGTGGAATCATGTGCTCTGCGTGACTGGCTGTGAGCACGCAAGCTCCTTTCCCGCGATTTCACCGCGATCGCAGGCGACACGTGACGGTTCCGTAATGTCAACGCTCGGGCTACGGATCCAACGGCGCGACTTTCACAATCTTTCCTCAAGTCACTTATATAAGGATTTCAAGTCTACTTCAACTCGGCTCCAACCAACTATTCGACTGGCAGCAAATCCAATATGGCTGGGGAGCGAACAACTTCTACAATACTCTCGACGTCAAAGCCCGAAGCCCAAACCGCGAAACCGCCGAGTTGGCTAGATATTTTCGATGATCTCATCAACAATGACGCCAAAGCCCCATCAACATTCCGCACCGGGCACACCGCAATCAGACTCCCCGACCACGCCCACTATGGCAACTGGCTTCACATCAGTCGAGTGCTGTCCGACTCACGGAAGACAGAAATCGAGACAGATATGAGGGCTATGTGGTGGCAATGGGAGTCGTCCGTATACCCGCCCTACAACGGGCCTGGCGTCCCCTACCGCATGCTTCCCAAAAGCTTTTGGAAACTGATAGGGCCAGAATGGGCTCCATATCCGATGACCAAGTCACCCGTTGCTCCATTTCAGGGACCTCATACGGCTCTGTTCAACGACGGTCGCCATTTCCGAGGCTGGTTCATGCATGTTCCTCGATACCTCAAAGCGGATGAGATGGCCATCGCCGAAGAGAATCTCAAAACTGCCTGCGACCAACCGTGGGATTGGGGTCGAGCACATGGAGCCAACCCGGTGATGCCGCTTAGCGAGAACGACGCGCATAGGCGAGGTGTATATTCTGGTCAGAAAGACATGGTGACGTTCCTCAAACACGAGTTGCACATTTCTTTTAAGCGTCAAGAGGATGAATACGGGACGTGGAAAATGGATCCTCCTCTTTGGTCGAAATGGACGGAACCTCCGCCAACCTGGTATCCAAATCCCTTCCGGCCTTTACTGGCAGTGTTTGCTCCAAAACGACCTCAGGGTATGGAGTATTCCCGGCCTCCACCCGAGCTCGAAGTGCTCAGTGACGATGATTCAGTGGTGGAGGAGAATGTTCGATCTTTAGATCAGTCGTGGGCTGCACATGATGAGGTCTATAACCGTCTTCTTATGCCTCCTACGCCCGAGAAGCTTGAAGATGATAACGAAAATGATGATTGGGATTCGAACGAAGGTTAGTCGGCTGTCCCGCGGATTGCTCGTTTGCTTTCTTGCTCCTTAATACCATGGCTGATCCATGATTAGCCACTCTCTCTGGACAGACTTGATTACGAGCATTAGGAGAAGATCATGTCCCGACTTGAGGAATGAGAGATTCATTGGCGAGGTAATGGGTACTCGGGGTAATAGAGGATGTTGGGCTTACATTTTCCTTGTGATGACTGATGTACAGGATACCAGAAATGTACTTATACAAGACCTCTTCCTAGACCGTTATGGGTCTATTCTGCTTCCTTCACTGGGTCCGCTTTCCTTAGCGAAGCAGTCGACTTGCCCACGCGCGTGAGTCCCGTTACAGCTACCCCGGGCTTAGACCGCAGCAGGAAACCCTGTGAAGACAGGTCCACGTGTACTTGCTAAGTATTCGCACCTAATCAATTTCTAAGACTTCACCTTCACCAGAGCCATTACGACACTCGTCCGCAATGTGTCCTATGTCACTCCTTCAGTTATCTATCAGAATATTATAATTTCAAGCCACTTAAGAACGGCGGAGACCAGGCGAGGCGCAAGGGCAATCGACGGGGCACGTTGCGCAGGAGCAAATACGCTAGGACACGTAAACCGGTCCAGAAAGAGTACCAGCAAGTCGGGTCGACATCTGGGGGAGAAGACGCAACTGCACAAGCCCGGCCTTGAGGCATGCCTCCGGTAATTGTCATGGTTTCGTTAAGTTCTGACCTCAAACCGGCATTAGTCCACCAGGAGGCCAAATACTTTTAAGGGCTCGCTCTGACAGTCCGAATTTTAAGTTGTCATAGTACGCTCGGCAGAGTTCTCCCAAATTTGCTACGATAAAATCGTGCACCAAACGGCGATTATAATTTCATCTATGCTTTAGAACGGGAACATAACTAAAACCATCAACACTCAATCCTGCGCAAACCTCTCTTACATCCCATCCTTCAACATAGCCTGCACAAGCTGTACATGCCTATTCGCATTCGTCTCGCTCCACTCATTCTCATAATTCAGTCCATACGGCCAGAAATGCCCGCCTCCACAATTAATCTTCGCACTCGGCCCATCCCAACTCCTCAACAGCGGCAGCGCCGTCTTCCAATCCCCAGCCTTACACTTCCGATCAAACGCAGCCGTCTGCCCCACCCCCAACGTGTGGCTGATCTCGTGCATCGCGGTCCGCTCAGTCATGTACGCGCGGTCGCTGCCGAAGCGCAGGTCGCCGTTGTAGTTTGCCTCTGCGGTCGGGACGCCGGGGGAGTAGTAGACGCGGATGGTTTTTTGGGCGTCCGAGTAGCGGTGGTAGCGGGCGACGGCGGCGCGCATGGCGTTTTCGATGCGGGCGTAGGCGTCTTTTTGGTCGGCGGTGGGATTGGAGGCTTTTTGCAAAGTCCAGTTTAGGGCGGCGGAGGCGGGGGAGAGGCAGGTTGCTGCTAGGGCGATGATGGAGAGGCGCATGGTGGATTTGTGAAGGGGGTTTTTTGGGGGTGTTGGTTTGGTGCTTCTTGTTAGGATGGAGATTTGAAGGATTGCGGATAGAAGAGTGAAGTACTCTGAATGGGGTTCTATATGGGGAAGCTCGAATTGTACAAATTGTAGGGTACACTCGTCGCTTGTATCTAGTTCCAAGGCCTCCATTATACCCATCTAATTGCTAATGCTCCTGACCATCCTCGATGTTATCTCTAGAATTATGCTCATATTGCGCGTGTTCCTAATTCCCTCCAATGATATCATCAAGAGGAGTATGAGCGTGCCGCGTAGATTAACATTCACCCCTGTTGAACAGGGGAGTTTCCCGCAAAACTCAAAGGTCGCGTAGGTTTCATATCTGCGTACCTACCTGTCCGGTGAAGCCTCGGAGACGATGTGGCTGTCGATCATTAACTGCCTGCTTGTCCTAGTTGATGTACTTGGCGATGACCAGAAGAGTGTCCTAGTCTCGCAGTTCACCACACTAAGTCTAATGCATTGACTTGCGAGACATGATCCAGATCTGCGAAGAACTCTGCCCAATCAAGCAGGAAGACATTGGATCTATCAACGTGAGGTGGAAAATGTGCAGATTCCAGCATTTAGGAGAAAGAAGAGTGAACTGATATTAGGGGTATCATGGAAATGGTCGTCTGGAGCAACTTAACATCTAAAGCTTTACATAGATGCATCACTCCCGAAGATCGCGGCGTCAAAATGCCACGCCAGAGTTCCACAGGCAGAATCCAACACGCATTTAGGTTCAGTTACCGCGCACTCTAAACAGCTGGCGAGCGTCGATCCGGCTTGTGATTCACTTCCAAGCGCATTGAACTCATTCCTCTTGCTCTTCGTCCAAGGTGGACATACTCTCACGCGTCTCTTTTCGACGCTCCCACTTCTTGGAAGATCCTATGAATCTGTTACTTCGTGCACATGGAGTGTGGAAATCATGGCCCTTACTAGGCTGACGAACCTCAGCTTGCTTGCTGGACTCTGGCTTGTTGTGAGGGCCCATCCTAGCATCTCTTTGCTGCTCTGCCTCTACATTCTGCATCATAGCTTCAAGATTCTTTTGTGCTCTTTTGGTCTTAGCTGCTTCTGTCGGGTTCTCGTCCTTCCCGTAGCTCGCGAAGATGTCGTCGGCTCTCTCTGCAGTGCTGCTAGTTCTCCAAGTCCCCGCATTAGTTTGACTAACCGATTTGCGGGAAGCTTTGTCTTTTGATTTCTTGGGCAGTTTGCTAGACCCTTTTCCCATGTCGAATGGATGATTATTAACTTTGGTCGAAGCGGTAATTATCAGAAAATAGTTTAAGACTGTCTCAGTCAAGAAGTGTTTCGATGCTTAAGAAATGACCGTTGATGTGTGTATATACAAAGAAATAAAATAAATGGAGGTATAGGAAGAGTGGATTTATACTCGGGGATGACTGGAGTGAGACACAGTTTAAACAGTGACTCTGAACGAGTGACTTAAGAGGGGTCTGAGCATTTGATGGTTTTCATGACTGCAGAAACCATCTCGGAGGGTCCTTCTCTTCGTCGTCAGTTCGCGTAGCACTGACAAGTGGCAGTTGATGGTCTGACGACGAGTCTGTGCATTGTCGTACAGGTGTGAAGTAAAAGCCTCTGATGGTTTTTGAGGAGAGTGCAGAGGTTTACTTGGACTTCGTATCATATCGCGAGTGGGCTTTTATACGATCATTGGAAGACGCATGCTGGTCTCAAAAGGCGGCATATTGTTTCCATCACTACCGCAGCCCACAGCAGTGTTGCGTTGTGGAAGTTCGGGCGGTGTAATAGATATCCCCCAAGTCAAAATGAAGACCCCCTCTGTGCGATGAACTTGGACGTTTGATGGAGGAACAAAGTTGAAGTCAAAACATGCATCTGCCGCAGGACGATCTTTCCTGGAAGAGTCGTAGCGGATGAAGGCTAGCGGCTTGGCAATCAGTGCGGTCGCTGACGCCTGAGGCAACCCAACTCTCATAACACGACGGGAGCGAGCTTCTCTCCAACTAGCCTTCCTTTCCCCAGCTGCTTGAATCTTCTCCATGATGTCCCTTGCGTTGCCGGATTCGCCACATCGGCAGAGACGCATCTGGCGTCCCAATGGATCCCACATCTCACAGTATGGGATCAAGAACTGTCGTCGGCTTTCTTCGACGTCGTGGAACACTGTATAAACGCCCGCAACTTCTCCATGAGCGATCACACCTCATGATAGACCGGTGAGAGGGAAGGAATAGCATAACGCTGGCTATCGGAATGCTGGCTATCAGATCGCTCGATACCGATGTATCAGGACGCACGGCTAATGAAAAGTTCAGAGAACCAAGTCAACCATCGCACGTCATACCTAGTTTGCCCGTGGAGTAGAGGGTTTCAAACGTCCTGGTGACGTGCTGATTGGAGGGGTGCCACTTCCGCCGGAACACATCCGGAGAACGACACCTACGAACAGTTGTTTCGACAAATCTGGAAGAACTTGGATGCGACTTCACATAAGGCCATTCGGTTTCCCTGGCCGGCAGCTGCGCGACGTCCCTGCATGGTGCCTACAAGGCGGAGAATGCGTCTCGTTGACCTGAAGGGTCCACAATACTTTGGTTGAGGACTGTGGACTGTCAGCCTTTTTCATGGGATCGGTGTGTCCAAGAAGAAGAACAAGGGACGCGGCAGGAATGAACCTGAAGCAACAGAGGAGAGGAGTTCTCACCGTCAAGGTCGTCGCCGATTGCAAGAAGAGTTGACAATTTGGTGAGGAACAGGAAGAGGTTTGTTGCGGAGAGGTTGCAGGGTGGTGATTAAGCCATCAGAGGTGGTGGTCTGATACTCACGTCTCGCGCCCGCTCTGATTGGTTGATAACCCAATCCCCCTCCATCCATGCTGCAAAGCTTCGCCTGGCAGTCTTTCACGTGGGGGCCCGTAGGGTGGTCTCAACCACCTCTACGAACAACCGACTCCGCTTGATGCCGTAGCCCAATTCTCCACCCGACATCCCGTCATCCTCTCGAGCACGGCTGAGTGCACTCCTTTGGCCTATCATCCATCAACAAGGCGAGTTGGGGACATCCTTACTTTCCTGCTTGGCGGCCTCATTCCATCTCGAGATGGGCTTACTTCAACTACCAGGCGAGGTGCTTGACGAGATCATCGACTTTGCCGTTCCTGATGGCCTAGAAAACTTTGCCCTTAGCTGCAAACTGATTTATGCACGGGCTTCCTCTCAGATATTTCATCACAACAGGCGCACACGGATCGGGCGCTACGCGGCTCAACCGAGCAACGACCGGGGCAAGCCATTGCTCCTTCTGTTCGAGATTTCGAGGGATCCCTCCGTCGCAGACTACATAGATGTGCTCAACCTCAGGAATCCCAATCCGGATGACAATGCATCCGGCTCAACTCAGCTTACCGATGAATTCCGTATGGAGGAGGAGGCTATGGATGGGATCAAGAACATGGTCACCCAGTCCGCTTGGCTGGAGAGTGCTGGCGTTAATGTGGAAGATTGGTGGGATGCCATGATGGACGAGGATGAAACAGTCGACGACGAGGACGACTTCGAGGGTGTGCCGTGTACGGTTGTCTCTCTCCTGAGCCAATTGCCGAATTTGAGGTCCCTGCAACTTCCAGAAACATGGGTTCAATTCCGCCCAGAGTCCGCGCTGACTGATAGAGAGAGGCAGTTGCTCTACGTCCTCGACGCCTTGGTAGCATATTCGAACGCGGGCGCAAAGGGTGTTGGCAGACCACTCCAGCATCTCGAAACACTCTTACCATTTAGCCCTTCAGGCTACGAGGCCAGAGCTGCCCTGCAGTCCGTGGAGCCTTTTCTAGCCTTGAAAGGTCTGCGGGAGTTGTTCGGGGTGGCTCTGATCGCTGTTGACGACTCCTATACGGGGATCCCCTTCCGATGGAGATCGGACCACGCAATTTCCTCATTGCGTCGCATCGAGCTCGCGCACTGCTGCATCGATGCAGATGGTATATCCGAATTCCTATCTCGCACGCCCCAGTTGGAGATCTTCCGGTATTCGCACGAGACGAAATGGCACGGGTGTGAGCATGACTGGAACGCGGGTGCTTTCATTGGAGCCATTGCTCGACATTGCGGCGCAACCATCACAGAAATGGCAATTACCATCGACGAGATGTATGGTGACATTATCAACGGCGCCTCGAGTTTCCTCGCATTCAATAATCTGAGGACTCTCGAGGTAGACGTGCAGATCTTTTGTGGACCGCCTCTTGAAAGCGGTCAGCGACGAGGTCTAGCGGCAATGGTGCCTGACGGCGAAACCCCTTGGACAGAACATGATATTCCCTGCATCGCCAGCATGCTTCCGCCCAGCATCGAGCATATGGTCATCAATACCGATTTTCCACAGAGTGAGGCCCAGGCGCTGCGATCATTACTGAAGAACATCCCGCAACAACAGGCGGAGCGCTTGCCACAACTACAGACCGTCATAATCAGGCAATTCAACGATACGTCTGGTGAGGAAGTTTTTGGCATACCTGGTCACGTACATGTCGTGGACGGCAATGCGGAACTCAAACTGCAGAGATCCATGCTTCCGTTGTGGAAACGGAATTTCTCCACGCGCGTTGGTGGCATCGCCTACACTTAGTACGAATAGACTCGAGGCATTAAATGGAAACGAGCAACATCATCTTTCTTTAACATTCAACAAGATCTTCACTGCCATACAAGTCATTCTTCCCACCGTCTACTCCATGGTGCCAAGCACCTGCATAAGCTCCCCGAACAAGGCTGGGGTGGCACAGCTGGGCGCCGATTCTATTCTTGACCTCTCACATCGCCCCGCTAAGCGCGGTGTAAGCACGATAGTGACAGCGTACTGTTAAGTCTGACTGTTGCGCAATAGGATTCTGGAGATTTAGGCACGGTAGATAGTCCGAGGCCGGTTACCGATGAATGAGGCTTGTACTTGGGCTGAAATTCCAACACTGACCTGCGACGTCTCCGGACTTGCGCACGAGTCTCTCCTGTGCGAGCTGCGCACGGCGTGGGCACGCACTGGGAGGCGTAGGAAGGCGCAGTGGAGGATGTTATCTACCGGCAAAAGAAAGACAAAGCAAACTCGGCATGTCTTCCTATCTCAATTGCCTCTATCTCCTAAGCTTTCCCCTCATTGTTTTGTCGCTTGTCTATTGCTACGTGGAATCACTGGTCTGCAAAAGAAGAACACAATCGCCAAAATGGCTTCCCTCATGCTATATCGCTTAGTTCTCCAATGGTCCTTGGTCCCTACGGTGCTACTCTTTATCCTCTCTCTCGCATGTGCAGGCTTGACGACTTTCTACTGGGTCGCTGGAGACAGGATGATAACCCGTGGCATTGTCCTGGGGGCTTCCACTGCTCGCTTTATGAACCTCGACTGGACGGCCACGATTGTCGACTATGTGTCATCATCGACAGATGCGGCAATAATTTCTGCCTGCTTGGGCGGATTGGCAGCCGTTATCACTTTTATGGCTTGGAGCAAATTACGGAGCGAAAACATTGATACGGACTATGAGCTCGTACGTCCACACTTTTCGCCCTGCCCGTTCCCAGTTATTCGCGAAAACGGTAGTTAACCAACCCCCTAGCCTCGGCGCCGTCTTTGGGTCGGTCTCTCCCTCGTCGTCCTGAGCGCATCATTTGGTTCGGCACTTGCGTCTTTTATCCTGCACTTCTCTCGCAAAGGCCCGGATGAGTATGGCTGCACGACCACGTTGAGTGGTTCGGACCCATCCCGTACTGACCGGTGGATCATGTGCACGAGGGAAATGGCATATTGCCGCGCCTTGCCCATGTTGAAGAAATTCGTCGAGGATACAGCAACGGCGGTGCAGAATAGTGCGGCGGATGTAAGGGCTGAGACTGGGGTAGATGTAAATGTTTCGAATGACTTGAGAATTGAGGGGATGGGTTTGGTTCCGCATGTTTGTCGGATGGCTGTGAGTACTGCAGTTGTGAGTGCTGGAGCCATTAACGGAGACTGATTCTTAGGGATAGCAAGCTGTCAAGTGGTTGCAGTTATTGTTCATGGGTTTGGCTGCTACGATTGCGGTGCTGATTCTTACACAGTCGGTTCTGAGGAGGAAGACGAGGTTTGAACGAGTGGGTATCAAGAAAGGGAAGAATGTCGCTGAGGGGAGTGTTGAGCCTGATGTCAGACATGTGCTGGGAGAGACATGGAAGGTGGGGGAGTGCGCAAGACATAATCTTAGACTCGGAACGGGGCGAGGACTCGTAAGGAGCAACCACCGGTTCGCCTGAGATGGAAAGATGACGGGTCGAGGGCCGATTGCGATTTAAAAGACCATAGTCGCCAAGCTTCTGGTGATAACTTCGAAGCCTCCACAGACGTTGAGATGGAATTATGGCGCGGAACAGCCTCTTGCTAGAACATGTCTGAGAAGCTTTCCATTCGGCTGTATGCAACCCGGTGCAGAGAATCCGGTATCTTGAACCTTTGCAAGTCATTCAGTTGGGCAATAGAGCATCATTTCGGTGCTCTTATATCGAACAAGATGGTATACAATGCTAGTATCCTTTTTTCCTAGGTCCTAGGCTTGCATGTGCACCTAGCTCGAGCATTTTGCACAGTTGCAGCAGCAGTCTTGGAATGCTAATCCACAGAGGGCAACCCCCTCTCGATCTGATACCACGTCGTTTTTTACTGATGACTCCTAGGCCCGACTTCTACACTAGTTCACAGTCCTATTTCTCAACCACGGCCAATCCACCGGCTCCTGATACCCATTCCTCTCCAACGCCCAATCTTCCTTCACCCTACACGGCACACACCCAGGCCAATAGCTCTCCGGCACCCTCCCACTCACTGGATTCCTATACTGCCACCACATCCTCTGGATATCCGGCCACTCAATATATTTCCCACTCCCTCCTCTAAAAGTCGCCTCCCTCTCCCCCACCTCCGCGATCGTCAGGTCCGGCGGATACCTCGTCGTCCACGTCGCACCCCCTGGATTCGGCGCTGATGAATTCCTCGGGGTAGCAGCGGACCATCCACCCTCCCAAGAAGACGATTGCCAGTAGAATTCGTCGATCGTGACGCTCCAGAGGCGCCATTTTCCGTCCTCAAGAACCATCTGGTCATGGTAGATGGCGCCGTTGAAGCTCCCGGGTTTCGTCGTCGAGGTCGAGGGCTGGAGGAGCCGTGCTCGAAGTGTTGCGCTACGGCCATCGTGAGAGACGAGGACGACGGGCTGGGGCCGCCAGTGGAAGGATATGCTGTTACGAAGGGCGGAGCGGTTGGTGCCGTACGAGGTGAAGCAGGCCTGCGCCACGCGCTCCGGTGTGATGAAGAAGCCTGCAAAGGGAGAGGCTTTGTGGCCGCGGCGAGCGAATAGCGCGCCCATGGCGGCGCAGTTGATGTCGTCGAGGAGGTAGCCGTAGGCGTGCGATTGGTTTTCGGCGCCATCGTAGGCGAGCGAGCGGGAGAGGCGGCGGGCGAGGTCGGAGAGGTCTGCGGTTCTCTTCGTTGCTGTCACTTTCCTCCTCACGGAGCTGCTCTTGAGAGATGTGGTTGTTGACATTCGGCTAGGCGTGTATGTTGGCTTGGAGATGTTCAGTAACGGCGGGATGTACCCAACTGGCTTCTTCAGTCCTCCGTATCCCCATCCTTCGTAGTAGTCAGCCACCATTAAGGGCGTAATATCCACAACCTTGATTTTCCAGACACCGCCTTCCTTTACAAACTGGTTCCGGAAAAGGTTGAACTCCCATCTCGCCGTTTTTTTGCCAGCATCCCCAATCATGGCAATCTCCAAACCCCGTGCAATCGCTTCTTTCCCATTTTCATTGACCTCGACAATGATATCGAAGATGGGATGGTCGTTATTGATCCCCTGTGTGAGGCCTTCCGGTCCCATTCTTTCCAGCGCTTGACGTACGCCTGCCAACCCCGTATAAATCCCTCCGCCCTCCCCTCGCAGAATAACGATAGAGTCAGGTGTATGCAGATCAACGACATCCGTCCACATCCTACGATCAACATAATACCCATGCGCATGCATCAAATTCCTCACTTCATCCTCATCATTCAATCTCCGAATCCGTCGCTCCAACTCCTCCTCCCCCAACGATACTCCCTTATCCTCCCCAGCAGCCTCAGGAATCAGCACCCCACTCCCCTCAGGGGTAAAATGATACGGCACAACCGGCACCCCCCTCCCGTTAACATTCCTCCACCCCTCCTTATACGCCTCCCTTTCCCGTCCACCCCCTTCATACAACCCATAATACCTCAGCAACGAAATCCTCCACCCTCGCTCAGTCAAAACGTACTCGTTTTCAAAAATCCCGCCGCGGAACCGCACACCCCCTCCCCCATCGCCCTGGAAGCGCAAACTATTCCATCGCCCCTTGCCCGCCGTCCCCGTCGCAGAGAGCGAAATCACGGGATTCTCAATCACGATGGCGTCGAGGCTTCCTGGCTGGGAGGGGGAGCCGGACATGGCTCCCGCGTCTGCGGAGAGCCATTGCGCGATTGCGTCTGCGCCGTGTAGGATTGTGGTGCTGGAGTCGTTGGTGGTGGGAGGGGCGTTGGCGGGGCCCCAGTGGAGGGTGGCGTTTGTGGAGAAGAGGGTGGGGAGGAGGGAGTGGTGGCCTTGGTGGAGGAGGTGGGTGAAGAGGCGGGTCGTGTCTTTTATGGAGCGGAGGGATTCGATGTTGTGGAGGTGCGTGGTTAGGGAGGTGAGGGTGTGGTTTTGGGAATGTGTGGGTGGGGATGGGAGCGCGGATGTGAGAGGGAGGAGCGGGAGAAGAGTGCTGAACGGGGATAGACGCATTGTTGTGAGGGTTGGGGAAGGCCAAAGAGGCCTTGAAGTTGGATGATGAGACAGTGAATGGGAGACTGTCGGCGGTCAGGGTGAGGATGGATGTAAATACATGTACACATGGCGATCATATTTCCCAATTATGCCCCGCATTCTCATATGATGATATGCGATTCTTTCAATGTATGTGGAGAGGCATACAGGAAGATCGGTGTTCAGATCGCAGTTGTGTTGTGGGAAGTGATGATGTGCAGCAACTGCCGAAGGGAGTTGTTCTGCGCCCCTGTACAGAGGCTAAAATCCCGATATTGCGGGGCTATACAGTTATTGTTGTGTCTATACCACGGCCGTAGTCCCCATAAAGATGGCTTGGGGTTTCGTTCTTGAGAAGGCATTTTTGAGCTTGGCCGATTCGGCGATCTGGTGAAGTGGGAGCTGAGCTTGGAAATGCCTCCGATGAGGTCTACATGTTGCGTTGGAATTGTCCCGATGGAGAATAGTTTTATGTGAAGGGGCGGAGATTTTGGGCAAATCTTTTCTTCTTTCTCGCTCCAATGTTTTTCTGGGCCCGAGTAGTAGTCGCCCAGATAGGAAGCACCCATGGTGAAGTGAACACACTGTGACCTGGAAATAACGAAACCACACTCCCTGCGTTGTCAAGATGCCCAAGTGTATTTTACTACCGCAGTCGCCAACTCTGATCCTTAATTCGTACAGGCACAGTCCACTGACACTCAGCTCCAACCCCTAGTTCGCATCACCCACATCAATGCTCGGACACCAGTAATCCGTTGTACACGAATACCTCTCGCGGTCGTACCTCACCGAAAACTTGGTCGTCCCATCCTTGAAACACACAAACGGCTCGCTTCCCAGCTTCGCGTCGCCGGCAATGGACCCCTTAGCCGCCTTCTTTGCGTCCGCGCTGATGTTCGTGGTGAATGTTCCCTCGTCGAGTCGTACGCGTCGTTGTCTCCCCTCCCACTCCGGTGAGCTTCCGCTGACAGTCACTAGTGCGGTTGGGTTTTGCAGAGTTGAGCCCTCCTTGATAGGTCCGTCCCGGAAGAAAGCTGCCGCAACGATGACGTCCTCGTCTGGATCGGAAGGTTGGCAGCGAACGAGGTAGACGTTGTGTTTTGAACCGGCGGCCGTCGGTACGCTGAGAGCGAGGGAGGGCACGAGAGCCAGTAAGAGGGCGAGTTGGGATAGCATTTTGGCCTTGCTTGTACTCTTTAGACGTGAGTAGGTACAAGTGAAGTGTTTCAGATGCAGTGAACTATTATGCTGATCTTTCCAGATTTATACTTGCGAGGCTTTGTCACACCATAGCAAGCTCTCGTCATCGGCAATAACCTATAGATCTCTTACATATTTCCTGTGATTGCCAACGAATTTCTAACATGGGCGGATTTCTTCATTCGTGCTGTCTCGAAAAGATGTGGTTCGTGCGAAAGCTAATGATTTTATGTTTTAATCTATTTTCTCCGCATGGCACGTGTGGCCAGCGATCCAGACCAGACTTCGCATCATTTGCAAGAATTGGTGATGATGGGAAACCCTGGCACCGTAGTGTTCGTTAAACCAAGAAAGATGGGTTTCCTGCAACGTTGCAGTGTAAGCGCAGCAAGAAATGGGGATGATGCGTGATGTCTCATATACTGCTGCATCTAGGCGATGCTTTCACACATATCGATTGCGAATGTATCTACTAATCCGGACTCACTCATATTTTCCCAGAATCAATGTAACCGGCGAGATGGAGAAAGCGCAAGTTTAGAGGAACATTTTCAACGAGGCTTTGACCGTAGCGAGTTTCGGCGTTGGTAGACAATTTAATATTGGATGAGATTCGAGATCAACCGATGCACTACCAATGCACGGCAGCAATATGCCGATGCATGCGTACGCGGCACACTGGACAGGCTCTCTGGCAATATTTGAAGCGAGTGGTACAAAGAGTATCCCTTTACGGTGTGGCGATGGAGGGATAGTTTACCCGAAAGGGACTCGTTTCCACGCTCTTTGCGGCTGCAGTGTGTCTGATCCTACGGTGAACCATGAGATACACTTACGGTCAACCGAGTGCGCTGAGGAGGAATTAACAAGTTATTCCACGATTTTACCTATCTCGGGTATGTATCAATGCATGTTTTCATGTGCCTCACTAAGGCAATGATTCTTAGAGTAACGGCCGTAATTGTTTCAACTTCTAACACCATTGTGAGTTTGGACCCTCGTTAGGAATTAGGATCGTGGTCTGACATGTATTCGAGGGCGCTGCACTCGAAAGTTGGCTTAGTGGAGCAAGACTCAGCGTATCGCACTTGAAACAGATAGCGGACAATATATAGCAGCATACCTTAGTGTAAGAAACAAAGCTCGGTACAGACGAAACATCGTAACAGAACTAGTTTCAGACACATCCCTCAAATTTGGTGCGCTGGTTAATTAATAGTATTGCCTTCGCAGTCTCATTGAAGCACCGTGAGAGTTCTGCTTCCGCTTAGCCACTTCAAGGCTGGCCCAGTCTCAATTGCGGTTCGATTTCTGGGTGCGAAGGTAGATAACCTAAAACCCATGAAATTCAAGCAGCCAATTTCTCTCAACAACCGCCGGTATTGATGGTTGGATCCTTTGCTCTTCCAATTATGGGATGAAGGATTATGTCACTAGGCATCTGTATCTAGTGGACGGCATAGCCACACATGAGGATCCCATGTCAGATACACAGCCACTGAAGCGCACATGTCAATTCAACGAAAAGCACTCGCCAAAGATAAGCTGACGAAGTGCTAGCGGCCTCCCTTACACGTTGATCGTGATTCATTGCAGCTTGTAGCGTGTATCGAAAAGGGCCAAATACACCCCTGTGGTGTTTGAAGGGCGCCATTCTTAATTCAAGCACGTTGTAATGACGCAAAAGGGCGTCGCTGAGGCCCTTACTGGCGTGAAGGCGGGCAGGAATGTCTCGCGCGATACATCTCCAACGAGATTCTGCCCATGACACCAACCACGGAACACGGCCCGAGCGGGGGCATCTTGAATACAAGGGTATGAGAAAACAGATATAACAACAGCTGAGAAACTCAGATGTACATGGTCTTTTTCCAGGCTAACTTCTTCGAACACTTCCTTCCACACAGCAGAATACGCAAATAACAATGTACAGAGCTACTTTAGCAGACCTACTATTGACAGCGGCCTGCTTCGTCCCGCCAACCTTTCAAGCTGTTATCCCACGGTCGACCATGAGAATAGTGTACCAGTTCCCCAACAAAGGCACTTGGATCGAAAACGTCGCAACACGATCAAATGGCGATCTTTTAGTCACTTTGCTCTCTGCCCCAGAATTACATTCCATCTCGCCACTAAGCAACGACCCCACGCAAACACTGATACATTCTTTCGCCGGGACTCCTGGCATCACGAGTCTCCTTGGGATAACAGAGCTGGAGGACGACGTCTTTGCATTTGTGGCAGGGAACGCGACGCAACCGGGGTCATGGAGTATATGGCAAGCGGATCTACGGAGAAGTGGTCATAAACACGGGAAAGCATCGGTATCAAAGATTGCAGACGTACCCACGGGAAACTTATTGAACGGCATGACGAAGCTGAAGGAGCGCACTGTGCTTATCGCGGATTCAATGGCAGGTAACGTTATAAAACTGGATACTGGAACCGGAAAAAGCGAAGTCATCCTTGACGATGTCACAATGAAACCAACCGCAATCCCGCGCTTTATCTCCGGAATCAACGGCATCAAGCTATTAGGTGATCACTTTTATTACACCAATTCCTTCACTGGAAAGCTACACCGCATTCGCATCGATCTCGAGAGTGGGAAGGCCATTGGCGCAGCCGAGACCGTTGCTTCCGATTTGGTTGACAACGATGACTTCGCTATACTGGAGAACGGCACTGCATTTGTCGTGCGGGACAATTACAATGTTGTTGAGAGGGTGGAGCCGGATGGAACCCATAAGATCTTTGCTGGAAGCATTGACAGTAGCGGAATGGCTGGCCCAACCGCTGCGACGATTGGTAGGACGGCCAGAGACAGGAACGTCTTATATGTTGTAACCAACGGTGGTATGAGAGCTCCCGTCGGAGGAGAGGTTGTTCCAGGTCGTGTTGTGGCTATCAGTTATGAATGAACGACAATATCGATACCAAACATAAATAATAGAGGCCAAGTGTGTCCCTTGATTTGCAAGTCTGTCGAAGAACAGAATGGAAGCTTTTGGTGTTACCCTGGTGAAGAGCCCGGAGTGCAGGTGTCCAGATTTGGCCCGTTCTTGTAGTGCAAATTGTGACCCAGTTGGGTGCTGACTCACAATGACGGTGATCATAAAATGACAACAACAGCTCTCGATCTGCAAGTTCCAAACTTCCCCCACCATGTACCTATGCGAAGCTTGCACGAATATCAAGCCTCATCTCCTACAGCCTGGCTCACGACTGAAACGTGATCTCTGTGTTCCTCACCATCAAACATCCTTCGACCTCAAAAGAGCGTCAGACGATAACTGTTTCATATGCTCCAAATTGTGGCCGATGGTCTTCATCGAGCTCGATTTCGAAGACCTCCGGTCGCTTCGCCCGATAACATTCTGTATAGCTATGAGAACGACTGACGAGCCCCGAGATGTGCTCGGCGATGCAAAGATCTTCTTCTCTCGCAATTTAAGCCCTAAGGAGAGCGGCCCGTATGGATTCTTGGAAGTGTTCACTTGTTTTCGATACAATCCTGGTGAGATCCATACAAGCCGGTGTTGAAATTGAAGGTGACTGATTTCTCAAGAAACATTTCGTCATCTATCGGATCCTCTCCCAACAGAGAATAGGTTAACAACTTCTCTAAGCATAGGGAAGGCGTGGCTTAACCGATGTATATCCTCTCATGACCGGTGCAATCAAGACCTGAACGTTGCCTGGTATCCTACACGCCTTCTTGATTTGAGAGGGTCTGATACGAGCCTGCGATTGATTACCACGGATGAAATAAAACCATGCGGAGACTATGCGACGCTAATTCACGTTTGGGGCAACATTCCTATTCCGAAGCTCCAATCCCAGAATCTGGAGCGCTGGACGAACAAGATTGAAATGTCAGAGCTACCAAAAACATTTCAAGAGGCAATCAGTATCACCAAGGGTTTTGGAATCAATTATCTATGGATCGACGCCCTCTGCATTATTCAGGATTCGAGCGAAGACGCGATCAGGGAGGCTACATTGAGAAGTAAAGTCTACAAACATTCTCTTCTTGCTCTTTCAGCAGCGGGAGCGAAAGATGCTAGCGACGGCTGCGTATTCGAGCGCAATATCAGAATCTACGATGAACCGCCTCAATGCCCTATGTTTCAAGATCATGATTGGACGAAGGAGCTCAGTCTTGAGATCGAAGAGAAATATTACATTGTTGATGCAGAGTTTTGGCGAACATTGTGCATGCGGACTCCTCTTTTCCGACGCGCCTGGACATTTCAAGAACGATTTCTTGCCCGCAGGGTGCTCCACTTCGGAAGGGATTAGCTTTTCTGGGAATGTTGAACCGACAATTGCTGCGAGACATTCATCGACGGACTTCCTTACGAACTCACGGACTCCACGAGGTTTCTCTCCAAATTTGTGTATGATCAATTTCAAGAATGCGTCCTTACTCAGTCTGTCGACTCAGCGCAATTTTACCCACTTCGAGATAAGCTGCCACAAGAGCAGCTTCAAGTCTTTTGGGAATCTTTGGTTACGGACTATTCTAGGGGAGAACTCACCAAACCGGAAGACAAATTGATTGCTCTTGCCAGCATTGCTGAAGATATAGAAGGAGCCATATCGAACGTATCTTCAGATACTGATTATCTGGCTGGAATCTGGAAGACATTCCTACCAAGCGCACTTCTCTGGTCTGTAGCTAAAACGTGTTCAAGAGTCCGTCCAGCAGAATACCGAGCCCCTTCCTGGTCATGGGCTTCAATCGACGGCAGGATTACCTGGGATAATTCGAGGTGGAAAGTTGCACACACGTGTTTGGCTACAGTCGACTCAGTCTCTGTGTCCCATGTTGGGAACAGGTTTGGAGCAGTGAAAGATGGCAAACTCACTATGACCGGACCCTTTTGGCAACTGGCTGCTTACAACATCGGAAAGGACATCTTTGTGACACGTCTGCCCGAGACTGGGCAAAGGGAAAGGGACCGTATTTTCTTTGCTTCGGATGAAGACATGAAAGATTGGGAACAGCAAACTCTCTGCGGTTTACTTGTCACAATATTCGATGCCCCCACCGTTGACGCTCCCTGCATGCTGGTGTTAAAGCCACTGGAAACGGGAGACTTCGCGCGTGTCGGTATTGCATACTCGAGTGGGCTACGCGTGCATGACTGGCCAGACATAGGGATGGATTATCGACAAGTCCAAATAGTCTGATTTACGGTTGGTCTTTGATATGGGATAAGTGATTCCTTGTATATGGTATAATTTCATTGAATCGTTTCCTTGAAAATCAACCTCTTCTAGCTTTGAAGCGGGGACATGGGCAGATGATTCACGTCGACAGTCGTGAATTGCATCTATGCTCGCTCGCTGAAGAGGGTTATCCTAGTGATCCCTCACCTTGGAATTCCGTTTGTTGGACACGCTTCTATTGTAGCTCTCCACGTGCTCGTTGTGGAATGATCGAAGAGTAGGTTTGAAGCTGGTCACAGCCGTAAGCCGCATGACAGCGAAACCGATTGCTACCCGAGAGAAAAGTCATCTTCAGATCCCATAACAACAGAACAACCCGCACTGCCTTTGGAGCACATATTAGCTGCAGAAATTTGCACAATCAGTGTTCTCCGAGCCTAATTTACTCACCGTCTAGTGGACTCCAATCCGAGCCGTTCGATAATCCTTACCCATTGTAATCGTCTGATTTACCGTTATGGACAAGATAGACAACATCCAATCCGAGTGTTTCATGTTTGGAGACTATGTCAAGCGGCTTACAGAAGCAAGTACCAACTTCACTGTAAGCGCCAACCGAATGTATCGGAAAATTCAAGCATGGAGATGCCATTTCCGACCATCTACAACCGATGACAAGACTGCTACCAGAGCTTTGGAACGACTCAAACAATTAAACACAGCACTTGAGACGTTGCTGACTTGCATTGATACAACTCTCCAGGAGTTGCCCGACTTGGTGGCAACTCTGCCCGGGTCTGCAGAGGCCTGGATGGCTGATGAGGGATTATACTGAGAGGACGAGTTTCCGCTTTCGTAGGGCCGACAGCAGTCCAGTATGCGAAAGGGTGTAAGGGAGGTGGGGAATACCTGGAAGGTAACGTCTTCGAGCCTGTCGATGCAAAATCGTCCCGAGTCCTGGATCGCAGTCAAAAAAGTCATGGCCTTCTTTTCTTATATTCCAAGCTTCTTACAATAGACTGGTATCCAACGACTTCCCTGTCTTTTTGGCAGACGGTATTTTCCTTCCTGTTGATGTCGCTGTTGCCCCTTTATCATCGGAGTAATACTTGAGACTGTGGTTTCTGCCCTCTCCCTGTTAATCGGACTGGAAGCCGTGAAGTAATTGTAAATCAACGACTCGTCCCGTGACCATCATCTAGGAGAGTATATGAAGGTTGTGAGGCGTTTTGTATGTGCAATACTGGATTCAGAAATAGATCCTGACTTTCTAGATCCGCAGAACTTTCAAGACCTTGGCAAGAATTCAGCTGCAGACAACGATAATTAGATGCAACGAGGTGACTATGATTACGTTACGTATATATATATATATATATACATACACGGTGGACAATACCCAACTCCACAGTTGTTTGTTGAGGGTGAATGAAAAGGAGATCTCAGGCTAAACCTAAAAGATGGCCTTGGCGAACTAACTCCTCTTCCGCCTAGCGTGCTTCCACATGCAGGGATCATTTAAAGACATACACCTTCGATAGCCGCCTATTCACAGACAGAGACATCAATCGACACTCTGACAATGCCACGATGAGCGAGTCCCAACAGCTTCTTGATGAGCATCAGCAATCAGATTCGGATGCGGAACCAGAACAAAGTGAAAGCGTGCAACAACGACGCTTGTCCCCGATCCCATCAACCGCAACTTCGCGGCAGTCATCCACTTCGTCTACCTCCCGTAGCTCTACTCCAGCACACCCCAATGCCAATGGTCACCCTGATGGAAAGCGGCACTCGTCGTTCGCCCAACCCCGCCCCGGCGGAACGCCGCGGACGCCTAACAGAGTCCGGTTCGAGGAGGATCCGGTACGGAGGAGCTTGAACGGCAACCCACATGGAGCTGAATGGGTCGAGCTCGAAGGGGAAGACTACATGGATGCAAATGGATACCAGGGGTCAGAAGGAAGGGAACGTGTGCAACGACTCCCCCTGCTCACTGGCATCGAGGCTCCCACTGTCACCCTTGCCGATGAATTTGATCCAGAGGAGCACCTGGAGAATGCACGTCCGCGAAGCGGAATGCGCAGTGCATTTATGAATATGGCGAATAGCATAATGTGCGTAGAAAGTCCTTTACCTGCGAATGTGCAATGGTGAGGTTGACGGCAAGCAGTGGAGCCGGTATTATTGGCCAGCCATATGCCTTTCGTAATGCCGGACTTGTCGCCGGTACTGCTCTCCTTGTCGGACTTACCGTAGTAGTCGACTGGACGATCCGCCTTATCGTGATTAATTCCAAGCTCAGCGGAGCGAACTCTTTCCAAGCAACCGTGGAACACTGTTTTGGAAAATCAGGATTGATAGCGATTTCTCTGGCACAATGGCTATTGTGAGCGTGCTCGTGGACCCCTAAAGCACGCGCCGCTAATGATTCTATAGCGCCTTTGGAGGCATGGTAGCCTTCTGTGTAATTGTTGGAGATACGATACCCCGTGTGCTCCTTGCTCTTTTCCCTTCTCTCGCTGATACCCACTTCCTGTGGCTCCTGACCGACCGGAGAGCTGTTATAGTTCTCTTCATTCTGGGCATATCATATCCGCTGTCACTGTACCGGGACATTGCGAAGGTCCGCATATGGTTCGTTTCGCGTGTGTTTTTAGGCTAACATACCGTATAGCTCGCCAAAGCCAGCGGCCTCGCACTCGTCAGCATGATCATTATCATTGTAACTGTTCTCACACAAAGTTTCCGCGTTCCTAGTGATAACCGCGGCTCCCTGCGGGGACTCCTTTTCATCAACTCTGAAATCTTCGAAGCAATCGGCGTTATTTCCTTTGCCTTTGTCTGTCACCACAACAGTCTCCTGATATACGGCTCTCTCCGCAAGCCAACGATCGACCGCTTCGCCCGGGTAACCCACTACAGTACCGGCATCTCGCTCGTTGCATGTCTTGCCATGGCACTGTCGGGCTTCCTAACTTTCGGATCCAAAACCGTCGGCAACGTGCTCAACAATTTCCCAGACGATAACATAATGGTCAACATAGCACGGCTCTGTTTCGGCCTCAACATGCTTACCACGCTCCCTCTCGAAGCTTTCGTTTGCAGAGAAGTAATGAACAACTACTGGTTCGCGAATGAGCCGTACAATATGAACCGTCATATGATCTTCACGACCAGCCTCGTCGTCTCCGCCATGACGATTTCCCTCCTTACCTGCGACTTGGGTGTCGTTTTCGAATTGTTTGGCGCAACTTCGGCCTGTGCTCTGGCTTACATATTACCTCCTTTGTGTTATATTAAACTGGCGAAACGGAGTGCGAAGACTTATGCGGCTATGGGCGTTGTGGGGTTTGGGTGCATTGTCATGGTTACTTCAATTGTTAAGACTTTCGCTAAGATAGCGAAGGGTGAGGAAGCAAGTGCGAAATGTGGGTGAGTGACGGAGGGTCTCATTGTTTGTTGCATAGCTAGGAGTTGGACGTAAGGGCTCTTTCTTTGCGGTTTGGGATTATATGTAACTGGAGGCAGCATGGATGCCGCAGTAGACCTTGGCTGTTTTTGGGAATGTTGTCATATACGCAATAAGTCGTCTATGGAAAATACGACGATGACTGAGAACTGAAGTCCGTGCTGCCTGGGGCATGCCAGGCGTAACTTTTGACGGAGCTGTATATATCACCTAGACCTTGGACCGCGACATCGCCCAGGCCAAGCTGCAAAGGCTCGCGGCCCCTATGAATGCAAGCGGGCAGAACACTTGGGAGAGAAACAGCACAAATATTTTTTGAGAAATGGGATAGGTTTGAAAAAAGGGTATGATTGTTCAGTTAACCTTAAACTCCAGTTTCCGCGCTCGGAATATCAACTTTGGTATAATATACAAAAAGACCCAATTTCATCGTACACATTATCATACAGTGGGACCAAAGAAATCGGAAAAGAAAATAATGACGGCGATCATGGTAGGTTTGTCGTAACCGAGAACAGAGAGCTGTGCCGGCCGGTCCATAAGGCCAGTGTCGCTCGTTTCGGAATACTCGCCATGCGGGATATATTGGGGCCCGTACCCAACTTTCGAGGGTTAATAGATCATGGCTCACACTTTTTTAAATCTGGATAATAGTGTTCGCAACGTTTATAGACCATGACCTACATGTACATCAGCACCACTGCCCAAATATCGACTTTCAAGCGACGAACTTACGTCCAAGAGCTTTGCCCCTCTTGCCAATAGCCTTCGCCTGCGTCTGCTTGATCTTGGCCAGTCTAGCCTGCTCAGCAGCTTCGCGCTCAAGCCTCTTGACATTCTCGCGAGCCTCTCGGACGGCGGCACGGGCGTTGAACAGTGCCCTGTCTGCCTCCCTCTCGAGGGCCTCGGCTTGCATCAGGCTCTCCCTTGCAGCTATGATGGAAGCATCCTCTGTTGGGCCCCGGTGGAGGAGTCCCGAGTGTCGCCTTGGAGATGTGGATGTGGTGGGGGAATGGGGAGAGGATGAACGGCGGCGGAAGAGACCAGTCTTGTGGGAGGTGGTGGTTGGGGATGTGGTAGCGGGAGGAGGAGTAGTCTCGCGGCGGGATCCGAAGAGAGGCATGGTGTTGGTTTGGTTGGCAGGGGTTGTAGTGTAGTTCAGGGTATATTCAAGGGTGATATGAAGGCTTGGGAGATGGCCTGATGATAGGGTAATGCTTCAACAGTTGTACTGTGCAATACTAGTGAGAAGAAAAGAGAAACTAAATCTTTCCCTGCGTCGGAGTTTAAATGCTGTGTTGGGGGGTGATGAATGTGGCTGTACTATGTAAATCAAGGCGAACTTCATGACGTCAACGACGATCTCTCTGCCTTCACTGCGCGCCCGCTGATCTCACAGTCCAGAGACATGTCACAACTACTGTTATACTGGATCAATTGATGTAAGAAACCCGTGACTCTTCGCTTTCACTTATGGAGTGTTGTGGTGGTGGGAGTGGTGATAGTTTCTGGGCTAGGGTCTCACGCTAAGCATGGTCCCCACATGGTAGCATCGAGGTAATGGCCTGGTCAAATCTCTGATTACACTACGGATATGTTATCCCACTACTCGGTCTTCAATGCCAGCATTTGTTTCAACCCTGTCTACTCGTTGCAGATGGAGGCGTTGACGGCCCATTTCAATTTCACGTGATATTCACGTGAAGCATATATTCACCCCGCGCCATCGTCTCTCCGTTGATGGCTGCCGTTTCCCCGGCGAGCGTCGTGTCACCTCCAGGGCTGTCTCATAACCCCTTGATAGGTGCAACTTGACATGCGCTAGCACTCTATAACTATCTACTTCCCCATCGCGCCTTAGTCCTAGCGTCATCGAACAGACAATCAGAAAGGATGACAGTATTCGCTCCATTTTGTATCTGCCGAATCAATGGTGGACTATGACTAGGCCTTTGTGGCTCTTAAGCCTGGACTTTTGAGGCTGGTGGTACAGCATCCTTGCGAATATCTTGCGGAAGATTAGGCCATTCATCGTGTTGTATATTCGCGTTGTGAGCTGGAGGGCTTGGCAGCTGATGGCATTCTAGTGCTGATTCCGCTGAATCTCTATGTGAGCCCTGGGGCGCATGCATTTCGTGCGAGATGGCGCCAGCAACAACGCTTAGGATCATCAGTCCTCTCTCAGATATATGAAACCATGGAGAGTGGCCTCTTTACGGTGCCTAATGAACGCAGCAGTCGTTTGGCTTTCCAACAATTCAACCACCTCGGCATTGTGAAAGATGTTGCAGGCTTTGGTGCTGCTAGTAGCGGCATGGGTCGTTGCAGTATGGACTTCTCTTACCTTGATACTTGCTGTTAAGAGAAACGGTGATGTCTAACAACACTGACAGGTAGCACTATATGGCATATACAATGTGACCCTGCACCCGCTCCGCTCCTATCCCGGCCCTCTACTCTGGCGCGCCTATCGCCTACCTGCCACTCTGTCACTTCTCAAAGGGCGATTTCCTTTCGACAAACTCGAACTGCACAAGCGCTACGGCCCAGTGGTTCGAGTTGGACCTTGGGAGCTGTCATATACCAGCTCAGCGGCGCTCAAAACCATATACGGCCACCATAATCCTGCAGTAACCGGTTACTCCGAATTCGATAAAGACCGCATCGAATTCCTTACTTCTGCCAATGGAGTGTGGAATGTCCTCAGTGCATATGCGGAAGATCACAGCCGGTTCCGGCGGCTACTGAGCCATTCTTTCAGTGACAAAGGGTTGAAGGAGATGCAACCCCGGATTCAAGCCTTGATTGAGCTTCTCGTCAAACGTCTGAAGGAAGCAGCAGACAGAGGCGAATATACGAATATCGCCGAATGGTTCAACTGGACTACCTTTGATGTAATAGGAGATCTCGCATTTGGCTCCTCATTTGGGTGCCTTGAAAAGCAAAGAACGGATCCATGGATCGCGGCGATAGGCGGAAACGTCAAAAGCTTCCCAGTCATTGCAGCAATCAAGCGATACCACCTTACCGCAATCTTACCCTACCTGGTGCCTAAGAAGCTAGCAAAGTTCCGAGCGGAAAATCTGAGGAGGAATGAAGCGCAAATCGAGGCGCGCATCGAGCAAGGGACTGAAAGAGGAGACTTCTGGGACAAAGTAATCGAGAAGTCGGATTTCGAAAAGGGCACAGGAATGACGAAGCCGGAGATGGTGGCGAATGCGCCGGCGCTGGTCCTTGCCGGCAGTGAAACTACTGCCACATTACTGTCCGGGACCACATATCTCTTGCTGAAGCATCCCGAGGTTTTTAAGAGGTTGAAGCAGGAGGTTAGAGCTTCGTTCAAGGACGAGAGCGAGATAGATCTGCAAAGCGTCAGTAAGCTTGAGTATATGTTAGCAGTTCTGGACGAGAGCATGCGCATATACACGCCAGTACCGAAGCAAGGAAACAGAATCGTCCCGAAAGGGGGTGTTATGATGGCCGGACAGTGGGTCCCTGGAGGGGTAAGTTTGCACTAGAACCCTTCTTGAAGTATTAGACTGACAGATTCGCCTGCAGACATCGGTGGAGGTTTCCCAATATGCGACAAGTCTTTCAGAGACAAACTTCCGCAACCCAAATTCCTTTGTGCCCGACAGATGGCTAAATCCTCCCCCTACCGAATATGCGGATGATGACCGCGCCGCGCGCGCTACTTTCTCTCTCGGTCCTCGAAACTGTATTGGCCGAAATCTGGCATATGCTGAAATGCGACTTATTCTAGCAAAGATTTGCTTCAATTTTGATATGGAGCTTGATGAGGAGAGATGTGGAGACTGGATAGGCGATCAAAAGATTTTCGGTCTCTGGGAGAAAGGGCCACTGTGGATGAGGTTGAAGCGTGCCTAGGTAAATGCTTTCATGTTCGCGGCATATCGCAATGAGAGCAGAGTACAAGGTCCCCAGTTATCCCGGGAGACTCTCTCAGAATTTCATCATGCAAAGACATTATCATTGCACTACTCATCGGAACTTCTTCTTGAGCATTGGCTGGACGCTGTCTTAACTACTAGATCAGAAGTAGCTAGGAGGAAGTACCTGTTCCTCTCTCTTCACCGCTGCGGTGAAAGATAGAAAGCCGAAGCCGTTTGCATCCGCAGCTGACCAATCAGACAAACGCCCGTCCAATTGCGCATCAAAACAAGTTCAACAACCATTTCCGAAGCTGTCTCTTTTTCTGTCTCCGCGGCTCCGCCTCATCCTCACCAGAACCGCCAAAACCACTGACAGTGGTCTCTCACTGAATCGGGCGCCGCATTGTTCGGCTCACCAACATGGAGATCACAGGTCATCACATCGATATTCAAGCAGACACAGTTATCATACTCAAGAATCCTCCCAAAAATTTCGCTGTGTGGCGTGAGAGAACCGAAGACAATGGCTCGCAAATGGGCGAGAGCACCGACTCCAATAGCGAAAACCAGTCGGGTATGTTCTTTTTCCTGTCAGGATAGTCATTAGCTAAACTCCTTAACAGACGACCGTATGCATGATGCAAAACATTCCGACCGAGCTTCAGCAGAAACGGAAGATTTGGAAGAAGGCGAAGTCCACTACTTTGTCTCATCGCGCCATCTCAGCCTGGCCTCCAGAGTGTTTAGCAACAGTCTGAACGATCCAAGGTGGAAGCAGGAAAAAGAACCCGACGGACTGTACTATATCAGCGCTTCTGGTTGGTGCGCGGATGCCTTCCTCATCTTGATGAATATCTTCCACCTTCAGAACCAAGCCGTTCCCAAAACTGTTGACCTTGAGATGATGGCCAAAATCGCCGTGCTAGTCGACTTCTATGAGTGCGAGCGGGCTGTGGAGTGGCACACCTCCTGTTGGTTAACCGCTCTGCGGACTGATCATCCGCCCCCAGCAACCTATTGCCGGGAACTCATACTCTGGATGTGTGTGTCGCGCGTGTTCGGCGTATCTAGCTTGTTCAAAAACATCACGCGCGTGGCAATTCGGGATGCGGACGAGCCCCTTCAAACACTCGGCCTTCCTTTGGACCAGGGGGCTCCGGATAAGAATTATATTTGTAAGACCCTACAAAGCGAGGACATGTCCATGTTCTAACCTTTCTTGAGGCCAAATAAACCGCAGGCGACTGAGTATCATCGATCGTATAGTTAACGGACTGTTTCATGAGCTTGACACGTTTCGAAGCCCAGAGTATGTGTGCCCGCAGGGTGCCTCCTTCTCATTCGTGTGTGGCGCTTCCGTCCTTGGAGCCCTCACAAAGCACCTTGCATCTACGCCTGGCGTGGGGGGCTTGGACGACTGTCCGTTGCCGCCGTTCTGGGGACTGTCGTGGGAATATTTGCGGAAACAGCTGAGCAGCTACAAGTCCTTGGATCGGTATTCACAGCCACGTCAGTCTTCGTATGATCATTCATACGATTCGTATCATTTCGGCCGTAAACCCTCGCGCGATCCTTCGGTTCATTCTAATACGGACCGCTGCGATTTGCACAATCGGATGCAGGAGCTTATGGATTCGGTCAAAGCGGACACTGAAGGCTTGGAGCTGAAGCAAGCGTATACCAGGGTGCCCGAAAAATATTGGAGCTAAGCTTGCATAAACCTCACCCAACCTCGATACTAAGAGTCGCCTCCGTAATTACCTCGGAGACCACTCCATGAGCATTCTGAAAAGAAACTTGTGAGGCAACACTGGGAGCCTTAACTTGGATGACCAACAGCATGGCCTAGTTACTATGCATGTTTACTTTCTTCGTTAGATGCTGTGGCTTGATGATAGGGACTACAATTGCAGTTCCGTTCTTTCTAAGCTTCAAATGAATCCATACCTTCGGACAGTGGCAGGCAAGAGAGAAATAATACAAGATAGCCATCTCTGTAAAAATTCCAGGTATTTTCCTCGCACTCAAGGAGAACTTGAGTTAAGCCAGCCCCGGTCATACCTTGCTCTTCATAGCGAAAGATTGTTCACAATCCAGCAACGATTGCACCATTCAACGCTCATAAATTAGTTTTCAAGGGGAAAAGGTCACAATCATCGGCGAAAGTTACACGGCAAGCCACGCACATGATCCAATAATGAGCTGCCTCATTGCGACAGGAACAACATAAACCTCTCAACGCATGAATGAATCTCAACCCAAGTTCTTGGATATGCAGTGCAAGCTCGAGAATTTGCGGAGCAGTCAGGGGGCTGTAGTCCCAAGCACTAGGCCGTCTTCATTAGCAAAGCATGTATGATGAATCAAAGGCGGTGAAAGTTTGTCCAGTGTGACCAGGACAGCGAGTGCTCAAAGAAGTGGGGCATTCAAAGGTTCGGACAGCGGACATGGTAAGACACCTGGTGACAATTGATGATAATGAGAATTTCCTCTCGGAAGGTATTTGGCTATAGAACACCCGGACTCTACATTCGATCCGCTGTGATGTGGCTGGGGTGCTCCTGTTCACTTGTATGCATTCCCAGGGTTACCTTGAATTAACACGCCCAGAGATTCCTGTTGAACGATGAAGCTTCCACTGCTATGAGCGCCATAAGGACAGGTCACCGCCATGATATTAGCTAGTTGTTCCCAGAAACTCAATCAGTGACTGCTAAAGATACACAGTAATGTCCGGAACCAGCCAACAATGGCGTTCTTGAGCATCCCTTGAAGATCTTTTCATGGCCAGAACCCCATGAAGTGAGCTAAAACAGGACTGAGCGCCTTCATTGTGCAGGTGAAAATCCCCGTCTGTTAAAAGTGGCATCATTACGTATAGAATTTCGTAGGTGGGACTTGATTCTTCGTCTGATCTCACCCCAAGCTTGTAGTCTCATCGACGCGCAAACATGTATACCTCTGTGATCACGTCGCATATTCTGAACTTGGCGTACGAAATTTCCACTGTCGCACATTGCCGCCCTCGTGAAAGTCTCCCATGATGCAATGTCGACTAATCGGGGCACTGCACGTGACTGCCTGTTGGGCGCCTTCACCGCCGCGCCAAAGGCTACCCTCCCACCAGACAAACTTCAAGTTCTACACTCAACCGCCTCCCCACCAACTCGGACTCGCATCTTCGCACCTTTGACAACCCTTCTAATTGACACACATTTACCACGCTGGCACCAGTACGCCGGGGCTGTATCGGGCTCGGTCATTACATCGACATGGCCGATCCCTATGTGGTCAATCCGTTCGCCGATACCATTATCTTTCTGAAGAACCCCACGGTAGAGTTTGCTGTTTGGGAGAGCCATGACACACAGTTGGACCGTGGCGCGCAGAATGGAAACGACGGGGATGGTTCCGATATCCACGAAGACAAGGATGAAGGCCCAGACTCGAAAGAGTCCGTCGACTCGCTCATCAACTGTACGGACTCTTCGAACCTCCATGACCAAAGCAGCCCTATGATAGAGTACCACGTCTCCTCGAGTCACTTGATACTAGCCTCGAAAGTATTCTCCGTCAAGGCATCACCGCGCTGGGGGCAGGACAAGCAGGCTGACGGCAAATACCACCACACTGCGGAAGGATGGGATCCAGAAGCCTTCCTGATTCTGATGCAGATACTCCACCTCAAGCATTCAAAACTGCCGGCAAAGGTGACCCTCGATATGATGGCAAAGCTAGCCGTTCTTGCCGACTTCTACGAATGCGAAGAGGCTGTCGAAGTGCTCATTCAGAAGTGGATTAAGGCTTTGAGGCAGGAATCTGGGCTTCCTGCCGAGTATTGTCGCGATATGGTTCTTTGGATCTGCATTGCGCGGGTTTTTGGTTTGACGGATGTTTTCGCACATTGTATAAGGACAACGATGTACACCGTTCGAGAACCGATACAAACTCTAGGTCTTCCCATGTGGGATTTAGACATCAGTAAGACCTCCGAGCTTCGACGTAGGCACTGCTAACAGGACGATAGAGCTCCTGACTAGTTACAAGAAGTTGGCTCAGGATGCGCTCATGATCGAGCTGGCGAAGAAGATCAGAAAGTATCGAAGTCCTTCGTACATATGTCCTCAGGAATACGGAGAATTCTCCAACCGTTGCAGACGTCATCTCCTAAGGGCATTTAGCAAGGCCTGGGAATACGTAGTAGCGGCTTACCCGGACCTGAAGCCTGATATCACATTTGAGGAATACTGGGCACTTTCTTCCCAACATAAGGGCGCAGCCGCTCTTCTCAAGACGAGCCTCAAAACGGTCGAGGATAGACTCCATGATCTGATGAACGATCCGAAGTTTCAACAACCCAAGTGCGATCCGGCTCATGACCCTACGCACGCACGATGCAACTTTAAGCACCAACTGAAATCGACCCTTCCGTTCATAAAGAAAGCACTAAGACCGTGCGATCTCCAGCAGAAACACACCAGCACCCCATTACACGGACCTGACAACGCTTCCGAGAGACGCTTCCTGGATGTGGCTGGAGGCGAATTGGTTAGCCGAACCGTCACATTTCTGAGTCAAGAGTTGAGAGTTTCGTCGCGCCATCTGACTTTGGCTTCCCCGATAATCAGAGAAGATTTCACCAAGCACATCTCAACGGGCCAGACTTGTAGTAGTCCGAAGTACGATCTCGAAGTCCGGTGGTATGATGAGGACCGGTTCCACACATTTATGAATGTTTTGCATCTTCGCAATTGGAAGGTTCCTAAAACTTTGTCATTGGCCGACATTGCCGCCGTCGGCGGGCTAGTGAGGAAGTACGATTGCGCGGAAGCATTTTCGGAGTGGGGCAGCATGTGGATTATGGCACTTCCGCCCTTGAGGTCTGATAAGGAATTATCGACGTTGGCATTGCTCGGGCGGGTTCATGCCGCCTGGCTGTTTCAACTGCCGGACGTTTCTAAGATCAAAACATTGGAAGCCGTTAGGATGAGCAGGGGAACGGAAACGGAAATAAAAAACTTTCGACCTCTTGCACGCGTTTTATGTAAGCGTCGTCTGGGGGCTGGTATTACGCTTAGCTGCTAACCCACATTCTAGTGAAGGTGCATACAATGCGCCGGGCTGCGATCCGCAAGATTGCCGACGATATTCTCAGCTTGCCCTCTGCTCAGGCGCTAAAGGAGCGGAAGTGTGCTAAAGGGGTCAAGACGTCTCTCGAATGCGCTTTGGAAGTTTTGGGCCTGCAGCACGATCCATCGACCGGGCCACATACGGCACTGAGGCTTCAAGATCTATATGATCGGGTACAGCAAGAGCCCTCTCCGGATTCCTGTTGCCTTGCGCAGCTCCTCGGCGTGAAGGACGTGGTAGAGCGCGTTTGGGCGCAGCCGCCACAGCCGGAATTGCATCCTAGCGTTCAAACACTGCTAAGTGAATACCGGAATCGGAGTGCCTGGGATCGAACATGTACGCAGCATGGTAGCATGACTTACAGCGTATAGCGGTGAGGCATTGAAACTGAGAGATGATAATAGTTTACACTTTACTGGAATGTTCCTCCTCATAGGAGGTCTGAATCAATGGATGTCCAGTCCTGGGCTGATATGAAGAAGATAGTGGCGTTTTGAAGGTGCTCATGCGCATTATACTGTATGGCGACTCTATGATAAAGATGTTGCAAGGATACTTTCTTTGTAAAGAAATCCTGCGTACTCGCAAATCCAAGGCTTGGTCAGAGCAGTACCTCTTTGGCTTTGTTTGAATATTTGGTGTTGAGCAACCGAAAACGGCTTAGCGTAATCGATCGGATTAGCACACTCTGTCTTGCCTAAATGGGTTAGCGTCCGCCGCATCTGCTAGGATCTTCTAGCATGTTCGAGAACTCTTTACAAACCTCCGCCTACTGTGTAGGTTGCCAGCCTGTATACGAATCATCTCGACACTGCGCGCACCACCTAGAAGCATCTCTGTATTACCGAATCTGTATTATGAATCAGGACGCGTGTGCAAACGGATGCCTAACCGCCACACAACAATGTCTATAAAATCCCTTCTCGCCGGCTTCGTTGCCTCCATCAACTCCAAAGAACGATCACTATCCAGATTTCTCACTGCTCTCAAGCCACAACCCCTTTAACGAGCCGACCATCACTCCATCTTCGCAACCAACAACTCTCAAACCTACCGATAATGGCATTCTTCCTTACACCCCGCTTTGCGCCAGCATATGAGCAATGTGGACCCTTCGGATGCGGCCCATCCCGACCGCGCCATGTTGTTCGCCCCTCTGTACCATCCTTAATCCCGTTCCTCAGCCAGATCGATGGCTTGATTAGCGAGCTCGACCGTGAGGCTCGTCGGGCAGCACACCAGCAACGCCAGCAGAGGAAGCGAGCTTTCCGCGCCCGGTTCGATGTCAAGGAGCAGAAGGAGCGCTATGAAGTCGAAGGCGACGTCCCTGGATTCGAGCAGGAGAACATTTCCATCGAGGTCACTGATGAACACACTCTGAAGGTCAGTGGCGACACTGAAAAGCGGCACCAGCAACCCATCGCCGAGCCTCAGCCTGCGGAACCCGAGACCGACAAGATGGACGGCGTCACACTAAACGAGGAAGCCTCATCACCTCACGTCGAGACCGCAGCAGATAGTGATACAGAGAGTCGCCACTCCTACCAACCCACCGTCGAGGACGACTTCGAAGACCTCGGAGCTGAGACCTCATCCACCATCTCCAACCCCACAACAGCCGAGCCCAAGGGTAAGGAGAAGGCAGTGGAGGAGCCAACCGTCACCGAAACGTCTGTACAGAAGCAACCGGAGTGGGAAGCCCCAGCTCAGCGCCAGGAACCCGAGATCCGCGAGTTGCTGTCCGAGCGCGTCCGAGGATCGTTCGAGAGGACCTTCCAGTTCCCTGAGCGCATCGATATCGCGAACGTTTCTGCCTCGTTGAGGAATGGTGTTCTGTCAATCAGTATACCCAAGGCACCGGCATTCGAGAGCAAGCGCATCGCTATCCAGTAAATGCGAGTCAACACAGTGGATAAGTCATGATGGGATACACGGATATGGTTAATGGTTTACGGTTTTCACTGTCATTTGGGTTTTGTCTGCAGGGCTATATAAAGGATTATCGAGGATCTCACATGGGTGTCTGGTTCCGGGTATATAGGTGACAACAATATATCATGATCTCCCCTCATCAAATACTGTGTACAGTGTAGGCATCGTGTTATATCAAATTTGTCTTGGTTTGTGGCTGCTAACAAAAATCCACTCCACACTATCTTGATTCGCATTCCAGAGACGATCACATGGACAACACCGTCAATCTGCTCACCAAATCTTATTCTAATGATACAGCAGACTACTTGCAAGACACATGCAAGTGTCTGCGATGGAAATAGTTGGTGTAAATATTTGTGTGGCGGTTCTGTGCTGGCACGTAGGATTTGCGGCACCATCGGGTGGCGACGTCATTGAGCTACCCACGTTCGGTTGGTTGTTAGGTGGGCCGTGGCGCTCCGCTCCATCACTCCATCTAATCACTTCCATACATACACTCACCGAAAATGAAAGCGCACAAACTTTCACCGTACTCCCAGGTACACCTCCACACATCCAGCGGCACCTCTTAAGCTCACAACTGCTACCCGCCGCACCTCGGATCCTCTGCGGCCCTCATCCCCTCATCAACCACGAATTCGCGGCCTAATCCGCCGCCCCGACTTACTGAGGTCTACGCAATTCCTTCATCACAAGCCCAACCAGATGCACATGTGATAAGGAAAATGGACGCATTCTACAACGCTTTCTCCCAACGCCAGATTTTCTCCTTTTCGCCACTCACCTCCAACTTCACCTTCACCTTCGAACTACCCACCCTCCATCTTAACCCGTTCCGCGAGACCCTGCGGAACCCAACCTTCACCACACAACTCCCGCGCCGCTCCAACTACGCAATGCGCTCCGGATACCATCCAAGCTCCAACAGGAGCGCTTATACGCACGCGGACCGATCCGCCATCTCAGACCCTCTCCCAAACACCTTCTTTCCAACGGATCCTGACACCATGAGCGAGGGCTGGCACGACACCTCCTTCACCAATCCCTCCGCCATGTACAACCCCATCTTCGACTTCAGCGACTACCAGCCCTCCACTTTCTACTCCTCTCACCCACACCACCATCACCCACCCAACCAGTTCCCGCTGCACAATGACCACATGTCCAACTCCTTCACAAACGACTCCACAGCCACGGACGAATTCGGACTCCCTCTCCCCAGCGCCTTCTCAGACTCACCTCGCAACCGCGCACTGCGCACCGTGAGCGACATCTTCCTTTCCACATTCCACGAATTCGGACTCGATATCCCAGGGTTTGAGTACCGAGCGGAGAGTGTGCGAGAGCGGCGCGCGTATCACAGGGATGCGAGGCAAGAGTTTAGTTCTAGGCCGACTAGGTCGGGGAGACGGGTTAGAGAGTTTGAGGATGGTGAGGGGGAAGCGAGGCCTAGGAAGCGGATGAGGATGGGGAATGAGAATGAGAATGGGTACTGGGGTACTTATGATGCTTCGAGTAGGATGTCGAGGAGGGAGGTAGTTCTACCTGATGGAGAGTGGGAGGAACCGGAGGACAAGGGGGAGCGGAACGAGAGTGACCAGAGTGCTAGGGCACAGCGCACAAATGGTGATGATTGGGGCGTCTTCGATATGGATGATCCGGAGGATGTGAGGAGGGAGCGCGAATGGGACAGGGCGAATGGTATCGTGCGAGTGAAGAGGGAGAAGTATAGGGGCGATGGGACGGCGGAGTATCCGTTTGAGGTGTGATTGGTGAGGGATCGAGAGGGGTTCCGGATGGATGGTTATGGTTGATATGCGAGTCGGATATGTGGGGATCTCCTTACTAAGGGCCGATTCTGAAAGCGGGTTGGAAACAATGGTCAAGAGGGAGGAATGAGGGCCTTGGCTGAATACGGGACAGCGCAACAAGAGAGCGACGCGCTTACTGACGCTGGTGGGCTGCGTTTTAACGTCTTCAAGTCTGAAGAATTTGGAGGCTCAAGGTCGGATACTCCTGGATTGAGCAATATGCATAAGAATGGGTCGATGGGACAGAATTGCGCGGGATCCATATCAGACCTGGACGACTGGCGTGGATGACATTCATACATACCCAATTTAGCAGGTCTAGTCTGAATGATATTATTCAATGAGAGCCTATATATGTCCAAGAGAAGTGAGAAGCCGGGAAATCCGCTCATGTGGAAAACTGATGATTCCCGCCCGGCCTCCACGAAGTCTCCAGGCAGTCTTGATGGGTATGAAATAGAAATAACACATAACTACACATACACCCTAGCAAACACACACTTCATACAATCCCCACCACCCCCATTCCCATCAATCCCTCGGACACTTCCCCTCCAAGCACAACCCCACAATCTCGACCCCATCCTTCTCCCTCGAATTCGCCGGATACCCCTGAATCCGATTCTTCAAGTAACAATTCGCCGCCTTCCCCACCGCCTCGACCGCCGCCGTCCGATTCACCGCCCAATACGGTGCGAAGACCGCGCCTACGCATTCCCTCGAGTTGGCCTGGCCGTCGCCGTCGCCGGAGCACATCTGCGTGCCCCGGGCGCGATTGTCGTTCCACGTGTCGCACGCTTCGATGCAGTCGGAGAGGGAGAGGGCGAGGAAGCCGATCATGTCGGCCCCGGGCCAGTCGACGTTGCAGTACTTGCGGTAGGAGACTTTGGTCAGGTTGGATTGGAAGAGGTTGCCGTTGCCGGCGGGGCAGTCGGTTATGGGGAGGGGCATGGTGGTGGTGGTGGTATTATTCGACGTGGGAGGGGAAGTGGTGTTGGTAGGACAGGTGTTTGAGGGAGCGGAGGAGGAGATGTGTGCGGACGGGTTGGAGTCTTGCTTGCTTTCTGTTATTGCTTTGCCGATGAAACCGCCTATTAGGCCGGAGAGGACTGCGATTAGGAGTGCGGAGAGGAGCAGGAAGGGCCAGCTCAGGAAGCGGTTTTGTCTGGTTGGGATAGGGGCTGCGGCTGCGTGGGCAGGGGCGTATTTGGGAGTGTCGTCTGCTGGTTGATGATAGTACTTGGGGACTCGGTCTTCCACCGGGGTTGGGGGAACGGCTTCCGGTAGCGTAGAGTGTGGTGGCTACATGATGTTAGCTCCAACATTGTAACGGGCTGGATTAAGCTTGCCGTTGTCTGGTCGGTCATTTTGGGCTCTGATCCAGCGTAGTATTCTGTCTCTGCGTTCCACGAAGGCTGCGCCATGTCATTCGATTATAACCTGCATCCGTTGCTGTTTTCCACGGGTTATCGAAGGAGGGTTCGAAGTGCGACGGCAACGGAAAACCAGCAAGTGTCACGGGTGAAGCCAGATTTTGGGATGAGGCAGCATAATCTGGGGCCGTCACCATCATAAAGATAGGCGCGAGTCCAAGGGTGGCCAAAGAATCCGTCAGCAAGATCGCCAAACTAACCAGGACATGGTGGTAAGCGCAAAGTGAAGGATCCGAAGCAAAGGGACCTTGTCCCTGCTGGCATTTACCCCCGATTACGCCCTGCGGCTGTGACTGGGGCTGAAGCCTAGGTACTGTATTGGGCGGATTATCGAATCTGCCATGTACACAGTACACAGTAATAAAGGCATGGTTGGGGGCGGGCGGCTAGAAAGCGAATCATGCAGGATCAACGGGGTTGGAATTCCGTATCCTGGAAATAATGATATCCAGGATTTGGGGTAAGCGAAGGTCGACTGCGATCAAGCATATCTGGAAGAGATTTGAAATGATGGAACCCATCGACATTGAAGAGCTGCACATCCACTGCAACCGAATGCTGTATTGTGCCGTGGAATGGATATCATGAAAGATGTCGGCATTATTGTATACGTAGTCAAGCTTGGCTTTCAAGACAGCGAACGCTGCCAAGATGTATAGCTCGCACTGCCCTTTAAGTAGCAAGAGGGACAGGGTAGATGTGCAGTAAGACGAACACTTCCGGTGAGACGGGCGGAAGCAAGGACGGAACGCCGCGAACTGAGGGTTTTGTAATTGATAATGTAGCCGGAGAGGGCGAATTGTCCGTGCAGGTAAGCCTTAGAAGCAGCAACGATGTGCAGTCCGACACAGATACAACACCGGCTTATTACATTTGGTGGTGAGTGCTATAACGTCAACCCATATGAGTCCGTTCTCCGTCGGCTCAACTTCTTGAAACCGTCCGATTTGACACTGGAGGTGTCTTTTCAATCACTGAGGCGAGCGGTTATTGGAGATCAAAGATTGAGGCCTTCGAGCCAACTTGGGTGAACCTGTGGTGTTTGAAAGCGGCGTGGACCAATTGCATTTCGTTCTCGGTGGAATCTGGGAATCATCAAGACGAAGTTGAGCGTATCGAAATTCATGAGGTTGAAAGAGAGATGGTAGGTTACGTCGATTAGGTTAGCGCGCAAGGTAGCGCTGCCGGGACAACCGCGGCCATGTTGTTAGTCTTGGCGTTGACCTATGCGACATCCATCACCGCTCGACGACAGCGTTGTCAGTCTATCCGCTCCCTCATCCTTGTGCTCCAGATCTCCAACTCTTCTCGTACTTCATCGCTATCCATCGTGATCTTATCGCCGCTTGACCATTCCAGAAGACGTTGCACACCCGCTCATTTGGTCACATCCCTTGCGCAGATGCGATAGCACACGACCCGCCGCCCTTACATGAGCACGATGCTTGGCTTCCGGCCGCTGCAAATAGCAAAGCGGACGTTGCAGCCCTATAACGAAATTCCCTCGTACGACGTTGAAGATCACGATTACGACGAGAAGCGCTATGACAGCGAGAACGACAGCTCCACATCCTCACCCTCCGCCTCCCCATATTCCTCCCGAGTCCCGTCCGGCGCGTATGCCTCTCCACGGCGGAGACCAGGCTTCAGGCCGACCGTGAGCGCCTATAGCTACCGGAACCCACGCGCATTCACTCGATACCTGGGGCTAGCAGTTGGGACTACTATAATACTATTTATCTTGTTTCTGGTCAGGGCGAGTTGGGCGTCAATACGGAGTGTGGAATTGGGTCTGCATAAGCCTCCGCCACCACCTCCGGTATGGGAGAGTTTTCCCTTTCTAAAGAGATACCACGGGGGAATACGGACGCTTGTGAGCAGGAAAGAGAACGTGCCGGAATACCCAACCAAGCAGGATATTGATCCTGACTCGCCTGAGACGGCGGAGCTGCATAAAGACTCATTAAAGAAAAAGAGAACCGATGGAGTCAAAATACCCCCTTCCGACGTTTTCAATCCATACCCCGACTACAAGGACTTCGAATATGTGGATGAGTACGGGCCGGTGGAGACATGTTACCTGGATGCGAATGACACAATCCGGATACCACCACTACGCATATATAATGGAGTAACAAAAGGTATGCCTGAAAACGTCATGGGATCCTATGAACTGTTCGGGCTTCGCAACGATGTGTGCTTCGAGCGCTTTGGCCGGTTAGGCCCCTATGGACTTGGGTATAGCAGGAAATATGGTGGCACAGGAGCAGCTATGGAAGGGGATCGGGAAGGCGCAGAGGAGGTCTGGAAAGAGTACCCTGAGGTGGACTATCGCGAGGTGAAATGGGGTGAGGCACTCGATCGGTGTCTCGAAAAGAATCGAGACCGTTTCAAACCGTTGCCGGAAGGAAGAAATCACTTCTTCCAAATCATGGCTATGAAGGGTCCGGGCGCGGAACAAACCGAGGCCCCTCCGGAAAGTGGGAAGGAGAGCGAGGGTCCGAAATACACGAACGGCACTGTCCGACCTCAGCCCAAGGCCCAACATAAAAACCTCCTTCCTCGCACTGCCGTCCTTATCCGAACATGGCATGACTATCAGTATGATGACGAGGACTTGCTCTTCCTTCGTGCAATGATTTCCGAACTCAGCATCCAGTCCGGCGGCGAGTATGTCGTACACTTCCTCATCCATGTCAAGGACAACGACAAGCAGATATGGGCATCAGAGAAAGTTTATCAAGAAGTTCTAGCGGCCTCTTTGCCGCCAGAGTTTGCAGGTATGGGGACCCTCTGGTCGGAACGTCAGATGTCCCTTATCTATGGTGGCTTGGAAGAGTCCAACTACCGTGGACTCCCTGTCTATGGTGCCTATCGGTCCACCTTCATGCCAGTGACCTACTTTGCGTACCAACATCCGGAGTTCGACTTCTTCTGGCACTGGGAGATGGATGTGCGTTACACCGGACACTACTACCACCTCTTCAACCAAGTCGGGAAGTGGGCTGACAAGCAGCCCCGCAAAGGGTTGTGGGAGCGCAGTGCGCGCTTCTACGTTCCCGCCATACACGGCTCGTGGGAGGATTTTTCTCAGATGGTGCGCGTACAGACCGAACATGGTACCAACAGCGCCGCCAACAAGTGGTCCTCGCATCTTCCTCCGAACCCCAACATGCCCGAGCCCGAGACGCAGAAGCCTGAAAAGCCCATCTGGGGCCCGGAGCCACCACTCGACTACCCAGAAATCGAGCTGGACCCCTCACTTAAACCACCCACCACCCATGCGGAAGATAAATACGAATGGGGTGTAGGCGAGCCCGCCGACCTCATCGTCTTCAACCCGCTCTTCGACCCGGACCACACGAACTGGATCCTCGCCGGCGATGTCACAGGCTACAACACCACGCGTGGTCTCCCTCCCCGCCGTACCGCCATCAACACCGCCTCGCGTCTCTCCCGCCGCCTCCTCATGACCATGCACAACGAAACCACCTACCACCGCCACACCATGTTCAGCGAAATGTTCCCCGGCAGCGTCGCGCTTCACCACGGCCTCAAAGCCGTGTACGCACCGCACCCCGTCTTCATCGACCGCAAATGGCCCGTGCAATACCTCGCCGCCATCTTCAACAACGGACGTAACGGAGCCAGCGGTGGATCGCGTCTCAGTGTATTCAGCGACGAGCGCCAGCATAATTTCCTCGGCACCACGTGGTATTACCATGCGGGCTTTGCACCGAATCTGTGGAAGCGGTGGTTGGGGTACAAGGTTGATAATGATGGCGGGGAGGAGGAGGAGATGGCCGGAGAGGGGAGAATGTGTCTTCCGGGAGTGTTGTTGCATCCGGTGAAGCAGGTGGATTTGGTGGTGGATTGGGAGGGGCAGAGGATTGAGAGTGATGGGGATACGAAGCGGAGGTAAGCCTGCGGTAGCCTTCCAGGCGGGCTTTGGGCTGGGCCAGGTGTGTGTGTTTTGTATATGTATTGTCGTTGTTGAAATGTTGATATTCATGAGGTGCTTGGTTGGGCAGGTTGGGGCACTCTTCATGGGGCGTTAATATTGCTGTTTTGCTTCGCTTCCATGTTAGGGTCTACACTGGAAGAACATATATTTGAGGTTTCTTGTTTAGATTCTTGGGTTGCATTTATAGGGATATCCGGTAACAGAGTCGAGAGTGGAACGTAGTAAGTATATGCTTTTGCCTGCCATGCTATTTCTAAGTAGACCCATTTTATACCCAAAACCAATGCAATTTCATTTGATCCTTTTCTCGATCTGCTCCAATCCTTTCTCTACCATTCGATCACACTACCAGCCCAATCTTTTTGCTCCACTGTACATATATGAGTCTTTCTACCCCACCACCCTCCTCCGCCTCCCACTATCCACACTCACCGTATTATCCGGCCCAATACTAATACTCAAACTGCTATCCTCATCATCACTCCCCCCTCTCCTCCCTCTACTCCCAAACCCACCAACCCCCTGACTCTTACTCCTCTCGGGCCGAATGACCAACCACGTACTCCCCCCATCCGGATCCTCCTGCTGCGTAAGCTGCAACTGATGCCCCGACCCCCCACTCGTAACACCCCTGCCTCTAGATCGAGGCGACTTCGGCAACGGCAGCGGCGCAAAAATGGAGCTCAACTTCGCCGTCCTGAGATCCGGCAGCGACGATATGGCAGGCGGCAGCGGCGCACTCTCAATCAGGGTCAAACTCGCCAGACCGTTCCGCAACGGCAACGCGGTCAAAAACGCCGGACTCATCGCTTTATTATCCAGCGCGAGGAACAGATGCCTCAGATGGCAATTCGGCGCGAAAAGAGCTACATTCTCCTTGACCTTTCGGGTACTAATCCCATCCTTGGCGACGCCGACGTCGATCCAGTCGAAGCCTGCGATGCGCCCGCAGAAACCCGTCGAGGCGGCGCGCAGCTGGCCGAGGTTGCGCAGTTTGGAGTCGCGGACGAGCGTGTTGGCGAGGGATTCGAGGTTCGAGTAGATGCGGATGAGGATGTCGAGGGTGTCTGCGTCGGAGGGGTAGAGGGGCCGGAGGAGTTCGCGCGTGCGGATGAGGAGGTCGTCGGCGAGGGATTCGCCGCCCGCGGTGCGTTTGGTGAGGTATTTGTCTTGGAACTGGGAGGAGGAAGAGAGGTGTGAGTTAGGGGTCTGGGGGTTGGATGGTTGGGAAAGGGGGAGGGGGAAGGGGGAAGGAGGAGGGGGAGGGGGAGAAGTACCGTGAAGCCTTCTGCGTCGGCGTCGATGAGGACGAGGGCGAAGGGCCGTCGTGCCTAGAGAATGTCAGTAATCTAGGTTGGATTCTTGAATGCGGTGTTGGAAGTGGAACCAACCTGCTTCTGGGCCAAACTGCTCTCCCTCTCCTTCGCTTCCACCACTTCGGCCTGCAGCGTCCGGCGGACATTTTGTTCGGATTGTAGGTCTAGCTCGGTCTGGGCGAGCTTTGCTTCTGTCTTTTCGAGCTTGTCGAGGAGTTCCTGGTACCGCGTCAGTAGGCTCAGTATAAGTGGAATGTGTATATGCCCCAGTCCACCACGGGTGAAACCTTACCTCAATAAGCTCCAACCGCCTCTCCTCCAGAATCCGAAACTGCCCCAATCGCTCCCTAAACGTTGTCGGGACCGCCACCGCATTCAGAGGCGCTGCTGATACGGGAACCACGGCCCCAGCAGCAGCTTGCACGGGTGTAGCGTCCGCCATATCTCAAGTGCTCATCTCAAAGGCATGTAAAACGCGAATCTGTACAAAACACCACCCATGGGAGAAGGTGGAATTTGGGGGATCGAAGTATTTAAAGCACCGATCCGTTAGCCGTTGAGTCTTGTTTTGGGCCCGAACTGCGTCTCTGCGGTGCCCTAGGTGGCTTTGCATGGTAGAGTGCGGTTGGGCCGGGGGAGCTCAACGTAGCGGGCTGTTATTGGTTGTAGGGGTGGGGAGGAGCAGCGGAGGGGGAGGTGAGTGGTTGCTTTGCGAGGAGGGCTCACCGGAGGGTTGGGAGAGGGCGGGAAAGGAGTGTAGAAGGGGAGGCAAGTAGGTAAATTGTTGTGGTTGGGGGTTGTGGTGTGGTAGAGCTGGTGGACGAGTTGGGGGAGTAGGGGTTCAAGGTTGGTGGAGTAGCAAGACAACAAGGTGTTATCGCCAGTTAGTATCCTGGTAATGGAAGGAAGATATGTAGAGCTGACCCGGGATGGTGGGAAGCGGCTCTGATATTCCTAGCTCTAGCTGCATGATATGTCGAATGCGGGTGAATGTTCGATGACTGGTACCCGTTCGAGCCGAGCCTGGTGGAGGAACTTGTGCCTTGTCCACGTGTCGTGTGACATAGATTCAAATATCCGACGACTCGCTATCTCTTTCTTTCTGGAGCCAAACGAGGGGCTGATAGAAGCAGTCATAGTCATGAAGCTGTGGTGGGTTGGAGTTGGTTGAGTTGTTCTTTCTGCACAGACCAGCTTCACGGTTCAAGGACATCTGGAGGGAGTTCGGACGACGAACATAGTGATCGTCCGGAATTCGAGGTCCTGAGTGAATCGTCGCTAGGGACTCTCAATACTTAGAGAGTGCAAAGCAAATAGTAGGCATTCAAAAGACTGTTGAAAATGGTTAACTCTTATCTCAGAACCGCCTCGTAGTGAGATCGTTGTTTACTCCCTGGACCGTGCGCTGACATATGCTCCTCATCCAGCAGCTATCAACCTCGAGCATCCGACACGACACTGAACCGCCCATAATGGACGACATGGCATCCAGAATAACGCAAGCCCGATCCCTTCTTCCCGAGTACAGATCAATATTACAAGCCTTCACGCACTCCTCGTCCAAATTCCGTATCGTCCGAACCATCAACCCAACATCAGCCCCGCCAAAGACGCTGTATATTCTTGATTCGTCCTTCAACCCGCCTTCCAAAGCGCATCTGGCGCTGGCCACTTCTGCGATAAGGCACCCTGCAGCTTCTGATGAGCGGCCATTTAGGTTACTGCTCCTCTTCAGCACACACAATGCGGACAAGGCGCCTAGCCCGGCGAGCTTCGAGCAGCGGATGGTGTTGATGACACTGCTCGCAGAGGACCTGTCAGAGGCTTTAAAGGAAAAGGCACAGTTGAAATTAGAGTCCGGGAATGCGCATACCGAAGAAGCTGGGAACATCTCGATTGATATCGGCCTCACCAAGGAACCCTACTATACGGACAAATCGACGGCTATTGCACATTCCTCGCCTCCTGCATACCCCTCGAATCCCGTACATGTGCATCTTGTTGGATACGATACTCTCATTCGCTTCTGCAATCCAAAGTATTATCAGAACTATAACCCGCCTCTCTCCGCCCTCACCCCTTTCTTCGAAGCCGGTCACAAACTGCGCGTCACACAGCGACCCTACGACGCCAATGATGCATCGTCGACGGCGTTTGGCACAGTAGAAGATCAGCACAAGTATCTTCAAGAACTAAAAGACGGCAAACTCGAAGAGGAAGGATTCAAGAAGGCTTGGGCGCATCGAATCGACATGGTGCCTGCCGAGGAAGGAATTGGAATCAGTTCAACTAGAGTACGTCGAGCCGCGAAAGAGGAGGATTGGGAGCTGGTAAGGAGGTTGTGTACGGAGGGAGTGGCCGCTTGGGTGCAGAGCGAAGGGCTGTATGCTGAGGATGCTAGTGGACAGAAGATGATGAGCTAGCCTCGAGTGCTGCATTTGATTCCGTGAGGAGCTGGCTGCGCCTTTCACACCACCTTCAACGGCCAGAGAATATCCACGGCACGTGACTTCTCCTGAGTGGCGAGGTGCTCCTTCCCCCACCTTCTGGCACTGTCGGACTTTGCTCCTTCCTTCATTCTTGAATTCACTTGCTCCTCCTCCACTAGGATGCACCACGGGCGCCTGGCATCTCCCCGAGGCGGCGGCGGATCCTCGTAGACTACCCACTTCATCTCCCCATCCCAACCACCTCTTCCCAAAACGACTCGAGGCTAAAGGGGAATAGCAATTGCAAGTCTCTACGAGGTTCCACAGCGGACCATTCTGATACGGGAAACCAATAGACGGCACGGATGCATGTCAACCGCAGGAAATGGCCCCTGACGTCTGCCCGAAGAACAAGGACTGCTTCCGCCCAGATGTCGACGATGACGGTTCCCCCGCCGTTCCTCCACGCGTGATCCAGAAGCCACGTCCAGCGGATCCCGCTGCTCCAGGTGGACAGACTTTGTTGCTCCTCGTGGAGACACCGGACTCCCGTAACACGATTGCGCCAAGTGAAGAACACCGACGCCGTGAGCTCCTCTCTGTCTTCCCAACTTCCTCCGGCGTGAAGCCGAGAGCCTCATATGTATTCCGTCCGTCTTTGCCGAGACTACGACCAATTACAAGTGTTCGGAATCTGCTCAAGGGGAAGAGCTCTCGAAATGCGGCTGGGTTGAGGCTTAAGAACAAGGTCTCGGAACATGCTATTGCGTCTCATGAGCTTCAGACTGTCGTAAGAAGTCCAGCTCGCCAAAATCTCCAAGTCAATATCACAGGCTCGGACATCAGGAACAACCTGCTCAGCCATGGTCCCCCAGAAGAGGGAGGTTATGATCCTGACGCCGAAGTCCTCGATGACGTCCAGCCGCAAGTAAGAAGTACACCCTCCAAGAGGCCGAGTGTGCATAGCATTCTGTGGACACCATCTTCACAGTGAGCTTTCAGGTCTTTTTTCTCATTGTTATGTATGCTAATATCTTTCAGCAAGGGAACACCTGGTTCTACCAAAAGCCCCCACCCTCCACCGGCAGGTCGCGGCAAGTTCCCTTACCAACTTTCCTCGTCTGATACACAACATTTCACGCCAGGACGTCTCAGTCCTAGCCTGCGCCTTTCCTCACAGTCGAAACGGAAGCTGGGAAAATCGCCGTCGTCCACCTCTATCACGACTCCTACGCCCACGCCACGCGTGTCTCCACGACTTTCCAGTTTTGCCAACACTGATCCAGAAGATGTTTCTTGGGCTGAATCGCTGCACAAGAACCTGCACATCCCTATATCTACCACGTATGATCCTTTCGGGTCTGCTCCGCTCAACGCCTCACTCAGACTGGGCTTCCGCTCTTGGTCAGAGATTGACGCCCCAGGAGTCACGGACTACCCCCACACGGCCGTTGAGCTACAGGCGAAAGTGCAGAATCGCAGTAAGCAAGTCGATGCCTCTCCCGCACCTATTGAAAATCAGAATGCTTCTTTATGGACACGCAAAATTGAGGCTTCCCGTGAGTCGTTGCACCTGCACAGCATGCGCATTTCTCATCATCTCCGCTTCGGGTCTCTGCGTTCCGGAGAAGACCAATCCGACCCTCAAGAACAGTTATCATTACGCCACTCTACTTCGGAGGAGAACCACGATTTGACTACCATTAAGCACCCTAAAGGCGACCGCCAGGGCTCTAGTTCTGGTTTTTCAAGCTTACAGGTGCCTACTAAATGGGGTAAGGTGGTCGGGTCTCACCATCAACGAGATGGTTCTTCCTTATACTCCAGCCGACCCCACAGTCCGCTGGATAGTCGGGATGGCTCCGGTGCCAATTTATCAGCGCGTGCCCGGGATGATGACCCCACTAACCATATGGCTTCTAACCCTACAAAATATCCTCCGGTTCGTCCAGCTAGGCATAACGAGAATCACAAACGAACGCAAAAGGTCGATGCTGCAGATCCACATACTGCAGATCAGAGACATATAGTCCGCCCAACACAATCCGAGTCTGCGAAGACCCATAGTTTTGGCGTCGCAAAGAAGACTAGGTTCAGGGAAGTGCTCAGTCCAACCACGTCGCGGAAAAGGTCCCTCCCGGCCGTCTCAGTAATGAACGTGCTTCGTCCCCGCAAGAGCCGAAGAAGCCAAAGCACTGGGAATCTCAAAGAAGCAGACGTCGGCACGGATGGGGCCTCCCATGACCCTCCGTCGCAGAATGCCCGAGAACAACGGGCCATCAAGACAATGGTGAGCTTTCAGAAAGAGAGAGACGCGGTGGGAAATGAGAAGAAGGAGGCAAATCCCGTCTGGGAACGTGCATTCAAGTCCTACCAAGAGGAGAGAGCAGCATTTCTCCTACCTGGCCACAAGGACCCAGGAGCAGTGGGGCCGATCCGAGAACGGAGTGGCAGCATGAATACTCGTTCGACCATCTCCCGTCCCGCAAGCAAGCATGATTCTGATCCAGTTCCACCTCCCGTCGCCCCTATCACCGTTGGAGCAGAGAACGTCGATTGCAGGCCTGCGACTGGGGTGCCGATGACAAAGACAGCTTTTGATCTTCACATCAATGAGTTACGACATGCGTTTGAGAACCAAAAAGACGATTTTGATACATTAGGCGCATGGGGCCGCTACCCTTCTCACACACGTGAAGGGCGCACCGGCAGCGCGGGTCCGGCGGATTCGGTGAAGTGTCGTGATTTTGCCTTGGAAGCTGCAATATGGTTCGCCGATGAGAAAGACAATGCTGGGGAAGGGGAAGGGAATGCGGGATATGGAAAGCCGCACCTCAAGAAACGTCGTCATTTCTTTACCCCACCAGCAGGAAGGAAGCGGAGGAAGAAGCCTGACAGTGCGGGCGTTACCAAGAGTGCGTCTATGACCTTCGCAAAGACATTGTTTAAAGACTATTCGAGGGTTTTCACGTCTCCGAGCACCGAATTTCAGCGTCACGGTCATGGCCATCGTACCTCAATTGCTGCTGGGGGCACCTTGGAGTTCCCAGAATTGGAAATCCTCCCAGATGTGTGGAGGCCCCCTGAAGAACTAAGAAAAAGTCATCGTCCCAGGGATTCTGACGACGAGAATCAAGCTAATGGGCACATTCGCGTAACGAATTATCGGAAATACATTCCTCCCAGGACGCCGGATAAGAGGACTGATGTCAGTCCGCCCTGGCCACTACCCTTGGATCCTGATCTGGCGCTCGACGGAAGAGCGGACGGAGCTACTTCTAAAGATCAGGCAGGTCGCTGGTCTATTTACTACAAGGACTGCATTCCCGCTCATGCCGACCAGAGCGGAGATTCTGCGACCATGTCCCAGCCAGATTTGAATGCGCTGGACAGATTCCAAAAGTCCCTGGAGAGCAACGTCGGACCGCTGGGTTCGCGTCGTCATTCGTTCGATTGCCAGCGCGATAATGGCCGAGATGAAATACAACTCGGTCGCTTCAGCTCGATGCATAGCCGTAATGTTAGTGGGCTGAGTAGGGTTAGCCTGGCCACTGGAGTCAGCGGTGTTCCAAGCTTCTTGTCCCAGGAAGTGGGGGATTGTGGCGCCTCGAGGAGCATGTATCAGTTGAGGAGGAGCACTTTGGATCTGCTGGATCAGTGCCGGGAGCAGGAGGGGAAGGAGAGGGAACGGGTTTTGAGTATGTTGAGGGTTGGGAGTGAGACGTGTGCATCTGGGTGAATGGAGGTGGATAGGAGACGTGTGGTGAGGATTTGGACGCGAGTGCACACTTGTAGGTGCAGGCAAAGGAGGAGTAGCTGGGGAGGGGTACTCCTATCTCCAGGTTCGTGGTCAGTTTACGGTATTAAAATACACTTGAGTATGCCCCTAGGTAGTTATTGCTCGTATCCGTGTTGAGATTTTGGTATGACACCTATGCATTGTATGCTACGCCGAATGATTTTGGCAAAGAATACAATCTTGGAATCCGGCCTGGTCGCCTCGGAAGATGCGTGCCGTCGTGCAGGTATGGGTAAATGTCGACGATTGAATTTCATCTCCTGCAGATCCTTGTTCTAGAAGGGTGCATTGTCTTAAGTATTTTTGTTATTGATATGATTCACCCTATTCATAGTAGGACCCCAGCGACCATTTGCACGTTTCCTCATTATCAACATTACGCTGCGCAGTTTGTGGCTCGTCCATGCGAGGCTTCACAGGCATCCCGTCGACACCCTTCCTTTTCCTTCCTTGCCCAATCTTTGCCTACCTCCTTTGCTGATTAGAACCCCTGGCCTTCTCTCCTTTGACTCTGTCCCTTCATCTAGCGGATCCCCTTCCCCTCTCCAACCAACCTACCCACTACCTACACCTTCCCCTCTGCATCCCTCCTCCTCCGAAACTGCACCAGCGGCCCATCCTTCTTACTAGCAAAAACATCAACAATCTGAAACTCCCCCTGATTCCCCCTCATCCAGCCCCTCCCCTCCCCACCAGCCCCCAAATTCGTCCCCGGCGCAAGCCTAACATCGTACTCGTAAAGCACCCTCGCAATGGCGACACTCAACTCCACATACGCCAACCCCTTCCCAATACATCCCCTCAAACCGATACTAAACGGGCAAAACGCCTCTCGCGCAGCTTGTACGTGCGAAACCAACGGATTGGATTCGGGATCCGGCAGCCAGCGCTCCGGGCGGTAGGCGTCCGGGTCCGGGTAGTACAACGCGTTGTGGTGGATGCTGTAGTGCGGGACGCCGACGTCGATGCCCTCGGGGATAAAGTGCCCATCTATGGTTATACCGCCGGGGAGCACGCGGCGCGGCAGGGCGCCCGCGACGGGGGGGGACATGCGGAGCGTCTCGTCGATGCAAGCGCGGAGGAAGACGCAATTGGATAATTTGGGCCCGGACACAATCTCCTCGACATCGTCGAACGCGTTGCGGATTTCGGCCGTCAGGCGGCGCAGGACGCCGGCGTTGTGCACGAGGTAGAAGAGTGTTCCTGCGAGGGCGGTGGAGGTGGTGTCGGAGCCGGCGATGATGAGGAGGTTGGATTCGCCCCAGAGTTCGTTCATGGAGAAGCCCGCGCCGGTTTCTGGGTCGCGCGCTTGCAGGAGGTGGTAGAAGAAGTCCCTGCGGTCGACGTCGAGACCCAGGCGGGTGCGTTCGAGGGCTTGCGATTTGGAGTAGGCCATGTATTGCGCGCGTTGCGAGGCGATGTGGTGGAAGAGGAGTTTGTCGAGGTGGAGCGTGTGGAGGGGGAGGTATGTGCCGCACTGTAAAATTAGTATGTATACACGGGGTTGTCTATAGGAGAAGGAGATACGGGTTGGAGAAAAGGAGCGCTAGGGGCGGTATAGATGAGGAGTATGGAAAAGAAGAAGAACTCACAATCAAATGCCTATGCGCCGCATTCCCCACCAACTCGACCGCGAACCGATTCGCCGGACCCTCCAACATGCCAAACGCCTTGCCAAACACCAAATCCCCCATGATATCAAACACGAGCCAATTCGCCCAATTCGCCGCATTCCACACATCCGCCCACCCCTCCTCATCGTCCCCATCCCCTCCAGCAGTAGTCTTCTTCTTCTCGTCTTCCCTCCTCCCCTCCGTAATCATCTTCCTATCCGACTTCTTCTCGCCCAGGAGACGGCATCCCGTGCGCACGTTTGCCAAAATGTATTTCTCAAGGGACTTGATGGCTGCGTCGGAGAAGGCGTGGGACAGCACCCGGCGCTTCCGCGCGTGCGCCATCTTGTCGATGCTGCTGTGGACATTGTACGTGTGCTTGTTGGCCGGGAAAGCGGTATAAAAGTCTGCTTTGCGCACATTCGCTCTAGGCATGTAGATGGTCTTGAGGGCGGAGGAGGTGTTGAAGCTAAGGCTGTTGGGGCCGATGCGCACGACGGGCCCGTACTTTTGGTGCGCCGCGTGGTAGCATAGGTGGCGGTCCCCGCGGTAGGCGTGGTAGGCGAGGTAGATGTCTGTGAGGGCGGCGAGGCGGGGGCCCGGGTAGCGGGCGAGGGGGTGGAGGGTTAGGCGGTAGAGGGAGAGGAGGAGGAGCTGTTTGGGTTAGTGATTTGGTGGGTCGAGGGTTTGGGATGAGGAGATTAAGAGAGTGAATGATGGGATGGGTAAGGGGAACTTACGTATAGGAAGAGGGCGCCGAATATTGAGCCTACGAGGAGGAGCGGAGAGGAGAGGAGGTGTCTTGCTGTGCTGATGAGGAGCTCCATGATGCCCAGAGGTGGGCGAGAAGTAATGATTGCGCAAGCCGTCAATCGTAGAAAATATGCTCGATCTGGTCTGTAGATGTTCCTCTCTGTCTTCGACCTTCAAAACCGGTCCAGTCAACTCCGTTGGAAAAGGGGTTGGGAATTTTGAATAGGAAGTAGTCGAATTCCGTCGTTCCAACCTTCGTAATCCCAAACCACGCTTTCACTCTTAAGCGTCTCAGTCCCTTCCAAACCTATCTCTTTCTCTCTTTCCTATCCCTGATATCGAATGTCTCTTCACGTAACAATACCAGCCAAGCGCACGCGTGGACTTCCAAGGTTCGCACAACGGCCCTCAAGCATGAGACAAAACAACCACCTTCCAAAAAACCAAGGCCACGACCCCCTCTTTAATGAATCCCCCAACCCCTCCCTTCCATCCATCTCCATCCGGACCTTTTACTCTGCGATCCTCGAATTGCCCGTCCAAGCACATGACCCTTTCCAAGATACCGCCGGACTAGCTCCCCAAGCTTCCCGGCGTACGTCAGAGCGGTCGTTGATCAGCGCGGATGTTGCGGGCGATCTGTGTGTATATGGATATATGGATCGGCTATGTCCGGTAACTAACGGATAACAAATCACGTGAGGGGTAGATGACGGAATTTTGTCACGTGACATGTATGTGACGGACAATATTGGGCTTGGGAGTGGAGAGAGCGGGGATGGAGACGGGTTCGTCGGGGGAGAGATGATGCTTTGCCAGACTCAGGATCGGATGGGTGAGGAACCTTTCTGTGATCTGGGAAGCGGGAAGTGTCCTGTGGGCAACATGTGCTAACCATCGATGTAACCCCGGAGGGACTGCGCCGGTCCGGTCTGTTTCGGGAACAGCGGAGAGCGGTTTGATGGATCGCTTTTGGGGCGATTTTCGATGGACTGTTTTGGGTGCGATTTCGATGGACTGCTTGAAGTCCTGTGTACGTGTATTCAGTGGTAGCTCCCAAGACTAGCGGCGTCACCACATCAGAGCGCACACAGTACGACATCACAAAACCGAAACAACTCGCGAAAAGCAAAACACAGTCAGGTGAAGGTGTTGAACTTCGTTTATTAGGTTGTTTCTACTTTGTTTGTCGCTCTCGCAAGGACGAACCTTGGAAGCCAAGGTCTCACCTCCCTCGTCCTCAGAGCGGACAAGTCCACTTCTCATCAGCCTCTCGGATATCTAATTCTAACGGTATGCTTGCGAGTAAGAACTTCGTTGAAAGTCTCTGAAAATCCAGACTTTTTGCAAAACGCCTTCAGCCACGCTCGCAAAGGAGCACAACGCCTGATTAACAATCCCACAAATATGCTTATGAACGCCGATGTTGAGATCGCTCATAAACCCCACCCACCCACCTACCCACCCACCGTATGACCATGAATGCAGGTTGAACTTTTGTTGGTATCATGAACACATTACACACATTACAGCGCAGCTGTTGATATGCTGCTTTGGAAAGGCCACGCTGATCAAAGCGTAGGCCTAGAAGTGCCTAAATAGGCTGCCGAAGTGCCTTCGTCTACGAAGAGTACTTCTGGCGGTAGAACTTGGCGGCGTTGACCATGTTGGTCAGCGCAGCCTTGGTCTCCTTCCACTGGCGCGTCTTCAAGCCGCAGTCGGGGTTGACCCAGAGCTGCTCAGGCCTGAGGTAGACGAGCATCTCAGCGATGCGCTCCTTGATCTCCTCCTCGGAGGGGACACGAGGCGAGTGGATGTCGTAGACGCCGGGGCCAATGTGGCGGGGATAGGCCTTGTCCTCGAAGACCTTGAGGAGCTTGGCGTCGCTCTTGCTGTTCTCGATGGAGAGCACATCGGCATCGAGAGCGGCAATGGCGTGGAAGAAGTCCTGGAACTCGGAGTAGCAGAAGTGGGAGTGGATCTGGGTCGAGTCCTGGACACCAGCAACCGAGAGCTTGAAGGAGTCGACGGCCCAAGAGAGGTACTTCTCACGCTCAGTGCCAGCGCGGAGCGGGAGACCCTCACGGAGAGCAGGCTCATCAACCTGGATGACGTAGACACCGGCGGCCTCGAGATCGAGCACCTCGTCGCGGATGGCGAGAGCGAGCTGCTGGGCCTGGACAGACTGGTGGACGTCGTCACGGGGGAAAGACCACCTCAGGCAGGTGATCGGACCCGTGAGCATACCCTTCATGGGCTTCTTGGAGATGGAGGCGGCGTACTGGGACTCCTTGACGGTCATGGGGGCGGGACGGGAGATGTCACCAACAATGATCGGGGGACGCACGCAGCGGGAGCCGTAGGACTGGACCCAGCCGTGGGTGGTGAAGACATAGCCGTCCAGCCTCTCGCCGAAGTACTGCACCATGTCGTTGCGCTCAGGCTCACCGTGCACAAACACGTCGAGGTCAAGCTCCTCCTGGATCTTGACGACCTCCTCAATCTCCTTCTCAATGAACTTCTCGTACTCCTCAGCGGTGATCTCACCCTTGGTGAACTTGTTGCGCTGGATACGGATGTCCTTGGTCTGGGGGAACGAGCCAATGGTGGTGGTGGGGAAGAGGGGCAGGCTGAGGTGGGTCTTCTGCTGGGCATAACGCTCGGGGAAGGGAGACTTGCGCTCGTGGTCGGCAGCCGTGACCTTGGCCTGGCGCTCCTTGACGGCCTTGTTGTTGGTGCGCTCGGACGAAGCACGAGCCTGGATGGATTTGGCGTTGGCCTCGAGAGCCTCGCGGACGGAGGCAGGACCATCCGTCACGGCCTTGGCAATGACGACGACCTCAGCGGTCTTCTGGGTGGCGAAGGAGAACCAATCCTTGACCTCCTCGGGCAGCTTCTTCTCGCTCTCGAGCGAGTGAGGGGTGTGGAGAAGGGAGCTGGAGGTGGCAACGATGACGCGGTCCTTGCCGAGCTTCTGGATGGCGGTCTCTACAATCTCAATGGCACGCTTGAAGTTGGTCTTCCAGATGTTGCGGCCATCGACGACACCAGCCGAGAGGACCTGGTTGGGGCCGAGCTTGCCAATGACGGCTTCGAGCTGTTCGGGGTGCCTGACGAGGTCGATGTGGAGTCCATGGAGGTTCTGGATGGCGGGGAAGACGTCGAAGTTGTGCACAATGTCGCCGAAGTAGGTGGCAAGCACGATCTTGGGGAGGTTGGCGCCGACGAGCTTCTCGTAGGCGGGCTTGAAGGCCTGCTTGATCTTGTCGGCAAGATCCAGGACGAGGACGGGCTCATCAATCTGGACGGTCTCGGCGCCAGCCGCCTTCAGCTTCTCGAGCAGCTCGACGTAGACGGGGATCAACTTGTCCAGGAGCGAGATGGGGTCCACGGACTGGCCGCGGTCGGCCTTGCCAAGGGCGAGGAAGGAGACGGGACCGATGAGGACGGGGCGGGTGACGATGCCGGCCTCCTTGGCCTCGAGGAACTCGACAACGGGCTTGGGTTCAGAGGCAAGCTTGAAGGTCTGGCCGTTCTGGAAGGTGGGCTTCACGTAGTGGTAGTTTGAGTCGAACCACTTGACCATTTCCTATGGAAGAGTCAGTCTTGTTCTCTCGAGAGAAAGGAAGGAGGTAAGCTTACCAAGCTGGGAACGTCGACGCCGTCCCTCTGGTGGCCACGGCCCATGGCGAAGTACTCATCGAGCTTGTTGAGGTTGTGCTTGGTGTACCGCTCAGGGATGGCCTGGGTGATGGTTAGCGGAGATTCTCGAGTTAAGTGAAAAGTCTGAAGCCTACGTTGAAGAGCTGGATGTGGTCGAGGATGTGGTCGTAGAAGGCGAAGTCGTTGCTGGGGATGACATCGACGCCGGCATCCTTCTGCAGCTTCCAGTGCTCCAGACGCAGACGCTTGCCCTCCTTGAGGAGCTCGTCCCGGGACAGCTTGTCGGCCCAGTAGGCCTCATTTGCCTTTTTCAACTCACGGTTGGCTCCCATGCGGGGGAACCCGAGCACGGAGGACTGAACCATGGTGAGGTGATGTGAGGTGGCGGGGTACTAGAAAGAACAATTGAAAGAAGAATAAAATGGGTTGATGAGGGAGAATGAAGTGTGGCAGGGGATTGATGAAGAAGGAGAGGAGGAGGAGGAGGAGTGAGCGAGAAGAATTGTGTTGTCGGAGTCGGAGGAGGGGGGAGGGGCACAATAAGAAGGATTTCTCCTAGGGCGGTGGTGTGCTTTTCACTCTGGGCTTGGTTTCTGCTGGCACGGCACGCGGGGCTGGAGCTAGTCCGGATTGGGAATGCGAAATCTCACCGCCTTTGCGATGGTGTGAAGCTTATGGCTCTCTTTTCTCCAGGGTCTTTTATATCCACCGATTGCCTGTGGGCCCTGCGCCTGGATTGCCTCGATGCACCTCGAACTTGTTCTGTAGCCCGGTCCCGGGTTATTCAAACTGGCAGGTCTGGATGCCAGCTATTTTGGTGCCAATTGTCGAGTGTAGGCTCTCTGTCGAGGTATCTACAGCGAAAGTTTCACACAGCGCATCTATGCAGTCACACCTCGCAGCAGGAAAACGTGGGCGCTGGGCACGCCATCATGGGTTTTTTCCGACTTCGGCGCCGGTCCTTTCGCCGGGGACTTCTCCAAAGCTTTCCGCTGGGCCAGGCTCCGAAGAGCAAGTGAGCTGCGACCGTTTATGGGAAACGGAGTATTTGTGCAACAACACGGAGTCGCATCTCTTCGGACTTTCCGTCAACGAGCCAATCGACGCCGGTCGTTGTCCGTAGGCTCCATGCAGAGTGTCAGACGGGTTCGGTCTATTCTTTTGGGCATGGAGGGGCAAGACCATTTATTATTTTCCTGAGAGGTGATTCTGCAGTCTTTGTCGCCTTCACCATTGTGAGGTAGCAATATCATGAGGACCTCTCACAAGCAGGCCTCAGACAAGCTACACCTGCACACTTATCGAGACAGAAGGACATCAAATATCAGATTCTATTCAAGAGCAGATTTCCTACACCAGACGATGGCCTGAGGTATTCTGTGGTATATACTCCTGCATGGGTCAGTCGGTCTCCGAAACCCTCTCGGAGGGGCAGCATCTGAAAAGAGGTATACCACACCATGCCAAGATTAGCCATCATGGATTCTACCACCCGTGGACCCCTCCTCAGCCCTTCGCCCTTCAGTTAGACTACCACGGTGATGATCATGATGGACCTCGTCCCCCAGAGAAAAGCACCCTCTAGGCCAGTCGAGGCAGTGGTTTCATGGGACTAACCATCAATGTACAATCCGTAGATGCCGACGATACCTGGGCCGGCTATCCGCACTGCAGCTGCCCCCCACCACGACCCCGCTATTCAGCCATCATAACAACCGCCTGTAGAATTATAACTTTATTATTAACCTTCTCACAGAACAACTGCTCCCTCTCCAGAAACGCATCCTCACCATGTCTATACCCAGCAGTGCTCGAACAGCATCGACCAACCTCCTCTGGGGTCCGACCGGTCACCGAGTGCTAGAAGGCAGACTGGCCATTGTTACTGGCGCTTCAAGAGGTACATCTACCCCTCATCGACTCTCGGAGCTTCTTCTAACAGTTCACAGGCATCGGCGCCGCCGTCGCCCGCAACCTCGCCAGCAAAGGCTGCAACCTAGTGCTCAACTACACCTCCGACTCGTCGACCAAGCTCGCCGAACAGCTTGCCCAAGACCTGCGCTCCGAACATGGCATCAAAGCCGTCACCGTCCAAGCCAGCATGGGCTCCGAGGAAGGCCCCAAGTACATTGTTGAGGTTGCAAAGAACCACTTCCAGCACCCCAAATCCGGCAACTTCCAGATCGACATCATCATCAATAATGCCGGTGTGGCACGCAACGATACCCTCGAGACGGTATCAGCTCAGGAGTTTGCGAGGCAGTTCAATGTCAATGTGCGGGGGCCGCTGCTGCTCGTGCAGGCGGCGTTGCCCTATCTGCCGCATGATCGCTCAGGCCGCATTGTGAACGTCTCCTCGGTGAGCTCCTCACTCGGCTACATCAGCCAGTCCATCTACGGCGGCACCAAAGCCGCCCTGGAAGCCATGACGCGGACATGGGCTCGCGAACTCGCAGAACGTGCGACCGTCAATGCGATCAATCCTGGTCCTGTCACTACGGATATGTATCTCTCGACAGACGACAAGTTCACGGCGCAGAATAAACCGCACATTGAGAATACGCCGCTGGCAAGGCCAAGGCAGGGAATCGATCCCCCGGAGATCTACGAGCCTGCGATGAAGGCAGGTGGGAGGCCGGCGTATAGCGAGGAGATTGCGGGAGTGGTCGGGATGCTGTGTACGCCCGAGGCAGGGTGGACGACGGGGAGTGTCGTGTGCGCGAATGGTGGGATGAAGTTTACTGTTTGAGCGTGATCATGTGCAGCATACTGGCTGTGTCGGTTAGTAGATAGATATCCTTGGGTGCGAACAAGAGCAGCGTTGTCAATAATGCAACTGTGATCGATGTTAAAAGAGTTGGAGACATACCACAGACCGTAGAATATGGGGTTGGTTCATGCCAAGACACCGTACAACCACCACCTCCTTGCGCTTCCTCCTCCCTACCATTCCCCTCCCTTATGTAACCCCCCTCAGCTTTCACACTCTCACAGCCTTCGCCATCCTTTTCTTTCATCCTCGAACCGCACAACACTTCCTCCGCTCTTCTCGCAATGCCATTCGCCATCTCCATGCTCCCGTCAGCTCACCCCTCAGCACGCCTCACGGTTGCTCTGGGCAACGACTGTTTACCCGCTGGCACGTGCATCTCACCCTCGGCGCCCAGCCTCCTCCGATGCATTCCTCGATGAGCCACCGAACTGCTTCTACGCCCACTCATTGGCTCCCAGCACCATCTGCCCGTTGCCGCTGCACGAAAGATACTCGGGCGTGATCCACAGGGTCCCGCGTTGCGCCATGGACCGCTTTGGAGGAGGCTGGGCCTCTGTTTACAGACCGGGCTGCCCGCCATCTCTGTGCTCCACTATCCGTGTCATGAACCGTTCCCCTCCTAACGCAACCACTATCGCCAACCGTTCGGTCCATGTAGGAACCAGCCCTTGCAGTCGACCTCCTGGTCTTTTCCTCCCTTCATGATGCATCTGCTGGCTGCGCCGTCGCTGGAGATGGGCTCGTTCAGCGTTTTCGCTACGCCTGTTGTTCCTTTCGTTTGGTCCATCTTGCTGTTCTTTGTCACCGCTCGGTCGCCGTATAACCCTACTCGTGTTCTTCAGCATGGGACCGAGCTCTACGTCTTCCGACCGCTGGACGGCTCCTCGTCTCAGTTTTCCTTGGAACATGTCGCAATATCGTCCAAGCTCGATGCTTCAGAGATACAGTACACGAGATTGTCCTCCGAATTACCCTTCCTCGCCTCCGATACGCAGAAACCATTTACCCCGGTGGTGGACAGTGCTGGTAACGTTACGGTATATACTGGGGAATGTGGGTCGGAAAAGGGAGAGATCTGGACATATGGCCCTGGGACTCCGGATGAACGCAGGACCAAAACCTGGTGGAAGCAGGATGTCGTTGTGAGTCGGGAAGATGAGGATGACCGATCGACTGGACCACGGTACCTTAACGGGGCCATTGCCTTTTCTCCAGTCGTTGACGGCAACATGACAGACACGAGTGTCTACATGTTCGGTGGCATGTGTCCAACCCAAGGAGACGGCGAAGACTGGCAAGCCCATGCGGAATATTCGAACTTGATGATGGCACTGGATCCTCTGGCAAACGATGTTCAGCCACTGGAGTATCGCCTTAGTCTATCCACAAGTCGAGGACCACCTATACCGGAAGCGGGATTTACTCTCACCGCACTTGCGCCGAGCTATTCAAACCGTAGCGATGGCAGCCAGACCCGCCAACAGAATTTCGTGCTAGTGGGCGGCCATACGAGCTCCGCATTTATCAATATGTCTCAGGTCGCCCTCTTCTCGCTCCCTCAACAAGGCTGGACCTTTGTCCCCGTGCAGCAACCAAGCACCGAGAGAACTGACCTTGCTATTCGAGGTGACATCACTGAGGTCGAGCCCCGATCTGGTCATACGGCTGTTCTAACTCCGGATGGGCAACATCTCGTCGTCTATGGCGGTTGGATTGGCGACCTCAATACTCCTGCACTTCCACAACTGGCTGTTCTAAGTCTCGGCGAAGAATACGGTGGGGTGGATCAATGGGAATGGTCCGTTCCGGTAACGAGTGGCCATGGGCTAGAGAAGGACTCTGGCCTGTATGGCCACGGAGCAGCAATGCTTCCTGGCGGAGTTATGATGATCACCGGAGGCTACACCATATCCCCCTCGAGTTCACGGCAACGTAGAGGTGTTTCTGTCAATGACAGGACTCTCTTCTTCAATGTCAGCTCCAATACCTGGATTACCGATTATACGCCCCCTAAAGACCCGCAGGCGGAGCCTAGTAAATCTGGCCCGCTCGCGACAACATCTCAAAAAGCAGGTCTGGGCGTTGGGCTTGGTATCGGCGTGGCTGCCGTGCTTAGCTTATTCATATTCTACCTCTGGTATACTAGGCGTCTGAGGAAGCAGCGCGAGATACGGGAGAAGCAACTTCAAGAGCTATCACTCGGCGCGCACCGATACACGCTGGATAACCTGTCGCCGGGACCTACAGAGACGTATTACGATGATGCACATGATCATTATTCTTCGCCGACAAACGGAAAGCATGGGACCAGAGGATGGAGACAACTCAACGCCCAGGACGCGGAACGAACAGGACTTCTCGTGGAAATCCCAAGTCCAACTAGAGGCCTGAGACGCAGCCTTGGCAATCGACCCACCTATCTCATGAACAGATACGATGAAAGGAGGCTGCATGGATCGGGCCACATCCACGTCATCGATGAACTTGAGGAGGAGCAAGAAGAAGAACGAGCTGCGCAGCGTCTTCGGGACCAAGGCCAAGAGCAGAGCGGTGCCACCGAAAACACCCCCCTGCATCGGTCAGAGATGTTGGAAAGAAGGGAGTCGAAAGGAGTCTCCATCTTCGACAATGCACCAATCCTGGACCCCTTTGTGGCAAGCAAACGCGGATCGCGCATGGATATGGAGCAGAGCGCACCGCTCATCCATTCCGCACCTGCTTCACCCGAGCACGAAGAACTGCATCATAGGGCAAATGAATGGCTCTCGGTACACGACCCTGGGCCCGTCCGTCGTAACAGCCAACATTCTGCTGGCCGCTTCTCGCCAGACAAGTCCGATCGGACGGAATCGACTCTGAGCGAGCGTAGTATGCGGTCCAACTTGTCATCAACTGGAAGTATGGCGAGGACTGCTTCGATGCGGTCTTCGGCAATCTTGAACTGCGCCAACCCCTTCCAAACACCAGATGGAAGCCCACCGAATAGCAGATCGAATCGCTATAGTGGAGGATGGGAGAGCTCGGATGAGCGCAGCCAATCGCTCACAAGTACGCGCTCGGTGTTTGCAACAGCAGCTGAAGAGAGGGACTCATTTACCACTGCGCCAACTTCATTCATGCAACTCCAGGCCGAAGGACAATCGCTGTTGGGAGGAAACCCAGAACGAGCTCGTCCAGGGACGTCGTCCACTTCCAACGCGTCCTCTTCTCACGCATATCAAGACACTGGTACTCCGATGAGCTGGGCGGGCACGGCTACGACGTCTCTCGCGGCTTCATCACAGCTTGATTGGCCCGGACAAAGCAGGAAGCGCCGCTGGTTGGGCAGCGTTCGCAAAGCTCTCGCAAGGTCCTCAACCACAGGACCATCAAGCCGTACTCGCTCCATGACCACTTCAACCCCTCACTTAGACCGCTACAGAGACGATCCCCAGTCGGCAATCGAGCCGCATCCCCAGACTCGCAACTCATTCCCGGCATCTTCCGCACCTCGCCGTGCCGCCAGCGACGCCACCTTCTGGCGCCGCAGCAGGAGCAGCAAGCAAGATTGGATGGACGACCAACTCGATCCGATGGATCCTCGCTCCATTTGGCGGCGTAAGAGCGGTGATGACTTCGGTGCCCCGGAGGATGCAGCTCTCGCGAAGAAGGCGCGGCAGAAACAGGCAACCTTGATTGATCTCCTAGAGGATGCGGGGACGTTACCTACACCGAGGCCGATCCAAGCCGGCGACTTGGGAGACGCGAGAAGTGCGCATACGGTGGCGACGGAGGATGAAGATTGGGATGTTGAAGCCGCGGTGGAGAGGCGGGTTGTGCAAGTCACATTTACGGCGCCGAGGGGGAAATTGAGGGTCGTGAACGCGGACATCGATCGCTCCAGCATCCTGAGTCTCCCTCGCGATAATGAGGAAGCAAGTCCAAAGAATGCGGGCGGTCGGTCGGACACGGCTGCCGCTGCCGGTGCAAATAGTCCTTCAAGTACGGCAACGGCTTCGCCGGGTGGAAATCGCGTCAAGGACCTGGTTGGTCGCTTTGAAGGCGTCGCTACGGCATCACGCTCGTCACCTCTTGCAGGGGCTTCCACCTCTTCTCCTCCACGACCAGCATTGAAGACGGGGCAGGAGTTCCTCTTGTCGCCTTATTCCGTTTCGCGTTCACCGAGTCCGAGCCCCAGCCCGTCGATCAGTAGTTTGAAAGTTAGGGCGAAGCAGGGTCGGAGTTCGTTGGCGAAGACACAAAGTTCCGAGACGGGTGGGAGGATGACGGAGACGCCGGCGGGGAGATTGTGCTCGGAGGATATCACCACGCTTAGGGGTGCGAGCTGAGCTGGGCATGTGTATATGGTGCTGGGAATCGGCGATTCGATGCTGATGTCTTGTTCAGGTGGTAGGGGATTGAAGCAAAGCTGCCTGGAATTTTGATTTTATAGTGTCTCTGATGGACAATGGCATTTTGTGGGCGGGAATCTGTTGTATATGTAGGCTTGGGCCTTGTATGGAGGAGACTAGTGCCAGTTTGATGCACGTTCGAACGTTCGTTTGATGTAGATATGCTGAGGGATGTGATCATGTGCGTATGTGGTTAGTCTATAGGTACTCCGTACTGGATGTTAGATGTTAGATGATAGATGTAATTGTTACTTTCGTTTGCGCCCGATAGTCAGCGTGGATATCTGGACAATGAAGTTACAGTTTGGAGCTCAGCAGGTCTAGAGCTCATGCACAACTCCACTCCCGCATAACGAACGTCTTGCCATTTTTTTCTTTCCTTTCTTTTTTTTCCTCCCTATGTACCTCGATCGTCCTCGGGGAGCACACGCAGAGGATTCAGTCCCTGGAGGTTTGACCAGTGTGGTGCCATGGGTCAGTCAGCACCTATGTATTAGCTATACGCAGCGACGACGAACCAGTCCATACATCTATCTATTCTCCGGGATCCATCATCAGCATCATCGTCACCATCACCATCATCACCATCATCATCAACTGTCAGGTGATGAGAGCTCGCAGCAGAAAAAATTGCTCCTTGTTGCCTATCTACAAAGGGAGAGGAGGCTCTATATCTACACCATCTTAGCTGAATGCAGAAATAAAAGCTTAGAGACTTCGAATCCATCTCCACCAAGTAATCTACTTACAATTGCCGAGTTTCGGCGTCCTGAAAGGTTCCCTGGCGAGTCCCAACGCTCTCGTTAGTACGTACACCCGACTGTACGTATGGTCGGTACATGGTGAAGTAATTGGAATTTACAAAACTATCCTTATAGGTTTAAAATAGTATAAGAAGCATCCCCCTAGCTTAAAATAGAAGAGATAGAGAAGCAATTTACTGGCACCTAGTCTTTAATTGCCTAAAATAAATATATTATAGTCTATTTACGTTAGTTTTACAACATACTGTCACGGTTCGTGCCTATATAACTATCCTATGCAGAATAATCAACAGTTGTTGATTATTCGTACCTTTTTGCAAGGTTGCATGGCTCGGTGGCATAGGGTCGGGTCCTGACACATACAGCCTACTTATAAGCTCTATTCCTGTACTAAAAGGTATAGAGGACTAATTAGAAACGCTCGTTTAGGAAGTACAGGCCCCCTCCTCTATTTAGTAGAGTAGTTAGCTGAAATTTACTCCGTTCCTTACTGTCGAGAGCGTTGCCGGCGACTAGTGAGGGGTCCAGAACCTCCACATAACACATCATCACCGTCTCCTCCCCACGTCTACCCCAACCCCCAAACCCCCAAAACATCTCTCCCCGCACCACTCTCCTGCTTCTCGTCCTCCTTTCTCTTCCGCTCCTGGAGTTCCTTCACCCTGCGCACGCAGAGCCCGACGCCGAGCGGACCGATGACGGTGCACAGGACGATGGCCCAGGTTACGACGAGGAAGATGTCTGAGGGGGAGGTGTTAGATGGAGAGGGGGTAGTAGAGGAGGATGGGGTAGAGGAGGAGGAGGAGGAGGAGGAGGAGGAGGATGAAGAGAAGATGCCCTTGGCCTCGGCGACGCCGGAGATGAGGAACCCGATTTCGCCCCGTGCGCACATTGCGAGGCCCAAGATTAGAGCGGGGTGGAGGGAGAGTGGGGTTTGGGGGTTGGCGGTGGTTTGTGGGTGGGGGGGTGGGTGGTGGGAGGATGGGCTCGAGGTGTCGGGCCTGGAAGATGGCGTTGATGATGATGGCGGGACTGACGGGGAAGAGCTGGGGCCGGGCGCGCTGGTTGTTGCGTTTCGTGTAGTGTGGTCCTGCAGCTGCTTGTTCTTCTCCTTCTTGCTTCGGAAACGCTGCAGGAGAGATTCCGAGAGGTTTGCTTTGAGTGAGGTCACTCGACTGGTGGTATGCTTATCACTATCTTTCTTCCCGCCGCCGACGGGAAATCGAACAAGCCACAGGCCGCAGACGAGTTTCCCAAAGGCCATTAGGATGGCGTAAACGATGCCTTTCCATAAGATGGAGGGACGGAACATGCGGGTGAGGGGGATGGAGAAGCCAATGGAGGCGAAGAAGAAGGGTTGGAGGATTCTCGAGACGGATGGGTAGTAGTAGTGGTGGTAGATGGCGGGGCCGGATGTATCCTGGTTACTGGAATTGGATGTGATGGGGGCACGAGTGGATTGTACGTCGGTGGTAGGGAGAATCCTCTCTCCTGAGTCTCCTTTCTCTGTGCGTGAGTTTTCTTCAGCTGGAACGAAATCAGGTCCTTCGTTGGGTGGATTCCCAGTGGCGAATGCAGAGCCTCCTCTTCGCTTCCCATCAACGACCGGGTCGCACGAGTTGGACGTGGGAATGGTGGGATGAGGTACTTCCGAGTCCCACCAACTAACCACCGTTCCCGCAATATAGGCGGCAAACAGATTGGACGTTCCAGCGTACGTCGCGCCAGCAACCAAACCAACCAGGAGGACTGAGTGCAACGCAAAAACCGTCTGAGTCTGACACAACAGACGGTTGAGCTGCCCGGTCGGATGCCCCTCGCGGTAACGGTTAAGCCATAGCATAGCTGGTCTCACGGCGAGGAGGCAAACAATCGGAACTGCCACAGCGAACGCAATGGAAACGAGGATAGGACGCACAACAGTCACCCAATCGAAGGCCTCACCACCGAGATTCGATATCACCTGAACCATTACTAATCCGACAACATCGTCCATCATAGCTGCGCTCGTCAGCACTACGCCCAGCCGTGACGCTGATAGACCGCTGGATGCGAGGACAGTGAAGGTAGTGCCTAGGCTGGTGGAGCAGAGGGCTGCGCCGGCGGCAAAGGCTTGCAGTGGAGTTGCATTGAGGAGAGGTTGGAGAGTGTAGGAGAGTGCGATAGGGACGGCGATTCCGGTGAGGGCGACGCCGGTGGAGAGGGCGAGATTGGCTTTTAGGGATGGGTAGGAGGTTTGGAGGCCGCCTGTGGGATGTTAGATGGTCCTGAAACATGTTCTCTTCAACTCAGTTGAGTTCTACAATAGTCGATATAGCGGGACTTTATATCTGGGTGGGCATCCCAGGCCAATATCTCTATTTCCGCTAAACGGCCACGACGCTAGTATTGACAGATTTAGGAACTGGAGATAGGAACCTTCATATACAAGCAATACCAGCCCTAGATAACCCAATTGGACAACGGACTTTTCCACTTCTGCAGACAGCCATCTCGCACCAGGCGTTCCCCAAGCGATGCCGACCAAGATCTGACCTAACAATCCGCAAAACAGTACCTTGTTGAGTACCGCGTTGACGACATTGAGCACAAGGAGGAAGGATGAAAGGACTAAGATGGTAATGATCCCTGGCTCATGGTAGGGCAGCGAAGGGGCGGTTGAGGGGGAGCTGGGTGGGGTCATGAAAGTGAGAGACGATCGTGAAGCGAGTTTCGTTGAACATTAAAATATAGAGATGCGTGTAGTGTGTGTGCAGGTGTTTTGTCGGAGATAAATAATGTTACAATTGTCACGATGACGGGCAGCCTAGTTTGAGCGCAAGCCTTCGGATAACTACGGCGGACTATATTTGGATTTAGTGCCAAAACTCAGATCACCACGCAATACGAAGCCCTGCGTACTTGTATGCGTACTCGTACCGCTACTTACACTGCGTATATGTACTGCGTACTTGCTCTGCGTATATATACTGCGTACTTGCACTGCGTACTTAGATATAGTATATTCTTCTACTGTGTGCCTGCGCTGCGTACTTGCGCTGCGTACTTGCGCTACGTACTCGCGCTGTATACTTGTACTGCGTACTTAGATATATCATATACTTCTACTACGTGCCTGCGCTGCGTACTTGCCCTGCGTACTTGCCCTGCGTAACTTTTAGTAATGTAAGTATACTACGCAGAAGAAGTACGCAGGATAAGTACGTAGTGCAAGCACGTAGTATATAAACGCTGCATGTACGTAGTATATATCTATAGAAGTACGCAGAGCAAGTACGCAGAGCAAGTACGTAGTATATATATACGCAGTATAGGTACGCGGTACAAATACGCATACAAGTACGCAGTGCGCAGGGCTTCGTGTTGCGTAGTAATCTGAGTTTTGGCACTAAATCCAAATATAGTCCGCCGTAGATAATCCCTACGGCAGGCTGTTGTAGGCAACACCGCCATCAATCGAATTTGCGATTCTGCGATTTTGCAAAAAGGCACAAAACAGCATAAAAACAGCATGTTTCTAGCTGCGCAAGAGGGTATTTCTAGATAAGTAGTAGTTAAGAAGACTATTATAGATAAGAAAAACATGCATGCAGAGGTGTAGGCCTAGGTGCAGAGATCCAGAGGTGTAGGCATAGGTACGGAGGGCTAACGTGCAAAATCGCAGAATCGCGAATTCGCGAATTTGCCTGCACCTACGCCTATACTTCTGCACCTACGCCTACACCTCTACATGCATGTTTTTCCTATTTATAATAGTCTTCTTAACTACTACTTATCTAGAAATACCCTCTTGCGCAGCTAGAAACATGCTGTTTTTATGCTGTTTTGTGCCTTTTTGCAAAATCGCAGAATCGCAAATTCGATTGATGGCGGTGTTGCCTACAACAGCCTGCCGTACACCCCACTTCCTCATCGCTCTCCTCTACGGTCTCCTCTACGGTCTCCTCTCTGACAAAAAGACTCTGGCCAATTTTCCTATGGCAATATGGCTGCAGATCACAAAAACTACATCCGTGATCTTTCAGAGTAAGTCCGTTTCTCCTATACCTTTATCAAGTGGTGGCAGATACCCTTTCTTATCATAACGTCAGTTAGACTTGCTCGCTAATCTAGTGTCCACCACTCCTGCTCATCTGTGACAGATATTTGACGGCTGGTAATCTGTCAGACCTCACCGTCACCTTTGGTGAGAAGCGATGGCAGATCCACAAAGCTCTCGCATGCTGCCATTCCAAATGGTTCCATAAGGCCCTCACTGCTGGCTTCAAAGTAAGTGATTTTGAAAGATGACGTGATCCCTAAGCGTTAGATAACACCGATTTATAGGAGACGATCAGCGGAGAAATCAACTTGCACGATGATCCCGAATTCGCTAATGCACTTGACTGCATGGTGTCGTACTTCTACAACGCGGGCTACCATGCGTCTAAATACGACACTTCGGCGTCCTTGCTTCATGCACAAGTTGCTGTTATTGCCGACAAGTACGACTGTCCGACACTCTATAAGCTAGCCAAAACTTCATTCGCAAAGTCCATGATTGCGATGCAGAGCGACGACTGGGTCACCATTGCTGCCTTCATCTACGACTATACGACAACCGAAGTACCAACCCATGTGGAATTGCGCAAACTGGTAGTCGCAGCCACCACAGACGGGTCCATTGTTTCAACGTCAATGCTTCAAGATAAGGGCGTGGTAGAACTGCTTCGTTCAAATGCGGATTTGGCGACCGATCTCCTGCTAATGCGAAAATCTATACTGGCAACCAGCACATTTTCAGTTGTAACCGTTGTCATTATGTGCACGTTGGATCTCAAGATTGCTCTAATCTGGGGCAATTCGGTTTCGGCCTGCAGGGCAGATATTGCCGGCAGTGCGAGATCGGAATCGCAACAACGTCCACACAAAACACACTTCAAATCAAGCTTTCGCGGGCTTTCCGTTGTCCCCAGTGCGAGGGTATTCACACCATCAAGCCTAAGCCGCCGGTTAGTTCTTGATTGGCGACCGGAGTCAGCCAAGCAGGTAAATATACTCCCAAAATCCAGCATTCTTCTGTTACTAACGCGATGAATATCAGCATCTTCAGCGCACAGGTCTACATACATGGATACGGTCTCACCCAGCATTTCTTTTGTCAATTGCATTATCACGTAAACTATGCACTGCCTAGCGGAGTATAGTACCAGCGAACGGGAGGCAGTGCTATACATTACCATATAGCTCTTAAAGAGCACATACAAGCCGCGTGGAAGTGATACGCCAAAAGTTCCCGCTGCATTGTAATGACAGCACAGTTTCTAGTGCGAATACAGCAAGACATAACGAGGTGGATACCGCAACGGCAACAAGAGAGCTAAAGCAGCGACGGTGATAAATATAGGTAGCGAAATTGAGGGCTTCCTATGATATAATAGATCATACGCTAGTCCGATTTTGAACAATAAGTGGAACTCAACTTTCGCGACCCGCAAAAACAAAGCTTCATCCTAGCTGGCACAAAGCATTCGTTTGGCAATGTCCTACGAATATACGCACGTTTACTATTCCTCAAATTGGTATTCTTCAAATGGTCTTTCAACGGCTGAGGCATCCGACGGAAACTCCGCAACATGTGCCTTTCAAAAGGTGGACATTAATAACCTCGAACGATTTGGCTCTGAACAAGCCCATCATACGACAATGGCACGACTTGTCAATCTCGGAAATAGCAGTTGGACTTTGTATATTCGGTTTTTACCGACTTCCTTTTCTTACCTCACGCATACGTGGGGTGAGTTGCGTCAAATGAATGCCGATGTAGAACAATACTAAGGCTAAGGACAATGGGAGCACCAGCATCGAGTTGACGCCCATGCAGAAAAGACGTTGGATTTACAACTCATGCACCACGATCGCTCCAAAAATATTCAGCACCTCAATTCGTCTTTTCGCAGTCGAGGATATACCCGATATGGCGCACGGCGGCTTCTTGACTAGATTGGCGCGCAGCATCAATTTCGACTCAAAAGAGTACATCGTCTTCTTTGTAGTCGTCACGGTATTGTTGCTCCTCTACAGAACGTTCCGTACCAGTCTCGACCCTCGCGAACCGCCCGCCATCGCCCCCAGACCGCCTATCATTGGCCATCTCCTAGGTCTCTATCGTCACCATGCCATGTACTTCAAGCACCTCTAGTGAGTACAAACCTCCATTCAACCCTTGGAATATCCCCAACTCACATTCCCTCAGCGACAAAAATCCGGATAACCCAATCGTCACGCTCCCAAGCCCCACAGGAAAAGTCTACGCTGTGTTCACCCCAGAACTGCAGCAAACTGTTGCAAGGAGTAGGCTTTTCCAGCGCACCGAGGGAAACTTCACAACGAGGATTTTTGGCGTAGAGCAGTGGGTGCTGGACGCAGTAGATGAGCAGACGGCGGAGCAGATAATGGCGAGCACTGCAGCGGGGTTGTCGGGGGAAGGGTTGAAGAAGATGTGAGTGGATGGATTACGATAAAACGGTCAGTGATGGTAAGAGTGCTAACTTATGAGTACAGGAATAGACGGGCGCTGGGTTATATTTCAGAGAGGCTGAACGCTGTAGATAAGCAGAAAGGGGAACAGATCCCGAATCTGTATCTATGGATCAGACATTTGCTGAGCACGGCGACGTCGAAAGCTGTCTGGGGCCTGTATAGTCCCTACAACGAGCCTGGCCTGATAGATACGCAGTGGTTCGTACATAATCCCTTAACGTGTGGCAATTCCCACTGACCACCACCAGGGCCTTCGAGGGCAACATGCAACTTCTCATGCCCGGCATTCTTCCACGCCTCATTGGCCGCACCGCCTACAACGCGCGCACCAAAATCCACGCCGCCCTCAAGAGATGGTACGAAGCGGGCCACGACCAGGACGCAGACCCTAGAACAGGACCCGCCGACTATGTCCGCCAGCGTGCCGCTCTGCTGCGCAAAGAAGGCCTGCACCCCGCGGATTTCTCCAAACTCGAAATTACGATTATGCACGGCGCGACGAGCAACACCGTTCCAACGCTCTTCTGGGTCGTCTCGTTCATCTTCCTCAGACCTGAATTAGTTAAGGAATTGAGAGACGAGGCAAGCATCACTGTCTTCGGTACCAAAGAATTCACGCCCTCTCCCAACGGCTCCGTCATCGACGTCCCCGTTGCAAAACTCGAAGAACGATCACCGCTATTGTTAGCGTGCTACCGCGAAGCCATCCGTCTAGCAAGCCAACCCATCACCGTGCGAAAAGTGGCGAAAGACTTCACTGTCTCGGATCCGCTTACATCGCGTACGTACCTCTTCAAAAAAGACGCAGATGTCATGCTACCAGCAACGACTTTGCACCGCTCCCCTTCGATCTGGGGTATGGATGGTGATGACTTCAATCCTCATCGTTTCCTCCCCTCCAGATCCAAGAATGAGGAGGAGAAAAGAGCGGAGAGGAGACAAGGAGCATACATGCCTTTCGGAGGCGGGAAGCATATGTGTCCCGGACGACATTTTGCGTGGGCGGAGATTAGTGGGTTTGTCACGGCGCTGTTGCTGGGGTACGAAATCGAGGGGCTTAAGGAGGAGAATGTGAGGATGGCGGACGCGAAAATGGGAGAGGCGATTGCGAAACCGGACATTGGGGGAGAAGGGGGGAGTGTGGGGTTGGGGAGGGGAGAGGGGTGGGAAGGTGTGGTTTGGAGGTTTGTGGTGTAAGGTGCGAAGGGAATTTGTAGGAAGGAAGAAGTGTCGAGGAGCATGGAGCTCGGAACTCCCGAGGAGCTGTGAGGGATAGGTGATTTCACTCAATGCAGCTGTATATTTACCCTCTCAATATGCAAATGGAACTTGCATACAATATAAATATTATCCAAGAAATAACGAAGTGTCAGCGATACTTTTGTACGACCATCCGTTTCACCTGACCACACCAAACTACACATTATATCAAGTTGTTTTCGTCAAGGACAGTATTTCTTTGCCTCGTATCATTCTTTCAGTCTGGACATTTGAACCAAACATTAATATTCACAATAGCCAAGCGAACAAACCCAAGACTACACCCAGGGCTCCGGTCGAGCCGTGTCCCGGAGCTAAAGGATCCGCTGCACCGGTCGCCGACGATGTAGTAGCCGTGCCAGTCCCTGTTGCCGTCGAAGTGGCAGATTCAGTGACGGTAGTTGTAGCTGTGGAGTCGGAAGCGGAAGTGGTCTGCGAAGTCGATTGAGAAGCAGTCGAACTGCATTGAATTGATCAGCATCCATCAAAGCATTGATATGGATATGCTTACGTAGCAGTCACAGTTGCAGTGGAGGCGGCCGAAGCGGTCAAGGACGAGATTTGCCCTTCCTCGACGAGCACGCCGCCGGACAACTGAGAAGGCGACTCCGAGTTCTGTACATTTTTGGCCTTGTTCTTATACGCATCGAGTGTCTCGCCTTGAGAACTATCATACAATATCAGCGGTGGCGAACACCGATTTCTTCCAATATGCTAAACTTACGGTAGATTTCTGCCCCCAACCATCCCATTCTGGCAATGCCTGTCCACGCCACAATACCAATACCACGGCCCTTCACCAGTGACATTGACCACAAATACTTTTTTCCCGTTATCCGTGCCGCTGAACGGACCGCTGTAGAATCCGCCTTCAGCGGGCGTGCAGGGAGAGCCGAAGTTACTCTGAATAACAGTGTGCTCGGGATACAATTTGAAGATCAAGACATCTCCCTGGGAGACGTTGTCCACTCTCTCCGGCGAAAAGCGTAGGCCGTCTTCGCCCACGTCGATTTCATGGACTGCCGCATTGGAAATGGAGAGTAGAGAGGAAAGGAGGAAGGAAACAGTGAGCTTGGAATACATGCTGATTCTTTTGATCGAGAGAAGGCTTCAATTGATGGTTCCACGGAGGAATGATAAAACAGTGAAGCTATTCAATCGATCTTTCCGTACCTACCATTCACACACTTAAATACATCATGTTGAATGCGGATCACACTCGTATACAAGCACAGGCTTGCGCCCAGCGTCGTCATCCTCTGTGCTAACAAAGCGAAAGCTTCGCATGCGGGGGTGACACAAGAGGCGTGAGGGGTACAGCTGTGTCCAATCGAATCATCACTATCAAGGCCGATGTCCGCACTTGGGATAAAGAGGACGTACATGGCGGTTTCGATTTTGGTGGTCCATCTGCAGTGGAGTATGCGGTGGAGGGGGCTGTGTAAGCCACTTGCTGTGATGTTCAGCCGGAGCCGTCAGTGGCATAACAGCGCGCAGCGGAGGGAAGAGGCTGTTGAGAAGAGAGACATTATATAAGAAATGAGAAGCGTTATATGAGTAGAAGTCCTTCATTCTCATGGTCCTTTACCATGTAAGGGTAGGACGCAAATTGCGAAGTCGCAGCACAAAGGCTGCACGGAATGACGAGTTGTTGAGACGGCCGGCTGATGTGTACGGACTACGAGTACAACATCTAGTCGTAGAGGTTCTTCTAAGGAGACGCAAATGAGAGGTATTCTCATAGACCTTAGAGGTGTGAAAGCACAGGAATTGCCGGAGGAGCAGATGACCTCGGGAGGAGGTGAGGAAGCACGAAGACGCTAATCCCAATTCGTGAATGGATATCGCTAATCCCATTCAGGCCATATCCCGTCTCATCTCATCAACAACGTCCGGTCCGCGCCGCATGCTCTCACTCCTCAACCCTCAACATGAGGCCGATAGCCAGCTTATTCGTGTTGCTTGTTCCGCTCGTTTTGGCGCATACTAGCTATGCCGCTCGAGCTCGTTCCTCTATTTGTTGCAGCTCACGAAGTTGCAATCACACTTGCACCGACCCTTTGGAACCCGTAACCGCTGTTGAACCCGGTCTATTGTACATAGTGAAGCTTCCGTGCCCTGGCTGCTCGAGTTTGGATAGGAAAGGAAAGAAAATTGATGGAGGTGCGTCAGATGACTTGGTAAGTTCATATTATACATGGAAATTGTTCTAATATCGCTAACTGTCCATCTGCAGCTGTTCAACATTACACTGTCGCACGACCGGTCCTCTCTCTTGTTGAATGATAGACCTATTTTCCCTCATACCTCGTCAGCCTTCAGCCCGCCCACTAGGTTATACGCGTACGAGATATCACCTACTTTCGATTACGGCGATCTTAAGACCGTTCTCGAGTGCAACTTTGGAGACCGAGATCTTCGCGTATGCTTCCGCTACCATGCGGTCTCCACTTTCCCGACTGACTACAACCTTGGCTTTGGAGAGAAGTCTATACTGGATAACCAAAGCACGGTACAATGGGCGATTACCTACGACCTCATCGGGTTGAAGCATGCCGAACAGAAGATGTTGAAGATACTAGTGAACGGATATGGGTCTGGAACAGAAGATAAGAAGCCAGACTTGCAGGAGTCATCTACGCTTTTTGGATCCCTTAAGGAAGAGCATGATCAAACGTACGAGCTTGAGATTGCAGACATCGGATTCGATCAGGCCATCCGACCATATCCCCTTCCGTCCCCTCTGAATGCTTGGGGCAAGGTGAAACACTTCTTTGGCCACGATCCGGAAACACCGAACCATGTAGTATACATCGCAGACGAGTGGGGTAATTACGCCAAGGAAGGGACATTGAAAGAGCTAGTCGGTATTTTCCTATTCGATTGGCCGTGGGATCTCATAGGAATCATCATTGCAAGTGTTCTGGGCAGCCTAGTAGTCTCGTATGGTTTTTACCGCCTGATACTGCTTGGATTGAAACAGAAACGGCTCGCGCAGTGGCGTGGGATGGACGAGGTTTGGCGCCAGATGCGTGCAGGCGAGTTGGAAGGCGATCATTTGCTCCGTAGTGAGTATAGAGACGAGCCAGACGACGGTTTACCGCCACGTTACTCGGCAGAGTTACCGATCAACAAGCCTTTGCCGAGCATACCACTCCCGGACAAGCCGTTGCCGGCTGTACCTCTCATCGACGATGTATGAGGTTTCCGATCCGCATTCTGCGAATGTGTGTTGGATTCGAGATCGAAGTCGTTCTACAGCCCATATGGTCTCAGAGATGGGAGAAGTTAAGGTTGCAGCGACTGTTCCCTTAAAACGCAAAGCGCCGGTTGCTCGTCTGTCCTGACAGCCGAGAGGAGACAGGCTGCGAAATCCGCTGCGAGACAGTGAGTGCGAGCTGCAGTAGCAAGCGTCTTCATCTTTCAGGCCCAATGGAGCGGAGAAAAGGGAGGAGCAGATTGACAAGGAGCGGCTCAATCGCGAAGACGAGTTCCTCCGGCCCAGAGGACATCCCCCTTCTACAAACCTTACGTCCTCAAGCTGTGGAGTACATTTGGGACAACATGTGGATTGATAAAACGCTCATGCAGGTGAGAGAGGGTGAGCTTGTCGCATCCCCTTCCCGAACCTCCCGATGTCGCCTTCCAAATGCATATGGTTTCAAGCATTCCTCAGTCTGGGGGTCGTGAATCGTGAGCAAGGAAATCTAGCTCCGCCGATCCACTCCATACCTGATATTTCGGTCCTTCAGTCGTCATCCAAACGCGGGACTCGGGACGGACAACGTGCTCACACAGGCTTGCTGAAAAGAGAACGGAGCTTGCTGCCATCTGGGGTCTGAGATCCGGTCTCCGATACCCGGGTAACCGTGACCCGTCAACTAGATGAAACCTAGTCCATTTGAGGCAAGTTTCTAGAAGAAATGCGGGCAGATGCAATATGCAGCCGACAATGCAAAGAACGGTCGATGCCTGAGGCACGACGGCATGAATATCAGCACCGTCATTTGATTGGGCATCTTCTACTTGCAACTTCTTTCGACAAATCATTTGACTCAATTCTGCTCCAACTAGTCGTCACTAGCATGACGTTTCAAGATCTGTGTCCGCCAATTGTGACCCTGGTATCCCCACAATATCAGACTCGAGGGTCCCACTGCTTAATTTATACAAGCTCTGCTGCAATTTATTCAAGCAATATAATCTCCGCCGCGGCTCTGAATCCCAGATTACCGGGCCTCGGTACCGGGTTGGTTTGATTGAAACCTGGTGATGATTTCAATCTAGTTTATTTTCAACACGGAGACCTACGCTCCGTCTTGCTTGGGACGATGGGATGTTTGATCTTTAGGAAGCTATTGGAATTTAGCTATAAAAGATGGATAGACCGTCATGGAGACTAGAAGTCGCGAATCAAGCTCCCAGTCAATCGTCGAGTATAGAGGCATACCAAGAGTGTGACGATGCTTCTCAAGAATCTTTTCGCTGCGGCGGCTTTGGCTGCAACGGCGCTTGCTGCGCCCGGTGAGAAACGCCAGAACAGAAAGTTGAAATGGTTCGGCATCAACGAGTCCGGCGCCGAGTTTGGAGAGAAAAACTTCACGGGCGTCTATGGAAAGGAGTTCATTTGGTATGACCTCAAGACCATTGATGTAAGTCCCAAAACTTCCAAATTTCCATATCCTCACACCGTTTTAATTTGTATAATGCCCCCACTTACCACCCCCAGCAATTCATCGGCCAAGGCATGAACATGTTCCGCATCAACTTCCTCATGGAACGCCTGACCCCCAACAAACTGACCGGCCCCTTCGACCCCCTCTACCTGGGCAACCTAACCCAACAAATCAACTATATCACCTCCAAAGGCGCCTACGCCATGGTCCAACCGCACAACTACGGCCGCTTCTACGGCAACATCATCACCGACGTAGCCGGTTTCAAAACATGGTGGCAAAACGTCGCCGCGCTCTACAAGGACAACGCCCTCGTCGTCTTCGACACAAACAACGAGTACCACGACATGGATCAGCAGCTCGTCTTCAACCTCAACCAAGCCGCCATCGACGGCGTGCGCGCCGCGGGAGCCAAGAAGCAATACATCACTCCCGAGGGCAACTCGTGGACGGGAGCCTGGACGTGGGTGTCGTCGGGCAACGGCGCCTCGCTCGTCAATCTCAAGGATCCCGAGAATAAACTCGTGTACCAGATGCATCAGTACCTGGATAGCGATGGCTCGGGGACGCACGAGGAGTGCGTGTCGGCTACGATTTTCAGGGAGCGCCTGCAGGCCGCGACGAAGTGGCTCAAGGATAACAAGAAGCAGGGCGTTATTGGCGAGTTTGCGGGCGGGAATAATGCGCAGTGTATTTCGGCGTTGAAGGATGGGTTGAAGTATTTGGGGGAGAATGCGGATGTGTGGTTTGGGGCCATTTGGTGGGCTGCTGGGCCGTGGTGGGGTGATTATAGTAAGTTCTTGTTCACCTTTTTTCTCCTGTTTGTTGGTTTGGGGGAATCTTTGGGTGTGGGTGTTGTGAGGAATGAGTGCTGACTTGCTTGCAGTGTATAACATGGAGCCCACGAACGGCGTGGCGTGGAAGTCGATTCTACCGCAGATTAAGAGCTACTTCGTCTAGTCGAAGTAAGTAATAAGCAGGACCCCTTGCAGACGACAAGGCAGAAGGTCAGCTGTTCATAAGACGACATTGGAAAACCTGTATATACTTCTTTTCTCGTAAATGCTTCACCAATTCCAGCATTACTCTCCATCATCCTTCTTCTCTTTCAAACCCTACTCCCTCCCCCTCCAAGCCTCCACCAAATACTCCTCCAACCCCTTAAACCTATAACCAGGAAACCTTCTATTCCACTCATCCCCCACATCCCAAGCGCCCCTAACCACAGCCTTCATAAACTCGACAACAAACTCCCTCGAAAACCCCTCCCTCAGCGCCTCGGGGATCGCCGGATGCGTAAACTCGGGAATCCACCTCGTCGTCAAGTTCCCCGCCTCGAGATCCGCCAGCTTCACGCGCTCGACGTGCCACTCGCCGCCGCGGATGCGCTGCGCTAAAGCGAAGAGTTCGGCGATGCTGGTGCGGGCGCCGCGGATGCCGCCTTCGGATGGCCAGGGGGAGGCGTCGTCGAGGGCGAGGGCGAGGATGTAAGAGACGTCGGAGATGGCGGTCACGACGAGGGGCGCCGTGTTGTGGGCTTCGTCGTCGAAGAGGATGGCGTGGCGGGTGTGGGGGTCGATGAAGAAAGGCCAGGTGATGAGATTGGGGGAGAGGGGGTAGGGGTGGGCGAAGTAGTCCATCCAGATGGAGGGGTGGAAGAGGCAGTAGTTTAGTTTTGGGGTGGGCGTGTTGAGGGAGGAGAGATAAGCGGCTGTGCGGTCTTTGGGAGCGTAGGCGCGGATGCCCGAGTTGGTTTTGCTAAGGGAGGTCAGTGGGGATGAAAGAGTATGGTGAAGTTCAAAAAAAGGATTGAAATGGGATACTGATAGTGTTTAAGGGCATTATAAGTCCATTGGAAGAAGAGAAGAGGCTGTAGACTTACATCCCCCATTCTGTTGGCGCAAACTTCTTCACACCGGCAGCAACACACGCATCAATTAGATTTTTCTGTGCCTGGAACCCCGCCTCGTCCATGATGATGAGGAAACTCAGGCAAACATCGTAACCGCGAAGCTCTTCAGTCAGGCTCTCAACCGAAGAATAATCAACCTTCTTGTACGATACACCTCCGATTGGGTTCCCGGTAGGAGGATCTTTGCGGGTCAAGATGGTGATGTCATGCTTGCCGGAGGCAATGGGCTCTCGTAGAAGCTCGGTGGCTACATCTGCAGCATGTCACTGTCAGGTTCCTGTTCGAGCACGCCTTAATGGAAAATTCGAAGCCATGGGTCGAGAATGATAGCCGTTTGTGGGGGAATAGAGCTATGATGAGGGGTTCCAATATATCTATTGGGGATGACAACACATACTTCCGGTCCCACCGGCAACTGCTACTTTGACCATTGTCGGGATTGAAATCGTTTACTGGAGTATCAACGGATTGGAGAACACAAGATCTAGCAAGCGTAAGGATAGTAGGTAGACCACGAGCATTGAAAGGAATTCGCTTTGACACCGAGGTTGGTAGTTCGGTCGGCTCTAGTTTCCCAACCCAGGCAGTGCTGGAGTACGTTTCGCAGTTATTTCGGTGCTTATTCGGTGATCTCCACCAATCCTCCGAGCTACCTCTGCCGAAGACCAAAATATGCGGAACTTGGCGCCAGTAGCATGCTTGAAGGGAAGCCCGACCTATTAATCAGTAGACTCGTTTGAGGATGATTCCTCAAGATCCTCATTGAGGTACTTGAACAATGAATAACAGTAGAGCCAATGTTTGAACCCTGCGTCGGTGATGGATACTTTTCCCGACCATAAAAACCCGGAAAGGGTTTCTATTATGCTCATGATACCGAACTACGAAGCAATTGTGTCAGACGAAATCAGACAAGTATACGTTTCCAAATCCACATGCCCAACCATTGCGAATCATCTCCTAACGCTACGTTGTCCAGCACTGGAGAACAGGCCTCGTGAATTCGACATATGCATGTCCCGCCGTCCGTAACTTGGAGCCACCAAGTGATTTCTACTGGCGCGGATTCCCGAATACGAGGGGCCTCCGTAATGACCCTGTGCAGTCCGGTTATCACGAACGATCGACGGTAATGTTTGCGGAAGAGCAGCAGGTCTTGAAAGATGCTGTCTACTCGACTGAGGTGGGAGAGCAGACGACCGGTGGAGGGGTTGGAATTGTTTAGGATACGATAGCCGCTCGGCAGGTTGGTAGGACTGTCTATCAATGGGTTGTGCTTGCTGATGTGCCCTTGAACTAAGACCGAGAGGAGTTGCTCTATGCGCCATGTAATGCCGATCTGTTAGACCGAACGTTGACATATCCCCCGGGTGTTGTAAGATTGGTTCATTCTTCGTGTTAACCGGTGAGGCGAAGAATGACAGTCCATTTAGCCCCCGTGGTTCATGCCAGTCTGCTTGCACTGCTACTTTCTGTCCTCGATACGGATAGATGCTCGAATGCCGAGGCGAACTAATGTTCAGTTGATTAACTCCGGGCCTTGAGAACCTTTGTGACGCACGACTGCTGCTTTTGAAGAAGGGACTTACTACGCTCTCCTCCATGTGGCCAGGATTCACGGTTCGCTGAGGAGCTGGTGTGAGGGGATTCGCGTGATACCGACTGCCTTGACCCCCAACACTTTCACGCGGTGGGTTGGGACGGTAGTGATTTGAAGAGTCATATGTGCTGGCAGCGGGGTCGTTCAGCGATTGACTAACGAACGTTTGGCCTGACCTCCAACGACTACCCTCGCCTTGTCCTTCTTGTTCGGCCTCCGGCTGAAACTCGCGCTGGTATTCTGTGTTGTGGTTGAGCTGGTTTGTATCGTTGCCGGCATGTCGTTGACGCGGATCCATCAAGCCCAACTCCAACCTTGAGTCTTGAGATAGAGGGTCCATCAAGCGTATGTAAGACGGCTCATTAGGCAAGAGTGTGCGACGAGACGGACTGGGCTGAACAGGGGACCGGAACGAAAATACGTGGAATCCTCTACTGCAGCCCATCTGCTGCTCCGGCACCACAGAGCGCGCCGCGTCTATCCGCTGATGTGCTCTGGAGGCCTGGTGTGTCTCTTCTTGAATGATATGTCGCCGACGGAACAAACTTCCGGTGCCGAATTTGAAGCTATTGTTTTCCACATCACGGCCCTCGCCCATATTGAGGTGTGATGGATAATCGGGACTGTTGTCGTCTGTGGGGGAGGTATACGGACTCGATGTTTTCTTGCGCAGCGTGGGAAACAATTTCTTCACCGATCTCATCCGTGACAAAGGTTTCTCTGGAGGTGGCATTTGCGCACGATCGTCGACCATGTGCTGCTTCCGCCCAGCGCCCAGGTCATACGTGAGACTGGGAGAGTCGCGCCTCTGTCGCTTCAGTGGGCGCGCTTGGGAGCTTGAGGTCATGGGATGTTCTGAATTGACAAGCGTGTCAGCCGAGCGATGCCCTGTGAAATTCGAAGCCGTCCCGGAACGGTGTCGGTCATCACCATAACCATCACCATCATCATCGACGGACGGCGGTTTGTACTTGTCAAATGCTAGGGGTTCGAAGTGCATCTGGAAACCGAGCGAAGCAAGTCGGGTTCGCATTTGATCGTTCTGCCTAGGCGACGTCAGCATGTACAGTCGCGTGGCTACCGTTATCACCTACTCTGCAATTTTGGGAACAATGCTGAGATAATGTCGAACCTCTGGCAGGCGAGCTCTGATCCGGTTCAGCTCGGATTCAAGATCTCGGAGCCGCATGTTTTCTTGCTCAAGCCTTTGTACTTTGGCTTGCGCTTCGTCTGACGCAGACTTGATGCTTTGTAACTCGCTCTGAGCGGTGTCCAGTTCTTTCTTTACCTTCCTGTGATCCTGCGTGATCTGCGTGGAATACGTGATTAAGGACATATACTGAAACTGCGCCGCATTAGCAGAGATACAGGATCGCGGGGCGGTGTTGTAACCCTCAACGCTTCCATCCCCTTCTCATTTGTTTCCAGCTTGACCGGCGGCGTCACGAACCAGCAGGCGGGGATGGCAGGATCGTATTCGCCAGGACTGAAGCCGCGGATCGAGTAGAGCTCGCCTTCCTTGGAACAAACGGGGCATGCAGCTCGAGGACGCGTGCCTGCAGCATGGAAGGGTGCGCCTGGGCGCATGATTAGCATCTCAACTGTGAAGATGCCGAGGGAGCACTCACCGCCGCCTTCAAGATGCTTTGTGCAGAAAACATGGCAGCAACTAGCGAAGAACAGTCGAGTTACGATGCGATCCTTTGGATTGATTCCGTCAGAGAGCATCTGCACTGTGTTTTGCTCCCCACTATACACCTCGGAGAAGGACGCGTTGCAGACGCAGCAGGAAAAGATAACGTCGAGCGGAGTGACTCCGTCCGGGTTCGGCTCCGGCGGCACACCCGCGAGGGCAGCCATCTTTTGCCAGAACTTGCTGATGGGCCCGCCTGCGCGAGGTTTATCTGGAGGGTGAGCCATGGTGGTGATGGAGAACGTGAGGTGGAGGGGGCGGACAACGAGAAGCAGCTCAAGAGGAAGTCGCGGCCGCGTTTGCACGCCAAGACCGTCCCAACCCGACTACATGCTTGGAGAAGAGTGCGAGGCATAAAAATGGGTTGAAGCTTAGAAGAACATAAGAGGATATATTTCTTGTCAAACGGGTAAGATCGCGTTAGGCAGGAGAATGCAGAAGCGGACAGACGGAAAACCGAAGATGAGGAAGGCAAGAAAATTTCGGGAACACTGGGACTGCCAAAGAAATGTCACAGTCTTCACAAAGCAGAGTTCGTCAAACAAAAGGAAACATGTTCGCTTATTTACAGTCTTGCCCCGGGATGGTGTCTATAAGCAGCCCAGCTTCAGATGAACGATCTGCAAGGATAGCTAAAACATGGGTTAGCAGGCCCTTATCCAAAAGACGCCAGCTTCCTTACCTCTTCGGATAGCTCTGGGGCGTGTCCAACCGGTATCTCTTGATGCCTTGGGGGTGTTCTCCACCCGGCATCGGAGGCATTCCCCCAGGGCCCAAGATGTCCTTCACCAACCCTACGTTCTTCTCAAATGCAACACTCAACCCTTTCCGTCCATCTTGCTGAGCCGCGACCAATTGCTTTGCACCTGCATCCCCGATCAACTCTCGCTTTGGCTGCGCAGCACTCCCCACCTCCAGGAGCGCGACCGCGTCTGCCTGGGTGATTACTGAAGTTTGAGGGTACCGGCGGCGCACGTCGCGCTTCCAGTAGGAGTTCTCGGCGATGTCTGCAGCGGGCACGGTGACGGGATCATCGTAGGCCATGGGGTCGTTGGAACCGGGAGCTGGGTAACGGAATTGAGGGTTTAGAGGGACACCCGTCGAGCGGTTGGGATCAAGTGCGAGCCATCGGTTGATGATGGCGTATATTCCTTTCGGTTGGACTGTATATCTCTATGATGCGTTAGCAGGGCTACGGTCTACAGTCCATGACGCTGGAGGGGTGTAGTGGGTGAGGTGCCCGAGCCATGGAAGGGTACCTACGTGAAATGTCGAAACGACCTTTGCTTTGGCGGCCATCTTGCGCGCTCTTCACAAGCAACTGTGTAGAGCAGAGGTGAGCCAATGGCTGCGGCGGTTCGATATCCCAGAATTGCTTGTCGTCTAGACGGTTGAGGTCCGACTCGCAAGCTTGGGGTGCCAAGCCGGCAGCTCCCGGCTTACTAATCATCCATTCACGATCTCTCCCCTTCCAGATCTCTTTCCATGCATGAGACAACAACGACAATTGCGTGGTTTTGGCAAAAGCCCACTGTTCAGCGTCATGTGGCCTATACTCACTGTTGGAGTTATCGAGCCATGTTTTGCTACAAAGAATCACTTCTTCCTGGCTGACCGCTAGATGGCTTTGGAGGTTCTGTCCCCGCCGTTTCTTCTCACGGCCTCTCCTGCTCTCTTAACTACAGGCTCTCCTCATGCCTGAGTGGATCTTGGGAATATCCCAACATGCCCGTTCCGCTGAACTCTTTAGCCCTGCATCGATGGTCCCAATCGAGACATCAAACTGGTTGTTTAGAAGAGGTGGTTATGTCTGCGTCGCAATTGGACGATGACGCTGTCACTTCGGCGAGGTCTCATTCTGAACGGGAACGTAACGACGTTCTGGAGTTTCCCTGGTTGAACCGGGTCAATTCTCTGGCACATGGCCTCTTTTCGAAGCTTCGTGCAATTCCTCACATCTCCTTCGCTATTCTTAAGCAAACACCCACCACGTTTGAACTATTCATCTTAGGGTATAAGACTCCCATCCTCAACCCTACAGGTCGAGCACAACTGCCATTTCTGTACCTTTGACTCTGTGTCTCACCATCCGCCATGAACCACAAGCTGGAATGTTATCTTGGAAATGCAACCGAGGAGCGACGACGCAATGTTGTGGTTATAGATCACGATCTCTGCATCTCGTTCCATCGGACGGTACGAGTACCGGACAACGAGCATGCCTCATTCCTGCCTCCCGGTCTTGGAAGATTCCCACTCACAAAAGTGTCGGAACACCCAGATAACTGCTCAGATAACGTCGTCACCAAAGGCGGATTGTTCTTTCCAATGCACCAACGAGAGGCCATGTGGATTCAACTCACGTCTCGTAGGAAATGCTTGATAAAGATATATGTGGGTGGGGTGAACGCCATCTCCGGCGTGCCGGCTGAAGAAACAGACAATACGCTTTTGGGGCATCGAAAACTGCAATTAGATGCTAAAGATCGCGCAAAGAGACTGGCGAAAATACAAGATTACGTAGTGACACTGGATCAACTCTGGCTTGACGGTATTGTCAGTGCGGATGGGGTTGTTCGACAGTTCATCGCTATGCCTACTGGCACGGGATATTCGGTTGAGTCACAAATCACCGGAAAAGAAACTACAAATGGCATCCAAATTGAAGTCACCCCCGCACGAGTCACCGGAGCACGAGAGGATTCCACTTTCATCGTGTATGTGAGGACACTCACGGGAAAAATATTGACCTTTCGAGTCACGACGGACCAGACCACAGATGACTTGAAGGCTCAGATTTGGGACCTAGAGGGGATCCCCATCGATCAGCAGAGGCTCATCTTTGCAGGAAGACAGTTGGAAGCTTGGTCCCTTTTCTGCATTGACAGCAAAACCACGCACTGACTATCTACCAATCCAGATGGAAGGAGATTGAGCGACTACGCCATTGAAGAGGTATAGAATCACATCCTGACGCGAAGATACAACTGACTATCCGTTTAGGGCTCCACCCTGCATCTTATTCTTCGACTTAGGGGTGGTGGAGGTCCAGAGCCCACGCCGGAGCAATGGGCCGAGCAACTCAAGAACCACAAGGCTCCCGCCATGGGCATCGCCGCGGGTGGCAAGATCAAACAGGTTATTGAGGTCGACCGTTATCCGAAGGACACGTGGGACCCCTCCAAAACCACCGTATTTAACGTGCACATCGTCGATTCATCCGCCTACAAGCAGGTCACGGGACATGAGCCACCAGAGACACCAATCGACGCCGCTCTCTATGCCAAATATGGGTACCCATTCTTCGAACTTCCCGAAGAGAAGAGCGGCATCCATGGGGATTTTGCAGCCGTCAAATCTGTGGCACAGCTTGACAACAGGTTTGAGGAGCACGTCGTCCCGCGAAAGGTGACACTCCGCGCAAGGAGAGGGCCAGACGGTAAATGTGAGTAATCACTTTTCCAGCTTGCCATCAGGAGCTGATATATATCGCACAGGGACGCGAAGAGATGCACATGCAGAAGCGCCACCTGGCATTACCAACCCTGCAGGACCTCTCCGCGAATTTCGCACCGTGCACGACTTGGAAGAGCAGTTGATGGCGCCGAAGATCGAAGACTCGATGGACACCAAGTGGAAGTGACCGCTTCTCTAGGGGTTCGGTGATTGATTGTGTATGCACATGCACTTCCTTGTGCGTTCTGCTGATTTCGATCGAGGAAGGCATGTGACTTCGCGAAAAGTATGGAGGACTACACATTTGGCCATGCAGAATGGACAGCTTCCCTCTGTCCTTTTGACAAGCTTTAAGCTTGCGACAGGCATAGACACGACAATGTCATTTCTAGTTCATCAGCATTCCATATCAAATGACGACTACTTGCAATGATTTGTTGACAATCGACCGGCCCCTTTCTGTGAACGGAACCGTAACCATGCAGCCTCGTCATCACGACACAATTGCGTTGAAACTCCTTTGGCAAGGCCAAGTCAACATGAGATTACTAACAACGCAACTAGGAAACTTAAGATGAGGTTTTGAGTGTGTCAGCAGTGGACCGGTAGAAAGGACGCAATCCGTGGACCTGAGCCACATCTCCAATGTAATGGGACGCTGACAAGAATCTCTTGGATTTGGGATGTTATTTGGGATGTTATGTGCATCTACAGGTCCTAAGTTCCAAACAGCAGGTGTTCTCACTCCCTTCATCCAGGGGTCTCAGTCCATACACACCTGCATATGCGTGTCTGTAAGCGGTCCCAGAATTGGCAATCTCATTCCTCAAGCTCTACCATGCTTTGGGTGGCAATACGCGTGGTGACGAGAAAAAGATCAAAGCACCCTAGCTACAAATGTCGATCAACTGTCGACAATGCAAAAACGAAAAGTTACATCTCACATAACGTTAACACATACACCCATTAGAAACACCCTCAACTCGATTCAATCACAACAATCCAGCAATCCCAGCGGCACCCGCCAACACCGCCATCCCCGCACCAGCGACCTTCGCCGCTGCACCCGTGTACTCCGGAACGCTGGGACCGGTGTAACTAGCATTACGCGTGGGTACGGAAGGCGAGTAGCTAGCCGTGGGATACTTGGTCGGGACAGAGCTCACGTGAATCAGAGACGAAGTAGTGCCGGGACCGGCAGTAGAATACGTTCCAGCAGCAGTGGAAGTAGCGCGAATGAGTGATACGGTGAGCGAGTAGGCGGCCGCGCAGTTGGACAGGTCGAGGTCGTTGGGGCAGCAGTATGTCACGCCTTCGGGGTCGTTGGTGCAGTAGTATCCTTCGTCGCAGGAGTCTGGGAAGCGAGTCAGTTAGCATATCCAATATAGGAAGATGACAGAGGAGGGAACTCACTTCCGCTGAGATCAGGGCAGCACTGTTCGCCGATGGTCGGATCGAAGCAGTAGAGGTCTTCCTTTGAAGGGCACGTCTTGTAGGTGGGACCGCAGGACTCCTCGCACGTATCGCCGGGGCCGCAGTAGCTTGTTGATGGGTAGTATCCGTTTTGCCGCTTGCCGAGTGAGTCGCGGGGATGCATGGCGCCGAAGTGATGGACTGGGGAGAAGGCTCCCGAGGCTGCTAGGGCGGTGGTGGCCATTAGGCCCAGCGAAATGAGTTGTGTGAACATCGTGCTGTGGGGAACAGATTACGAAGAGCGAATGAAGAGGGATGGAACGAAGGACTTTTGATTATGCAATTGAACGAGACAGCTGAGGAAAGAAAAGGGATATCTGAGGGAGGAGACAGGAAGAGATGAAGCGTGAAAACGGACGAGGCTATATATGTTCCCCATAGCTTTGCAGGGTCGAAGCAAGACTTAGATTTCAGGTACGAGGAGGCGCCAACTTAGCCTCCAGAACGTTGAGCGTCGTGCTACCAAGTTTACGGGCAAGTAGATATTGGCGTGTTGGCCCACCAATCTCGTCTCTTAAACTGGAGCGCTGTAAACCAGCTCGTATGCAGTCGCCCTTGTGGCTGGTAGGCCAAGCGAGAGCTGTACCTTTGAACAAAACCAGCCGAATCATAGAAAGCTCTGCTATCCCATGGCAATAACTCATTGGTCCAGATACGTAGTCGTGACGGAAAATTCCCGTCCAATAAAGGTAGGAGTGGCCTTTGAGACTAGAAATAAGCCATCAGCCAGCCAAGGAGGAGCTGTGTTGTCATGAAGTTTACCGCTGTTTTTAGGTTCTTGGATACCGTGAGACTGCAATGCGCTGGAGATATCAGGCCACGGACAGAGAGTCTCTTTCAGATGAAGCGAGTCCTGGTGCTCTCTCTGTACGAATTGTAATGTCTTCAGCTGCCACGGCCAAGATGTCCCTCTTCCAATCGCCTCTTTCAACGTCTGTGGAACAAGAAGCCCAGGAGCCTCTCCGTTCGGAGTATTCCGTCGAGACGAAAGTACTGGGAGAAAACTTCGTTGCGCTGATGGATGAGGTTAATCCGTGGAAGCGCAGAGTACCGTTGTATTGCGGTCGACCTGCTGGACTGGCGGTGAATGTGGCGTTTCTCAGCCGCTGCGCCACAATATCAAATTTAGCATCTAGACTAGCCCGAATAATATTAGCGAGATATCCAAATGCCAAGGCTGGAGTTCTCATCGCACCCGCAACATCAACGTCATCTTACATGTGTATTCTCTAGTTAAATTCTCGAAGTTGAGCGCTGTGATGGCTCGTTGAAGACACACATATGACGATGTGAGAAGCAATGCCGCTTCCAAAGGTCCTCAAACCACTGCGCCGACAATCCTCCGGACCATCACAACCGCGACGCAAGATATGTCGTCTGTGCCACAATTTGGACCCACGGGGTCATCCGAGCAGCGTGGTTAGACCTGATGCTAAGGAGACGAAAAGCAGTCTAACATTAGTTGTGGATGCTTTTACTTTGTCTAGAACACGAGCTCAGGATGATGGGGGCTGTCGGTTCTGCGGAGTGCTTGTTCAGGCGCTTGATGCGTATTTTGAGGAATGGAGAGGCGCTCGGAAAAGAATTCTGCTTGATATGAAAGAGAAGGGCACTATTAAGATGAGGCTGGACGATGATAGGTGGAGTGGTGAGGCAGTGGAGATTTATGCGACCTCCGGTATGGATCTCCTATCATGTATCATTTTCTTTCATCTCAAGTGTACCCGACTTTGTTGCCATGTATCGGCTTTGAATAACGTCCTTTGCTTCTCAATCGTAGTTTCTGTCCCATTGAGAGCTAGTTCCCTTGATACAAGCTGATCACTTCCAGCCGCCCGCTCCCCTTGGCCAACCCTCGGCACCGCACACCACATCTTAGCAAATTCGGGATCGGACGAAGCCTTTGACTTTGTACGTCGTTGCATACAGGACTGCCTTGCCGACCCCAAACACAGTGAATGCAAACTACCCTCACAATCTTCCTCACACATCCCAAAGCGCCTTTTGGATGTAGGTCGCGCAGCAGCTCCAATCAGACTGATTGATACAAACGGCAAGCCACTTCAATATGCTACTCTAAGTCACCGATGGGGAACAGGGCCCACACTGACCGCCACTAAGTCCAACTGGAATAAGTTGAGCAAAACCATAACGTTCGAGACGCTGCCGCCCTTGTTCCAGGATGCAGTAATCGTCACACGGCAGCTCGGATTGCGATACCTATGGATCGATTCTCTATGCATCATACAAGACTCTGCCCGCGATTGGGAGATGGAGTCCGCGAAGATGGGTGCGATATATGAGAACAGCTACGTTACCATCGCGGCTACGAACTCGAGAGACGGCAATGCGCGGTGTCTGGTAGAAAGAGAGAAGCTGATAAAGATTCACTACAAGAATACCACGGGTAAGGAATTCGCTCTACGAGCACGCCGGATCCAGGAACATCATCCGAACCCCAAAGAAGGGGAACCTGCGAGGCCAACAGGGCCGCTGACGTCTCGTGCTTGGGCGCTGCAGGAACATGTTCTTAGCACGCGCATACTGCACTACACAGCAACGGAACTACTATTCGAATGTCGAGCCGGCTATCGATGCGAATGCATGCCTTCGAAACGAACTTGTATAACGGCTCTGTCTATGATTCCCGAAGCGATTGCGAAGAAGAAAAAGAATCGTGACGCCCTGTGGAATGCATGGCATCGTGTCGCTGAGAAGTACACTGAGCGGGATCTCACGGTCCAAACGGACAAGCTCCCTGCAATATCTGGTATCGCGAGTAAGATTGAACAAGCGTCTGGATCCGCGTATATTGCCGGTCTGTGGAAGGACAATCTGGCTTCCGACCTGTTATGGTCAGCTTCATGGAAGAAATACCCCGGGACAGATGCGTATGCTTTGGATACGTACCGCGCACCTACATTTTCGTGGGCCAGCCTCAACGTGCCTGTACATTACTTTACGCCTGATGCAGAGGAGTCTGAGACCTTTTCCTCGATGATAACTTTGGTATCGTCATCAGTGTCCCTTACTGGTCTGAATCCACTGGGAACGGTCTCAGAGGCATCAATCCGGCTTCGGGGCCCTTGCCTTGAGGCAACACTTGTTGCGACGGTAAAGGACACCTTGTGGCAATACACCTTGTGGATCAAAGGCACAAGTGCCATCCGTATAGCGCATGACTGCCTACTCGTAGAAGCACTGACTGCGTCCTCGGGTGAGGAAAACGCCAAAGCGACGGTTCGAAGGGCTAAGGCCGACGACACGATCTCTGAGTTCAGAGCGCCAGTGTTGTGTCTCGGCGTTGGCAGGTATGACACATGGATATCTGGCCTCGTTCTTGGAGAGTGTCAGGGTACCCAAGAGGCATATGCGAGGTTGGGAGCTTTCTCAGCTGGAATCGAGGTCTTCCAGAAGGCTGAAAAAAGGGATTTGACACTCTTGTAGTCTGCACACTGGATGCCTTGTCTCAGTCATCGGCGCGAAGTATCTTTAAGTGCCTTGTTGGCCGTGCTGCTCTTGAGGCTATACAACCACTCCAGAGGAACTCACCGGCCACGCAGAGAGGCTCGCTGAAAACTTCCGTCCGGTGCCTTTACGCCCACTGATGTTCATAGTTGACCAACCGTGCCGCGGTCCCGGGGTGACCTGGTCAGAGCTGCGGAAGAGGTGGATGGATGGGTGAGGGAAAAGGCTGTCGCGGAGGAGAGCTTGAGTGCAGGGAATGACGATTCCGGGAAAAGAAACATGAGTTAGGACAACGAATAACTGCAAGAAACCTGATGAGGAAGCATCATCGGCGGTTTCAGTTTTAAAGAACCCTGGGAGACAGCCTTGCCACAGCTAGTACAATTCTGGTGTAATACCTTAAGCTCGCAATCGGAAAGTAATCTAAAGGAAAAACAGAGAATCCAGCATTACAAGTGGGTTGAAAGACTTTGTTTGTAAGAGGTTGAAGCTAGTTTAGACTGAATTAATCCGGTTGTGAAAGTACGTCCTCGGAATGGATATTCCAGTGGTTTTGGTTGTGACTCCATACTCCCGGCTACGTGGTATTAGTACAGTCACAATTCTCACGGGTACTTACCTAGGCTCATGAAGATTCGCTGCCAAACAATATGTTATCTTTATACATAACTGAAAGATACAGTCAAGCACGTGATATCATCACATGATGCCGCGAGACTAGTTTAAGGACTCATCGCTACTGTATTCTCCAGACGCACCGATTGAATACTGGACGCGCTATCTTATTTACCGCAAATTATGTGACGGCGTGAAATCCCCAATCAAGGTCGTGTAGTGAAAGCCAAGACATCAGTTGGCGCTTCGACCTTGCGCCGCAGGGCAACTCGCCTAAGTTCGAGGGTCGAGGACCAACTTCACTCTGGCACTGTTTACACCCGCCCTCTTCCGCCTCCCTCCGCACCCTTTTCTTTGCCAACATCTGGGCAGGAATCATCGACACACATGCTCTGAGGCGGACAATACGCGACAGCTGCATTCGACCGATCATAGCGCTGCGACAGAACCCCAATATAACCCAACGCCCGCGCGGCGGCCGGATCCCACGTTGTATACCCTATAAGACAGGGGAACCAACAGAACCGACCCCGCAGCTTCAGGTTGAGAGGTCAGCTTCCTCAAAGGGGCCAGCCGGCCGCCGGTTTGCGGAGCGCAACAACAAAGAACAACAAAGACCATACGGCTGTGAAGGACGAGAGATCGGGCTCTCTGGCTATGAGCCCCGGCACGCAGACTTTCAGCAGAGACCACGCCCCCGAGTGGCAGAGGAGCAAATTCACAACAGGGTAAATAAGGGGGGAGGAGTCACACCTGTATACGCGGTGTCAATTCGCAATGGTATCTCACCAACCGCGCTCGTCCCATTCGCATTCCCAGTCGCGAGGTTCCCAGCAGAACCCGTCCGCCGCGACCTCGAACACACCGTCCCACACAAAGAGACCTTCGTCTTCCTCGGATCATCGTGCTCCAAGTCGGGATGGAAGAATCAGCCGGGAAGGCTCAGCACAGCGGGCAGCTCAAGATGTTGCGGGCCTCAAGGATTTCCAGCTGGGCGACTGTTTGGGCAAGGGAGCGTTTGGCAGTGTATACCGAGCTCTGAATTGGGGCACAGGCGAGACCGTGGCAATCAAGCAAGTGCGCATGGAGAACCTGGGTGCCGCAGAGCTTAAGAATATCATGTTGGAAATCGACCTGCTCAAAAACCTGAATCATGCCAACATTGTCAAGTACCATGGCTTTGTTAAAGGGACGGAGTCTCTTTATATTATTCTTGAGTACGTCACAGGTTCCAGCCTTCCCCCGCTTCCCTTCGTCCACGCGCTTGTGGCATCGCTGACAAGCCCAGGTACTGTGAAAACGGGTCGTTACACAGCATTTGCAAGAATTTCGGCAAGTTTCCAGAGAACCTAGTTTCACTGTACATGTCCCAGGTCCTTCAAGGGCTTCTCTACCTTCACGAACAGGGTGTGATTCATCGGGATATAAAGGGCGCGAATATTCTCACCACAAAGGAGGGCTTGGTTAAACTTGCGGATTTCGGTGTGGCCACAAAGGCAACAGGATTGGACCAGTCGAGCGTGGTAGGTACCCCATACTGGATGGCTCCGGAGGTCATAGAGCTCTCTGGTGCAACTACCTCGTCAGACATATGGAGTCTGGGATGTACTGTTATTGAGTTGATTGAGGGGAAACCCCCTTACCACAAACTGCAGCCAATGCAAGCTCTGTTCAGGATCGTCAACGATGAACATCCCCCTATTCCAGGCAGTGCGTCTCCTGTAAGTCTCAATCTGCAGCTTCAACCCATGTCACTCATTAAGGTGTTGTAGCTCCTACGAGATTTCCTCATGGAATGCTTCCAAAAGAATCCCACTCTACGGATCTCTGCAAAGCGACTGTTGAAACACCCATGGATCCAGAGCGCAAAACGAACAGTTCCAGCGGTACCGACGAAACCTACCGAATATACAGAAGCCGTGAAGTCTGTACAAGAGTGGAATGAAGCTTTGAGATCACCAAGCTCTCTTCGACGGAACAACCGCTTGGCACTCGGCGCGAAATCTCCGCCTCCCTCGACCGAAGAGAAAGTCCCTTCTCGCAAGCCATCGATGAATGTGAGCTCCAACGTCGCGAGGCAAAGGGTGTATCCAGACTCATTCCGCTCACCGGAGATGGACGCAAACGACAATTGGGACGATGATTTCGCGGAAAACATTTCTCCTAGGGCTCTCCATTTTCCCCAGTTAAAACCTCAGGATAACTTTGCCGGCATGCTGTCTAGGGATAGGCTAAAGGCCTTTGCAAGCTTTGAGTCCGTCACAGAAGACTCATCAAACATTGACGGTGAAGCTACGGTGAAGAGTCCCTCCGATCTGCGGAGATATCTCCGTGAGCATTCAGGTTCGATTGAAGAGCCGGAGACAGTCAAATCATCGTCCATCAGAGCAAAGCCTTCCACTTCTCGAGCAGTGTCTCGAACTCTGCCTATAGAGGATCGCCAGGAAGATCCAAAAACTGCCTTTCTTCGTGGCGTTCCCAAAGCGTCACAACTGCCAAAAACCAAGGTGGCAGCACTAGCTCGACCTTCCTCGCTTTTTCGTGAAGATTCCAACGAAGACTACACAGATCTATTACCAGAGGACGAAGACGCTTTTGTGCAACGGGTCAAGGCAATGCAAGGTACGCAGCCTTCGTCTATGCCGCAAAGCAAAAGGAAGGGTTCAACGGCTGCGGAGACTTTCTCGCCAAAGTTATTCCACCCCAGCGATCTTACCACGGCACCGAAGTCAACAAAGGACGTGAAAACGGGCGGCAGCTTGCGGCAACGATCAACGTCGACTACCTTTCATCGCAAGCAGATGCAACGCTCTCAATCCGAGATCGAGATCCAGAAATACGCTGAGGACGATCAGGATGATTTCTCTGATGTCTGGGGTGATATCAAACAACCATCTAGGCCTGAAAGCGACAGCGGCTCAGAACACAGCTCTATGGCTATGGTGACGTCGAAAATGGCATCTTCATTCGTCGTGGTGGATGACGACGAGATCGATCCTTTTGCCAATTTGGAAGAAGGCCTGGAAAATATAAACCTCGAGAACAACGTCGCTCGGGACAGGGATGATCGATTGGCGAAGCAAACGGAGAATCTCGTCGGCTGTTTGAAAACAAGTCAGCCAGATGACGTCCTCCTTGACATTGCGGACCAGCTCCTTCAAGTGCTGTACGAGTCTCCGGACAAGAAGGCCATTGTCCTGCGCTCACACGGTCTTCTGCCAATACTGGAGATCCTTGGGACTATACCTCCGAACGACGTCGTCCTAAGACTTCTCAAGATTGTCAACATGATAATATTAGATGATGCTGAGTCTCAAGAGAGCCTGTCGTTCTTGGGAGGCATTCCCATTATTTGCAACTTTGCATACAAGCGATATCCCAGCGAAATCCGAAAAGAGGCAGCAGCGTTCGTTCGCCAAATGTATCAAACAAGTACACTGACTCTACAAATGTTCATTGGTTGCGGTGGCATCAACGTCCTTGTTGAGTTTCTTGAAGAAGATATCGATGCAGAGCGCGACCTTGTTCTCATTGGCGTGAATGGTGTGTGGAGCGTGTTCGAATTGCAGGGGCCAACTCCCAAGAACGACTTTTGTCGCATACTCTCCAGAAGCTCTGTTCTGTATCCCTTGAGCCTGGTGCTAAATCGGGTAGTGGACGAGACGGGAGAACTGGCCGAACTAATCGAAGGGCGAATAGTTAATATTTTCTTGATTTTCTCGCAGGCGGAGAGCCACGTGAAAGACCTGGTTGCTGACCGAATGATCCTGAAGCGTATGTCATTTTCTTGTTTTCACGAGACATCTGAAAGTGGTGATCTCTTACTGACATCTCACAGGTGTGCTGAAGGATCTCCGGAAAATGTCTCCGGCCCACCAAGTGACAATGCTGAAGTTTATTAAGAACCTCTCCATGCTGTCGTCCACCCATGAAGCTCTGCAGAACTCGAACGCGATAGACATTCTCATCGAACTTTTGAAGACGTCAAAGAAGAGCCCGCTGCAGCGGGAGATCGCCAATCAAATCCTCAACACCATGTACAACCTCTGCCGGCATAACAAGTCTCGACAGGAAGAAGCCGCATTATCGGACGTGATTCCGTTGTTGAAGGATGTCGTGCAGCAAGGCGGGCCCCTCAAGGAGTTTGCACTCCCAATCCTTTGTGAGCTGGCGCATTCAGGCAAGGTCGCGCGCAAGATGTTGTGGGATGCTAAGGGCCTCGCGTTCTACATTGGAATGCTGAGTGATCGAAACTGGCAGGTCACCGCTCTGGATGCTATCTTCGTCTGGTGCGTAATATTCTGCTATCAAGCTGCTCTCCAACTGATGAACATCATATTGACTATGACATAGGCTCCAGGAAGAGACTGCTCGAGTGGAGCAATATCTCCTATACTCCAATTTCAGCACAGCTATAATCTCGTCATACACTTCCCCTGAACTTTCTCAGGCAACCTTCGAGAGTATGCTCGAACCACTCCAGAAAATTGTGCGCCTGTCGCCTCCGATCGCCGCCTCTCTTGCGGTTCCCGAGATTTTCACACGCACTGTGCAGAAGCTAAGCCACAAAGATGCTGTCACCCGCCTCAATCTCCTCCGCATTCTCCGTACCATCTGCGACGCGAGAGAAGAAGAATGCACCCTTATCAAGCAATTCGGGGTCTACGACACAATTCACCACTTGTCAAACTACGACCCGGCTATCCTTGTCCGTCAAATGGCTGAAGAGCTTGTCCGCAGTTGCGATGCCGTCGGCAAAATCAGCGTATCCCGTGCCTCAGGCTTCCGGCGTCCAACCTCAAGTGCAGGAGCACGCGCTGGTTCAGGCTCAAGCACTGGATCCGTCGTAGGAGCGGGAATCACTCCGCCCACTCCCAACAGCTTAAAAAACACCTTCCTTCTTCCAAGCATGTCCCCCATACCTAGTTCTCCATCGGCTCCATCCGCCTCCGGCCGTGAGCGAGAACGAGTAACTCGAAGTCAGTCCACTGCTGGTATATGGGACTCGCCTCACGCGCAGGAATCGCCTCGTCCAGCTCAGCTTACGCGCGCCTCTACGGCTTTTGCAGCCGTACCCGCATCTCCATCCGCAACTGGATCGCCCTCAGTATCGTCCTCCCGCACCTCTGTACGACCTGCAAGCAGAGACAGCCAATCCTCCATCTCGCGTCTCGAAGCCAGCCGCGAAGGCAGTCTACTCAACTCCAGCTCCTCGGGCAAAAGCAGGCTTCCCAAAGCGCGATCGGGTCGCTTGTCCGAAGTGGCCAGTAGTCGTCGGCGGGGGAACAGCGCCGCTTCTGGGACGGAGGAGAATCAAACGCCGGCTACGCCGCCGTTGCCGAGGTTGCAGATTGCGAGACGGAGGAGGGATACCAGTGGCGAGGTGGGGGTGTTTCCGTTGGGTAGGAGGGGGAGTAGGGTTGAGGAGTAATGGGTATGGTTGGAAGGTGAGAAGAGCTGGGTTTGACGCGGCCGTGATAGGTGTTGGGTGTGCAGGTTTGGTTACACGGAGAGGAGGATGGAAGCATGGTGTTAGGGAGTAATTGTTCTCTTGTCGGACTGCGCGCCTGTGGCGTGCATGCCGCCTTTTGCATGGGCCATTTTCTTTTGTTCTCCGTTTACGGTGGCAGGCTTCTAGATGAGGCCCCTAGATATACATATGCATTGCTGGCGTTTGGGCATTAGCGAATTGAATTTATTCATCATCCGGACGAGAATCATTTTCGATCCAGCTGTTCGTTCCCATTAACCACAATGTGGGAGTTTGAGTAAAGGTATGGGCGGCTTTGGCTGTAGTTGGCGCTCTGCATGGGGTCAGTGTATTCGAAGGCCGGCTTGTGTCCGGCGCTTGTGGAACAGATGGGCGAAAAGGCACATGATGGGTGTTTGCGTTGAGTGGCTTCAAACGTTCTCATCTCCAATGGGATCTCCGTGACTCCATCCAGAGTGGCATCCGTGTGGTTCTTCAGATAATACATCATCACCTGTACTGATGGAATTTGCAAGCTATTCCGGAAGCATGGGGACATTTAAAATGCACCGGGTCGCCAAAGAGGTGTCGGCTTGTATGTCTAAGAAGATTCAGCGACCTCAAGTGGAAGTGAGTGAGGAGGTGGTGCTCGAGGGAAGGTGTATTAGTCTGGTGGCGACGGTGAGTCTTCTCGGAGACGTTCAGCTAGGTAACATTTTGAAACAGTAATGTCTTCATCTTAAACGTGGTGGAGTCAAAGTGTAGAGACTGTCATTTCAACTTTGATAGCGGGAGGGGAAGTCTGTATCTACAATGGCAATGTCAAGAAAAGTGCTTAAATCAGGGCAAACCCTTCTGACCGGGCGGTGCGTGCCTTAGAAGCACATGAGGTGCGTAACGATGTTTCAGCAGTGCGAGGCATTGGTAGAGGCTGGGGTGATGGAGTGGTTCCTTCTGCTCATGGCACACGGTTAAGGGAAGTCATACCATGCCGAGTGAACGACGATCATATGATGGTCTTTTCCAATTAGACCATCATGCTACGGGATAGTAGATTGCAAAATATGGACCAGCAGTTCTGGGGCCTAGACTACATAATGTACGGTTTGTCTAAGTAAGCGCTCATGGAACACAGGAAGCACGAGATGGTTGGGAGTAGATTGGTGACAAACAGACTAACTCCTGAATATAGGTAACAGCCCAACCCGTTTTTGCACAGGCTCATTCAATATATACATGTCACCGCATGCGTGTCCTAACAGAATCCTAGTCATCAGGATGCTTCCCATCCACGCTTTTCCATTTTTGCGCCCACTCCACAACAGCACGAAAATCCCGGCACTGCCGCTCTGTCCGTCCAGTAGTAGTCCCTATCGTCCGTGCCCAAAAGTCGTTGACCTCGAGATTCGTGTCGGCGCTGCACATAAGGCCTTGCCTCAGGTAATCGAAGCAATGCTCTGTGTGGACGGGGGAAATGTTGATATGCATGTTGGGTTGGAAAGTGAGGCCGCCGTCGATGGCCTTGTGGTAGGCGACTTGGAGTGCGCGCTGTTCATGGTTAATGGTCATTATTCGGTGTGAGGGGATTGAGGGACCGACCAGACAGTGTAGTTGATGGAACACGGTCACGCTTCTTTCTTCTCCATGAGTCCATTCTGGATGCAAGATAAAGCCAAGATCGTCTAGACGCAAAGTTAGCATGTGTACAGTCCGAGAAGTTAAGGTGCGCTCACCAGGAAGCAACTCCAGCCATGCATCTTGCCACTCTTGCCTCGGCTTTCCCGTGAATGTGAGATTCCTCTCCCAGACCACCTTCTCAACACCACGACTCGGACCTACACACTCAATCAGTCATATACTAGTGCGAGCTAGGAATCTCATTCCTACCAGGTAGGTTTGTGCACCAGCCACGATCCACGCGGTGGCCGACCATAAATCCAACTATCAGCCCAATCACTCCCGTGGTGACGGAGAGCAAAAGGACGAGATACCGGCTCATCCGCGGTCGTTTCTCTGCGCCCTCGATTTCCTTCTCATCGCGGAGCGTGTCCGGGGAGCCCAGGAGATGGTACCGCATTTTTTGTACCGTGATCATTTGGATCGCACAGTACGAACAAAACGAACGTATAAGGCAACGGCGACGCCTTGCGGGAGGTTCTTTAACATTGATATATCAACTTGACCTTTGATGCCAAGACTGCGCTATCCCGAATGGGGTGTGAATAGGTTGAACATCTGTGCCTTTGTGGTGGGACGGGGGGACCACATATCCTGCATGGAACAAAGAGGAAGGGTCAGAACAACGCTCCCCACCCGCAAATCTAGATCTCCCATATGCTCAACACTCCGGGTCCCAAAACTGGTCTGACGCTCTTCTGACCTCAGCCAGGTACTCGGAGAGCAAAGCGTACTACAGTTATACGCCTTTGCAATGGCGGAGCCGATAAAAGCTCCCAATCTTAAACAGTATGCTTTGTCTTATTGTTCAAGGTCAGGATCCAATAAACTCGCCAGGAGACTCTTCGAAAATGGTATGAGCGAGACCAACGAAACTTGGTCCAGTAAACTGATCTCCAACACTGCGACGCCTTCTTGTACTGTCTCATGAATTGATTGACTATCTTAGCGGAACGAACTAATCCGGGGCAATGCCGAACTCGAGGGACGCGTCCAGGTCAAACGGATACGGAATCGTCGTGAAGAATGATGTTCGAACACCTAGCGCCTAACTTCCCATGGCATGCTGTGCGTTCATCTGAGTGCAGTAACACAGTGCAGAACCGAACAAGGACAGCTACCACACGCAGTAGCCACCGTCAATGATGATGTCGCTCCCGGTCAAGTAGCTGCTGGCATCACTGCACATGAACACAGCGGCGCCTCGGAACTCCTCCGGCTTCGCAATTCTCTTCATGGGAATGTATTGGAGCCACTCCTTGCTCAACTTCTCCATCTCTTCGCCAGCATTTGCTTCTGTCTGGATATACCCTGGTGAGAGGCTATTCACCCGTATCCCGTAGGGTGCCCATTCCGCAGCGAGTGACTTCATCAGTTGACCAGCAGCAGCTTTTGACTATAAAAGACTAAGTTAAAATGGATCCAAGAAAATAATAGAGAAGGGTTATGGGTACGACAGATTCGGGTGGAACGTACGGCGTTATACGCAGATTGCTTTTGTGGCCTATTGACGATGGAACCCGACATCGACGAGACCATGAGGATGTTGCCCTTGACCCCATTCTCAATCATCCATTTACCGGCGGTCCTTGCAAACAGGAAGGTGCCATTCAGGTTGACATTGATCAGGTTCTTGAAGTCTTCGAACGGATAATCCTCCGCTGGCGCACCTCCTGTAATGCCAGCGTTTGTGACCAATATGTCAACCTTGCCGAAGTCCGATACAATCTTGTCCCAGGTCGACTTGACAGCTTCTTCGGAGGACGTGTCGCATTCGTAACCGTGCAGCTTCGGTGGGGGAAGACCAGCTTCCTTGACTTCTTTCTGCAGTGAGGATACTGACGCCTCTGCACTGGATTGCTTCAGATCGACGACTGCACCGTGAGCACCCGATAGAGCGAAAGCCGCGAGGATCTGCTGTCCCAAGCCTTGCGAAGCGCTTCGATCATCTATCAGCACCCATGCGCTGAAGATTGTACACGCGGAACGTTTCTTACCCAGTCACTGCTCATTGTTAGCGTTGTGCGTAACAAAATGCGCACATTCTTGCTTACCAACTGCGACTTTGCCCTCCAGCGAGAATTCCGGAAGTGTCCTGGGAGCATTATGAGCAAAGCGAATCGAGGATTTCCATGCTTGCGACAATGCCCACGACCCCCGGGAAAGTAGAGTACGGGAAACATACGGTGGCATTGCTGAGTTCGGATTCTTCAATTAGCTGATTGGATTTAGATACCTTTTCTGGGGTTCTGGTAGGAGACGATGGAGGTTCTACTTGGGGTCGGGCTGTAGGTAGTAGAAGGTAGGAGAGGTGTTGCGGAATAGATGGTGTTTTGTTAGAGTAAACTATTGTTTTAGCTCGCTACGTCACCGTTGCGTACTGCGTACAGGGTCAGATTTCACGAGCTTGTCGCGTGCCAAATTCCAATTTAGAATTAAAAATCTAGGATTTCCTACTGTGTAAAGACATCGCAAACTATTATTTACTCATTTTTGCGCTTTCAAAGGGCATACTTTGAAAGCCCAGAGAACGGTAAATAAGCACAGCTTCGTATAAGCGCAGCAGACAATTATAAAAGCTCTCAGCCACGAGACGTTGTAATTACCGAATCAGATCCTCAGAAGGATAATTCACAGGTGCAGGACCTTCAACAGAAGGTTGGTTGGATATTGGCGGAGTCCTGGTTGTATCGGTCACGTGACACTTTACAATGAAAATGTCCTATTCTACTGTTAACCGTGAAATTCAATGTTGGCAAATTAATGTCTGTAGTACAGGAAGGATCTAAGCACATGGCTAAATCGCATGTATTGAGTGTAGTGCGCAGAGACACCTTTTCTGGACGGAGCAAACGTTGGTCGCCACCCGACAATCTCCGCTTACGACTATGTTGAGTATACCACAATATAGTATGGTAGCAAATCGAGACAACACACACATCAGCATCTTCCCTTTCCGTAGCTACCGGTAGCTATACATCAAACCCCATGGAAGATGAAGCTTTGTAACCCCATAGTTCCAGAACACCGTGACGTCATGACGTCCAACCGGTGCAACGTACCGTCATCATGAGTCGATATCCCCTAAACGCTTAACGAACAATCACCATTTCCCAATATCGAGATTTCCATCCTGCACCTCACACCTCGCATTCCATCAACATCTGTTAATTACTCCGTCGTCAGCAGTATCAACAAACATTGGAATCTTCAGCCATGGCTCCCAAAATCCTTGTCGTCCTTACCTCGCACAACAAGCTCGGAAACCTCGACAAGCCCACCGGCTGGTATCTCCCCGAGCTCGCCCACCCCTATCACATCCTCCGCAATAAAGCCGACATCACAGTTGCCTCGCCAAAGGGCGGCGAAGCACCACTGGACCCAGCATCCATCGAAGCCGCAAAGGACGATGTTTCGGTGAACTTCCTGAAGAATGACGAACAGGTGTGGAAGAATACGCAAAAGCTGGAGACTTTCGTAGGCAAGGCGAAGGACTTCGATGCCATCTTTTACGTCGGGGGCCACGGACCCATGTTCGATCTTGCCGACAATCCCACAAGCCAGCAGCTGATTAGGGAGTTCTGGGAGGCGGGGAAGATTGTTGCGGCTGTCTGCCATGCCCCTGCGGTCTTGTACAATGTTAAGTTGTCGGATGGAAGTCTCCTTGTCGCGGGCAAGGAGGTCACCGCCTTCACGAATGCCGAGGAGGAGCAGATGGGCCTGTCGAAGGCTGTGCCTTTCCTTCCGGAGGATGCCTTGCAAAAGGCTTCTGGAGGGAGGTTTGTCAAAGCAGCGGAGCTGTGGGGCGAGAAGGTTGTTGTTCAAGGCCGTCTGATTACGGGCCAGAACCCGGCGAGTGCCACGGGTGTGGGGAAGGCTATCGCAAAGGCGTTGGGGATTGATTCTGGTTCATCTTAAAAGTTGGTAAATGAGTACAGGCTCAGTCTTATTTAGTAGGGCCGGCAGTATTACGGCAAGGTTGCAGCAGCAAATTGTACCATGCAGTCTACAATGGTTCTTAAGAAGCTCACCCTGCCGTTTGATGTCCTTACCCATGATATAATGTGCACGGAATCATTCTTTTAAAACTGTAAGAATCTCATAGTGTCCAGAATCACGAGTAGACTCCGTAAATCGCCCAAGATGACAATTAGTTCATTCACCGAATATCACGTGGGCGTCACAAGCTCTCATCGGCATAAATTGGTTTCGAACGTGACTGGATATCGGATGATTTGGTCAACTCATACTTCGCCGTAGATTTAAAGTGACTCGCTGCGTCGTATTAATAACACCTCCCGGTTCTTGTCCGTTTGAAAATTACACTAGCTGCTAAACTCACCGTGAACATCTAGATAGGGAAGGGTTGTATTATCACCCTGATGAGGTTAGGCTAAAGAATACCGTGACCTTCATCGTTACTCTACCAGAGTATATCTTACAGTGTCTAGCATTCACCCGTTTGCCATGATCGAAATCGTCACGTCGTTCCCCTCTCAAGGTCCACATCACCTGGGCCATGCATGCCCCTTCGCTCTGCCCCCACGATGCCTTCAGACGGACTCCCAGCATCAGAGTCCGCACGGCGGTGACCCCGCCGAGAATGCAACATTGTGCTAGGATCCAGCAAATCGCCCCTCTGTTCCTGGTTCGCCCAGTGTGAGGGTGCGTCTTCGGAACCGGCCCGCCCTTCCCCACTGGAACGACCTTCAGAATTGCTGCCACGGCGATACGTTTCAGACGTTCCTTGAAGAAGAGGCATTGAGGAATCATGGCTCGGCCGGGTAGGGGTCAGCGGCCCTGGTGGACTGAGAGAGGCGCCGCTCTCGTTGCGAGGTCGGCGCGTGGGAATTGTTGACGGGGGGTATACGGGATCATGCCACTGGATTTGTGAGCCTGCGTGGTGTGCCGGCGTCGAGAAATCGCTCAGTTCGATGGAGGGAGATGGTCGATGGCGCCGTGAAGGTGTTGCCGGTGGAGGGTGCGCAGGATGCCAGTTATACGCGTGCTCCTTCGTCCACAGAAGCGTCTTTTGCGGCTGCTTTGTTAGTCCAACCATGATAGCGAGGCTTTCCAAAGGATCCAACGTGTATTTGGACACTTTACGAGATATGCGTCGAAAGACGAATGTCCAGTGTCTATATTTCCTTGTCCGACGCAATCCACGCATGGCGTCGCTGTAGTTCTCCGTTGATAGAAAAGACTGTTGACACCACTGCAACCATGATCAGCATCCAAAGTGGATATGGACATCATATATCTTACCTCGACCGTGATGTAGAACAAAGAAAACCCCATGACAACGGATGTTAGAATGGTTCCGGCGCACCAATATGCGAAGACCCATTTGCTGTTCGCTGAGTCCTGGACGCTGAAGTCAAGGTATCCTCCACCCCCGGCCCAGCTACTAGTGACGCAATCGCATGTTTTGTACCATCCGGTGGTTTGGGCAGCAACAATGTATACCTATCAACATCAACTAGTCAGTGAATGCACATCTTCGTTACGTACAGAAGATAAACTTACAAGCCAGATGGTGTTGAACGTCTCCACTGGTCGGAAGAAGAACAGTTCCCATCTTCTCTGAGGGCTCATTTCTCTCACAGTCTGCAATATGTTCTCTAGAGCGGCTTCGACATGCTCTTTCACAGCGTGATGCTCTCGCCATGGGAAAAGAAGCACAAGCCCCACAGCACACCTTATAAATAACGCTTCGGTAGCGACGAGTAATCTTGAGGCTCTTCTCCTTAGCCTCCTCCATCTCTCATGCGCGGCACCTTCCAGTTGGCTGATACTGCTGTTTCGACATAGCCACAAGGGGTCAACTTCATATGGCGAAAGAACAAGCCATACTATCATCTCGACTATCATAAGCCCTAGTGCGACGCTGAAGAAGATAGTATAACCTCCACTACGGCATCCAAGGCCAACAGTGGGCGTGAAGTAACTCAGAATGAATGCACCGCCACAACTGCCGAGGACGATTACCGTGGCGCTCGCGACCTGCCAGAATTCACGTATGTCGAACCACACCAGGCCCTCGTCATTGACGGGTCCCAGGACAAGCCTTGCGCGAGCTTCTTCATCGTTAGCGAGCCAATTGCGCCCTTTGTGCGCAATGTAGCAGTTTTCTATATCAGAAAGAATGGGGTGCGCGGCTCCGTAATGCCATCGTATTCGACCTTGGCCCGCAAAGTCAGAAAAGAAGCGGTTCATATGCTGTCCTCTTCTTGCTATCTCTCTGACTCTGATACCGAGTTCCTCAGACTCCGAATCCTGTGGAAATGTGTCGATAAAATCGGTGAGATTCCGCTCATCACATAAAGCGTCACGGACGTCGTCAACCAGAGCGTTCAACTTCTCCCTGATTGCTTCAGCTGCGATGGGGTTGCGATCGATGATTGAACCCATGATCAGGATTGGGAACCAGGCAAGGAGACATCCTAATGCGAGATCGTGGGCGGTGGAGTTGGAACCGAGGGCTCCAAATGCGTCTTGTATAGAAAGCGCAAAGGCGAACAAAAACCACATGATAGATACGAACGCTACAGCTTGGTCAGTGGCAGGTTGACGTAACTATTAGTTAGCATGCAAGGTACTTTACGTGCCTGGTACAGTCCCACGCCTTCGCATCTCACGAAGCTCCCTCGCCAATTCTTGTCTTCGCTGCCGCAGTGTTAAGTTCGTATTTCTCAGCACAAGATCTTTACTGAACAGAACGATGCGCAGCAAGCCTTCCGCTTCTTTAGCTGCAGATGCCGCAGTCGGTTTCAGTGTATACTGGTTCATGACCAGCAAGAGGTACATGGAGTCCCTCATATTTCCAAAATCGGACTCCCAATCCGGTGTTTCGTCATACTTCACACTCATATCGACCATTAGAGCGGCCTTCGCGGAAACCTTGATACTCCACAACACATACGACAGAGACGCGATAGGCGAGCCCACCCAGCGCGTAATGGCTTGAAGCGTTCGCCTTGCCGCGTTGCTTTCAAAAGGCGCTTGGAGAAGGGTTCCGATAACAGGCAGTATCCATGTGGTGATAGTGCTAGAGACGTCTTCCCACGGGTAGTAGTCTCTACCCGGGCCACAGAGGTGTAGGCATCCTGCTTTAGATATCTGGGTAAAGTTGTTTCGCTCGATACCAACAATGGGACCATGCCAACCCCATTTCGCACGAAGCTCCTCACCCTCGGTAGTGTTTGCCGAAAACTCAAGACGACATTGAGTGAAGTTGGCGCGCATTTCCTGGAGGAGAAAATAGGTGTTTAGTCTGATATTCTCGAGCTGAGAAGAGTCGAGTCGGATGTTCAGCCTCTTCACTCTTTACGTAGCATATGAATGCAAGTTAGGGCTGCCACTTCCTGTGGCACGGCGGTTGCCTTGAGAAGGCAAATGGTCTGTCCAAGAGCCCAGTCAAGCCTGCATCCAAGCCCTGTTACGGCAGCTGGAAAGGCTGTGAGCTTCGCCTCAGGAGGCCATGATGGGATGCCCAAGGCCTTCGCTCTCTGACCGGTGCGACTTGTGCGACTTTAACAAGACATGGGTTCCTCAGCCGGGCCCCAAAATCCCGGCGAAGCTCCGGCTGGGCCGCGGCCAATGGGTTCGAGGCTCCCGCTCAATCGACAACATCCCGTGAAGGTGGAGGAGAGAAGGAGGGTGAAGGTAAAAGATACAGATAAGCATACACTTGAGATCCAACCAAATACAACACAACGTCGCATCAAAAACGTTTAGTAGAATAGCCATTCCCGCACCGAAGCATTCCCTCCCAAGTCTATAACCCATCAATCCATGGCGCCCGATAACCCACCCAATCCGAATGAAATCCATGCCCGCCGCAGGAAGCAAATACTTCAAAGTCCTGCTTATGCTCGACGCGAAACGGAGCATACGCCGGAAAAAACAAAGAAGCGCTGAAGATAACCAATGCTACGCCTTGCTCGATGCGTATGCCAACATCCATACATCGTACAAAGATAGAGTCAAATCCACCACTTCCCGTGATTGCAGGACTGTTAGAAGGGACTGGCTTCAATCAAAGCATCCATCAGCCATTATGAGACAGTCTCGACAGTCTCCACGCATCCCGATTCTCCGAGAAGGACATCTCAATTTCCTTTTCCAGCTGTTTCGCAGCTAGGCTCTCCGCCACGCCTCCAAGCTGCAGATTCTTCTCCACGGTTGGGGTACTCTCAAGCTTGACCTTCTCGACAATCTTGGCGAGACTAGTCGCTGTATCCGGCCTCTCAAACTCCTCATCATCCACATCCAGCGCCGTGGGAATCCCATTGGCGATGTTGTAATTCCTTTGTAGGTACTGCTGTAACCGATATTCCTGCCGCTCCCAGCTTTCGTCAACGAGGCCGAGCGCAGCTTTGATATCTTGATCGGACAGAAAACTCGACTGTAGCTTTTCCTTCGGGGCTTTGCCGACAACTTTGCTCGCGAGCTTGCTGCGCATCGAGTTCGAGCGCGCTCGGCTGTGCGCAGCTTGTTCGTCCCGCATTTGCTTGACTTGATCCTCCGTCTGTTTGAGGGCCATTTGGCGGCTTTCCTCCATGGTCGGCAGGTACAGTAAGGTGAAGTTCCGATGCAGAGCATTGACTAGATCGGTAAAACCACCAAGAGTGATACCGTTGTTCTCGCAATGTAGCTCTTCCAAGGTATCATTGACTTTGAGGACATCCGCAAGGGTGCTGGCGCCTGCAAGCCCGAGTTTTTGATCTAGATCCTGTCAGTTTCCATTACGAAAAGAGCCACCCAGAAGCTTACACCTGATGTACAGCACCCTCAATGTTCGATTCCTCTGAAGTCCCCTCAGAGCTCGGTTGACTCCCACTCCTAGCTTCGTCGTTTCGAGCCGAGAGTCTTCACCCGATATATCCAACCATTCGAGAGTTGAATTATCGGCAAACATCTTTTCCAGAGCTTGGCAGGTCGCCTCGGAAGCATCACAAGGAAGCGAAGCGCGGGAGATATCCAGGTGCCGGATCGTGGTGTTTCTAGTAAGGGCAAGAATCATTTTGCGGAAATCGGCCTCTTCTTGGAATTCGATCAACCGGATGGTCAGGCTGGAAGGCGCCAAACCACTCGCAATGGCATCGATGAGACTGTCCAAGTCTGTCTCAATATCATTCTCGCTGACATCAAGATGCAGTTCCCTAGCCACCCCTGGGGTTTCGGTCATGGAGTGCAAGAGATATGCGACGTCTCGCCCAGTTAAATAACAATGGTCAAGCCGAAGTTCACGTAACCCCTTGGACTGCTTGTAGTTCACGAGATAGCTATAGTGCTGTAAGCCCGGCCCTGCCGATCAAGGATCGGGTTAGACATACCTCGCTATCGCATCCACCATGGCAGGATTGAGCGATGTCCCACTCAGCACCAACTCTTGCAGTTTCCACGCCTGAAAAGTTTCGAGTGAAATCAGAGGCTCGGGGCCGGATGTTCGTGAAAGATTGCAAAGATGGAGCTTGGTCAGGTATCCAAATACCCCAATCTGCGAATCGAAAGTGGTTGGTGACAGGCGAACAGGATTTGATGATATGTCAAGTGCCTCTAATGTGGCCTCCTGAGGGCGAAGGCTGTCAAGAATCAGCGATAAAGTGCGGTCGGTCAAGCCACATCCACGGAGTTCCAGCGCACGCAGGTGGCAACTCCGCTCGACAGCGGCTGCTACAAGATAATCGAGATCCGTTTCGCCCAACTGGATGTTGTTGAGCGCTATCCAGTCGACATTGGTGGTTTGGTACTTGCAGAGAGGAAATAGCGCCTCTACAATGCCGCATCCCACATCATGCTCCCTATGGCCGGATTCTAGGATATATGGCGGCTTCCTCGTGATGCACGACGTGAAGTCCAACCGTCTAACTTTCCGACTGGTCACTGCCAGTGCACGAATCTCTTGAACGAGTAAACAAGATCTACTGAGCTCCTCCACGTCCATTCGAACAGGCGTTCCCCGCTTTGTCTTCGTGCAAACATGCTCCGCGCCATATTCGTCATGGAGGCCGTTTAGCACGTCCAGTTGGACGTCTTTGAACGAGATGCCGCCGAACATTTCATTGTATCTCAAAGAACGCATCACGGCAAGGAGTTCCAAAACAGTATAGTGGTTTCTTCGGAGACCTATGGGCCGTAGCAACTCGAAGCGAGGGTAATCCTCTGGAGGATATGTTATCTGGTACCGTATGCTTTCGGGCTTGACATCGTAAGCTACGCAGTAGCCTATTAGTGTGCGGTCAAGAGAATTCTGGTCGATGGGATGAGGGCTGGACTGGCGGAGGATTTCATGCTTCACATCGTCGGGTACAATGAAGTGATAAGGCCGTGACTCCCACTCGGGTCGTAAGCCGGATTCGACGTACCGCAGCCGAATGGCGATATCGCGTGATGCAAGGGAGGCCAGGTGAAGCACCTTTGGCTTCTGTAAAGGCAGGCTGAAAATGTGAGTGAGTGAGTGCTCTATGTGATTGGGGGACAACCCACCGAAACGTTAACTCGAAGGTGTCGTCAACTTCGCTGACATGCAATTCGGTGATGGTCAAAATCCCATACGAGGCTTGAGTATGGTACGACCCTAACGCTGGGCTGGACGTGCGTTGGGACTGGGGCTTGAAGAGGGATATCAGGTGGACTTTATGCACCCCAATGGCTAAGAACGAGACCGAAGCCATGACTTTGGACAGGTCGTCTGAAGAGGCTCTGGAACCGGATTTGCCGACGACGCGCTGGACAACTTTGTAGATGGCGTAATGCGGAGGAACGTAGTCCCGCTCGGCCTCGACGACACGCGCAGCCAGATGAGAATTGTAGGCAGAGAGGGGATCGGGATCGGCAAGCCTGGCGCGGTTGGCGGCTTCCCGGATACTGGCGAGCCACAACAACATTTCGTTGGGATCCCCGAATTGGAGGGTCATGGAGGACGCATGGTTCACATCCTCGTCAAGGTAGGAAACCTCAAAAGCAAAGTGCGGCCTACCATCATCCAGTTGATATACAGCAACGATTTGACGTAGCGGTGTCCCTAAAGCACGATCACCAGATGTTTCCGATGCGATGGACTGCATATCGTGAGCCGATCCGCCAGAAGGGTTCTGGCTATGACGATACGTTGAGGAACGAGAGTAAGGCGAGGGTATCCTAACCGTGTCAGCTGGTTGAGGTGGATGAGGTAGGCGACGACGTACGCAGAGAAGGCGTCGGCAGCCTTCTGGTGATTTTTGAAGCGCATCAGATGCGATTCGGTCAGGACGAGGTATTCCTTCTTCTTCCTGAACATGGAGCTGCTCGTCTGGACTTCGCCATGGCGTAGCACGTGGTTGTTGTGCAGATTGTCATCCATGACGGATCGATTGCCTGAGAAGGTGCGTGTTGAAGCCGCCGACAGCGGTTCGTCAGGGCCATCATCGCGCCGGAGCCCACGAAGGGAGCCGAACACAGAACTCGGGCGGCTCTGGCTTCCTCGTGACAGTGCGGTGTTGGGGGAGAAGGGGGCATCGGCACTGGCACTGCCGCCGACGGATTCGTCGTCGCCGGGCTGGGTCGAAGCGGTTGAGAGGGTGGTCCTGAAGGAAGCAGTGCGGCGCTTCCGTAACAGCTTGGAGGGCTCATCATCCTCCCTGGTGTTCTGGAGTCCGGTCAGAGCTCCCAGAGAGCGGCCGGCGAAGAGGCTGCGTCTTCTGCTATCCTTGGACATGCCGAACAGCGACGCTGGCTGACGGCGCCCTTGAAAATCCACGCGCAGGGGAGCGTCTCATGCGGCAGGAGTGCGTGACGAGGGCAGGGGCGCAATGCAAAGAATGACACAAGTCGAGGTGGTGGGAAAGGCGCAAGCGTCGTGGAAAGTCGCACCTTCACAGGGAGCCAATCGGCGAACAGGCGGGGTGTTTACGGCAGAGCGGCACACGGCGGGGGCTCGTGGCAACAGGGTGGGAGCGGCGCGGTGGTGGACAATCCAAGAGGCACTACAACGTTAGTGGGAACTCGGAGCTGGTTAGCCAGGCACGTTGGGGCATCACGGCGGACCAACGGCCGGTGAGTACTGAGTAGATGGTGGGCAATGGTGGTGATAGTGGTAAATATCTATCGGCCGCCCAAGTTAGTTCCCACGGGTCGATCAGCAATCTTGCCCCGGCCAGATTACGTCATCTCGCAGATCCTTGGCATCGGAATTCGGAGGAACCATCAGCCGACGTCCAAAGATTTCTGAGACGCAAACACCAGACGCGTCCCCCGAGCTCCACCCACTCCCAATTGCACACCCTTCGCGACTTCGATCCCTCTCTCCACTTTCCCATGTCGTATCGGAGCCTCCTAACCGTTGTGCAGCCTCGTCGCCCGTTTGTCTGTCTGCTGTGTGCCGTCCGTGCCCCTTCGCCCGCCCCGAGTCGCCATTTCGCCGCCAGTCCTGCCCATCTCAACAAAGATGTGGACAAACCGTCAAAGAAGGGGGGTTCCTCGGCAGCGGGGGCACCCAAGTCCGCAGACAAGGCCGCTCAAGCGGCACCGAAGGGAAGGAAGAGGACTAGACGGGTGAAGAACTCGGTCAAGGCCCCCGAGAAGGCGCCCGTACGGAGGGTCGTCACCGACGGACGTAAGAAGACCAAGCAGAAGCACGCCCCACCGAAGGAGGCTAGTAACAGAGAGGGTGATGAGGCCATCTTGCCGAAGGCAACCATGAGCACTGATAGCAAGGAAGAGAAGGTTATGTCCTTGAAGGAAGCATTGCTGGGAGCTGGCACAACATCCAAGACAAAAAAGAAGAAAAAGGGGACGCCCCTTGAGATCGAAGTGCTGTCACCCGATCACCTGCACTTCCAGGCCATCGACCACCATATTCCCCCAGTTCCCAGACTGTCCTATGGCCTGGATCGCGTCTTATTCAATCCCGGCGTTTACCGGCTTCAGGACCCGCGGTCACGCGTCTACAACTTCGATCCCTACCTTGAGAGGATCATGCCGGTAGCCGAGTTCGATTTTGATGCTCTCAGCGAATACAAGACCTCTTCCAAGGATCCTGACCTGCTGGCCCTTACGCGGAAGCTAAACACAAAGTTCACTGGCTCAACCTCTAGCATGTCGGGCGTGTTGCAGCATTTCCATTTCCTCCTCTCCAGCTTTCGGCCGTTGAATCACACCATGCTTTCGCGCAAATTTCCCGAGCCAAGTCCCAAATTCTCCAAGATTACCACGGGCCCGACGGCCATTTTCCTGCGGTGGAAGGACGGCATTTACGCAATCGATGCCGACAAGTCGTACGACTCGCCCAACATCATGAGCTGGTTGGGCCACTCCCTGGAAAAGTTGCTGACTACTTCCCGTGAAGAGTTTGAGCGGTTCCGTCGCTCTAGTCCAGAAGAAGCACCGGCAGAGGACGAGTCGGGTAGATGCTTCCATTACTCCAAGCTCGGCAACTTTCTCATGCGATCCCAGTTGGATGCTCACGACAGCCGCCTCCCTGGAACCGGAATCTTCGATCTGAAAACGCGTGCGGTCGTGTCCATTCGCATGGATCACACCGAGTACGAGACTGGATCCGGGTACCAGCTTCGCTATGCACAGGGAGAGTGGGAATCATTTGAGCGTGAATTTTATGACATGACTAGGGCGACAATGCTGAAGTACTCATTGCAAGTACGCATGGGACGCATGGACGGCATCTTCGTGGCATATCATAATATCGAACGCATGTTTGGCTTCCAATACCTGAGCCTTCCGGACATGGACAACGTGTTGCACGGCCAAACGGACACTTGCCTGGGAGACCAGGAGTTTAAGCTCAGCGTTGCTCTATTGGATGAGATGTTGCAGAAGGCTACGTCGCAATTCCCAGACACAGTATGCTTCCATCCTGATTTTCCTGAACCTCGACTAACGATTCCCAGACGCTTCGCTTGCACTTCCAAACACAAGAAGCACGCCCGCGCAATCCTCCCTACTTGTACATATTTGCGGAGCCGTTATCAGACGAACAGGCCGATCAGATCCAAAACGCCAAGAACGAAGTATATCGGGAATTTGAGCGAACTGTGATCGGTGTGAACCGGAATGACCCGGATGTGCAGGCCGAGTGGCAGGAAATCCAGGACCGTGTCGATGAGGAGGTCATTGATGATGAGAGGCAAGGTGAGACGGAAGCGGCAGACGTGCAGGAGGGGCTTGAGCAGGAACAATCCGCCCCCACCGAGAGCAGTACCATGTCTGCCCACAAAGGTTCTGATGACGTGGACGGGAAAGATGAGGAAAGCCACGAGGGGTCGGCTCAGGAGACGTCAGAAGTGGGTGGGGATCAGGAGGGGCCTACGAAAGATGCTCCCGCTGCGGCAGTACCTCGAGGTCCCTTGATGGGTTGGACCCTGACGACACGAAACCGTGTCAATGGCCACTACGTGGAGCGCCCCGAGGATCTCACTCCTACTGACGACTGGGAAGTCGAATATCATATCCAGGAAATTCCCGAGGCGTCAAGATGGAAGCTTTACGACACCATGCAAAAGAGAAGAGAGGCGTTGTTAGGCCAGGACAGGGAGACGCAGTCGAAAGCGTTGTCGCGATATCGAGGCATCATCAAGAAGTACAGCATCGCTGGACGGGAGTGGAGGGAGGAGCAGGACAGGATCGATGCAGAAATGGGCCGGCGGATTTTCCGTCCCCTCGGTCCTGGCGCTCACGACATTTTACGCTACGAGGCTGGACTCAAGGAGATAGAGGACGGTGTCAAGAGTGTTAGTGAGATTGTCAGTTGAGCTGCGCGCATGTGACCGGGAATGGGAGCTCGTACTTGGCTTGTATAATAGTGGTGATTCAAGATACCCCTATGTAGAATACGATTCAAAATGTCTGGACGTCGGTGTCTCTCATCGTTCACCGAAAGCTATTCCTATGCAGGAACCCATTGGACATGTCAATTCAGGCATCTATACGGAGTAGAGTATGTATATCATTCAATGGTAGTTTGCGGCGCACGGACCAATCAAGCGTCATTGATCTCCTCTGTTGTTCGTGTCACCCAGGTCGCGGGCTTCCTCTGCTTCTGAGGGAGAGCTTGGTGCACCTCCTACTTTCTCCAGGCGACAGAGAGCCGTCCGTTGCGACTGCTGGTCCCCCATCGTTTGGTGGTCATCCAGGACCAAACAGCGCGAGCAGGTGCGGGGCCGCCTGTTTGGCAAGCTGCAACAAGCCTGGCGCTCCGAACTCACACCTCCTCCACGCCCTGTCTTCTTCGATTTTTACCTTAAAAGCGGCGCCTTCGCCGCCAACAACCTCCAAACTTCACTCGATATGGCGGCCTACTCGCAGGCTGCCAATGTCACTGAAGAGAATGTCAAATTGCTCCAGGGCATATTGGAGGTCGAGCGTCACACAGCGCAGGAGCTTCTCAAGGTATGCTTTTTGGTCCCGTCCAAGCAACAAACGTACTGATAGACCCACAGCTCAACAATAACGATGTAAACGCCGCAGTGAATCAATACTTCAACAACCCGGGAGGCTCGGTGCAGGTACGCCACCACGACGACGTGGCCTGCTGCCATGCTGACCTTCCGACAACAGGATACCAATGGAAACCAGAGCTGGGACGCTGCTTCTTGGGGTGCAGACAGGTACGGCCAACAGAACACATCCAGCAGCAATATTCCCTGTATGTACGGAAAGCTCCAGAGATTCATTTGGCCGCCTCAGACTAACATGCCTTCATTGTAGCATTCAACATCGAGTATGCACCAGGCGTTGAACAATATCCTCACAGTGTTCCCAATAGCGGTGCGCCGAGCCGGCCTCCTTCACGAACCAGTCATCGCTCCGCCGGGACAACGGCGGCTGAACGGGGCGACAGCCCGGTCCGCCAAAGTTAGTCACACTTGCAGATATCGCTGGAACATGTCGTCTGACTGGTGCAGGTGTAGAGCAAGAGCAAGAAATGGGGGTACTCAGAGGTAACTCTCCTGCGGTATTCGGCCCGGCAAATAGAGATGTCTATGAGGAAGACAAATGGGCTATGGTGCCCATATCTACGATTACTGAACTGGTTCCAGATGCACAGCCGGGGAAGCGGAAGAGGGAAGAGGGCGGTCCAACGATTCTGAAGCCATTGCCCAGCGAGGATTACCTCCCAGCGATGCTAACCATTGCGCACTCGATTCCGACATTCCGAAATTTCTTGCTTGCTCCGCAAATTGAAGCCTCCAACTATCTAGTAGGCACCGATTGGTGGAAAGGAGGGGAGCCATCATCTCCCATGCACGAGTCGAGCATAGGAATACCAGAAGATCTCGAGCTCATATATGAAGTTCAACGCCTCATGGCCTTCTTGGATGGCACGGACAGGGCGTATGGTAGCGTTAAGCGCTTGGCGCGGTTATCTGCCGTGGAACATGCGTCGATGGAAGGGGATTCCGTGAATGAAGAGATGGGACCAATGCATCGATTCCTGCTCAGTTGGGCACGAGCCTACGAGAACCAGACCCATGAGAATCTGACCGGGAAACTTAGAACCAAGGTTGTGATCGGAAGTGAGGAGCAGGATTTCTTCAAACTCGATGCCCATGTACCAGTAGGCGATGAGGATCAGCCACTTTACGATGTTCTAGACAACGCGTTTATTGGCGATGATGCGAACCACGCGCTTGCACTCATTTCCATACCAAGCGAGGTGCTGATTCTGGAGATGTTTAACAACAGCAACGGCACCACGGGGCTTCGTTGCAAACTACCTCGCATCCTCTATATCGACCGTTACTTGGAGGAAAATAGGAACGTCATGGAAGAGCTGATTAAGGAGACAAGAGAGCGCAGTAGCCAGCTCCGTGCCATCGAAAGAGAGATCGAAACGCGCAAATGGTACAAGCTGAAGAATGTGCGGCCTGGGGAAAAGGTGGAGACGCTGAAGCTGCTTGAAACAAGCATGCAAGCCTTCCAACCTAGCGACGAGGGTGGTGTCGAAAGTTCCCCACATGCTTCCAGAAACGCTACCGCACTCGAACAGTTGCGAGAAATTTACAGCAAGATCGAGAGTCAACTCAGGGGTATGTGGATAGCTGCTGTTGCATGATGCAATCATACTGACTGTGTACAGAATTGGAAGAGCAGAAGACCAAGATCAGAGAGACTCTTGCTAGCACTCAAGCTCGCTTTAGGCCACCCTTTGACCGGGAATCGCCCAATATCGACGCCAAATCAAAACAAAACGACAGCCCTGTTGAGCCGTCACAGGAACAAGAAGATATTGTGAAGTCAGGCGAGACTATGGACGTTGACAAAGCACATGAACCCCCGGAAACAATGGATTTCACACATTCCTATCAACAACACCCTTACAGGTTCGTTGGAGCCTCCACGAAGCGTGGGGTGTATTACCTTCAGCAGCGGGATCTGCTCACCAATGAGCTGTGCTGGTGGCGCATCCATTATCTGATAGCGAATGACGGCGAAGTCGACATCCTTCGCGAACGTGTGGCCAATGTCGACTTCGTGCTTGACCGAATCGAGTGTGAGAGCTCACATGCTCTCTTGATGTACGCCAAGGACACGGCCTTCGAGGAATCCCCCCTGCCATTATCGCCGGCCCTCTACAACTTCGTGAAAGATGACAATGTGAAGTTCAATGAAGAGTTGGCGAGGGAAATGGGCTTTGGTGAGCAAGACTTCGGCCCCGTAGAACCCCTCGGCGGTTGGGCGGAGGAGCAGAGTTTTGCGCCCCTGCCCGACGACGAGTGGACCAATACTGGCCAGGACCACGAGGACGCCATACCGGATGAGCCTCCTCCCTCGTACACCGAAATCGAGCAGATTACGGTGCCGCTGGAGCGTACAGGTGGTGTGTCGGGGCAGGGGATCACGGTTGAAGTCAAGGGTCAGAGTGAGGCGCTTGCGGATGGCGCCGAGGCCCCAGACACTGTGAGTTCCGGCACGCTGACACCGAATACAGAGGTGGATTCTGAAGAGGAAGACGAAGTCGTGCCGGCTGTCGATCCTTCCAAGTTGGTTAAGGACCCCGATGCGGAGATGCAGGATATCAGGGACACGTATCAGGGTCGCGGTAACCAGTGAAGGGGGATGCGGACAGAAATGGATGAGGTGGGCACATGTCCGTACATTATGCAGATGTGCCAGTTTGGACACGAGAGTTTGTCAGGTGTGGTGCTGGATCAGAGGGTGGGAAGCGTGGTGGCTGCAACGCAGAAAGTATTGCTGGCTGACAGACCAGTTTCCAGTCCGGGCTTGGATGCTGGGGACACGCTTACAAAGAACTTGCTTCAGTCATTCTAATGTATAAAATTATCATCAATTCTCACCTGGAATGAGATTTGGCCCTTCTAATCGGTGTCAATTTTTTGCAGTTGGTCCCAACTTCTCCGTTTTGTGCACGAAAAGTCCGATAACATCATATAGCTTTTCCCGTGCCAAAACAGTAGCAGTCAGTTTTTGATTTCATTTTTGCATCATTCTGCCAACCGGGGTATCATTATATGGGCCTTTTCAAGTCTCCCCACCGATAGCAAAGGAAGCAGAGCAAAGACAACGCCAACGCCAACGCTATGCCCAAATCAAGGATGCAGTAATACACTGGGATGATGTATATATACAGGACAGAAGGACGGAAGACGCTCCCAACTTATGATGTGCATGCAGCACCTGAGTGGGCAAGCAAGCTCTTAGTCGGAGAGCTCAATCGCATCGTCTTGAGTCGCGCCGCCCATGTAGGATTGCGGGCGCTGGGCTTGCTGTTCCGGCTCTTCTTCTTCGTCTTCTTCGTCTTCTTCGTCTTCCTCGTCTTCCTCGTCCTCTTCTTCTTCGTCTTCTTCTTCGTCCTCATCCTCGTCATAGTCTTCTTCTTCTCCTTCTTCTTCGTCGTCTCCCTGCTCGTCCTCGTAGCGATACACATTGGCATCTTCTGGGTCCTCCTTCCCGTACTCCTCCACCTCCCTGTCATGTCCAAAATGTCCTTCCTCTTCGTCTGCTTCCTCCTCGTCGCCGTCGTACTTGTCGTAGCGACGATACACGTTGGCTTCTTCGGAGTAGTCGTTTCCATACTCTTCTTCTCCTTCGTGCTGGACCCCGTCACCCTCGCTCTCGTCTACGACGTCGACTTCCTCCTCCTCTCCCTCAGCGAACTCGTCCTCGGCTGCATCCACAACCTCATCCATATCCTCTCCATAGTACGGCCTGCTGCTGCGCGGAACCCCCGCATCCTCGCTGTAATACAACGACGTCTCCTCCCTAATATCCGCGGCCTTCTGCGACCCCATCTGCGTCTGCTCCTGCATTTCCACCTCCATGTGCACCTGGCTCTGCGTCTCCATGTGCACATAAGACACCTGCGTCGGAATCGGGCTGGATAGCTGAATCTCCGCACTGTCCTGTACCTGCTGTTGCGCCGCCGGCGGCTGCATCCGAATCGATGTCTCCTCACCCACGACATTCCCACCACCGCCACCCACGCTGCCACCACTGAGGCTCCCGCTCCCAACTCCCCGCGATTGTCTATAATACTCGAGCACTGCTTCCGGTCCTTTGCCGTATAAATGGCGAGGTACGAACCGGCTCTGTCGGTACCAGTACGCGGGTTTATTGGCGGGGACGGCCGGTTGCGTGTAGGTGCTGCGAGCGGCGGAGTCCGTGTAGCCGCCGCCCTTCATACCGGAGGTCAAGTCCGGTACACTGCGACTGAATTCGTGCCGGACAGGTGTTGCCCCTGGAGACGGAGACGCTGGTCGCGTGGAAGCATGTCCCTCAGAAAGGAGGGCGCGTGCACGCGCGACAACGTCCAGGGTACGTGAGAGTGAGTGGTCTGTCGGTGCCGCACTGGCGTAGGAAGAACTCCGCGATCGAGCGTGAACGGGCGAGTGCTCCGTTAGTTGAGCCGAATTGTTGAGCTTGAAGGTCTGCTTGAACCGCTCATAACGCGCCAGAGCGTCCAGATCATTCTGCGAGTCGGATGCTGAGGTCCGAGCCCGTTTGCGGTTCTGCTCGTGGACTTGTTCCTCTTCTGAGGATTCGGGATCGTCGAAACCGCGCTTGAGAATCTTGGACGGGTCGAGTCCGCGGGCTCGCAGCTGGAACCAAGTGGTTTCTGTGCGATCGGCGGGCATGGCGTTGTTCTTGTATGGTTGCATTGAAACTGGCTTCGGTATCGGCTGTGGTAGCGGATTGATGTTCTCTTTCTCTGCAGGAAGCTGCACTGGTTTCTCCTTCGTCTTTGGCCTTGCTAGTCTGCCTGTGATTCCATTTACTGGCTCTTCTCCCTTCTTCGCAGAGTCCGTGCTCTTTCTCGAAGAAGCGAAACTGGCACTAGCCGGCAGACTAGGCTTCTTGAATCCATTCGCTTGTACATTCTCCAAGTCTTCGCTGTTGGTCCCCTCTTTCGGCAATGCTAACAGTTCCGTTTTATGCTCTTTTAACCATCGCCGCCTCTCTCGAGCGCGACGTGCACGTTTCTTTTTTTGCACCTGCTGGTACCATCGAACGGCATAAAAGCGAGCCAGTTGTAGTCGCTTCCGTTGGTACATTTCTTCGGCTTTCTCTTGTGCACGTTCCCACCAAACATCCTCTTTCGCTTTCGGTAATATTCTCTTGACTTGCTGCTCGATGAATTGCGTTAACAAGCCCTCCATAGGGTCGAAAAACACATTGTTAGTAAGAGCGTTGAAAGCATCATCCAGCAGCTGTGCCTGCTGCCGACGCTGTGCTTCTATGGTACGTTGCTGTTCCTCGAGCGCTCGACGCTGTTGCTCTTCCCGTAATCTCCGCTCCTGTTCCTCCCGTGCCCGTCGCTCCTGTTCCTCGCGTTCCCGTTGTTGCTGTGCCTGCTTCGCACGCTCCCTCTCCTCCCGTGCTTGCCGTAGCTTTTCCTCTTGAAGCCGACGTTCCTCCTCTTCCTTCTTCCGTCGTTGCTCATCAACTTTGTCCGTTGGCTCTCCTTCAGCCAAAGCAAAAGTGACCTTTTTCGCAGGTCCAGTAGATGAGACCGAGCTTGACAGAATCGATGGTTTGGGTGTTGTCGCCTGGGTCGCTGGAAAAGTGAAGGGGCTCGATGCCTCCAAGGAAGTCTTGAAAGGCTGTGGTGAGGGTTTGAAAATTGAATCCGGTGCTGTTGAGGCTGGCGTAGCCACCTTGGTAGTAGAGAGTCCTTGGAAAAAAGGTGATGTCACGGTTGCTTGCGGTGCCGATTCTTTGGGCGGAAATGCACTTGCAAATGGGGAAGACGTCGGCTTTGCCGAGGGAGCATCCTGCGCGCCAGCTGTCGTGATGGTAGTAGACGAGCTGGGCGCAGAGGAGGCGGTTCCAATGGAGGCAAAGCTGGAGTTGACAGTAGTATCAGATGCATTGAACAACCCTGACTGGCTCTTCTCTCCAGCTACCGGGCTGAGGTTCGACAAAGAGTCTTTAGCCGCAAACTTGATAGAGTGAGTCGATGGATTGAACAGTCCAGGTTGGATAGTTTGTCCCGTTGCTGGACTTATCGTGGAGAATGGGCTCGCGAAGACGGAAGGCGCCTCAGCCGCAGAACCCGCTTGAGAGGCGGCTTGGGCCTGGAACGGATTTGTGGTTGCAGAAAAGCTGTTGGCTGGCGTGGCAAATATGCTTGGTTTCGCGGGTACGGTTGCCGCGGATGTACTCGTCGTCTGGGCCGTAGACGTTGCAGGTCGAAATACACTTGCATTGGGATTGAAAGGAGATTGAGTCGCCGACGAAAGGGATGTGAAGGCGCCGGTCTTAGCGGGCGTTGAAGTAGGGCCTTCCGGAACGAATAAAGAGTCCTCAGCTTCCATCTCGAGATCCGGCTCTTCAACCAATCCATTGATTCTTGCTTCCTTCACAGACATGCCTCTGATCACTGCAGAAAGTAATCTGTGATGTCTTTTAGATTCAACGAGCCTCTGCGAGAAAGTTTGTGGTTTAGGCCCGTTCGGATCTTCAGCCCCCTTGCCAGCAGAGAAGTTGACATATTCTTCACCACTCTCCATCGTAATGGTCGTGTAACCATAAACCTGGCAATATTCCCGAACATCATCGGCAGAATCAAAGCCTAGCATCTCAACCAGTTCGGCTACCAGCCATTCTCCATGCACATTCTCTTGATTTGCCTGCTTGGCGGATCCCTGACGATATGCCCGGCGTAAAGTTTCAAGTACATTGTACCGAACTTGGTTGAAGAAGAGTTCCGCAGCACAAGCCATGAGATAGGATACTGCGGAGGATTGGACCAAATCCCAAAAAGCTTTCCAGTTTTGCTGAGCTTCGCTGAACGTGCGGCTCTTGCTGCTCGCCATCTTGCCCGCTCGGTAGATCTGCATCGCAGTTTGTACTCTGCGATTGCGGCGTATTGATTCCGGGAGTGTCTGGATCTCGTATTCCACCTTCTCGTCGCCGGTGGAAAGAGCAATGATGAGTCTGTACGCTTGGAATTCGGCCTCATTATCTGAGAGTATCTTGGCCCGTCGGTTATCCGCATAACGCTGCTTGAGGGATATGAAAGTCTGGTTGAGTTGCTCAACATCTTGTTGATGCGAATAATCTTCGTTTTCGGACAACGACATGTGATGAAGGGAAAGCAACAAGAATCGGGCGCATTGCTCAAAGCATTCTAAATAAGCGCGGAGGTCTTCGGGTCGGTCAATAGCTTGAGTTCGCAAATCCTTTCGAACGGCGCGGGTGCGATCCCATAGCCAACCGTAAAGGAACTCGAAGTCCTCGTCATCCAGACGGCCCATCATATAGTTCATGGTTTTCTGAGCTCGTCAGCACGCGTTTTACAGTATTTCTAGATTCCCACGTACCAGGCAAGCAGCCGGTGACCGGATGTCCGTGACGAGTTCAGTTTCCATACCGGCTGCAGAACGTTGATATGCTTTAACCATGCGGGATTCGTCCGGTACCCGTGCTCTGCGATCGTTCAATGCCAGACTCTCAGCCGTCTACATTAAGTTAGGGGTGTCCAATTTGTATACCCTAAAGTAGCCTTACGTATTCCGGGAGTTTAAGATCCTCCTCCACAATGCGCCGGACACGTTCGTACTCTGGGCACATGTCTTCGCAGATACCAATTCGCTTGACGGCCTGGCTGAGATGCATTGGGCCATCGGGATCCATTCGCTTCTCCTTTATCAATTGTGCGCGCTGGCGGGGCCGATCATTTTTAAGCTAGGCATCGGTAGTAAGCAGTATGAGCGTGCTCGAACGGGGGCGGGAACGTACATAGTTGAGTCTTTGCACGTAGTCTGTGTGAGGGAAAGGGGTCGAGTTGAAGTCATTGTTGGTTGAGGAGGCCAAGGGCGTGCTGCAGAAAAACAATCAGTAACTTGCTCGGCGCCTAACGTCTCTTGAACTGCGCCCGGCTCGGTTTCGAAGACGGAGATCGAAGCGGCGATAAAAGAAATAGTCCAGTCCGAGAGTAGGTCTAGTTCAAGTCCAGCCGGTCCTTTGAAAAGCCCTAAGAAAAGGGAAGACGTACCTATGACCACCCCGTCCTCTTGGGCTTCCCCTTGACGTGCCTCCTCTCGCAACTCCCACGCCCCTGAATGCGCCGCCGCGCTGGCCACGGTCGCTCCAACCTCCACGTTTGGCCGAGGGCGTGGAGCTGGTCGCCATAGTGGTTGTATTGTTGCCGATCGATTGCGACGACGCGCCAGGGTTTCGAGACGCTGCGCCGCGGACGGACACTCCCCCTCCTCTTCCACCACGGTCGCTCGCGCCGCGATCATATCCTCCTCTTCCGCGGCGCGCCATGGTGGCAGGATCGACACAGCCTGAGGGTCGGCAAGGTCATGCGCGGTTCGAGGGTTGGGTGAAAGTGCGGTAGCAGGTATCTCGACGGGAGGGTCTGTCTAAACAGAACTCAGTCGCATGGGCAGCTGTGACTCCTGATTCAATGACTTGACGATTGAGTCCCACGACGGGTGCGTTTGGTGAGTACAACTGGCCGGTCGCGACAAAGGAGTTGGTTTGCAGTGAATGTGTTGCTTGTTCAAGTTCATGAAGCTCGGGCCACACCATCTTGGCTGAAAGCTTGGCGTGGGCAATGTAATGGTTTGCAGCTGATAGTTATTGTTCATGGAGCTCCCTGATCACCGCAACGTTTCAAGCTCGCCTACAGAGCAAAGCAGCAAGGTACTAATAAGGGTTTGCAATCAACCCTTTCAGCTGGGTGCCATCATCCAAGCTGAGGGTATTCTTTTGACAACTATCATCGAGATTTGCGTTGCAGCTATGTACCAATATTGGAAGACGATAAGAAACTGAAACAATTGGGCGCCGGAGGCAGCTGAACGTGCGTTTTTATGGGCCTAACGACAACACCATCAATGCTTTGACCATTACCATTATCGTTTCTTTGAGAGTCGTGACGGCATGAAGCATGGAGTAAACAGCCCACGGGGGATTCGAAGACGATAGAGATGTGTGAGATTGTGCCGAAGCAAACCCACGGGTTTAGGAAAGGCAGACGCCAGGCATGCAGCCGAATCGAATCCCAAGAAGCTGACGAAGTGTACCGCACTTACCGCCAAAGGAAATTCGTAATTCATGAAGTCGTTACCAGGGCGCGAAGTGGACGTTTGAGAGACATAGGAAACACTTTACAGGTACGGGAAAGGAAGAATCAAAACATCCAGGGGATGATCACCTAACTCAGAATCGCATAGGTGACCCATGAGGAAATTGTTGAGGAGGAATCGGGAACTGTGGGATGTTTTGACGAGTCAGACCATTGATGTCCGCCTGAAGAGGATTGTAGCCAACGAAGTCGACCGGTCCCTGAGTATCGTCTAATACGGTATCCGAGGAACTGAACGAAGACCATTGTGGCTTCTCCTCCATCGAGGTTGCAAAGAATGTGTAGTCCGGAACAGCAGTGTTCATGAAATGGCCATGCGCTGGTCCGGCGGTGTAAGAGGGATAGAAAGCGGTATTCGGTAGACCATGGATCGGGTTGAACGTCGGTGGTGTGCAGCAGTGAGGGCATCTGCAGTTTGCGCAGAATCCATTAGATGGGAAGACATGATGGGACGTAGGTTGACCGTTTGGTCCGGCAACGGCAGCGGGGATAAAGTTGGATGGAGGCACCAACGTCCTGACCGCGCGTGGAGGAGAAGCTGCATTTAAACCGCTCGGCGAGACTATTGGAGAAAGGTCGGCACGGTTGAAGTGTTCGAGATTCCGATCGTTGCAAGGAGTATTCTCGCGCGTAACATCTGCTGAAGGGCTCTTAACTCTCCTCTTGTTAGAAGCACTGCCCTCTTCCTGTAACGGCTCAGGCTGGGCGTCGTCGCAGCGGCGGCGCTTAGTACGAGATTCGGAGTGTTCGGATCGTGACCGGCGAGTCTTTTTGATCGTCTTTGTAGCAGGCCGCCATGTGTGCACTTTTCCAAGCATAGCATTGGATTCTCGGGAAGCAACCGTGCCTCGTTCCTCAAGTTGCGCGAGGTGATCCTCGTACGACTGCGCAACGTCAAGAATTTCTGGAAAGATCTCCTGGGTAGCTCTCTGTTTCATAGAGTCCCTGTAGGCGGGATCCTTGCTGGAAGCGAAACAATCAGACTCGGCACACTGTATCCAGAGGTCGGTCTTCGCTTTCAATTTATATATCCAATTGACTCGTCGCTTTCCGTCGGCGTCTGGATAGCGGTGTAGCAGCAGGATGTGGATTGCGATACGTATAAGCTCTGTAGCTGATTAGTTTTTCACAGCTCGCATGGAGGATAGGTATCGCCTACTTGGACCTTTGAGATGAGCCGGCTCCTTGTAAGGGATGTCTGCTGGCCACCATGGTGGGTAGCATGTCGACGAGAGATCTTCACCGGGGGTTTTGTAAGTGTATTTGCCGTTGCCGTAGTGTTGCTTTCGATTAGGCTCTGCCAGCTTCAACCATATAGGAACTAAGGCTTTCAAGGGTTTTGTTGTGAGCTCCTGGAAGCGCTGCTTGAAAAAGTCAATGACTGCATCTAAATCGCCAATACGGAAGGAATAGGTCGGGCAAGTGTCGATGGAAGTTGTAGCCAACGTCGAGCGTTCAACGGTTGTAGAAACCAGTTGCTCATCGGATTGAAGACGGCTGGTACGAGACGGCTTCCACTCGCGATGTTGATCGGATCGCCTCTTCCTTTGTCTGATCGCGTCGTCAGACTGCTGAAGAGCAGATGTTCGAGCAGACGCTTCAGACTGTTGATTTGTCTCCTTGTGATTTCCTTCGTCGGATGCCGCTGTGATGGTCAGTATGCATTGAGAAGTGAGAGGGGTCACGATACTAACCCTTTGACAAGGCCAGCACTGAATCTTCGGACGATTGTTGGAGGCGAGAAAGGGGTACAAAGTGCTGAGCAAGCTCTGCAGGGTTGCAGGCATGCTCAAAGCCAGCGACTGGTGCGAAAGACGTGGTCGAGTCGAGATGGTCACCCAAGCCAACAGGCACCTGAAAGTGGCCGATAGGGATGCCTGTGACTTGAAGGTCCTCAGGGTCCCGAATCAACGGCTCCTGGGTCTTATCCGCATCTTGTTGTCAGCATATACCTACAGGTTGCAGTATTAAGGGCCAGGGTGGTATAAAAGCGCCAAACGGTCGGTGTTTCCGACTCCGCAGCTGAGGGTGAGGAGGACAAGGGCAATTACATGAAGATATAAAAAGAGGCCAGCTCGTGAGAGATAAACTATTGACTTACGCTTGGGCCACAGTCAAGCACTTCCCCCCAGTGCTCATCGTAGAAGCCAGCCGCGCTTGCAGAGGCATCAGCTACTGGAACTTCTTCATTACCACCGCACTTCCTCTGCACGCCTTGCGCGTGTCCTCGTGCCATGTCGGGAGAACAGCGCGCAGCCTGTTGCTCGTTATGTTCGACAGATGTGGGAAACTCCCTATCCAAGCACACGCAACAAGTTCTTGAACAGCCTCAATCTGTATATCCAGGTAGATTGACGGCCTTGTCTGTCTAAAGTCAGAGCTAGCACGTTGCGGGTTTGGGGCGATGAAAATATCATGGAGATGATAGGGGAAAGGGAGATTAGATCGTGATTTTGCTGAGCTGAGCTGAGCATTGCTAGAGGAGCATTTACTCGTGCTGACGTGTTTGATGCTTCTAAAAACTGGCAAGGCAACTTACTTTGGAGGGGAAAATAGGGGTTGGGATAGCAGTCAATAATGCAATACCTATCCTCGAGCGGCAAAACGAGTGTGACCGACAACGAACCGGCTTCCGTGAAGATACCGTAGGGATATCCCTTTCCCTCCAAGGAATTCTCTCTCAGTTGAGGGCGATGAGGGAAAATGGTGTTGTGCAACACGTTGAGGCAGAGTAGGACCAGGAGCCGCTTCAGCCGTCAGTGATTGAAGCGCAACGAAACAGGGCCTCCTGTGCAATGAGTTTGGGGTCCACGTGAAAACAACGCTGGGAACCCGATGTTTTATCAGAGCTGATATAAGTAGAGAGGTCGCTGAGGCCCTTGCGGGGGTTGTATTTAGGCCAGCGAGGTAGATGGGCTCAATCTTGTGGAGAGTTGCAGGTGAGGTCCTGGAAAACAGACAGCTGCAGACTGGCACCGGTCTCCATTTTCATTAGTCTACAGGGAAACCCTGCTAAAGCAAACATGAAATGCCATGACGCCAGGGCTGGGGCCGTAGCCGTTTGAGACGACTGTGAAGGGGGTCCCTCGATCTGAGCAACGAGAGCTCTCAAGCATCTGGGCCGTGGTCGCCAATCAACAACCCTTGAGAAGCCTGGGAAGGCTGGCCGGGGAAACAGAATTGCCTTCCGCGCCCGTACACACTCCCCAGCATTCTGCGCTCTACCCGTTCGCCCCGGGTGCCCGTGCGCGCAGATAATGGGCGGCGAGAGGCGTATGTAGGCGTACATGATGGCTGCGGGTAGGGAAGCACCATACCTATACTGTACCGTACGAAGCTGGAAACCCCTGTCCTCCGGAAACGTCTGGCCCAAATACCGGCGAATATCACAGTATTGACCAAGCCAAGTACCAAGGACAAGTGCTTTGGTGTGGCAACCTTTGCATCCTCTCACCGTTTACTGTATGACACCCGCCGTGCACAAATCTCGCCCAATGCGCGCGCCAACGACGGGAAAAAGAAATGGGTGGGGAGAGGGCGGGGCCAGAGTGAACCTGTCGAGCGACATGCATGCCGTCAAAAGCGTGGAGAGACATGAAGCCTGCGGGCTGCCGCGGAGAGGGAGGGGAGTAAGTGACGGAGACCACTCGTCGAAAGTTACACAGGGGAACGCCGCATACCGCCATGGCACACAGTCGTCTAGCATCTCCCACAACTCCCACGCGTTGCAACCGTCAACAGGTATGAATTTCTCCACCAGCCTGGCTCATGGATGAAACAAATCGAAGTCACTGCTTCTCGCTTACCACGGCTCGAATGGCTGGCTGGGCTCTGCAGCCACCAAAACAAGTCGTTAGGATGTGGTACAGAGTCCACAAGGGATTAACCGGCCCCAGTCGCAGAAGGATGCACAGCAGCAAACTCGCCATGCACCGGTGGGACAAAACAACACATAAGAGAGTGGGGGAAGCGGCACATTGCAAGTTCTCTTTTTCCTGTAAGTGTGGGTGCGACCTGGGCAGGCGTCCTCCGCTAGCGGTCGCCCGGCCTTGTGCTTAATAGTAGTCTCCCCTGTACACGGCAAACCTCCATTCTCCAGGATTCCAGGGCATGGTGGGTGATGGAAGTAGTCATGGTCCCTCAACTGCACTCCCTGCAGCCGGCCCGGCCTACCCCGTGGGCCTTCTCTGGCCGCTCCATCACCCATAAAACCACCCAGGGCTCTTCCAAGAGCCCCGCTCAGAATCATGACTGTGCAACGTCCAGTGCGTTCAGCAGGTTTGCCTCCTTCACCAACTCGTAGAAGAGTCCCCTCTGGCGCACCAGTTCAGCCGGCGTGTCGAACTCAGCAACAGTGCCGCGGTCCAGCACGATGATGCGGTCCGAGTCGAGAATGGTGTTGATCCTGTGAGCAATGGTGATGATCGTACGGTTACGGAACATGCTACTCCTTAACGTGGCCTGGAGCATTGCGTCTGTCTCCACATCCACGGCGGCCTGCATCGGATTCAGCAACAGAAGGGGTAGTAGGTAGCTTCAGAAACACGTACAGTTGCTTCATCGAGTACCAGAATGTTGCTTGGCGCGAGAAGTGCTCGCGCCAACGAAACGAGCTGCCTCTGTCCAGCGCTCAGGTTGGAACCTACAAGCGGAACGGGTCAGTAAAAGAGCATGTCGTCTTTCCATGGCACATTGCCTACCTCCTTCATTCACACGAGCATCCAGCTTCCCTGGCATACTAGCGACGTGATCTTTCAGTCGTGCATGGTCTGTCACGCCATCAGCTGCGCCCATCTGCAATATGCCAGCGGCGTTATGACGTACCTAAAGCGCTCCATAACTCGGTGTCGTCGTGAATGTGGCCAGGATCCAAATTGTCCCGCACACTGCCCTCGAACAAAGCCGCATCTTGGGGGATGATGGCCAGGCGTCTACGAAGGTCCAACAGCCCGATAGTACTAGTGTTTAGGTTGTCAATGCTCACGAAGCCTTCAGATGGCTCGATGATTCGGAATAATGCCAAAGTCAGGGAGCTTTTGCCAGCCCCAGTTCTTCCAACAACACCAACCTTCTCGTGGGCATGGATCTGGAGGTTAATGTTCTTCAAAGCCAGGTCGAGGCCCGGGCGATAACGAGCGCTGTAGTTGTTGAAGGACACTGCGCCCTGGGACGGCCAACTTATGGGCGGTCTGTTCTTGGAGATGATTTCAGGAGCTTCGCTGGGCAGCGCCGCGTATTCAAGGACCCGTTCCACGGAGACAATGTTCGTTTCCACTTCCACCGTCTGCCGTACAATCCAGTTCAGACTCTGTGTAATTTGGAGGGCGTAGGACATGGCCAAGCCGACCCAGCCAGCGGACAAACCGCTCCGGCTAGTGACCGAGATGATGGCAAATCCTGCCGCTGCCAGGATGATGACGGAGCCGATGAACTCCAGTCGGACTGCAAGCCATCTGTTCGCGTTGATCGAAGGGAAATACGCCCTCAAGTTTGCATCTACGCGCCACTCGTTCTCCAGCTCAAATCGCTTCTGCTGGCGATAGGCACGGATTGTGCTCATGCCACTCAGAGACTCCTGGAAATGAGCATAGATGGGGCTGCGACTGACACTGTCAAGACGCTTCAACTCTCTAGATGTCCTCAGGTAGTATCTCTGTATATAGAGGTAGAGCGCAGCGAGGGGTATGATGAGCGTCACAAATATCGGCGCCATTGCAGATATAATCGCCAGGGTGAAAAAGGCTAGAGATGGTCAATAACGCTGTACTTGCACGGGATTTCGAAAGAAGCCACCAACCTCTGGCAGAATTGACGAATAACATGTTGAATGTTCTGGCCAAGACTTCATCCACCTTGTAGATGTCACTGCAATAACGTCAGCTGGGGTTTTCAGGACACAGAGACAGTTCTAGACCCAATCCCTCCACAAGAAAGCGGCGGGGCAGGTTGCTGTCCACGCAGGGAGATGGAACGAGCATACCTGGAAAAGCGGTTGAGAATGCGTCCCGCGGGGGTCGTTTCAAAGAAGCTCATTGGAGAGCGGAAGATGGCAAACGCCATCCGCTCATGGAGCTTTCTGCTTGCCTGGCCAGCAAATCAGCATCCATTCGCTTTAAGCATACTTCATCCACGAAACACTGGGCCGGGTGCACGCTTACCTCGATCGAACAGAAGATCCACAGTATGAGCGTCTGGAAAACGACGAGAGCAGCGGATCCGACACCAAAGGCAAAGTACACGCCGATGAACTTGCCGACATGAGGGTTGCTCCCGTACTTCTGATTGGTGTCCGACCACTTCTTGAGCCACACACTGCCGCCTACAAGATCTCAGTAGCCGCTCTGGAGAACGATATCCAACACCTACCAACTGATGCTGTTTGGGCGCCGATCAGGAGCGCAAGGTAGATGGCAACGGCCGCCAGATTGCTAGTCTTCGCATACTCCTTGTAGACAGACCACTTTACTTTACCCTGCTCAGAGAATTCCTTGGTTTGTTTGCTCTTCAATCCGCCTTCTTCGTCGAGCGTCTTGCCGCGAGGCCCCTTGAAACTGGCGGTGCTCGCGCGGCGGAGCGTATGGAAGCTGGAATTACGGGCCCTCCCGTTCCCTGCGGTCAAGGGTGCCAGCTGAGCAATGTTCTCTTGCGCGGCTTCAGCGTCCTCACGGTTTTGTCCTTCGTCGGAAGTTGGGCTGGTGCCGTAGATGGTGTTTTCCTCATCACTCATGACGCTTTCGGAGGCCTTGCTCTCGGATTCCGACTGATCTTCCGCCTGTGAAGCTCTGATAAGATTTGCAATCTCCCCCTTCATGGCCATGAGTTGGCCGTAAGTGCCTCTCTCGATGATCCTACCATCTCGCAGGAGAGATATCATGTCAGCTTCCATGAGGACGGGTATAGAATTGGTGGCAAGGATTCGCGTTTTCCCAGCCAATATCCCTTTCGGGCCAAACACGTTGTCGATCAAATGGCGGCCAACATGCTGGTCCACTGCAGATAAACAATCATCGAGGAGGTAGACATCAGCGCGAGCATAAACAGCTCTGGCGAGGGTGAGTCTAGCTTTTTGACCCCCAGATAGAGAGATCCCGCGTTCACCCACCTCCGTTTGATCGCCATCAGGCAGAGATGCAAAATCATCGCGGAGAGCGCAAGCCTTGACAGTCCTCTCGTAGAATTGTGGATCCCATCGATGGCCAAAGACGATGTTCTCACGCACAGAGGCATTCATAACCCAGGCCTGTTGTGGAACATAAGCAGTCCTTCCCCGTACGACGACTTCGCCCCTGATCTTCCATAGATCACCAAGGACTGCCTGCAGTAGGGAGGACTTGCCCGAGCCTACGCGACCCACAATACAGCACAACTCTCCCTTATGTGCCGAAAAGTTAATATCTTGCAGAGCCAGACGCTCCTCGTTTTTGTTCCAAGTGAAAGCGGCCTCACGAATACGGACAGTTTCATCACCGACTTCAACATCGCCGTCCTCGCGAAGAACCGCATCGTCCTGCAGTTCCTCGGCGAGGAAAAAACTGGTGATGCGGCCAACTGCCACGCTTGCTTCTACTATCGAAGTAATCACCATCGGGAGGATCGCCAGCGGGAACGTTAGAAGATTGAACAGGGTAAGAGCCGGAAACACGATGTCAGTCGTCAATGGCTTGTCCTGGGTGAAGACGAAGACGGCAAAGGTTGAGCAAGATACCAAAAATGGGGTCGTGGACCACGTGAACTGTGAGAATGCCTGCGCGGCTCCGATCTTTCGCAGTGTTCTCAGTTCCTGGTCGTTGCGGATATGGTTAAGCTTGTTGATGAAGGCAGTCGTCCACGCGTATAGCTTGATGGACTTCATGTTGTTCAAGATTTCCGTCATAAGTCTCGTCCTTGCGTCCTTATTCTGCATCTGCTCTTTCTGAAGCGTCTTCATGAACCGCGCAATCCACCCATTGACCGGAATCATGATGATCATGGCGCCGACACCAGCGAACATGCTGTATCCTAGCAACTGATACAAGGAAAGCATGCAAAGGATGATTTGGAAGGGAGCGGACCATAACTGTTGCCCATATTGGGCTAGATCGTGCAGACGCTGCGTATCCACAGCCATGTAATTAACAATGTCTCCGGTCGATTTGGTTGCTCTCCCCTCATTTGAGAGGCGGGTAGCTTTGGCATAGATAGCCGCAGTCAGCGCAGATTTGATTCGCATTCCCGTCTCGAAGGCACGTTGAAAGTACTGGTGCAGACATGCCGTCTGTGTAACCGAGACGGCGAACATGGAGAGAGCGATGGCTGCACCCCGCGCGACGGGTTGGGGGTGGTCGGTGTCGTACGACGCCACAAACTTGATTAAGAGCCTGAGCAACTGGGGCTGAGCGAAGTAGAGAACGTCGCTTGCGGTTTTGATGACACCTCCTCGGATGTATGGTCCACCAAACGCGCGAAACAGTGCTAGCCATAGCGACGGGTGCTTCTTCTTCACCTCTTGCCGCCACGCTTTTTCGAATGAGGTAGCGGTTGCCTTGGTGGTGTCGCGTTTTCTGAGGTTCCACAGATCGTCCTGAGTAAGGAAGGTTTTGTAACCGCGCTTCATCAGCGGAGTCATCCAGCTAAAGGTCAATACACTGAAGACGTTTGCATACTCGTAAGGGCACTCGTCATCGTCTCCAAGCGCGTCGTAGTCACTCAACCGCTTCTGCACCAGCCACTCGAGGAGGAACTCTACGGCCGCCAGCCCTACACCGACCGTGAAAACGACGAAGTAGGCTACATGGGTGCGGTGCAGTTGCTGGGACACCAGCGAACGCAATTTGACCCCTTCGGCGATCAAGAAGAGTAACCAGTAGAAGAGGACAACGCCATTAGCGTTCCTCGATCTCCAGTGCTCAGTATATTGGACGTAGAAGATGACAGAAAGGGAGAGTATTGTGAGGATCGTAGTCCAGAACCTGAAATCGCCGGCCCAGACGCCCGGATAGTATTCAATTTGAAGCGCGGCTTGCAAAGCGACGGTCACGACAAGGGCTTCAATAGCGGCCTAACATGACTCTTGTCAGTATGTAATCTCTAGGTTCCCCGTGCAAACTGCATACCAGCTTTGCGTAGAAATGCCAATTCTTCTTGACTGGTTGACTCGAACACTTGTTGAACAGATACCACAAAGCAGCAACGCCTCCGACGATGCCAAACACGGCCACGACAGCTATCCAGACATCGAGGAAGCATGGTGTGAAATCGAACCGGTCAGGGCTCAGTGGGCCCCATCCTTCACTGTTACCGCATAATGGCTGGCGATTGTCACTCGATGCTGCGAGATAGCCGCGGGTCAACGGGGTCAGAGGCTGCAGCGGGATTTGCGATTCACGCATTGATCGAGAGGCAGTCGCGGAGGCCTTTGCTCTGTATTTGCAGAGTGAAGGCGAACAATTGGGATGGAAAGTTGGAGCTCCCGAGGTCGTTGACGTCTGCTAGAGGCACTAAACTTTTAGCGACATGAGGATGAGTAATCGCTGCTGACTAACCGATGAACTCAGCTCGGTCCGTCCTGGGCCAACTCAGAAGTATCTAAGTACGACATACCGACACCGACAACGGGCGGGAGTGGGAGATTCTGTGCATCTGGCGGCCTGTTCGCGCCCCACAGTGAGGACGGTCCTTTCCGAGCACACGGCAGCCCGAGGTCACGTGTTCGGCCACTCGGGTTCTCAGGTTCAATCACAATCGCTTTCTGCTCGGAGGGACCAGAGGGACCACGCATATCGATATCCCACGCAGGTCCGCAAGGCGTCCTTGTTTCGCCATTGCCATGTATAAAGCAAGAGGTGCCCTGGCTCCTCTGCTGTTGTCATCTTTCAAGATGCTTCCCTACCTCGACTGTCCAGCTCCAGGTGTCTCGCTGATACTCAACACCAGACCCTCGATGAGCTTAGTCACTGGACTTCACTCCATCTCGACAGCGACCCTCTTGTGAGCCCCCTCCACAGTCCGCTCGGCACCCTTCTATTTGGTTGGCCACTCGACACGACCTGTTGGACCCCATCACCCTTAAGCCCCGAGCCAAACCTTTTGGGACGAGACAAGGACGACACCATCCCAGAAAGGAGCAGGTCAAGATTGAATTGGGGTATGACCTACCGTCGATGGATACCGTGTGCACTGGGATTTCCCCCAAGCCTCCTCTCACCCCAGAGAAACTTTCATCTCCTGGTCACAGATTGATTCGGAGGAAGCCACAAAATCGAGCCCCCACGACAACCATGGCGAAAATCAGCAGGTGTTGCCGGAGCGCCCAATGCACGTCACCAGCAACTCCATGGTCATCCGAACCCAATCACAACGGCGTCCAATGGTAACTGGGAGTGGAGGAAGCGACCAAGAACACGGCTTGCATCCGTACTAACATATCGATTCGCATCCAAGCAAGGACCGCATTTTGCATGGATCACTCGCCGACGTACGGAGTACTCACAGGTTCCTCGCCGACCATCAGCTGGCTAGCCAACTTCGTGCATGCAGCCAAGCCATCAGATCACAGATCGAGTCCCTGCCACCGATCAACACTCCTGACATCCTGGTAACACAGCAGGGCTACCGCCACGGAACCGTAATACGAGAAGATCAACAATCCCAAACTCAATGTCACATCTCATCGCGATAGCATCTCGCCAAGGTGCATCTCGTTACTAGTATGCATTGTTACGAGTAAAAATCATCGGTCACTCTTCCTGCACACGTTCCTGATGTCTCATCCAAGTCTTGGGAAATCTCCGCGAAGGGGCGAGGCCGGCTGCTTGCTATATTATTGTCTACATGTCCACTACCTCCCGCCATGGTTGCTATATTATCTTATAATAAAATTGAAAGGTCAATCATCCTACCCCAGGCAAAGTATTCACTCCATCGTTAATCTTACCAACGCCACTCTCCGCCCTTCGGTGCGCTAGAAGAAACGCTTCAGAAACACTCCTCTGGGAAGAAGAGTGCCCAATGGCGCCATCTTTAGCCTTACTTTCTGTTCTCAAGAGCTTGTTGATAATCCACAGTAACATAGATAGACACTGTGTTTGAAACCCTGATAAGTGCTTGTAAACAGCCATCTTAGATCAGCAGAAATGATAGGTCGTGTCCCAACAACCCATGTTTAACAGAGTCCTGTTTACGAGTGCTATCAAGTACATGTAGATTTCACTGGAAGTCTAAGAAATGTATAGTTTAAATCATGGAGAATCGCAGCGGCGAATGGTTTTAGTTTCCGCGTCGATGACTGTTTTAGCAATAATCAGATTAAATCCAGATATCCGAGCTAGTTACTAGAAGGAAGCATACACGCGGGTAACCAGTGCGTTCGTTCTCGCTCTAGGCTGTCATGTAGGATAAACTCATAGGGATAAGGGATGAAATGTCGAAGAAGATTTGCGTAAGGGGGTCTTAAGACAGTGTAGTTTCTATCGACTAAGCAACGACGACTAACTTGATGGCGAGGAGAGTCTAGCTAGGGTCCTTGATCGTATGTATAATACGAGTATCTAGAGTATAGCATGACCAAAACAGAACTATTGTCTTGAATGTTTTTGCTAAAGTCTTGCCTAGAAGGGGTTACCCTGCTCAACGTAGAAGAAGCGTACTCATGTAACTCTCCTACTTGACTCAAGGAAGTTGGCCGCTTAATATTGTGACCCTTTATCGGCTCAACGTTTGAATGCAGCTTTCTCGTAGCGAGGTGTCGTGTCCCTCCTGCATTTTGGATAGAACGCAACAACTAAAGAGAGCAATTCCTAGAGAAAGCGTCTGCCACCGGTCTCAGGTCTCGCACCAACCCTCACGGAACCTACTTCCACACGAAAACCATTTGCATACAACCTCACAAAAATGACAAAAGACCACTGAGTCTGTCAATAGAAGAGATGCTGCTGGGTTGTCATATAGGTGTTGACCAGTATGTAAATGCCATCGGATGAACAGGTGCCCAGCTTCTCTGTGAGGACAGCGGAGTCCCCGATATCAACACTCGCAGAAGAAGAACACAACAAGAAGCTCCAAGTGTAATGCACGTCGGATCAAAACACTCCCGTAATCTCATTGTTGGCGGCTGACTCATGGTCAGCATCGCCGGAGAATGACATTGATGCTTGTAAGTGGTTTAATCACACAAAGGCGATTCGATTCCGAAAGCTTCCACCCTAAGTCATGCACCGGTCATGCAAGTCCGTCATAAAATGCCATTATCACAAGCCATGACCATGATATCATGACCGGGTACGCCAGTAACCCGACTTAGGACTGCCCGCCATATGTGGCCTCTATCGCATCTGCACAGCTGGGAAGAAGCGTGGGCCAGAGTATCCATAGAATTGGACACTCTCGATATCGATATTCCCGTCGTGAGTCGGACTCCAGAACTTCAGCAGAACAAACCTTCCCGAGCTGATAATGCTGTCAACCCCTGGCGACTAAACAGATGGACCAGAAATGCACGAAAAGATACTTACACGGCCGGATGGAATTTGATGGTGATTTTGCTCTTATGCTTCGCGATGAAGAACTTTGCATGGGGAGTAATCAATGGCTTATCGTTCGACGGCGGCTCCTTAGGCTCGATACGGCTCGGAGTCAGTCGTTGTCGAGCACGAATGGGCTGTTCGCACTCTCGTTCGCGGCGCCAGTGACCACGCCGAAATCCATAATCCCCGGGTGTCCATGCAAACCGGCGGGGCGGGTGATGGTCCTCTTCTTCGTCGTCACTTTCTAAACGCCACCGCGTCTCACGTCTTAGTCTGTCGGCCATGACATTTGCTTCTGTTGTTTCTTCATTCTCGTCTGATTCTTCCTCACTCTCCGTGGTAATGGTGAAGGGAGGCGGTGTAGGTGCAGAGACTGCAGCTATCCCGTTATATGAGTCCTCGTCCACATCGTCACCGGAGTCACCAAAGTCGACCAGATGGTGTGGATGATCTTCAACACGGCCTCTTTCCCTGCAGGTGGTTAGTTCCGACTCCTTAGTTCATTGTTCACATGACGAAATATCACCTCGTGCGGTCAGTAGGAGCATCGTCCCCGTTTCTGGCTTGACTCTGTTCGAGGATATACGGATCTGCCATGGCCTCTGTGAGTGACAACAACTGCTCGCCAGTGGAAGGACGAGATGAGGATTGACTTTCAGAAGGTGCAGGAGACGGTGACGAGTATTCAATCTCGTAACTGGAGGTACCGGAGAGTATGTCATCGGATGACATTGCGACAAAGACCAAACCCTCTTGCACACTGAGTGTTGTTAGATTCGACGTCTCCAATAACATGTAGGAAACATACGGGGCGGTGAAACCTCGATCCGGGGCCCGTATAACGACCTTTTCCAGAGAGAAAGGCGCCTCTCCAATATGCTTCAACAACAGGTTGCATGACGATCGCTCACTACAATATACGCTCTTGTCATTTTTCAACACGTTCTGGATGGGGTATAGCCCATAAGGAGTGCTCTTTTGATACTCTCCTCCATCGCAGCTCACGATTTCCATCTTCAGGCGACCAGGAACCACCTGGCCTCTATAACCATACCTAAAGCCATCCCACGGTGACACCTGATGTGTGCCATGCTCAAGCCTCCTCCGCTTGGCAGTTCGCGAAGGGACATGTGGCTCGTCCCAAGGGCTGCGACGGCCGGCGCCAGATGACGAGGGGCCGACATCCCAGAGGCTACGACGACGCCCACCGGGCGGTAAGGGCATATCGCTCAAAGTGTCTAGAAGATCTGCCGCATCCATGTCCACGTCCGCCGAGCGTTCCGCTTGCAGTCTTGCACGGGAGCGGTGAAGGTATCGCGAGAAGCGGGTCATATTTCGGGGTTGAACATCTCCAGGAGGTTGAAGGGCCGGGAGGTCATCCACAGGTTCCTCTCGGTCCTGACCGTCACTCTCAGCAGCATACGAAGGTGGGAAGCGGCTACGGGTTGTTGCTGTTCGTGGGGGTGGCATCTGATTCTCCTCACTGAAGGCTACGGCGGTCTGTGCTTCTGTATGCCCCGTGGCTTCAGCTTCACTTCCGGTGTCCAACCGACCCGTTCTCGGAGTCCGGACAGCAGACGTTGGAGCCGGAGGGTAATCGAAGTTGCCGTCAAAATAAGTGAAGCGTCTGCGGGGAGGTGACGGAGCTGTTGAATCGGTCGGTACGGTCGGCATGAAGGATGACGTATGCTGTCATGGAGCGATCCTGGGGATCGAGCGAGGATGTATCGAAGGCGCTTTCCGGTGGTACTATATCGGTAAGGGTCGACGCTTGGAGGGTAGATTTCGAGGCAAAGAGGGGGAATAGATGGTGAAGTCGACGTCGAGGTCGTCGTCGGACGTTTGGCGGTGGAGAGCGATTGGGTGAACAGCCCCGCGTGGGGAAGGTGCACGGACCATGATCGACTTGTCAGGTACGAAGTTACCCTGGCGAAGCTTGTGGAAAGACATCACCGCCATCGGGTGAAACTTTCACCAACAACATCGTGATTCTCCCAACATCTCCCATTACATCCACATCTACGAGTACGCATTCTTACACATAAAGCCGCAATGGTAGACCAAGCTGCGTCTTCGTTTTCGGCGAATGGCCCGCCAGACCCTACGACAACAGCTTTCCCAGGCACAGATGCTGCGGGTGAGACTGTAGCCGCAATAGCTCAGGCAGAGACCATCAGCGCGGGTGAGAGTTACAATTGCCCGATATTAGACTCCTCTAATGACTACCGCCAGACGAAATCGCTCTGTATGACCGGCAGATCCGACTTTGGGGTGTCCAAGCGCAGGAAAAGTAGGGCGACCTCTCGGAAACATGTATGTGAGATGGAAAGCTAATAACCTTAAAGGATACGCACTGCAAACATCCTTCTCGTCTCGATTAAGGCGCTCGCGAACGAAGTAGCTAAGAACCTTGTACTCGCCGGCATAGGGTCGATCACACTAGCAGACCACGAAGTGGTGAAGGAGGAGGATCTGGGTGCGCAATTCCTCATATCGGAGGCAGACATAGGGAAAAACGTAAGTGGAAGCTATTTTGATTCCCTCCTGTCAAACTAACGATTAGCAGCGTGCCGAAGCTGCAGCATCAGAGTTACAGAAGCTTAATCCGCGTGTAAAAGTCAACGTCATTACTCGCGATGTGCGAAACGAGCAGGACATGGCTTTCTACTCCGCCTACGACATCATAATAGCAACGGACCTTGACTTCCTCTCCCTCAGCGCGTTGGACTCAGGAGCTCGTTTAGCCCACAGACCGTTCTATGCAGGAGGCTCACATGGGATGTACGGCTTCATATTCGCGGATTTAGGGAGCCATGATTTTGTGGTCGAACGCGAAGTATCGAACATAGCGACGCGGATTGGACCAGAAACCGCGACTCGGTCGGTCTTAGCAACGAAGTCAAAAAAGGAGAGCGGGAAAGTAATCGAGATGGTTACCAAGCGCGAGTTATATTCCCCCTTACTGCTCGTCAACACTTCGCCCCTCCCACCAGACATGCAGAAACATCCCAGGAGGCTGCGGAAGGTGCATCCTCTGCTCACCTGCGTCCGCGCCCTGTGGGAGTACCAGAGAAACGGTCACGGCACCCTACCCTCGGATTCCGATCTCCAGCTATTCACACAAATCGCAATGGAGAAACACAAGGAACTGCTTCTTCCAGCTGACACCCTGAAATCTGACTTCCTCCGGAGCTTTTTACAAAACCTTGGTAGCGAGCTAAGCCCCGTCACCGCCTTCTTGGGAGGTCAACTGGCGCAGGATGTCATTAATGTTCTAGGGCAGCGTATGCAGCCTATTCAGAATCTGATGCTCTTCGATGGGGAGACCTTCCAGGGACCGGTGTACGCTCTGCACCCCATTTTCCAGGACGATCCGCTTCCTTCGGCGATAGAACAGCCGGAGACGACGCTCGTGGTTGGCTGAACCTCGAAGGACAGCTGCCTTTCACGGCGGTGTCGTGATGGACTGGGCCAAAGCTACGACCGACCTAGTGAGCATAGGAAAGTAGTGCGTATGGAAGATGATGTGATCATTACCGAGCTTTCGCGGGAGTCATGGATACGATCTTTGGGTTTGACTTGTATAATAGTGGGATAGAAAAGGTATACCCCGGATGCATTGTGCGGTAACAAGCATCAATTGATCATATTCGCACATCGGATTGCATAAGTCAACAACCCCATAAACCATGAAACCTTGAAACCCGTTACCGTACGATGCAACAGCTAGCTTTTCTTCCACCCATCTACCTTTCCTTTCCTCTACCTCTTCACTGCTTCTTCTTCTCCCGCGCAACACTTCTCGTTGCCTTTCCACTCCCACCCCAAAATAAAACCCAGCAAATTCCCAAAAACGCCAGCACCACTGCTCCCACAGTCCCCACCTCCACCCACCTCGCGCCCCTAAGATCCAAAACAGGGACATCGATCCACTCCACCAACTTCCCATTCCCATCCCCACCGCTGCTGATAGCAGGAGGAACATGCACGAATCGCGTGCGCACGCCGAACAAACCCTCGAAGCCCAGATGCCGTCTATCAAAGGGATTCGATGACATCTTGGTCCCCTCCTCCGCGTTGCAGGCCCAGAAGACAATGGGCCAGGGGACGGGGACGCGCGTGTGCGAGGCGTTTTGGGCGGGGAGGTAGCGCAGGTGGAGGGGGATGGTGACGTTGAGGTGGGTATTCTGCTTCTTATTCTGTGGAAATTTTGCAGCTTCACCTTGCGACGGGACGGAAGAAGAGACACTGGGAGGAATTGCGATCTCGAATAAGGCCGCACTGCCCCAGGCACCGATTACCCAGTCCGGGGCTTCGAGGTCCGTGGCACCGGATAGACTGCGCAGACCGGCGATGTTGTGCGCGGAGAGGAAGACGGGGTCGTCGCGGAAGGGGTAGCGGTCGAGGAAGAGGTAGGACGGGAGGGTGAGGTAGGTGTGGAGTTTGCACGTCTCTGCTGGTGGTTGGAGGTGGCGGGTGGGGAGAGTGATGATCAAGGTGGGATGCAGGCCTGTTGGGTGTTGGAAGGAGGTGGTGTACGTTTGTTTGGAGTGGGTTGCTGGGAGAGGGTAGTGGCGGGTGGGAGTTTGGAAGCGTGTCGGCTCTGAAAAGCATTAGTATGATTGCAGAGAAGTGATACCAAGGTGGCTACTGTAAAGCTATGGTACGTACTAGGCTTCGTGTCTTGGCCCAAGACAGTCAAAAAGCCGGAGAAAGCGATGTCCTCGGGATCTGGATTCGTCTCATGGTTCAGCACACCAATCTCAATCGTGTCCTGTCCGCCGGGCAGATGCGTCGTTTCCGACCAGCCGGAAGATCTGGGCGCTCTCGCCCAAAAGGCGTTGAGAATTATGGCGTGGGATATGGCATCATAGTCGATGTCGATATACGACGCCCAGTTCAAGGAGGCGGCTGCTGCCTTGCAGGGTGTTGATGAAGGCGGGCATATTCTTTCTGCGACGTACTGTGCGAAATGTGCTGAAGAACGAACATAGGCATAGAACTGCGAAGATGCGGACACGGAGAAGCGTTCAGAGAGTATGGGGAGCTTGGTAAATGCTTCCTGGGGGTCGTCGCATGATATCTCCTGACCGAAGACTTCCCTCAGAAGAGCACAGATTGGGCCTCTGAACGGAGCATAGCACGTTAGAAAGGCGTTGAATCACAGGCAATATCTGGGGAACTAACTCAGATTTGTCTTCCTGAGGCGTGAAGAATACATGCAGGCCAGGAGACACACGGGAGGTAAATGGTGGGGGAGCCGAGTAAGGGGTTTCTGATGCCCAGCGAATATGCAGCTCGTGCCATTGCTCAAACGCTTTGCGCAACTACAAGTCATATCAGCTTCCCCTTCCAAAGTTGAATATAATAAGATTGATTTAAATGTACCTCCGACGGAAGCTCACTCAACGCCAATGTGAGGCGGTGTTCCTTCGCAGCCTTCAAATCCCTCACCGAAAGACTTGCACTTTCCACCTCCAGCAAGTCTGGATGGAAGTCATCCGGATTCGGGACAAGATATGTTATTCGCTGCTTCATAATGCGTGTTGATCGATGATGGTACACAGTGTCTCCGTGAGAGGAGCATGTGAGGTTGGCCCTACCCCTGCTTGAATCTAACCACACCCGGTTAGCGGCCTGCGCTCCACATGATAGTGACGTAACCACAAATCAGGTCTTCATGGTCTGGCCGTCCACCATCCGTTGCCATGCGGCCATTTGCCTCCCGAATCTCAACACCACACCGTGTCCTTTCCGTTTCGCTTCTCTCATGGACGGTCGTCCACCCTAATCACCCATTACTCTCATTCTTCCATATCCTTTCCAAACCGCCATCTGCATTTCTCCGGCAAACACAAAATGCACCCCATCTCCCTCCTCTCCCTCCTCCTCTTCTCCTCCGCCCTCCCGACCCCCGCCTCGGCCCTCCGCTCCTCCAACGCCCAGAAAATAAAACTCTCCAATGTCCAAAGCCTCACCCTCCGAAAAGACAAAATGACGTCCCACCGCCGCGTCCCCGCCATCCCCCAACTCCGCTGCGTCGGCGGCTCCGCCAAAGGCCTCTACGAGGTCGACATCATGCGCTGCAAGAACGAAGGGTCCGACTATGCGAGCGAGGATATCCAGTGGGCGTGTACGGCGTCGCTGCCTGAGGAGTTTAAGCTGGGTTCTACGGATGTGATTTGCGAAGGGTATGATTCTCCCGATGATGAGTATGTGCTCAAGGGGAGTTGTGGGGTCGAGTATCGGTTGGTCTTGACGGAGAAGGGGAGGGAGAAGTATGGTGGAGGTCATAAGGGGGGCTGGTGGGGTGATGATGATGATGACCGGTATGATGGGCCGAAGACATTTGGGGAGAGGGTCGCGAATGCCGTGTTTTGGATGGTGTTTTTAGGCGTCGCGGGGTGGATTGTATATTCGGCCTTCATTGGGTGGGCGAGGGGACGAGGTGTGAACGATCCCGGAGTATATCGTCCTGGATGGGGCGGCGGAGGAGGTGGAGGCGGAGGCTGGGGCGGACCGGACGACCCTCCACCTCCGTACGATTGGCAGCCTCCTCGGAACAACCGCAAACCTGGCTATGGGTCGACCGAAAGTTGGAGGCCTGGATTCTGGTCGGGTGCACTAGGAGGAGCGGCGGCTGGATATGCGGCTGCTCGCGCTGCAAACAGGAATAATACCGGCTCGGGGTGGGGGTTTGGAAACAGTAACAGTCGCTGGGGCGGATATGATAATGGGGAGGGGAGCTCGAGGTCGAGGGCGTCGTCCAGCTCTCCGAGCCATTCGTCGACGAGGCATGAAAGTACTGGGTTTGGCTCGACGTCGCGGAGATAGAGATGCATGGTGATATTTTCCCGTGGTTCAAAGAATGATACCCTGTTTATGTGCTTTTGCAATGACGTATGCAATGTACTTTTGAATGTATTGGAACACTGTAAAAGAATATGACTAGCTGGTACGGAACCTTCGATAGTCGTAACTGTGAAAGTGACATCCTCCTACCTAAGGCATCGGATTACTTATCCACCGCTGACTAGCGCTGAAGGGGGAACCCAAACCATGACCCTCGTCACCATGAAGCTCAAAACAGCTCGACGCCAAACCCCTTAACCAACCCAGTGAAACAGTACCACGATAAATACACGCACTATTCAATTTCCGCCGCTGATGGACGTTTCCTTTGATCTCCACGGAATATCCTCCGCCGACACCTTAACGCATGTGAGATACCCGATTCCGTTTGTGTCTGGATCGATCATCAGCTCGTTCGCGCCGACCTTCTCGACAATGTGCGAAGCATAAGCTTTTAGACTCTTGAGGTCCTCTGCTAGATCGTCCCATTCGGTGAGCATGATTTTCCTGCAGGAGTCGCGGATCTCCGGGTAGTCCAGGTATGCGGAGCCGCCGGCAAGGATCTTACGGTAGCATGTTCCCCGTTTCTTCCGCTCCAGTGCGCGCAGGCCATTCGCAATAGCATCTCGGAAGAGCTGCACGATCATCCACGTCTCCCTCTGGCTTCGGTCCTCGCATGGGACCGGTTTTCTATCCTGGCCGACAATGGTGACCATCAGCAAGTCGCGGTCGACATCAACGCACATACGATCCAGCTCTGCAGCTTTCTGTGCAATCAGATGCTGAATCTCGGGTGGAAGTACGCTCTTGGGACGCCAAGGCCACCGAGGATGAGCTCCGACAAGATGAACTAAACTCTCCGTATATATGCTGTCGTCCTCCAAGGCTATAGATAGTTTTAGCCACCGTGGCGGGTTCCGCTTGATGGCAAGGAAGAGCTTTTGTCTATGTTGGCCAAGAGCATCCCTCAGGAAAGGGCGCAGAAGGTGGAGGCAGCCGAGCTCTGCAGCAATATTGGTAAGGCCTTCCGCTTCGCGTAGCGCAATTTCAATGTGCGTTTTGTCGATCGTGGGATGGACACTGTAGAATGCTCCAAGGACCTGGTAATAGAAGTCCATCGCAGAAGGGGAACCGAGGGTTCGTCTGGTAACGGATGAGGAATCTGGGACACTAGAAGAGCGCTGGAACAGCGAAGGAATACTGTTCTTCCCTTCCTCCAACTTGATTTGCACTTCAGCGGTCGCTTCCCTCCTGAGATCATGGATAATAGGACGGTCTCCGATTGCAGTTTGCCGCGAGAGCGTGGCGCGCCCTCCAAGTTCTTCAAGCGTGTATGCATACCATGCAGGTGAGAGCGCGTCTTCATCTTGCTCTTGGAAACTCTTTGCGAACCAAGGGGAATGATGGGCTAGGATGGCGCTATGTAGCTGGAACGCAGTGGCCCCGGTGGACGTGGAGCTGGATTTGCTCGAGATGACAACATTGCCACTGCGAAACAGTGGAAACGCAACAGGGCTGTTGTACGGAACCAGCTCTCGCGAAGGGGCTGAAGCTAGGGTTAGTTGTTGTTGTGGCTGAGAGGGAATCTGAACTCATTGTCAGCGACGGCCACTCAACACCGTGCGGTCCATACGCACAGCTGCATCGTTCGAAACCGATTTCGGAGACACACGAGCATCAGGCATTGCTGATTGTCTGGTCCAAGGTGATGGGCCAGCGATAGAGAGAAGATTCGCCTCTGCGTGAGCAGGCGTAGCTCCTGAATGTGCATGTCGTGATGATGGCTGGGCTTGCGGCTCGTTTCTGCTTTCATCAGGGCCTCCGCCTGTGGAGACTGGGGTCAGCGGCGTAGGTGACGCATGAGACGAGCGCTGGATGATCCGATTGACGGTCAGCTCTTCCTCTTCCAAGCCGCGTTGGGATGAAATGTCTGAGTGAGACTCTGTGCCGGTGGCAGATTGAGACGACGCGTCGTGGGTTGATGTGTCGGAGTGAGATTGAAATGAGACTTCCGACGGCGCAATTGAGGCTTGCCGCTTGCGAGCAACTGGAGAGGATTCGGAGAGGTGTCTTTTGGTCATGATGCCAGGTGAGAGAGCTGGAAGGTTCGCAGTAGGAAGCGCGCAAGCGCAAGAGAGGGAAAGAGGAGGACGGATGGATATGTTTCGGCAGTCAAGAAGAAGTAGAGCCTCTGGTTAGAAGCGGACCTGAACTTGACTAGCCAAGAATGTGGAAGTAGTAGAGGAAGCCTTCGCCACTAAAGTTGCGCCTTCAGTGCGGAAGAACGGAGGTAGAGAAAGAGGAATATGAGTGAGAAGTAGACGAAGAGGACTGTGAGAAGAGAAGTGTGGGAAGAGAAGTGTGGGGATGGTGTTAAACGACGTCACTACTGTTGTAGGATGTCCTCCTACTGGCGGTGTAGATATTCCCAGCCGCGTAGGCCGCGATGAAACCATGACCTACAAGCACTCATCCCAAATCGATATTGCCCGGAAAGTGTAAAGTGCTGAGAGTCGACTCTAGGGTTGACTGGCTTGCCGAAGGAATCGAACTCCCGGTTTGGGACGATGTTCATCCATCTTCTGCCAAAGAGGCCAGTCTTGCAGAACCAGATCTCACCACGATGGGCAATTGCGAGGCTCGATGGTAAAGTAGGTAAAGCTTGGACTGGATCGTGAATGGCAATCCGCGATGCCGATGGAGGCATGGTGACCAGCGAAGAGGGTAGTCTATGGGTCCGACGCATTGCCTTCACCGGATTTAAATGGCGAAGCCATTTAGAAGTAAGAAAAGCAAGTCACCCAAAAGCTGACTTGGTAAGACCGCACGAAGCAGCCGGAAAACGCCCTCTGCACTTGAGCACACAGGCAAAACGCCGCCTACACAAGGTAGACAGCAACGCCCTCCGCACAGCAGACAGGCAACGCCCTCCGCACTGAGGCAGATGGGCAAATTGGGGAAAGCAACAAGTTGGTGACAGGTTGTTGATCTGGTGAGGTAAGAAAGTAAGGAGTTCGGCCAAGCCGGGTTCCAGGGGTTCCCTGTCCTTGGCGCACGTGAGTAGATCGGGCTCGACATCGGCTGGAGTTTCCAAGGTTGCATGGCACCTGGCAACGGGAGACTTCCAAGGTTCAGCCGTGGGAGGGGCGGAAGGGGCGAGCAGAACAAAAAGCTGGCAAGTCCCCGCCAGCCTGCTTTGCACAGGGCTGCAAACATCATACGATCCTTTCCCTCCCCCCAGGCGCTCCTCCAACCAGCAAAGTCCTGCCCCTGAATACACAGGACTGTGTAATCTCACAGAGCCCACAGGCCCTGGTCCGGCACTCGTGGACTGCTGCCCAGGTGGACCATGACCATGACGATGACTGCCGACTCTACCACTACTACTACCACTATCAACACCACCACCCACACCAACACCAACACCACCACCACCGTCACCGATGACCGCCTGTCACTGGAATTCTTCCGCCACACGCCCATCTGCACCATCATCCTAGATGCCTCGCTCGTCATCCGTCAGGTCTCGGACAGTTTCCTCGACATCGCGGGCCTTGGCAGCCCAACCGACGCACTGGGTCTTCACTTTGACGATTTCGTTGACCGCGTCGCCGCCCTGCCCACCCTCGTCAGCGCACGCAAACCTCTGAGGAACGCTCAGGAAACGCTACGGCCTTCCGAACTGAAGCACCTCGATGTGCCCGACGGCAGCGCTTGGAACATTCGCATAGTCCCCATCCTTCGCCATGCTTCTCTGCGCTACCTCCAAATGGAGCTCACAGATGTCACAACCGAGCATCAGAGGCAGCTGGACCTCGAGGAACGCCTCTACACAAACGAAACTTTCCGTATCCTGGTCGAGACGGTCAAGGATTACGCCATCTTCATGCTCGATCCCAACGGAAACATAGCGACGTGGAATGCCGGTGCACAGCGCTTCAAAGGTTACAAGAAGGAGGAGATCATTGGGAAGCACTTCTCCAACTTCTACTCCCAAGAAGACCGCGACATTGACAAGCCAGGGAGAGAGCTGGCTGATGCACTCCGTGACGGCCGCGTCGAAGACGAGGGATGGCGCTATCGAAAAGACGGCTCCAAGTTTTGGTACCCCACCCGCCTCTCACTATTTCCATGCGGCTTGCTAACAACCATCCAAGGGCCAATGTCATCATCACTCCCGTCTACCGAGGCCAGACCCTCTTGGGCTTCTCCAAGGTCACAAGAGATCTCACCGAGCGTCGCTCTGCTGAAGTCAAGTTGATCGAGGCATATGAAGAGGCTTCCAAATTGAAATCCGAGTTCTTGGCCAACATGTCCCACGAAATCCGCACCCCAATGCATGGTGAGTGCACCGCAGTGAAGCCGTTATCGCAGTTGCTCATGCCTTACAGGAATGTTGTCTGCATTGACATTACTACTAGACACCCCGCTAAATCCCGAACAACGAGAGCTCGCTCATGTCATTGAGGAGTCGGGAGAGATATTACTGCACGTCATCAACGATATCCTTGACTACTCCAAGCTGGCCTCGGGATGCTTTTCCATCAGCACCGATATCATCAACGTGTCGGAGATCCTTCAAACCATTCACAGAGCACAAGAAAAATGCAGAAAACCTGGAATAGACCTGCAGACGTACATCGATCCCAAGCTTCCCAAAGCAGCAGAAGGTGACAGCCTGAGATACCGCCAGATTGTACAGAATCTCATGTCCAACGCCATGAAATTCACTGAAGAAGGCTATGTCCATGTCCATGCGAAACTCCACGAGGAGGACGATGAATACTACACCATTCTGACCGAGGTGGTGGACACTGGAATCGGCATACCTTCTGAAGTGTCTGGATCCTTGTTCACTCCCTTCATGCAGTTTGATAACTCTGCAACCAAGCGTTACAAGGGTACCGGACTTGGACTGTCGATATGCAAGAGCCTATCGGAACTAATGGGCGGGCACATTGGCTTCTATGATAATCCAGAAGGCCACGGCAGCGTCTTCTGGTTCACAGCGAAGATGAAGAAGGTCCAGCACGTCAAGGATATAGATGACTTACATGAGGAACTTGAGCAGCTGACACTCCGCACCTCCACATCACCTTTCGAAGACGTCAAGCACGCAGCCGTTGGCAAGAAGATTCTACTGGCGGAAGACAACCCGATCAACCAAAAAGTCATGCTTAAGATGCTGACGAGCCTGGGCTTCAGGGATATAGACGTGGCCCTAGACGGAAGAGACGCAGTTGCCCTCTCCATCAGAAACCCGCCGCCTTACCACGTCATTCTCATGGACATCAACATGCCCCTCCTCGATGGAGTCGGCGCAACCAAGGAAATCCGCAACGCAGGCGTCCAGACGCCAATCATCGCCATGACGGCCAATGCACTCAAGGGTCAAGCCGAGTTGTACCTGGCCAAGGGCATGAACGGTTACGTCCCAAAGCCTGTCGATAGGAACCTGCTCGTCAAAATTCTGCTTAGCTGGCTCAATTCAAATGCTCCTTCACCTACCCAGCTTCGAGCGACGCCGTCGCCTCCGCCTGTGCCTTTGCCTTCTGAGGCTGCGCCATCAAATTCTCCACTCCCGCTTGCGCCTTTGCCTTCTGAGGCTGCGCCACCAAATCCTCCACTCCCGCCTGCGCCCTCAGAGCCTGCGCCTTCGCAGCCTACACCTTCAGGGCCTGTGCCGTCGGAGCCTTCACCTTCTGAGCTTGCACATTCCGAGCCTGCCGGCTGACTAGCCGACCTCCGCAGTGGAATGTCACAGCTGTTGCGGTTTTTTGCGATAGAGCGCATCTTTTCCTCTGTACGACGTCTGGCGTTCCGAGTCTCTTGTCTTCGAGTCATGCAGCGACCAGCCACCTTCCTCTTCACTTTCTTCTCCAGCACTTTTGGGCGCAATAGCAGGTGAATCTGCATGGGATGCATACGCACTTAGTGGTGTTTCAAGGCGTTGGTTTTCTGTTCCAATACCCATCTTCTTGCAGCTTACCAGTCCTTATCAAGGCTGGTGAAATTTGGGTATTTGCTACATTCAGGTTTTGCTTTTCATCCCCGGTTGGTTACGATGCATCAGACGACGCGGTGATTGGGAGACTACGATCCCTGTAATGATCAAATCTAGAAGTATCTGCAGCTGCATGAAAGGTCACACAGCCCGGCCTATAACCCATCTTATCAAGCTTTCGGCGGCTTGTCCACGAAACCCTCTCGCAAACCTGAGTCCTCGGTGGATGTACAGGCATAGGCTGAGGTATCCCTATTATTCTGTACATGTTGTTAGGGAAAGTGCAGGCGAGGGGAGGAGGTTCCGCGGAGTGATGATGATGTAGACCACGTGCAGACGCGTGAGAAGAGCACGAGACGAGCACGAGGTTGTACCTGGATCTTCGGTGATCGGCGGCAGCTAAAGGCGAACGGTGGACGGATGGCCGGTATTTTGAGATCTGTACCTGCGGCTACCAGCTGCAAGTGGCCGGTCATCTCCTGTGATTTTGCCACAGTCCACAGTAATCCGATCCTTTGCCTCGCCCTACGGTTGAGTTAGGGGGAGTAGCGGAGATTCTTGTATCAAGTCCGTATCGGTCTTTCCGTAGCTTGTGGACAGCACCCCATAGTAAAAAGTGTCGGCGATATGAGGCAGTCGGTTTTTACGCCGTATCTGCTGATTTTGGGAGGCGAGAATGTGTAGCCTACCGAGTACCGGCCAACCTTTCTCCCCTGAATTCCTTATTAAGCGTGCTTGACTGGGATCGAGCGATTATGGGGACCCGAAAAAGAGAGACTACGTCAGCGGCTGCGGCGGTTTCGCGTGGGCTTGCCGTTTTGCCTGGGACGGAAATGTGGCAGGTGGATGTGGCGGTGGTGGGGCAAGGAGGCTGGATCTGGTTTTGTGACACAGCGGATGATGCCAAGGGAATTCTGGGTATCGATAAGGGCATCGTTGTCCCTCCAACCTCCGCTGCTCAACCTCCTACATCAACAGCCATGTGCATTTGCTTCCTCTGGAGATGTTATCGAAAATACCGTATATTATCTGGATTCAGCTTATATCAGCTCAGGTTTTCACGACTCTCCAAGCTTCGACACTCCTATCTGTTTTTACCTTCCCATGGCCTTTGCCTCAGCAAAGAACCGACACTTGGAGAAAATCTGGCTCGCAGACATGCGACAATCTTGTGAGCGGCGAACCATCTCTGTGACATGAAGTCGTCCCACTCGCTGCCATCCAGGTCCCCGTCATCGGAGGAGAATACCTTGCAAGGGTCGAGGAAGTTGAAACGAGAGTTTGCCTCTGTCTTTGTCGACATCAGCTCGAGAAAAACTTCTCTCATGCCCTCTACATCTTTCAAATGTTCCTCCACACTCGGATCCCGGCTCAAAGGCAGTTGACGCGAGAACTCCAATACCAAACCCGCGATGCCTGCTGCAATAGGTGTGGCGCAAGAGGTCCCAGAATCTCTCTTCCATCCTGGCTTCTCCCGATCTTGCGGGGTCAGGCATGAACGGCCTGGCGTTTCGGGGTAGGCCGACCTCACACGCTCCCCTAAGGCCATGATTCTTTCCTCCCTGCCTTGGGGTGGATTGAATGGAGACGGTCGCCCGAATCCATTGGCGGCATCCACAGCTATGACTCCATCCGCTCTTGCTGGGTAGGGCACTCTGCCAGACCTAGTCAATCCATCGTTGGAGCTTGCCGCAAAGAGAAGCAAACCATTCTCCCTGGCTCGCCGGATGACCGCACGGAGTTCCCTATCGCTGTCGCCTTCCCAGCCAAAACTCATGCTCACGATATCTATCCTCTTTTCAATGGCATCGGCTAGAGCATCCTTCACGTATCGGTGTTCGATGGGCGCCCCTTGACCTCGGGTGACGCGGTATATGTAAACGTCGGCATAAGGACAGACTTGGAGGATCAGACCTGCCACATGAGTACCATGACCATCGACATCCTCGTAAGGGTCCAATGTCTCAGCAAGTTGCTTGCCACGTCTGAGGCGCACCTTCTTCTGCCGGATCAGCTCTGGCACAAAACTCTGTGGACTTCCCGCAACTCCGGTATCTAGGACGGCTATCTTGACGTTCCTTGAACCACGGTCGTACTTGTCAAGGAACACATGGGCATTCCGCCGCAACTTGTCGAACCATGAGTCTGCTAATAAATCGGCTCTAATCTTCGTCAGATCTAGAAAAATTATTGCTGAATTGGCACATACGTACTGAGTATCTCGGGCCCAATCCAATCCGCTCGTGGATACCGCCCTTGCCCTTCGCTTTGGAGCCTTCATGTCCAGCGCCATTGCCGGAAGCATTGCCGGAAGGTTGTTGTCAGAGCAAGTTCTTCGCATACCCTGACCGTCCTCCACCTCTACAAGATCGTCCATCCATTCAGGAGGCATTAGAGTATCCCATTCACCACTATCAGCAAGTGTAGTACGAATGGTGGGGATCGTAAGGCTTGCATCTACGACCCTGTCCGACTCATTCGTGACTGGAGGAACTTGGGAGAGTCCAGAGTGCAGCTGCTTACTCTGTGATATGTCCAAGTTTTGCTCCTGGCTGTGTCCACCTGGTACTAGGCGAACACCAATGTTGCTCCCTCTTCTACTGTTGGCCGCATCAGCAGAGGCTCTGGATTCCGATACCCCGCGACGTTGCTTCAAATCTGAAGCAGACATTGACACGGGTCGGGAGGTTCCACTTGCGGATCTGGCTCTTGCAACAACGGCTTCCAGATTTTGTGATTGATCATGGAGCTTCCTCCCTCTGTCTTTATCTCTAACCCAGGTTGCACTGCGTTCCGTTCCCGTTGAAGGTATTTCCAGCGAATCGTCTCTCATTTGCTTGGAATCCTCCGTCTTCTTCCCTGTGACATCGGCGCTACGGTTCTTAGCAGGTTGCATGTTTTCGCGTAACAATGGTGTCAAAAACTGCATATGATCCTGGATACGGTCCAACGATGTCACTTCTTCGACGTCGCCCATTGGGGTCGCTTCTACCGACGAATTCGCTTTGCTTAAGGCCATTGTGGATCTTGCTTTGGGCGCATATGTCTTGCATGATGGTTTGGTTACAGCCGCGTTGACTGCACCGGCTTCCACGACGTTTCCCAACGAGGAGACCGGACCCCCTGAACTATGACACCCGGGCCGGGTAAGTTCTGACGCCGTCTTGTTGGGTTCTGGGGCTTGCTGAGCCTCGCATTTCGATTTCCTTTGATTCCGTCTCAGCTCTGGCTTGCTGTTGTGAGTCTGTCCGCCGATGGATCCTGCCTCTATTTTCCTATTACATTTTCTTTTACGCACGCAACCTGAAACTTCAGCTTGCACCCCTTCCCCACTGGTTGAACCGGTTCCACGCGAGTCGTTGTAGTCTTCAACGATGATAGTTTCAGAGATCGAATTCGTCTTCTCACCGTTTGCATCACAATCCTTTTGAGTATTTCTTGCATTTCTTGTGGTTTCCTTCCGTTTCTGCCCTTCTCCATATTTCTCTGCTCTCTCCATTGATTGCTTTTCCATTGATCTCCACCACGCTTCTCTCGGTGATTTCATTCTCGCCGATGTTGGTTTCGCCCTTTCCGTCTCCTTCATTGCACGATTCCTGCACTCCCGCTCTCTCTCCTTCTTTTCATCTAGCTTGCTTTCGCATTTCATGGCTGACGCAATTGAGTCTTGCAAGTGCTTCGTAAAAGCTTTCTCGTCATTGGAGTCCGGCAGGCGTTCTCTGATTACTTTAATATTGGTGTTGAAACAAGTCAACGCTTCTTCGTATTGCTTCAGCTCATACAGCTCGCTGCCTAACTCTGATCGTATTTTGATACGTTCAAGCCTGTCACCGTTCACATCCGTGTCGGCAAGCTGGAGACTTCTCTTACTGACAGTGACAGCTTGCTTGATGTGATCATCACAACCCAAGTCGAGCCCGGCCCTGTACAATGCGGCCGAAAGGTCTCTTCGACACTCATATATCACCTTAGGGACTCGATTACTCCAACTCCCACATTCCACGCGGTCGACGAGCTTCAGGTGCGTTCCTATCTCGCCGTGGTGATCATTGTTCAACCTGTGGAATTCCGCCTGCCATCTCATTATTTCCACTGTCAAGAGGTCCTTGGGCGGTCTACTCTTTGCGCAACGTCTAATGGTAATCTCGTTACATGAGATTGCAGCATCGAGCTGGCCACTTCGGCTCAGACTGACCGCCCAGTCCCTCCGCAGTCTCAGAGTTGTGTCGCTAGCTACTCCATACGCGTCATCAGACAGTTTGGCAGCACGTTCGTACGTGAGTGCGGCACGGCCATAACTGGAATGTGCGTCTGTGGTCCCTGGTCTCCTCGCTTTCTTTTCATATCCCTTTGCGTCTTGCCACAATCTGTCGACAGAGCCTTGGCTTTCTCGTAAACGTCGTTTCTTCGTCCTCCCGAATAGAGCGGGAATGTTCAACGAAAACTCCAATGTCGTCGAGTAGGTCTCTGCGTCCGCCCGCTGTTTGGGACCGGATTTGGACCGGTGGGTACGGTGCGGTCGATCATCTGGGAATTGGTCTGGATGGTACTGCATGGGTGGGGAAGTTGCTGAGAGGGGTGACGGGCAGCGTTTCGATCCGACATCAACGTCGTCGTATATGACTCATAAGTGGGAGGCAAAAGAGTTGTCGACTTAACTCAGAGCATCGTTTAGCAGTGAGATGAGTTATTGAGCGAGGAAGGTGGGTGGCGAAGAGTTTGTGTGCCTTCTTGCACAACTCCACCCAGACCGCTAATATTAAACAAGCGTCGCACGGCAGACGACCCCTCTTTGAATCACATCAACCGCCTCCATCAACCAACTGACAAGACTACGGTGTCGATCTTTCGTATCTTTCAAGCTTCACCTCTGTCCTTCGCGTGAAGCCGAAGGGACCCGGGCACAAAATAATCAGGGGTCTGCACTCGTTGGCCTAGATCAACCGACTGGTGGAGCTATGACATCGAATGTCTGTCCCTCCGATTATGACAATACGGCAGAGCAACATGTAGAGCGATCTCTCCCTGAGCCGATCCAAGGCCTAACACAGCCAGGACCACGGGCAATTCCAGAAACAAAGCCACCTCCCCGTTACTCAGGAAGATTGACAGAACCGGAGTTTGCGGGGCTGGTTATTACTCTACTCACCATATTCATTTTGCTCTCAGTTACCCTCTGCTGTTGCTGCTCCCCTGGCCGGTCTTCCGAAGCTTGGGGGAGAGCATCACCTGAATACATTCTCAGGTCTCGGCGAAGAGGACCATCCGACATACGAACGTATCCAGTTCCTCCTCCCCCAGTCCATGCTGTTGGTCCTCATCCAGGAGATTGGCTCAACGACGAATATGAAGAAAGTGCACCTCGCCCGCCGCCGCATCAGAGAGTTCAGGATTAGGGTTAGGGTATGCGCCTTGCAACTACCCATAGGACCGGTAAGCCACATTTTGCCATGCAAATCCCACCGCTTGCTGACTTTTACAGAATGCAGGCTGAGAGGGACTTCGGATACGGGACGCATACCGAATGGTGTATACCACAGGTATCTGCGGAAGTGAGCGTCAGCAAGGTACCGAGTTCAATGTTGAACAGTCTGAGCTACACCGATGAGAATCTCGACAAGAAGTCACTTGGACGTCCAGGTCGGCAGTGCACCCGACCGGTGGGGTGCACATGTACTCGATTCGATAGGACCAAGCACAGCACTGCCCGCTTTGTGTGTACGTGTCCTACAGTGATCACGCCTACTGCATAGTCAGCCTGGCGGAACACTAGCCCCTGAAGAGGACCTTTCACTGCACCCATTTTCAAATATCAACACTACTTGGTCTCATCAAAGCCACTTGCTACTTGCTACTTCCCATGAGCACCATCACATCGACTGTTCACCTCAGATACGAGAGATAATCATGCCCTCCGACAAAACATACCATCAACGGCCAACCTACTTCCTCGCTCCACCCCACGCCTGCCTCCCTCACAGCCCTATCTGCCTGGGCGCCATCATCCCCTCGCCTTCCCTCCCCGACGAACCGCTCTACATCCCCCCATCATTGCCCGCCTCCATCCTCCCGTCCACCTACACCCAAACCAACTGGAGCGGCACCCACATCCAGAAATCCTCAGCGCACATGGGCGTCTGGACCTCGTTCCTGCAACACATCGTCGGCATCGGAGCGGACGCCAGCTACGCCTCTGCGTCGACGCTGCACCAGCGGTGGGACGTCGATCAGATGCACACGCTGGGTTTCGTGCCGACGCGCGCGTTCCTGCATGAGTGCGTAAGCAGCGAGGAAGTCGCGGAGTACCTCTCCGCGAATGCGTTTCGGGAGAAGGTGTATGTGGTTACGGGGATTATGGTTGCGGAGGGGTGTAGGTGGGTGCGGGCGAGGGTGAGGGAGAGAGGGGTGGGTGTGCGTGTGGGTGTGGATGCGATGGGTTGGAGTGGTGTGCCTGTTGCGGGGGGGCCGGAGGGGAGGAGAGAGGGGAGGGAGGAGGTGGTGAGTGGCGGGAGGAGGGCAGAGGGGCTTGTGTTTGCGTTTCAGGTGAGGGAGGTTAGGGTTAGGAGGAAGAAGAGGGGGGTGGTGGTGGGAAGGGTGAGGTTGTGGGATAAGGGGGCGCTGTTTTCGGCGGAGGAGAGGGAGGGGGAGGAGAATGGTGAGAACGAGGAGGAGGGATGGGAAGAGGTGGAGGTGGAGAGGCTGGGGGAGGAGTTGGGAGGTGAAGGATTTGAGCTTGAGGTGAGGGAGGTTGGGGAAGGGAGTGATGTGGAAGAGGGATGTGTTTGCGTGTTGCCGGAGGTTGTAATGTGAATTGAACTGAACTGAGCTTGGAAGACGGAGGCATTGCAAGAGCTACTGTGTGGTATCAGGGGAAACTCCCCTAACAACAGTAAAGGTTAGCACATCTCCGAAGGATCCCCGGCATCGATTGACATCGACTACACAATGTACACTTTCACATGGTTAACCCATCTTGAAGCGGGGTTGACGTAGAATTGACTCAATTCTCGCGACCACATGCACCAAGTAAGAAAGTTATGACGGACTCTCTTTCAGCATCCCAACTTCCGTTGTCGAGGGATGTGAGCTAAGAAATCAGAGGGCCGGGAGTCTACGGCAACAGAAGAGTACCTTTCTACACAAAGTGTCGGACAGTACTCCGTACTGTCAAGGCAATGAAGCGTGGTATGAATCCTGAATTGCGTGGCCAAGGACAGATTCACGGCGGAAAGTAGGCTAAGCAGTACACGGTAGACACTGATAGACATGGACATGTGAAGAGTGTTGCATCATGTGGTTGGACAGATACCTTGAGGTGAATGTTCCAGGCTTGGCCTGGGGAAAATCGCCATCATGTGACCATGGCGTAGGATTAGTAATTGCCATTCCGCCGTTCTCCATGTCCGCTTCATGGCCGACCATCCGTTCCTGAATCCTCCCTTCACCCTCCTCGCTCTTCACAGCACTCCACATTCTCCTCGCAAATCCTCTTCATCCTGTTTCCTTCTGTACACCAGACCGTACTCCGTACAAGAAGCATGATTTGCATCACCAACAAATACCAGCTTGACAACAAGTCGCTTTTATCGGCATCAGGCAGACGCGACGCGACCGGTCAGCCCGCTCTCACGGCGGAAATTTGTGAGTCATGGCTGGTGGCGGAGAGGAGCTGTGGTGCGCGCCAAGAGGATCGGCCGCTTTGAAGCACCCGTTTGTGAATCCTCCCTCGCATTCCAGTTTTTCTCCTCCACATTCAACAAACAAAGACCTGTCTTCTCTTTTCATCGGAACAACCGTCTTTTGCAGCGATTACAACACTTGCAGCTTACCACAGTACATGGTGACGGCGATGCGGAAGGAGGGGAGCGGTCGCTGACGACGCAAAAAGGCAGGAGGACTGGGGCGCCGGCTCTCGCCGATCCCGATTGACGGGGCGTTCTTTTCTGACGCGTCCTCATCGCGGGCCCCAACGCGTTTTCCCTCTGCGCTGCGAGCAGGGTGAGTGCATACCTACAATAGAATACACAGTAGACAAGTTGAGGGGGGCGCCCATTGTTGAAGCCCATTGTCTGCTTCATAACCATGTCACCCTCAGCAGCTGTTTCAGTGCGGGCAGAGAGAAAAAGGGGGTTTGAAGGTGCGGCAAAGGGGGAAGGTCCGTGCCTTGTCAGCGCGGTAAGTGGCAGGAAGGAAGCTTCTAGCGGTAAAAGCGGCGTGACGCTAGGCCCTTCCGGGCTTGCAATTTTCGGCCGCCACAAGCGCACAGGCCACTGTGGCTGAGAGAGCCCGGCAATATAAAAAGGGCGCTCCCCCCCAGCCCAGCGGCTCTCTCTTGTTTGGCCTTCCGCGCACGCACGTCCATACCCCAACTCATCAACCCCCGCCGCAACCGCCTTGGAACCGCCATCCACCCAGTTCCTCGACCTTGCGCGCATCTGAATCTGTCGGGATTTTGATATTTCCTGCAAAAGAGAGATAGATCCCGTGCCGTCGCACATCCACACACTCTCTCTAAGAGGCCCACTAGCCTCCTTCGGTCCAAGGTCGAAGCGACAGCAGAAGAAGGCTCCTCTACCGACGACGGCCACCTACACCAAAGGCTAGCTGGCTCTTCGCTTTTGGTGTCCTGCCAACTCCTCTCTCACCTGGTACATCCGTCGATCGTCGTAGCCGACCTCGCTGTCACCTTCGACTCATCTTCTTCCAGTCACGTGCGAGCTCATCCGCCGTCACGTGCATTCCACTTTTTGACGATCACTCTGTGAGGGAGACATTCACTTGTTTATCTCCCACGACTGGTACGAGGCAATCCTCTCCCGACGAAGCTCCCGGTCGACCGATCTCGCTGTCATCGCGATCTCGTCTACCAGGACATCGCCGCGCTCTTGAGAACCTCGTTGACCTCCGGGCCAGATCTGTCAAAGGACAATCTCTCAGTCCCTCGACCTCGTCGTCCACTCTCTGTAGTCATAATAAAATCAACCCATCATGGATTCCTTGACCACTCATCCGTCCAATGCCCAACAGGCGAAGAACGTATGTTGTTGTGATTGATGTGGTGTTCGTTCACGCTGTTAACTGACTTCGTCTAGTTCGTAGCCCCGGGCAGTCTCAGCTACCCGAACGGTTCGCAAGAACTTACCGCTCCGGTGGCAGACAACAAGCCAAATGGTCAGGTGGCTACGAACGGCGTCGCTACTCCCGCAACTACTCCAGAGCAAGTTCCCGCGGCCTCTGCCTCTGCCTCTGGCATCGTCCCGACCCTCCAGAACATTGTCGCTACTGTGAACCTCAGCGCGCGCCTTGATCTGAAGACCATTGCCCTGCATGCGAGAAATGCCGAGTACAACCCCAAGCGTTTCGCTGCCGTCATCATGCGTATCCGCGAACCCAAGACCACCGCATTGGTCTTCGCCAGCGGCAAGATGGTGGTTACTGGAGCCAAGTCCGAGGATGATTCCCGCCTTGCCAGCCGCAAGTATGCTCGCATCATCCAGAAGCTTGGGTTCAATGCTTCCTTCAAGGACTTCAAGATCCAGAACATTGTTGGAAGCTGCGACAGTGAGTACCCCGTGCTGCACCGTGATGATCTCAACGCATTCTTATACTCACCTCTTTTGCAGTCAAGTTCCCCATCCGTCTGGAGGGTCTGGCCTCTCGCCATCATGCTTTCTCCTCCTATGAGCCTGAACTCTTCCCTGGTCTCATCTATCGTATGATGAAGCCCAAGATCGTGCTCCTTATCTTCGTCAGCGGAAAGATCGTGCTCACCGGCGCCAAAGTTCGTGAGGAGATCTACGCGGCCTTTGAGCTCATCTATCCCGTCCTTAGCGACTTCCGCAAGTCGTGAGGGTCGAGTTGCATCCGGGTTGGGTCGTGCTCACCTCCTATTGTGCGACCCAGACCATGTATCAATACTTCGGTCAGCCGCCAAACTTCTCTCCATCGGCTCGACATTGAAGAGGCGCTTGTGCTTTCCTTTCTTCTTCCAGTTCTACACATTTTCCGGTTGCATTGCATGGTGTCTCGGCGGGTAATTCGGTTCGGGTGGTTTTTCTTTCTCTTGCTCCACAAAAAAGGATTAGACTGCAGCACATTCACATAGGGTGGAGCTGGTGCGCGATCAGGACGGTCTCCGATAATTGGGTTCGAGGGAGACGGAGTTTTCGATCTTTTGCCTTGCGGATCCTTCACTGGATCATGGCGTTTGGCGCCTCAGCATCATGCTTTTGATGGATGGGATGGAGAAGGAGTCGGGCAGGGGGTGCGAGCGTGAAAGTTTGCACTGGTGGAGGCTCTTTGTCATGACTGACGGTTGATGTCGAGGCCTCTGGGCGTTGCTTCACACATTCGCTATGTCGTGCCGTGCTTTGCTGGCGCGTTCGGGGAGGTGGGTTCGTAGTCCTACGGGCACGGATTAGCTCCAGATAGTGAAGGGTACCATGATGTACACGAGTCACTATGGTGTCTGTGACGGCTGTGATGGTCCATGACTATGCCACCAGTTTGTTGCATTGATGCTACATGGACTAGAAAAGGTACAGACACGGCAATCTTGCTTGACCCTGCACGCTCTGAACGCGTCCAAGCCTAGCCCAGAGTGCTTGCTTGCACTTTTCTCCAGTCCACTTCGCTCCAACGCCAAGGACGTGAACGCTTTGTCGTCGGGCTTTCGTCTTGATCGCCTTGAACGTACCTCGCCCTGCTGCCTGTCTGTCGTCTCATTCCGCCTCTTGCATTTCCTCGCCCTCTTGTTGCTCCGTGGCAGCCTTCTTGGACGACGACGCCTCCTCGGCGTTGTTCTTCTCCTCATCCTCGGCAGAAGGGGCGACGGGGAATGAGAGGTGTTTCCAGTCCTCGATCTGGGAGTGCGTGAGTAGAGGCATAACTTGGAGCAACATGACAAAAGGAGTGCAGAGGGAGACAGGGCAGCACACCCATGCAAACGGACCGAGAACGAGCGAAGAAGAGCGACACACTCACCTCCTCGATGATACTCCTCAACCGATCCCTTATACTGTCCACTGCATAACTCCCCAGCAACAGCCTCAGGGGCGGATAACTGCAGTGTCCGAGCTGCCAAACCAGTTCGGCGCTCTTGACCGCACTGACGGGCTGCCTGTCATTCAGCCACTGCACCATACGCTTCGCGTGCCTCGCGGGGCTGCTCAGCGGCGCGTACGGCGGGCTCGGGTTGGGCTTGACCCAGAAGTGGCCGTAGCGTTTCGGTTTGGGCGGTCCCGAGGCGGTGATGGCAGCGGCAGGACTGGTGGCGTTGGGTCGGAGTGGAAGATGGTTGGGAGCGCTGGTGATGGTTGTGGGTTGCGGTTGTGGGACGACCACGTCGTCCGGCTCGTCGAGACGGATGTGGCCTGGTTCGATGAGCGTGGCTTTGATGTTGAAGACGTCGATTTCGTAGAGCATGGACTCTATCAGCCCCTCTACGGCGTACTTGGTCGCGCAGTAGGGTCCCAGACCCGGGACGCCGAGGGCACCTGCGGTGGAGGAGAAGATAAGGTAGCGGCCATGGTTTTGTTGGCGGAAGTGTGGGAGGGAGAGTTGGATGATGTGAAGGGTGCCGAGGAAGTTGGTGCAGAACTGGTTGCGGAGGTCATAGTCATCCTGGTCTTCGCAGGCTCCAATCACGCCTGTGAAAGAGAGGTGAGTTGAAGTGGTAAGAGGAGGGAGAAGGGGAGAGGAAGGGTAGATGTACCGTAACCGGTGCAGCTGTGAGACGCCACAGAGTCAGCTGAGCTCTCGGGGCTTTAATACACAAACGAGACTGGAATGCATACATACTTTGCTATGATGTCGATACTACCCCAGTGGTCTATGCTCCGCTTGATGACCATATCGACCGTCTCCCTTATGCGCACATCGCAGAGCAAGCCCAGGCAGCTTCGATCCTGCCACTTTTGCATTTGCTCCATGGTGTTCTCCTGCGTCCAGCCCACGGCGGTGCATCTGTCACCGTGGGAGAGCACCGCCCGAACGAGGGAGCGCCCCATGTGTCCGGTTGCACCGAAGACCTGGCTCGTGTTGTGAGCATGACATACAGGTTGCAGCAGCACTAGCAGCGAACGGGAGGATGCGTACGATCCATGAGGCCTGCTTCGGCGGATTGTGCTCCGACGGCGGATCGCAAGTGGCAGGGAGTCTGAGGTTGGGATGCTGGGAGGCGGCGCTGGGCGAGAGGCTCTGGCTGGCCGTGTCGAAGTCCATGGGGGAGTTGTGGAGGAGTGCACCAGAGAGGCTGAACGGGGCGGGGTTTGGAGCTAAACTGGGAGATCGCTCACTGGACCCGGGTGTGACTGTCGAACAAAAGGCGCCGGCCAATCGGGAGTGCTGGCTCGTGTTTGAGAGGTGCCGGCAGCGTCAGATGGGTGAGATGCGGCGGCGGTGGTCACACAGAGAGGATCATGGTTCCCAAGGGGACCAGAAATGGATCCAGGATGATAGAAGTTGATGATTTTTGGTCGGCTGAAAAGCGTCAAAGAAACGGCTCGACCTGGAAGATGACTCCTAGGGCATCCAGGGGTAGCTGATGGAGCTCCGAACGTCGACTCCCGAATAGCCATCTATGACCGCCGCAGAGGAACAGAAGGACGATAACGAGGAAGAAGAGAGGCTTGGTGTGCATGAGGTGGAATCCAATGTTCTGCAGCGCTTGGGTTCGGTATCGTCCCCTCATCGCCCGAATGATCCTGCTAACATCGGCATCGCCCGCCTGAGCTCTCATAGTGAGTGATTGTACGAGGCTGAGGGATGGAACAATCAACTCCTGCAATGATATAATGGGTGATGTGGCAGAAAGAAACCGGCGGAATATTAATATAGGAAAACGAAGGAGGAATGGCCGCCAATGTGCTGTCGAAGTCGACGGGACACCAGGTATGTACTCCGTACCCCTTATCGATAAAAGCTCTTCCAATTCCCGAGTCCCGAAGGCTTGGCCTCGCTCACGCTTCGCTTTCAACACTCGACGACATCATGATCTACCAACGATTATGAGCAACATGTGCATTTTTCGATAGCTTCTGCCTCCGGGTCTCTTCTTACGCCATGGGTCAACAACAAACTGCTCCCCAGCAGCAACCTGTCATCTCCCACGGCTCCTCGTAAGCACTCCCGATCCCCGCCATATCACCCACACCCCCCGCACCAACTAACAACCTTTCCGCCAGCCTTTCCTTCGCCCAAGGCTTCGTCCTCGGCCAGATATCCATTGCCCTCCTGATCTTCTTCTTCATCAAATTCTTCATCTTCGGCGAACCCCCCTCCGCCGACGACCGAGCCCTGCACCTCTCCTCCCTCCGCCGCGCCCGCACCCTCGCCCACCAAGCCTCGTTCCAGAACCGCGCCCGCTCAAGCTCCATATCCGCTTCCTCTACCCATAACCCCCTCCGCCACAAGGACTCGAGCAGCGTCATTCGCTCCGCTGCAGGTAGCGGTCGCGCACCTAGCATCTCGCAGATCCTGGCAAAGACCTACTACAACGTGAAGGGCCACCAACCCGAATCGTTAGACTGGTTCAATGTCCTCGTGGCGCAGACCATTGCTCAACTCCGCGAAGACGCGCGGCGGGACGGCGCGGTGTTGACGTCTCTGACCGAGCTGCTCAATGGGGGAAGCAAGCCGGACTGGATTGGCGAGATTCGGGTCACGGAGATCGCGCTGGGCGACGAATTCCCCATCTTCAGCAATTGCCGCGTTATGCCTGCCGAAGACGGGTTTGCAATTGGCGGCGCAGGCGCAGGAGGGGGAAGCAGTGGAGGCGGGATGATGGAGGAGGGAACGCGGTTGCAGGCGAGGATGGATGTGGACCTGAGTGATGTGATTACTCTGGGTGTGGAGACGACGCTGGTGCTCAATTACCCGAAACCTAGGACGGCGGTGCTGCCCGTGGCATTGGCGGTGAGTATCATCCGGTTCTCGGGCACGCTGGCTGTGTCGTTTATTCCCAGTTCGTCGCCGCCGTCGAGTTCGCATGGGAGCGGTGGTAGTGGCACGACACAGGGGCATCCAAGTCAAAACCAGAATCAAGTCCCCAACAATGGTAGAACTACAAGAGCACAACCTCCCTCCTCTTCCTCAACGCCTCCTCCCCCTCCCCATCCCCACCGCCCGACATCCCTAGCATTCACCTTCCTGGACGACTACCGTCTCGACCTCTCCGTCCGCTCCCTCGTCGGCTCCCGCTCCCGCCTCCAAGACGTCCCCAAGATTGCCCAACTCATCGAATCACGACTGCACGCCTGGTTCGACGAGCGCGTCGTGGAACCACGCTTCCAGCAGATTGCGCTGCCGAGTCTGTGGCCGAGGAAGAAGAACACGAGAGGTGGGGAGGAGGAGCAGGAGGGAAACGGGGAGGGAGATGAGGCTGGAAAGATGGACGAGAGGGAAAGGGAGAGAGAGGTGAGGGCTAGTCTGGCGAATCCCTTGTCGCCGGATCAAGGCGTTGGACAACAGACGTCAGGGACAACGACACCTGCCTCAAGAACCGCTACAGCAGCGGCGGCAACTTCTCTAGAAGCCCGTCTCGAAGCCGAAGGTGCCAAGATTCGCGAAGCCGAAATCAAGGCGGGTGAAAGGCGCAATGGGGCTCGGGAAACCAGTCGGGAGAATTATCACGGTAGCAGTAGCAGTAGCAGAGAGGCATCTGGGATGCGCTGGCGGGGGGAGAGAGGCGCAGAGGGGAGTAGAGAGCAACAGCAGAGGATGGGGAGGCCTCCGTTCTCGTCGATGAATAGTTGGGAGGGGAGCGGGCAGAGGGGGATGCCGGGGGCGATGCCTAGTGGGTAGCTAGTTGACATGGACATGGAACAAGGGAGTGTAACAGCAAGCGGGCGTTTATCACTGCTTATTAGAGACATGGTCCCATTTAGAAATACGGCAGCAGAGCATATAGCATATAGCATACAGCGCAAGAAGCGCAGCATAACCTCATGAAATCAAGCAACATATGACTGAACAAGAAAGGAGGAAACTAACTCCACACGAGCACATCTCGCTGTTGTGTATACATAGCTAACAGGCGGTGGTGGCGGAACACTAGACCCGCTCCCGTGTCTCTCTACAACTCATTGTGATATCCTTTTCGATCAGGTGCTCCGTACTTCGTGCCAGCCAGAACGCACATGCATCCTGCCCATCCTATTCCCTTTCCCCTTGAGAAACATGAACACCCGACCATGAAGAAATCCCCGGATAGTAGTACAATACATAACCCCTTCTTGAGAAAAAGGGGGAAGCGTGGAATCGTCTAACTCTCACCTCTCATTCATACCCCTGAGGTAGGTATTCGACAGGTACACAATCATTCCCATCTCAGCGGTAAAGCGAACATGTAGTCGTCCCCTTCAGAGACCACTGCCGACACCGCCTCTGCCTCACATAACATTCCTTCCTTCTTTCACAATGCCCCGCTCTTCAATCCAAACTTCCGAATCTATCATCCCATCACTGCCATGTGGACGCCGTCGTCGTGGGTGGAGGCAAGCCGGGCTGGAACGGAGGATGTTCATTCCCACTCGCGGCTAAGTATTGCGAGGTAGCAGTGTCACTGCTCTCTGGAGGGTTGTACGGTTTCGCGGCCTGGGGAGCACTGGCGTCGTGTCTGCGCTGGGGTGTCGGTTGGCTGGGTGAGAGTCCGTTTTGCGCAGAAGGGGCAGGTGCAGGTTGCGGGAGGCCCTGCTGGCTGGGCGGACGGAGTGAGGTGGATGTTGCTGGCTCCTGTCCGTCCTGGGGAACCTGAGGAATAGGAGCCGAGAGTTCGGACGAGGGTTGAGGATTCGTGGGAGTTGCTGGGAGTGTGGTATCCTGCCCCACGACGGGTTTGAGATCGGATTGCTGCGGCGGTGTGGCAGTGGACGACGCAGTGGGTTCATCCTTCACCTCAGGCATAGCGGCTGTAGAAGAATCGTGTTCATGTCCTGTCGACGCAGCAGATTCGGAAGCGATCTTCGACCCTTTAGGATATCGCAAGCAGATAATCAGACTTCGGCGTTCCTCGTCTTCTGTAGTCACACTGACCGATTCCTCCTCCTCATCATCCAAGTCCATCTGGTCCGCTTCTTCCTCGTCTTCATCCCCTCCATCCCATGATGTGACATCCTCGTCGTCCATCTCGTCAACGGAATTGTACGTTTCAATGTGTTTGCGACTTGGACGGAAACCATTGGTGGTGCTCCTGCCATTGGCTCGGGTAGCGCGACCATGACCGGCATTTGGTTCTTCGGAAGCTTCGGATCGAACATAGTCTCCGGTGGCAGGCGATGTTCGGTCAGTTTGCTGGCCGCTGAGGAGAGATTCGCCGTACATTCCAGTTGCTCGGGATTTCACGTGACGACCACTGGCGGTCACGGTCGGGGCGGGTGCTGCTGGAGTCTCCCTTCCAGAGTTTCGGTTCGACCGTCGAATCCCAAGGGCGCCAGCGTATTCCTCCTCTTCGTCAGAAAATGTATACTTCATGCGCTTGCCGCGTGTTCGGCCCTCGTAGAGGGAGAAGACAGGTTGAGCGAGCGCAGCCTGGCGGTTCAGCCTATATTCGCGGCGCTTGCGTTTCTAGACAGCCGTCAGTAAATCGTGCATCTATGCCGTGGCTAACAACGTACCTCTTCTGTAGCCTCAAAACGTGGAATAGCATTGCGCATCTTCTCAGCCAACTGTTTCGCATCTCTGGTGCCATCCTCGTCGTGAAGCTTGTCGGCAAGAGCGCGAATTTCCGCAATAGACCCAGCAACGCTCCACCACGTAACATTCTTCAACTTAGGATTGCTCTCGCGGTAGACGCGGAAAGGTGTATCGTCTTGGCCTTCAATCAGCCAGTACCGGCGGTCATCGCCGTCGCGACCCCAGGGTTGTACGGAGAGAGGAATGTGCGCATCGACTTTATCTTTGCTATTTCGCGTCTTGTAGCCTTCTTTTATCATGTTGTTGACCACGTCCGAATCGTGGAGGCTCCAGAGGACAAGGGTCTTGAGCAGAGTGAGCTGCAGGGAGTGGTCAGCCGCTAGCGCAAAGGCGATGTTGCAGCCCTCATATACTCACTCGCTCCGTCGACGACATGGTGTTGAACGAGCGGCCACCAGTTATGGGGTTCACACCGTTCCATGCGCGTGGCCATTGCGACTTATGCGTTTGGATGGCTTCTTCGAGAGCGCGACCATAGTGACCTTTCCTGTGCAGCGCAATGCAGTTAGCAAACTGAGTCTGGCTGTGTCCTTTCCATCACATCCACGCGACCCAGACTATGCCACCATTGGGTTATATGGAGGGGACTGACTCGATGGGTTTCTTCCTGTTAAGGAGGAGCGCGAGGAGGGAGCAGAGCAGCGTCTCGACCTGGGGGGAAGGGACCACTTCAGCAACTCCCCTTTCGAGGTCCTGGGGGCCGAAATGAGGCGTTTTAGGCGGGAATGCGTCTGAAAATCTTGATCGGAACATGACAATGAACTGGGATAGTCGAGTATTAGCGGAGGTCCGGCGGAGGTTGGGGTCGGAGTAGAAGCTGCATCACGTCGCGAGAGGACGCGATTGACGCGAATTTCACTCACAGGAATATCAGGGTTGTCTTCGGGAGCCATCTCATGCGGCGGAGAGGCCGGACGTTTCCTGCGGACGGGCGAGGGCGACTTCTTGTTGAAGAAGGATAGGATGGTGCCCTTCTTTTTGTGCTTCTTCTCAGGCCTCGCCGCGGAAGGCTTCGCGGTCGCAAGGACCTTGGGCATTTCGTCGTCAGTCGACGGAGGTGAAGACAAGGTGGAAGAGTCTGAGTCTGTCATGGTGACGGGGTTGGCGGTTGGTGTCGCAAGCGTTGGGTTGCGCGGAAGGGGCCCTGGGGATTGCGGTCAAGAATGGCGACCTACGCGCACGGCTAGGCGTGCATGAGGTAATCTTTCCTGATTCGATTACACGGAGATAATAGGGCCCAGTTATTTGTGTAGGGCAGTCTGCAGTCAACTTCACCCTCACCAGCTCAAGTTCACGGCGCGTGCGGTCAATCTTGATGAGGCGCAGTGCTCGCCGCATTTACAGTGTCGCAAAAGACTCGAAGAGCTTCCCGGAACGCTGTTGCAACTCGACAATATTTAGATACCAATTCCCGACCGGATCATAGCAATTTCTATACGCCAAGCAATGATGAAATAGTACCAGCCCGACAACGGTGATCAATGTCATTGCATTTCCGAATCCCAACACACAATGTTTGGTTGAAATAGCGGTTATTATGAGTGAAGAGGACCGACGATAGCTATAGCCCTGCGGACTGCATGATCCGCATTGACATACAGGTCAGAGTTGCAGATGCGGCTACAGTCAGGTTGATTCGCATCACTGATAACCCAGCAGTCCATCACCCTACGCCCCTTTACGGCTGACTGTGTACTCGGTATGCTGCGGTCGAGAAGACATGTGGACCACAACCCTTTCCTCTGGTCATCCCGAAGACATTGCACGATGCTTGGGTCCATCGAACATTCAGATGGAGGGGGAAATGTACTCGAGACGGAACGAATTGGACCTGTGGGGATTTTGTTCCAATACACATGTGCAAGCCAGAATGGAGAGATGAAGGTGACCACAATTCATAGTCAGTGCGGAGTACTATAACCCAGCCATGGTTTCTTGCGCCTGTAGAATGGATTATGCGTCGGCGCCGTGTGGTGTTCGTTGTTATGGCTGCGTTAGGGGAGCGGCGATGCTACCCTGGTCTACAGTCTCGTGTTTCTTGGCGTTTGAACAGTGAGTGAATGTCCAACCTGAAAGTCTACTTCCTATGGTTCGCGAATGTATGCCAAGCTATGCTAAATCGGGGTCAGGACACGTCTTTTTGGAAGGAATCCAACGCATGCGACTAGCCTTGTTCCAGTGGCGGGCGTCAAGCTTCGCAAACGGGCGTTTCCGCGGCTCAAATGATGGTGCAGCCATGAAGCTGAAACGCTGTTCAATCATGTGGGACAAGCGCGGCGAACAGACTGGCCTCTGGCGCGTCTGCCAAAGATAGACTGCGGTGGCACCCGCGAGGTCACCGTAATGGGCGGCAGTGGGTTGGTTGGCTCTGGGTCAATCTATCGTGTGAAGGGCTCCGCTGATAGATTCAGTTGGAGCAATAAATAATCAATTCGCGCCCGTCTCTGGGGCAAATGTGGTTGCCGAAATTGGAAATTCGGATCGCCGTTGGGCGAGGGCGAGACCACCACGCTTGAAACCACCCATTCCTACTCCCCTCCCTCCCTCCTCTCCCTCCCTCTCTTCCAATTCTCCCACTTCCACTTTCTCATTGTTCCCCACGCACTCCTCTTCTCGTCCGTTCGCTATTCAACATTTTGTGATTATTATTCTGCCTTGCTCACTCAATCCATCACAATCGCCGCTGAGAGCCTGCGTCATACAGCCCCAACACCCACCCCACCGACGTAGTTATTGCGCAGCGACCCTACCACGACGTGCTCTCACTGCGCAACACCCCGCAACCTGTCCCCACCATAGTCCTTCTCTCTGCCTTCCGTTAGTCGCTCCATACATTTACTGTCACAATGAACGTCAACAAGAAATTGGGCCGCTTCAAGCAGTGGGCCGGCGAGAAGATGGGCGGAGAGGTCAAGACAGGTGTCTCGGACGAGTTCAAAGCTCTGGAGGCCGAGATGGACTTGAGGCATTCTGGTATGTAGGCCTCTGCTATTCCAGAACTTCAAACTAACCGTGTCCAAGGCCTCGAGAGGATGCAACGGGCTATGACAGTCTATGTCAAGTCTCTATCCAAACGCGCCGAAGGCGACGACAGGGAAAAGACGCTCCCTGGAGGATACCTAGGCTCCGCTATGGTGACACATAGCGAAGACTTCGAGCCGGACTCGGAGTTTGGCACGTGCCTGGCTTGTAAGCATCTCGTCTGCACCCACCATTCGTACACCCCATCTGACCCTAGACAGCGCTCGGAAGGGCGAATGAGCGATTGTCGCGCGTGCAGGAGACCTATGTGGGAGACGCAACGTCGGCCTGGCTGGAGGGACTGGATCGCTCTCTTGCGCAGATGAAGGAATATCAAGTATGTTACATCCTGCCCAGCTTGCACGTTCAATCGGAGCGTGTACTAACGGGACCATAGGCGGCACGCAAGAAGCTCGAGCAGCGACGGCTAGCCTACGATACCACCTTGGCGAAGATGCAAAAAGCGAAGAAGGAGGACTTCCTCCTAGAGGAGGAGTTGAGAACACAGAAAGCAAAGTATGAAGAGTCTAATCAAGATGTCTTCAGGCGGATGCAGGATATCAAGGAGGCTGAGATGGATCTGGTACAGGACTTGACGGACTTTCTAGAGGCCGAGTTGTCCTACTACGATCGGTGTCGTGAGATCCTGCTCAACGTCAAACGCGACTGGCCAGTCAAGTACGTCGGTCTCTGACTGTCCTCTAAGGGTCCCTCACTAATCTTAACAAACAGAGACTCTCGCCGCATCGCCCGATCTCGATCCATCACAGCTCACGGATACGCTCAACGGTTCAACCCACCGGAAGAGGAGCCGGCCCCAGAGCCACCTCGGGTAACGATCCCACGTCTGCCTTCCCGGAACCGGTCTCCGCCTCAAGAGACGTCCTCTCCTGTGTCCCGACCACCCTATAGTCGTACGTCCACCTACGATAGCCCGGGTCGACTGCAACGCGAGGCGTCCCCAGCACCAAGACTTTCGCGAGTCCCCACAGAACCTACTGCCGTCCTATCAGGTCGTGCTGGTTTGCGTCCTGTCCGTCAACCTACCAACACGTTCTCTGATGACTACACCGATGAATCTGTGGCCTCAAACGGTTATCGCCGAGATAGATCGCCACCAAGTCCCGCCACGAGCCATGGCAGTGAACGTTCGCGAGCCACCAGCTACGAGACTCCAGCCTCTGCGACGACTAAGAAAGCACCTCCTCCACCTCCACCGTCGCGAGCGAAGAAGCCTCCGCCACCGCCGCCCCCAATGAAGAGAAGTGCGCTGAGTGCGTCAGAGACGTCGCATTATTGATTCCAGCCATTGTTTCGGCTCGTCTATCATTGGTAGCTGTTGTGATGTTTCGAGTTCGCAGAGGTACCGCAGGCTGAGGCACTGAATCGATGCCCTTAGGTCACTTTTCTCCGATCGTCACCATGTAACATTATGCGAATGTGTTCTTCCAACTGTCTTGAGCCTGTTTCCTTACGTTGCATTCACAGAAAACCGACTGCTGCGCGGTCTGAGGTAGCTCCATCACGAGGTCTAGGATGGCAATGGTACAGTTGGTTGGACAGGATGAATGATGGGATTTGGGCTCCACAATCATGGATTTGGTACTCAAGGGGCATATCATGACAGGATGGGTCCTAAGGAAAGTATGGGATGGGTATGAACTTGTACAAGGGCGGATGGAGTTGAGGGGTGCTGCTTGGTGCGATATTCGTGTATCAACAATGATATGGTTTTCTGCGTCTTCGGATCGAGATTGGATGCATGGGTGAGGTGTGAGTGTTCCGGTAACAGACGGGTACTCATGCCATTTAAGTTGTTCCGTTTAATATGGCATTGTTGTGCATCATCTCTTCCAGCATTCCCCTGGTGTACGAGTCTAGTGTAGTGCGGTGCAAGAAGCAAGAACGAAAAAAGAAGAAGAGTCGAGTTCCTAGGTATCTTTTCTCATATTGATTCCAAGCAGGGCAATTTGCCAAGAGACAGATGTCAAGGAAGGAGCCGAGATGGTTAACAAATACTGATATCTCTATTATCCAAGACCAATCCTCTACTGCGGTGTGTAAATTCCCCAGAATTTCGTGAAGGTACCCAACGCCCATATGAATCCATATCATTACAGTCGTATACCTATTCTAAGTTTTGTTCTGAAAATTCCAATTGTCCTGCGGCATCATTCGTTAGCACGAGCCGTCTCATGGAAGGGAGGGAGAGGGAGCGTCTACATCACATACCCATTGCTGCGTCGCATTACCCAAGGCCGTATTCCCCACCCCATCGATCCACTCACCCCCTTGGACCCCCATTCCCGCATCCACCGGCACGAATATCGCCCCGGGGTCCTCAGCCGGCATGCCAGCGAGGAAATCATCGTACCCCTCGCCCGGCACCCCGGACCCCAAACCCCCCAGCAACGACTCAAAATCGACCGCATCCATGGGCGTCTGCAGCTGCGCCTGCAAGGGGGGAATCTGCTGGCCGAAATCCGACGACGTGGCCGTCGAGCTCTGGCGTATCGGTCGGAAAGCAGGTTGCTGCTGCAGTGCGGCCTTGCGCTTGTTGACGCCCTTCATGATGTAGAAGGCTTCGAGGTTCTCTTTGACGGTCCAAAGGAGGTCGGAGCAGCGTTCGCGGACGCCGACGCCGTAGCAGTGGCCGAAGATGTGGTCGATGATGGTCATCATTCTGTCCTTGCGCGCTAGGTCCGGCGTGCGGTAGAGCTCCGTGAGGAGTAGGAGTACGGCGTGGTACTGTTGGTAGGTGGTGGAGTACCATACCCATGAGCTGAGAGACGGGAGCGTGTCCAGCGTCGCACCGATCTCGAGCGTGGTCAGAGCAGCCGTGAGGAGCACATCGCGTAGACGGTTTTCGGAATCCGAACGTGGCTGCAGAGTCGTCTGGGGCAGATGGCGATACAGAAGCATGGAGTCGCAACGAGCCATCAGGAGTGTCGCCACGAGGCCCGCATATCGCTGTATCGGAACTCGGGCATCGAGGTATTGTAGGTACTTGGAGTGGATCTGTCGTTTTCGGGATTCTACTCGAGCCCGCAAGTCGTGCAATGTGATGGCCTTGCGGTCCATTTCTATTCTCCCGCGGAAGATCAGACGATGGAGTTCATTACATTCATAGCGGATGAGTGAGAGAGTTACATCGGTCCAACCTTGGACTGGTGTAGGGTGGTGCTGCCACTTCGGGCTGCCAAATTCGAAAACATCATCATCCACATTTAGCGGAAGTGCGATGTCAAAGTCGTCGGAGCGGATGGATGGATGTGGTCCTTGGGCCTCGGCAGTCTTGAAGTCCAAGAAACATATCTGGTACCATAGCAGAGACCGAACATGGCGTTGCAGAGGCGTGAGGCTGCTCGCAGATGTGTGGCTAAGGCGGTGAATACCGATACATTGGGCAAGTCGGACTAACGCGCCGACTATTACCGAGGTCGCTCGCGAGATCTGGGCCCTACATAGGGGAATCTAGTCCCGTCAGTCCAGACTACAGCCTCATGTAGGCACAGTGAACCTACTAAATATATGGTGATAGCTTGGAGAGTGCGGATGTTGGACGTTTTAGCCCAATTCGCGCGAAGTAGTGCCCTTTCTGTAGCCGACTGCAGCCTGAGAAACAGGTCTTCCTTCGTGATTCCGAACTGCGATTTTGCCTGAAGCGGAGATAATGATGCAGCTGCCGCCATACAAACGGCCAGAACCAAAGCAGTGCAGGAATTCTGGTTGTTCCCAAGCTCTACATTGATCCAGAAACGGTCAAACAGTCGTCTGAACGAAGGGATGTGCAAGACATGAGCCAGTGGGCTGACAGACTCCACGTAGCGTTGGAACAAGGCCTCAGCCTCAATCTTAGTAGGAAGCTGGGGACGTTCCAGATCGTTGCCTTGGGGAAGGGGTGTGGAAGATCCCAGAAGCAGCGTGAGCGATGGCGACAGCGACGGCATCTGCTCAGCGGCCAAGAGAGCGGAAGACTGCGGTGCTCTCTGACCCGCAACAGAGGACACTGAATTGGGATGTTCGGAAAGGAGCTTACCCAGCTAGAATGCTTCATCAATTGCCAGGGCTTATAATTTACAAAGTTAGACGATAGTAAATATACATACCTCTTCGGCATATTGGGGACGAAAAAACCCAGTGATGTTTTCACAGATAATCATCCTCCCGATCCGGATGGTGAGATCCGTGGCGATCTGGTCCTCTTCGTCGTTTTCATCCTCAAAGACATCGTCATTCATCTCCTCGGGTTCCGCAGGCAATCTTTCCCAGGCATCCCCTCCGTCAACTTCGACATGTTGCTGGTACGCTTCCCACTCATAATCACGGGGCGGAGTTCCAGGCGTCTGAGTATTGATATTTGCGTTTGTGCTCGAGGTCTCATACTTCTCAGTCGGCGTGACTGCGGCCTGTGAATTGGTCCGAACTGGAAGCGGCTGATTCCAATCAATCCCACTCTTAGACGCTGATTCTCTCTGCTCTCTCTGTTCTCTCTGTTTCTTGCGTGCGGCCGATTCAGGCACCGTGATGAAGACACACTCTCGTCCGAAGGCTGTGCAATTCTGGCAGGGGTGCGTCTTCGAACATCGACTCTTGCGCGTGCGGCATTCCACGCACGAGTTTATGGGACGTGGATTTCTCCTACGAACCACCCTCGACTGCAATGGTTGTTCTGGCATATTCCCGGCATCATCGCTGCGCCATTGCAGGTGGTGTTGTTACGAATTAGGGCTGGCGGATTGCAGGAGATGAAAGGCTCCAACGGGCGGGTGAGCGGTCCGCTCTCCTTGTTTCTCAACACCATTGGTCCCTGCATGGAGATCGCTCACGTGATGCAGTATAAATTCCAAGTTCCAGCTTTGGGAGCGGCTCCTATGCTTGGCAAATGGGAGCGGAACATTTGGCGCAGTATTTGTTCCGCACTATGTACGAATAAGGGATTGTGAGTTATTTCATTAATATTTATCGTGCCTATTGAGCCCCTTATGGCTTGCCCATGCTGGACACCGACCACTATGGAAACATCAAATGCATGGAGCAACCAGCAAACCATACATGTTACGTTGAAGTCTTGGGAAACCGGTCAGCAATCACCTTCCAACTTCTCTTCTAAGGCGCCCTGCTGCTGTCGTAGGTCCAGGCTCAGGCCAGGAGTTGACTGCATCCTCGACTTCCTCGAGGAAGCTGGTACTGTTATGTACCGTGGTACCTCCCAATACGACACGGACTCCAGGCGAGCTGGCGTTGACCTGCGCAACCATCTTCGCCTCCTCGTAAGTTGTCCCTCCGACCATGAAGATGATGATGTCTTGAGGCTTGTCTTTCGTCGAGCCACCCCCTTCAACAAAAGGGTACGATTGTTGGCTAAGCCGGCCCTTGATCATATCCTGCAGAGTGGTCTCTAACCGCGGCGAATGCTGTGTGTAGACATTCTCCACACCCTTTAAGCCCTTGAATCTGTCGCGTGCGCCGCCGAAAAAGGACCCAGCTTGAAATAAGTCCGGCACCCCTCCAGCGGTCGTAGTAGCTTGCAAGGACTCGTGGTAGGTGACGAGTTTAGTGATGAGATTCAGTCTGTGTCGGGGGACGCCGGCAACACCGAGAAGATCTAAAAGCATGGGCGTCGAATTCGAAGAGTGCTTCGAGTAGCGAAGGGCGTAAATCGCAGTCAGTCGCAACTTATTGTCAACGGGTATCTTTGGATTTTGTATCAGACGCTGGAGTGTCTTTACATCGTTTGAGTGGTTTTCTGTGCAGGCAAGACTCTGCTCCAGCTCGCTGACATCCAGCAGGTTGTCTTCACCAACTCGTCTGCTTAGTTCACCTACTAGCGTGACGTGCTTCGTCACATTACCGGACAGCTTCCGAAATTCAGGAAAGTCTTCGATAAAGCGCTTCATATCTGCGATTGAATCGAGCTTCTGAGTGCCTTGATGTTTGGACGCGAATTGTTCCACGTAATCCTTGGCATTCTGGCCCAGGTCGCCAAAGTTGAGGTACATGTTCTTCTTGAAGAACGGATCTTGATCTTGAGAAAGCACGATCTCCTGTAATGCGCGTCAGACACAGCTTAGCTACGCTTTTTAGGTCACCATACTCTTAACTCAGGTCGAACATCGGGTACGCCACGTAGATCCACTCTCCCATTCTTGATCCCTAGTAGTTCATGCACCATTGCCTGATACGTCCATTGCGTGAGTAGAGGGGTGACCGGGTCATCCCGTCGATCAACAATGAGTAATATCGGCGGTGTATCCGTCTTTCGAAAGTCGAATAACTGGTCCTCTTGCGTCATGTGATACCGAACCTCCGTAGCTAGCTTCTTCGCCATAAGACTATTCTTCTGATAGCGGATAAGTGGCTTCTTCTTCAAAGCTAGAAGTAGAGCCATGACGCCCTCCGTTGACCTTTGCAGCGAGTCCTGATTCCACGCATCCGGACTAGTGCTCCATATTCTGTGCGTTGGATATGACAGGTTTAAAGACATCAGATCGGGGTTGATTACGAGAAAGTCGGCGAAGTACTCATGCACGGCGCGTACGACTTCATGGTCGTCGGCCTCAGCGAGCCGTTCCAGGGACGATTTCTTGATAATGTTGCTGAAGTCTGCGGCAAGTCAGCCACGGGTCGGCACACAGAGAAGCGCTATATCCCACATATATTGTACTCGCCGTACTTGGGATCTCGCAGCTCCTCTATCAGACTTTGTATTGACTCTGGCGACGGACGCACAAAGCATAGACATCTAAGATGCCGCATCTTCTCTCGGTTTTGGTTATCCAAACGGCTATCTCAAAGTTAGGGGAGTCGATGCAGGCGGGAGGAGGGCATGTACTCGGTGAGGTAGACTTCATGATTCAGGAGGGCTGATTGTGTTGTCGCCGTGGATACTATTGGGACCTTCACGGGAATATTAGCAGCTATACTGGGTGATATGGAAGTGCAGACAAACCTACAGTCTCATTGTCTAACAAGAGGATCTTCATCTTCGCGGCGGAGGAGCCCCCTGCAGCGGAGTCCCCGACCGACACCATCTTGGTGATGTAGCCGGAGACAGCCTGTACGACATCCATGATTGGCCTAGAGTACGTCGAGGTCTCTGCGTGTTGGCGGTCTCTCTCAACCAGGCCCTTTCACGGCTGTCAAGGCCATAGTCTCTAAGCGATTGACGTACGGTGTGGCTTGTGCTTTCACAGGACCAGGGTAGCTCGAGCGGGCTGACTAATCTTTCGACCCTAAACTTGGTCAGCTTCGTATTTGTCCCTCTCAACACCACTCGCTGAATCGAGAATTTGTAATCCGTTGGGGTCCCGGGAACGCGGTGCTTTCGGCTTTCTGTCGGCTTTCGGAGATCAGTTTCTCGATATTGGCTATTGAGGGAACATTCCATGGACCTCGCAACGAACGTTCAGCTCGGTTTGTACTGTGGTTGGCTTGTCAAACTCGCGAAAAAACGGCAGGGCTACAGTAGTCGATAGACTACTGTAGGTCGTGATGTTGGGATACTGTATAAGGATATACTTCGCAGAATTATCTGAGCTGGCGGTATTATTTTCAACAAGGAGTACTGTTCTATGACGTGATTGTGGAAGACGGGCCCCTCACGGGAGCCCTTTCTCTGCAGACATAAATACTCTGCAAAATATCTCAAGTTTCTTGCAGGCAACACTCCTCCAGTACCGTCTTCTCCTAAAGCTACCGATCAGATTGAGTCCGATAGTGTCCACCACTTCGAAACGTTCAACAATGACGAAGCTATTCATGTAAGCGTCCTCACAGCCTCCAAGTATCTCTCCGTCCTCTCATACTAACCTCCCCCTCCAGCACAGGAGCAACGGGTTACATTGGCGGCGACGTTCTCTACGCCATCGCTCACGCCTTCCCCGACCTCGAAATCACGGCCCTAGTCCGCAACAGCGACAAAGGCGCCAAAGTCGCCGCCCAGTATCCCAAAATCCGGCTCGTATACGGAGACCTCGACAGCACCGATGTCATCACCAAGGCGTCAGCCGAAGCCGATGTCGTCGTCAACACCGCGAACGTTGATCATGAGGCTTCTGCACGCGCGATCGTAGCCGGATTGGCGCAGAAGAAGGAAGGAGAGAAAGGGTGGTTGATTCATACGTCTGGGACGGGAATACTGTGTTACGCGGATTATGAGCGGAAGAGCTATGGGGCGAAGAATGAGAAGGTGTTTGACGACTGGGATGGTATCGGCGAGGTTCTAAACATTCCAGACGCTGCGCTGCACCGGCCCGTCGACAAGATCGTTCTTGCTGCCAGCCATCAATATCCAGGAAAGATATCGACGGCTATCATCTGTCCTCCGACTATTTATGGCCCAGGGCGCGGGCCGGACAGGACCAAGAGTATCCAAGCAAACTTGATGGCTCGCGCCACGCTTGTCCGGAAGAAAGGGTTCCATGTCGAAGGAGGTGAAAACAAATGGACGCAGGTACATATCCAGGATCTGAGCAATGTCTACATCTCCCTGCTCACAGAAGCTTTGACTGCGGGTGGAGGCAAAGCAACCTGGAACGACGAGGGGTACTACTTTGCAGAAGCCGGCGAGTTTGTGTGGGGGGACCTTGCAAAGGAGATTGCGAAGGCTGCGAAGGACAAAGGCTACATCGAGACCTCTGAAGTCGACGCCATCTCCACAGAAGAAGCCGACAAGTTGGTAGAGCTAGGAAGCTATCTCTGGGGCGTGAATTCCAGGTGCAGATCAATTCGGGCGAACAAGTTGTTTGGCTGGAAGCCGACGCAGAAGAGCCTGTTCGATCTCGTGCCTGAGATTGTCGATGTCGAAGCTAGGGACCTGGGCATAACCAAGGGACACGCTGCTAAGGCTGCTGGTGCTGTGTGAGTCTCGGTTTCTGAGGGACTCGTTGGAGACTTGTCCTCGCAGTAATCATACATTTCAGCGACCAAGTGCCTATGTTCTTTACTTTATTTCAATACTAGTTTACAACTTACTCTGCTTTCCTTGAAGCATCTCCTCCACCGCGATCTCACTTGTACACAAGATAAATGTGTCCTTCAAAGCCGGCACCCTCCACTTGGAGTTCGCCTCCTGGTAATCCCTTCCACCTAGCATATCAGCAAAGTGCAAGATACTGGGATAATGCGCGAGAGCAATCTCATCCCAGCCGCCGTCACCTTCCTTCTTCTTCCCCGCTACGTCCACGACGGTACCGACAAGTTTCGCGTTACCGCCACGCTTGGAGCCGACGTCGGAGGCGAATGCTGCCCCGTATTTGAGATAGGAGCCTTTTAGGCCTGGCTTAAAGGAGAGGAGGTTGAGCATGGAGACGGCGCCACGGCCGGCGGCGCTGGAGCCGTTGTAGAAGGATTGGACCCAAGCCTGCAGTTCCGGAGATAGCTCTAGGTTTTGCGCTGATTGAGCGACTTTCGGGTTCTTCAAGGCACCAGTGAGCTGAGGCACGGATTCTGGGGCGGGGTGGAGGAGTTGATTGTTCTTAGTTGAGAAGTCCTTGAGGAGGCGCGACGGGATGCCTGCGGTTACGGTCCAGTCGTGCTGGACCAAGCTCTGGAGGGAAGAAGGGAGGGCATCCGTTGAGGGCAGGATGAGGAGGAGGTCCCAATGGATGTTGCGGGCGAGAAGGCTTTCTGTCGAAAGTTCTTTTGGGAGGATGATCCAACGAATGACGCGTGAGATGACTAGGGGTTTGAGGTTGGTGGCCTTGAGGGCGGAGAGGAAAGCGGATATTGGGCTAGGAGTTGTGGTATGTAGTGAGAGGAGATGGAGGGTGCAGAGAGGCATTGTGACGACGACAGAGGAGTGGCTCTATGGGATGAAACTCTGGAAAAGATTGTTGATGGCACTGAGAAATACATGGGGACGAAAGTATAAATCGAGGTCTCGCTGGCATAGGCGCTACTGGTAATGGCACAGAGATCGCGGGGAAATGCCGAGGTTCCTATTACGGCAAACTCGCCCCCCCCCCCCCCGGAGTACCTAGTAGGTAGGGTGCGATTGTCTGGTAAGCCAGATCAACTGATAACAGGCCATAGCAGAACATGAAATGGTACAATGCCAGACTATATTAGCGAAAACTTGCCGTCTGCTTGATTGTACATATAGACTGCCAGCAGCATGTTTCGGTGCGATGTCGGTATGTTGTTGTACAGCCAGAGGCGATGCTCTCTAACACTACCTAGTCACAAGTACTCAGATACGCTCCGGAGGACTTTAACTAGACGTCCGCTTCTTCATCGGTATCCTGGCCCAACACCAATTCACCAAAATCGTCGTCGTCGCCTTCACTATCATCGGCATGAATCTCCTGGGCTGCTGGCGCACATGAAGGCACTGAAACCGACGAGACTGTGACTTTCTGTAGCGTGGTTGCTGGAGGCACCACTTGGTACGGCTGCTCCGGTTCGTCCATCTTCACACGCTTTGCGGGTAATTGCGGAATATCGCCAGTCTGCGGCCGTTTGCCTACACTGATACTTGGGGAGGAGTCAGGTTTACCCTCCACGGACTGTGTGGTCTCGAAAGCGGGAGCTGGCGGAGGCAGTTCGGGTTCGGGCAGGTGCACCTGGGGAGTATGCTCAGCCTGCAACGTCGTCGAAATATGATTCCTGGTTTCAGCTACAGGGTCAAGAGTCACGTCGAGCTCTTCGCTAGCAACCTGCTCCTCCGCTTCCTCCCCTGCCTCCTCTTCCACCTCCTCGGCTTCGGCTTCCATGTCTGAAGAATCATCGGATTCGGAACGCCCGGTGCGAAGCACAGGCATCCTAGGTCGAAGGACGATCTCTACATCTGCTTCACCGGAAAAAGATCTTGCCAGAAGGGGTAAAATGCTCGCGGCCGGTTTACCAAATTTCTTGCTGGGAGGAGGGTTCAGCACGCTGGCAATCATGGCGTCCTTGTGCTGAGTGAGAATGGCGGTACGATCCATGCGCATTCTCAACGAGTCCGACAAGTTATGTGCCCTTATCTTCGAAAGGAGGACGGGTAAAAGTTGCATCGCACTCTGTTGGAGCCCAGCATAGCCTGCAGCGAGTCCCCTTTGACTCAAAGGAGACTTCAAAAAAGCATCCGCATTTGTCGACATGGCAGGCTTCCTACTGCCATTTTCATTACCCGGAGACGGAGTGTGAGGTGCCCCGGAGCTTGTTGATTCCATAGGGAGAACGTCTTCGCAACACCTGCGGATGAGAGGAGAGAGGGTGTCAATAGATGACTTCGGAAGAGCTGCCCCGCAACGGTGAAGGAGTTGTGCGAGTGCACGGTAACAGACAGCACGAATGTGTACGTCACCCTTCTCTGATCCAAATATCCACGTCAACTGATCGAGAACGATGAGTTCGAGGCCGACGGCACTCTTCTCAAATCGACACGTCAGGACTATGAGCACCTCCAAGGCAGCAACGTGCACCTGGGGTAAGATGCTCCATAAGATTTCGCGCTCTTCCTTGCTGACTTGATTGTTGAATCGCACAGCGTTGGGCAAAGATGCGGGTCCCGATGCTGCCGGGACTGCGAGGGAGAGCATCCTTGTGAGAAGATCCACAATAAAGCTCATCTGCAGATTAATCGCGCCGGCCGTGGGAGTGCGCAGATACTCCCTGACCAGGTGAAGAAGACCTATAAGCCTTTCGCCACCAGCATGAATGCCAGACCAGGGAGGTAGATGAAGCACGTCTTGCTCGAGATCTTGCACTTCATCCTCCAGAGTATGGCCATTGACAGGGGCAGGAGCCGTATGAATGGGTTGCCATTCTTCCACCACGGCTCGAAAAACTTTATCTGCAATCCGATGGGTGTTCGTGATTGTGTCCTTCAGTGACTTGGCCCACTCTTCACTTGAGGCCCCTTTGGGCGCACAGCACGCCAACTGGACATATAGTCGCCGAGCACTTTCCGAAATCTCAGAAGAAGTCGCAAGCCTCTGTCCCCGCAACTGTTCTCTGCTGATCTTGCTGGATGGTGTTGGGGCCATGAGCTGTCCGAGGAGTTGCTGAAGCTGCTTGATGTAGGTACGAAATATGGTCGGATGTCTTGGGAGCAGTTGGTTGAAGCTTTCCAGGATCGTCTCTAACAGGCTCGCTGGAGGTCCCGACGAGATGAGTTGCAAGCATGCCTGGATGTAGGCCGGTAAAGACGGTGTTGCAATCTCCCGGACCAGTGTGGGATAGTCCCGGGTGAGGATAAAGATGCGGGTTAGCGTAATCAGACATAGTCTTTTCGAAGACGGAGGATCCGGCTTCGAGAGAACTCCTAGGAGGCCGCGGACCCACGGGAGACTCTTTTGAAGGGTCTCCCACCCTCCAACTTCAAGGCTGGCCTTGACCAAGACGATTGCTGTCCATCTGCCCTGAACGGTGCGGTCCTGAAGGAGAGTCGAAAGTAGAGTCCGATACTTGTGAACAGCTACGGAAGCCTCCGAAGCTGATTGGGATCCAGAAGCCTGTGTTGACGAGAGTAAAGACTTACAATTGGCCAGTGACGCGGTGATGGCCGGAACCTGTTGCGGCAACTGGGTGCTTGAGGTTGACGAGAGACGGAAGGATATGGCACGCAGGGTGGACAGCTCCGCCGCGTTTGGACCTGGTTTGGCCATCACAACCTAGTCCAGCCTCCGAAATCCAGGTGAACGGCAGGGGAAGATAGGTGTTGCTACTCTCACCGAAACATCGTCTGCCCAGTTCACAAAAAAGTTGACGGCGGTCGGCTCTACCTTTTTCCAGAGTGCCAAGGCAGCAAGGGCTCCCTGTCCCAACATGTTGCTGTGACGGATCGATGGGTGCTTCGAGGGGAAACCTCGCGGGCAGTGTGGACAGAGACACTTCCACCTTGTTTGGTCTTGCGAATATGGTTTCGAAATCTCCGATCCACCGCATCTTGCGCTAGCCATATCTCTACCACGATGGGTGTATGTAATCGGTCCCTCAACGCACTTCTGACCCCCTGGCAACGTCATTCACTCGTCTCAAGACATCTATCTAACCCTCCAGCAGAAGCCCGTCGAGAGCGACAAAGCTAAGCGCTATATATTACAATTGGACGACGCTCGATGTGCCGGCCGTTGGACGGATGTTCCGGAGCTTTGTCGCAAAGTCGAAAAACATGCCCCGCATAGACGATGTTCGTCCGCCATTCCATCCTTCTCATACACTCCGCGTGGCTGACGATACGCTAAGGCCTGACCCTCACCGCGAGGTCTGAAGCGCGCATATCGCATCATAGTACTCTCCGGCCTTCTACCGCCGCTTCTACCTCGTCCACCGGCCTCTCGCAGATCATACCTTCTTTGCTTACTGCCATTGATGAGGAGGTCGATCATGCCCAGGATGCATTCCAAGCGACAGTGTGCCTGGGCTGGCTACACTATGTCCTCGAAGAACCTGGCCTTGCTGTGGTGAGGCTACCGAAGGACTTCACCACGGCTGCTGCGAAGCTGTCGAGCGAAGATGGCAGCCTTAGCGGGTGGTCGCGCGTATGCGTGGTCAAGGGCGCATTCCTTAAAGGTTCCTCCCAGGATAGAACAGGCGCGACCGATGAGGCCATTCAGACGTACATGTCCATTCTCCCATGGCTTCGCTCTCTGGGCGACCTCAGCACTGAGTCGTACTTGTTCAAGATGTGGACCGAGCGTTTACTGGTACGGCTCTGCCAACTCGTTGACCAATCTAGAGAAACTGGCAGGTCCGTGGAGATGGCAGACGCATTGTACGCCTATCGATTATGGGCCAGATTCTACGAGACGGCAGGGACTTCTGGGGACAACGACAGTATGACCCCGCATCGGCGCTCTGCGTGGAAGGCGTATTATGCAACACTGTCAACAATCCTTCAACATGATCTACCATATGATGTTGAAGCCGGTGCTCATATCGAGGCGCAATCCGAGAAACCGAACGTCAGATTACGGCAGCGGGCAGAGTTCAAGCGAGTTGAGCTGGTGTACGAAGGCATATTGCTACAAGACATTCAGTTTCCTAAAGCGAGTGGAGATAATAAGGAAATTGAAGAGTGGACAGACGCAGTTATTGCAAACTGGCGAGTTCTATGCGGGCCAACGTGGGCAGACGATGATCTGGGCGAGGGCGGAAAGGAAGCGGTTGGCAGAGGAGTACTTGATGTAAGGGTTTCTATTCTGCTTCGATGTGCTTTGCACGGCTTCCTTCTAACAGTTTGGTGTTTCAGATTTTGTACCGAGCCGCTACTAAGACATTCCATTCAACCCCTGTTCTTCGGCATTTGTTCACAGTTCACGCATCCCTCGCCGAGTTCGAGCTAGCTTTCAAAGCTTATGATTCCTATGTGGAGATCGTTACACGAGGAAAGGATCGCGCTGAGAAATCAGGCGAAGAAGACGTAGGAATCGATGATGACAGTCTCATCCTCCGGACGTCTGCTGAAGCTATTCGACTACTGTGCAGATTTGGGTCCAGAGCGGAAGTCGAAAAGGCCTTGCAAATCGGCAAGAATATCGAGAAGTGGCTCGAACAAACCGAGCACATCAAGTCCGCTACATCAGAAGCTGGCTCAGTGCGATCATATGAGGCCGTGATAGCTCCCACAGCGCTTGCGGCTGCTTATTGGGCGTTGGGAGTCAGCAATGCTCAATGGGCTCGCTTTACCTACGATGCTAATGCTCGCACAGCCATCCAAAGCAAGGCTGCACAGTACCTGCGCAAGGCTCTCGAACCTCGTTTTGAAGACCCCAACAATGTCGAAACTCTGTATGCTCTGGGCATGGTCTTGGCGGAGATGCGAGATATTCCAGGAGCGATCAAAGTGGTCAAGCACGCTCTATCTGCGGCTACAAAAAAAGATGATCCGAAAGCTTCTAAGACTCTCGTGAGCGGCTTGCGCGCAGAGTTTGTGCGGGAACGGAGGCTCATCCCCACGTGGCATCTACTCGCACTACTTCTGACGGCAAGAACGGACTTCGTAGCTGCAGAAAAGGCATGCGAAGCAGCCTTCGAACAATTCGGAGACCCCACCATTCTATTCGGAAAGGAAGAGACGTCAGCGTACAGGAGCGAGCATCTGAACAACATGAATGGCAGCAATCATAATTCGAATCCCAAGGGCTTGGTAGACCAGATGCAGAGCTTCGAGAAAGCCGGGATCCTGCAAATCAAGATGACACAACTGGCGCTTGTCGAAACCGTCGAAGGACCCAATGCGGCCGTGGATGGTTGCGAAGAACTACTGGCGCTCTTTACCAGATTATTTGGAAACATAACCGCAGAAGCAGCGAAATCACTTCCTGTTCCTTCGACCCCTATGCCACCACCCAAAAGCTCGAAAGGCACAATTAGAGGAAGCATCTTCCGGTCAAAAAGCTCTGCAAGGAGTACCCATGTGGATGTTGGAGCGCGTAATCTCTCCATAGCCAGTTCGAGACCATCGACCACGGCAACGCAATTAACAACAGCTCCGGAAATACAGGTAACCGATGCAAATGGCACGGAACATGCCACTAAAAGTGAGCATCACCACCATCACCTCCCCCATCCCTTCCATCACAAACATGACGAAGAAAAGGGGGGAGTGAAGCGAACCCCGAGCAAACTGAAGAAGCGTAGTGCAAATAGCCTCCACAAATCATCGCCACAGGAGCCGGATCATGCTGGAGATGTGCCTGCCGTCCCTGTTGAGAACACGAATGGTGTTTCCGCGCGTACCAGCATATCTCGCGAGAAATCTCCCAGGCGCCCTTCGATGTCGAGTTCGGTTAGGAAGTCGATGGAGAGCAACAACCGACCGTACCGCACAATATCGCAGACTGCACCCCATTCACACCGGAGGGAACCGTCTTTACCCCCGCTGCGATCCCCGCAGCCAGCTACGAGGATGTCACACTCAGACGTACAAGGCCTGAGCTCCGAATATATCCCTCCGGAGCCGCATTTCTCAACTGCCCAAGTGCGGCGGCATAAAATCACGTTGCTGATCGACATATGGATCTTCATATCAGGTCTGTATGCGCGTGCGGGAATGTACGACGATGCCCAGGGCGCAGTGGCCGAAGCCTTCAAGCTGGTCGAAAGCCTGGAAGCAGAGGCCTCGCCAGACTCGTCTGGTAGCAAGGCACTAGCTCACAGGGGTTGGGGCGGAGCGCGAAGTATAGACCGGCTCTGGGCGGATGTTTACGCTGCGGTAAGGTTTCTTCTCATATCCTCTGCAAAGAACCCCTTGCATGCTGACCCTCTTTTTTCCTCTACCAGCGCGGAGACCTGAAATGCATTCAATCTTCCAAACACGCCGCAAAATCCGACTACGAGCAAGCACTTCTGCATTTCCCTGACCATGCCGAGGCGATTGTCGGGTTATCCAACATCCTGCTGGATATCTACAGCAAGGTGATACCACTCGAGCCGAGTGAGCGGGAACAAGCAGGCGCCGTAGAGGGATTTAACCCGCTCTCTCCGCCTTTGGAAACCCTGGTTTCAGACCCTCACAAAGACGTACACTCGCACGCAAAGTCTGAAGGGCAAACGCAATCCCATACACAGCAGCAACACCACCCTCACCATCATCATCACCATCACCATCACACCCCGCACACGCACACGCCCTCCGCGGAAAACACAATCTCTCCGCCCGAACTGAGCCGCGTCGCCGCCCGGGACCGAGCCTTTGGCCTGCTGTCTACCCTGACGAAGCTGGGCCAAGGGTGGGACTACTCGGAGGCGTGGTATGCGCTGGCCCGGGCGTACGAGGAGAGCGGGCAGGTGGAAAAGGCCAAGGAGGTGCTGTGGTGGTGTGTCGAGTTGGAGGACACGCGGCCCGTGAGGGGGTGGGGGGTAGTAGCGGCTGGTGGTGGTGGTGCTGGGTGGGGAGAGGGGGGCGGGTTTGTGCTGTGAATGAAAGTGGGGAAGGGGGTTTGCGGAGTGGATGATGGGGAGGGGATGGAGATAGCAGAGGGGAAGAGGAAAGGAAGGAAAGGGGAAGTTCACTTGGTGTCGGTAGCCGTGATACCCAGCCAGGCTTTGTCGTTGTTGATAGTTGATGAATTGACTGATGCTGTGGGATACATGTATGATGTTTCATATGTATAGGGAGACATTCTCTCTTGCACATTCACGACTACGGGGGTTCTTGTTTGCACAAGCAGACTGGACCAGGGAGGAGGGATTCGACGCAGTAGTCCTTGGATGTGCTCAACTAGACCGCATGCAGCATTCTGCAGAGTAACAGTTGGCTCGCCTATCACCACTCTAACACCAAAGACAATGGAGACAAAAATCGTCAAGCAAGCAATATGTATACGCTCAGCGTGCAGCATCATCGTACGCCTTTTCTTCAGCTGCATGCACACTACAGGCAGATCGCTACCATCTATGCAAAATCTTCGTTGCCGGACGACAAAACGGCCGTACAGAATCCACATCCAATCCCGCCATCGCTTCAACGCTACCACACCATGCTGTGTCCAACAAACTCGCACGCCACATTGCCGACCAGATGAGGAAGAAAAGGATGAAGAAATGAAAAAGGATGAAGAACACGACAAAAAGGAATACTAAACAAGAGGGGGAATCATCCCGTCATAACGGTCCGCTCCCTTCCCTCTAGAGCCCCGGATCCAAATGTACCGACCCAAGAGAAGATTGAGAAAGAAATAAATGCAATGCGACATGGACAAGGCGCGCAAGAAGGGGGAGTGGTAAATCTAAAAAAAGAAGTTGGATAGTAGAAACGAAAAGATTGCCTGGTGCGGCGGCGACATGAGCGGCCAGACGGACGGCGCTGGGACCCGCAAATTAATAATTCTGGGCAGATATCAAATGCTGCGGCGGACCCATAGTCGTGACTACTGATAGCGAGCTGGGCATGTCGGGTATCGATGTGGAAATGTTGCCGAGGTTGGTGAGATAGTCGTTACCGGAATCTGGCGACTCCTCTCCTAGGGACTGGAGTTGCTCTTCCTCGCCTTCCCCTTCCAGCTCTTCTTCCTCGAAGCTGCCAAGCAGCTCACCGTCGCGCTGCTCATGAATGCGTCGATGCCTGCAAAACGGGGTTAGCGTGATTCACAACATATTGCGGCGGGAGAAACGTACTGGGCGAGATTATCGGATCGAGAGAAGGCTTTGTTGCAGTGTGGGCAAACATACGGACGCTCCTGGGTGTGGGTGCGCACGTGTCTAGGCGCCCAGTCAGCGGCTACCTTGGTGTTTCAGGAAATTGCGGGCGCTTACCTCTTGAGGTGTTCCAACCTCTTGAAAAGCCTACCACAGGCGGGGATAGGACATGAGTGGGACTTTTGGGGGTACGGGCTTCCCAGTTCCATCATGGTTGCGCTCCTTGCACGCCGGAAGACGCCCGGCGCACCTGCCGTGCGGGCGATAGCGCTGTGCTGCAAGGGATTTTCAAAGACCTCGGGGTTGACCAGCCCACTCATGTCTCCCTGGGGAAGCATAGTCTGCTGTTGTGGCGGGCTATCCTCAATCGTCTGGAGCGGAGTTCCATGGCGCGAGACGTCAACCACTGGTTTCGAATCGGCAAGGGGGTTGGCAAAGTTGCCGCTGTTCGCACTGTTGGGTGACTCGTGAGCCGATTCGTCTCCCTCTGGTACGGTCATGACAGATTGGGACATGGATCGCCTCAAGTCGCTTGGGCGATGGACCTGATGGGCGCCTCCAGTGGCCGTGATGGCGGCACTGATGTTGGCGGATATGGATGAACGCCGTCTGCGTTGCTTGTAGGTGGGCGATCCTTCAATGACGGAATAGACGTTGGCCGGTTGGAAAGCGCGCGTGGCACTTGGAAATCCTGTGCCCAGCAGATTCGAGGTAGGAATGTTCATGAGCGGATTGAAGGTCGTCGACACGGAAAGTTCGGGTATCGCGCTGTACAGGCCAGTCTCCTCGTGCGCAATGAAAGTTGGCTCGGTTCCCAGACCGATCTGATGTTGAGGAGGAGTCAAAGGCTCAAAGGACATGCCCCTTGTGCTGTAATGATCCTCGTAGTGCGACGAGACAAACGACGGAGCGGGAGAATATTCCATGTATGCGGGCATTGAGCTGTGACGCTGGTGGACGTGGGAAAGAGGGATACCGTTGCGGTCGTACTGTGCTGGTTGGCCGTAATCGCGTTCCCGAGTTCCCACAATATTCTGCATAGTGGGAGCCATTGTCATCTGGTTGTACTGGGTCATCTGCCCGAGCGTGTCGTCGTGTACGGGGGGCGGCATCGGCTGGGGGACCACAGCTGGCGGTGGCATGGAATCCATGGCGCGCAAGACGGGCGAGGTCGATTGCGAGTATGTCTGCTGCGCATTGCTGTTGAAGGACGACGAATTTGTCTGTTGGGCCTTGGTGAGTTGCTCGAAGAGCGACTGTGACGAATCGAAGACGAAAGACAGGGCAGGCTCGCTGACGGCTACGGTTGTGGCCTCCTGGCCCATCTTCTCGCGCTTGAGATCGCGCTCCAGCGCGTCGAGGAAGAGACGATCATGCGGAACGCTGTACCAGTAGAAGACCTTCTGCTTCTTCTGGGTACGGATGCAGTTGTTCTTGTACAGGAAATCGAGGAAGGGGCTCTTGGGCTCCTCCAGCGAGGCATCTGTGCCAGCCTTGAGGTTGCGGAGATCAGAGAAGATACCCTCCTCGAACTTCTTTGAGTTCTTGACTGGTCGACCAAAGGCATGGAAGCGGAAGGTTAGGCATCGGACGATGTCGGTACCCGAGATGTGGAAGAGGTTGTTCCTTTATTGGACGTGTTAGCTGGTTTCGTCTGGCTGACGGCGCGTAGGAGGTGGATGCGCCATGTCGCAATGCATCTGGGAAAACACTCACCATAGTACACAGGAAACATACTCGCCCGTAGGCAGGAGGAACCTGCGAACCAAAGAGTCGGGGGTCCAGTCGACGGGTGCTGAGATGAGGAAGTACTTGACTGGGACAAATGTCAGCGCAAGCGGCCAAAGCACGTGCGACAGTGTTGAGACAGAGGGTGGAGTGGACAGGAGACGGCTTCAAGGAGGTACATACGGTTCTCTACTTGGTTGAGGGCGATGAGGCTATCGCGAGGCAAGTTCTGCTGAGCCTCCTTGTCCATTAAGAAGTTCTCGGGGCCTATAGGTCGCGAGGGAGGGGGCGGCATGGCGCCGTGAGAGGTCGAGTACATGGTGTGTAGCAACACGACACAGGACTTGTGTGTTGTTTTGCGATGGAGTAATGTCGAACAATGGAATGAGACGGATGGGGTTGCTTGCCAGAAGGTCCTGCCAGGCGGGAAATAATGTAACTCGAAGCGCAAAGCGAAGGAAAAGCGACTGCAAACGTTTGAGGAGCGCAAAAGGGAAGTAAAACAGTATCGAGGGCCTGCCTCGGGAGCCTCAACAGTCTCGCCGTCAAGTAGGACTGGGGGCCTAAGAGAGCTTGAAGGGGAGGGCTTGGGGGGAGATGGGCACGAAACGTCGAAGGGAGGGAGGAGGAGCGGCGCTTTAGGTGTGTCGGAAGACGCTGAAACAGGAGGGCCTGCGTTTGAGGGAGGAAGGCGCCGGGGATCCAGCCGAGCCAAGTCTATTTTGGGGCCCGCCTATTAAGTCAGCAAAGCGCAGGCCTGGGCACGCCCGACAGGCCAATCACGGGTGCCCTGCAGAATGTAGCGCCTGTGCGACTCAACCGGATATCCCTGCGCGCAGCCGGGGGTGGGAATTTGCCTTGGAGAAGTGAGCACGGAAAGAAGAGGGAAGAGGGTGTGTCGCGGGTGGCAAAAAGAACAATTAATGATGCAAGCAAGAGGGAGAAGACGCGGAAGAGGGAGAAAAGAAAGGAAGGGTGTGTGGCGTTTTGACGGGGCAGAGAACCCTTTTTGTTGTTGTTGTTGTTCTTGGTACTATGCTATGTACCCTGCCTGGGCAGGCACGACTAGCAGCGCAGAGAGGGAAGGAGGGTCCGAGGGAAGGCGCGGCTCACCTACGAGAGAATATCTTGGAGCGTCGAGAGATGAACTGCTCTGCCCAGCAATCTATCTGTAAGCGTCCCCTCCTCAAGCTCCAGCACGCACAGCAACGACATCTTCTTCACTGTGCAGATGCACTCACTCCGATGTCCCGTGTCGCCGTTTGCAAGTGCTATGGATGGAAATCCGCACCCGTCGGCTTCACTTCGGGCATCCATGAACAACCACATACACCTCGCCTCGCCAGCACACGCCATGGCCATTTCCGAACATCCGTTCACGACTTGCAAAGAAGAAAGACACTTTGTCATGATGGTCGGCTGGCTGCTGCACCCTGCTGTGCCTGTGTGCCGCTGTGCGAGGAATCCAATTCCAGCCTGCACCAGCCCACTACTTGCAGGAACCCGCAGCGCCAGGTTTGATCTGCCCCCTGAAACACACGTCTCTGCTCTGCCGCCAGCACCCAACCCCCCCATCGGAATCCAGGAACAGGAACAGGAACGGGCTACATACGGAGCTCCCGCACCTCTCTTTACTCCGTACACAGTACTCCGTATTGCAGTTGAGACATGATTGCTCTGGAGTCTGTAGACGCCCCTCTGCCGCTGCTTTCTTCCCCTCTGCTGATAGCATGACGCTGGACATGCCTCGGGCGTAACGCTGGGAACGGCCTAGGGCAACCACGGGCAGCTCCACAGGCCACGGACGCTTGTCGTCACCTCGCTGTAGCGTTTCAGGCCCTTCACGACTCCATGATCACCATTCACTCTGGCCAAGCCAAGCCCTCACCGTTTTCTGCCGCCTCCACACAGGGCTCGCGTTCATGGCGAGTCAGCGAATCAGCTCCCTCCAACCTCCCTGCCACTCTATCCCAGCCACTTCCTTTCCTTTCCTTCTCCTCGCTCCCATCGCATCGTCATATTTCATCCAATCGCAGGTTCTTGGTGGGGAACAGCGTCTGGACAGTTAAACCGGATATTCGGAAGCCAAGAAATTCCCTCTTATGGTCAAGCGGTTACTTGTTGGAGTTTAACTCCTACCAGTACAGGTAAAGCGCGTGATTCCGAATATGCGGAACAACTGGCCAGACGCTGTATGCGTGCGGTGCCGCCTGTACCACGTGCTTGCTGGATTGATAGGGAGCTGTGTGAGATTTCTCCCAAGACTGCCGCCATGGTCAGTCAAAAAGTCCGTCCCTCCCCCATCACCACCACAAAACCGCATCAGGCCCTCCTCCACGAGTCCTTGACGTTCTGGCACCCCCTCCGCAAGAGTCAGCTTCAGCAATCCTGCAGACGGAGGGCCGAGTCGACTGTCGGACCCTGCGCGCTTGTCTCGAGTCGGACGCGCACGTGTGCACTTTTGGTGATGGGACCTGCATCCGCATCCGCAGCCTGCACCTCCCCGCCAAGAACTCTCAGCTGCTGCAAAAAGTTGTGACAAGCCTGTGAATCTCTTGCAGCCCTTGCCCTCTCTCTCTCTGCTCTCTCGGCTTTGTTGTTTGTTGCTTGCCCTCAGACCATGCTTCGGGAATGGGATGCATCGGTGGAGTTATCGCTTTGGGATGGGCAAGGCCGTACCTGCATTAGCCTTCACCACCCCATGACTCTGAGACACTTCCCCTCCCCCTTTTTTGTTGCTGCTCATCACACAGAGAACATGCCAACAGACAATCACATCCAGATTCTCGACTGCTTCGTTCGTCATCTGGAAAGAACAATAATGGACTGCTGCCCCCACTTGCTCGCCTTGACCGTTGGAGTGGGCCATCTCGGTTGCAACCAGCGAGATGAGACCTCGACGTCCGTGAGAATGGGCCAGCATTATCCCGTCATCCATCCACCTCGAAAGCTCCAGATCCCCCTCCCTATCGCTGCACTCTTTGTTGATGCAATTGCCTGGTCACCTTTAGCCTCTAGTGGCAAGCGGTCATGATTGTGAAAGCATGAACAAGTACCACAGTAGAGAGCCTACTTGTTTTCTCTAGTGTGCCGATCATATCGGACCTTGAGCGTTCTTTTTGGTCTAGAACAGAGGCGTGGATTTGCTTTGACCACTTTTGCACTTCTTCTTTGTCAGTCAAACTCGACCAGGACTTAGTCGAGCCATCATGACATAATTGCTTTATCGTCCGAGTCGCAATGATAATACCAGTACACAGTAAGCATGCCGGACCTGCCGCCGACTACAGTACTGTGTTTGATGTCCAAGATCCAACCCCCGGCTGTATCAGATGTGCGGACCGTGTCTCAGACCGGCGGGTGTTTCAGATTGATCCATGGCTGCACTGTTCTCACACTGCCATGCCTGACAAACCATCTGGGGCTAAATAGAGTGCAAGAGTGTACGGCGGAACGCCGTCTGGTCAGGCTCTTCTACCACCAGCCTGAGAGTTCGTTGGTGGCGCCCTTACCATTAGCAGTTGGAACCCTTGCGACTGGCTGGAGCTGGGAGAGAGGGAATCACCCTCACCAGCACCTGAAACCGCTACCTTTGCTTCTAGCTCCCGGCCCAAGGTCATTCTAGCCTTGTTGTTCCGTGGATCAAACGGAATGCTGTTGAGAAGCTTTGGACTAGGACCCGGTTGGGAATGTCTATTGTTAGCAAGAGAGATCAGCATTCAGTGCCGTTCCCGGGTGACGAAAACACCATCGCCAGGTGGGGAGGTGGAAGGTTGTAGAAGTTGTTGGAGGATTAGGGTTTGACTTTTGAGTTTGTCCTTGTCTTGCTGAGTAGGATCCTCCGTTGGACTGTTCCAGAAGTCGGTGCAGATCCCAAATTCTGACTATTGGAGAATGTCTCTGGCTTGTAGCAGGTCCGCTCGACCTTGACGATACCTAGACGCTGATTGTTTCCAGCTGTACTGTGTTAGGTCCAATTCTTCATAAATGGATGGCCCTAGACGTGTTGTGAGAAAGGCAGCTTCCCATCACCGTGATTTCTAGCAGTGCTTCAAGTTGCGGCAAATGGCTTCTGATCTGGCACTCGTTGTTGATTCATGTGTAGACAGAATGCAAACTTCACAGGAAAATCCGCGTTTGATTGTTATTCGCTGCTGAATCCATCAACCAAGCGTGGCTTTTGTGTGGAAATAGCAAACCTCAGAACTCATTCGTGTGAAAGTATCCATATATCAACCGCCGACAAGTCTTTCTGGCGGTCAGTATCAATGAGGTCTCGATACAGTAAGGGGAATTAAGCTGGGTTGTCTTTTTGCATTGTGATGATACTTGGTTTCGCATACGGTGCGCAACCCATAGGGTAAGCAGTACTGTACTGCGTTATTTGATGATAATTGAGATACTGGGGCCACTGAAAGGGATGGTGCGAATTCACAAGATGGTGTTGTGTTTTTGAGTGTGATGATGTTTTGATCGAGTCCATGAAAACGGGCCAGCATGAACCTCCACTTGATCTCCGAAGCTAGGCAGAAAGAGCATAGCGGCTTGGCGACCCAACGTCCAACCATCAATCTTCTACGACACATTCGACATCACGAGTCTATTCGCCGGCCATCCATGGGACACTGCTCCCGATAACGAATCCCTATGGCCGGGTCTATGATGCCTCGTGCCGCTACCCGCTCGCTACTGTCTTCGCCATCTTCAGTCTTGGTCAAAAACCGACTTTCCAACTTCCCTATAGCTCTGGTGCCTTACCACTCACGTGCTTCGCTGTGTTGGGACAGTTCGAGGTCCAAACGGCTATGTACGCAAATATACAGACATAATCCTTGGAGTCTGCAGAGATGTGGACAGGCCCCATTCACCATATCGGCCGTACGGGGAGCAGCGAATCCGGAGAAGCCAGAGAAAGATGATCCTGTAAGTCCCATCTGTATTTCCCACAGCGGTCACAATCCAAATATGCTTCGCAATCCGGATTATTGTTCTCCTGCATTTTGTAACAGATACTTTCAATCTTGACTTGTCTACTTCCTGGGCAACCAGACTTCTAAACATAATCCTTCTGTCGATTTCTCGGTTTTCATCTGACGCAAACAATCGCTTTACAGCATCACCTTGATTCAAGTTCGGCACTATATCACGTTTCCGTTGTCCATTGATTCTGTCGAATTTCCAGATGTATCCCAATATATTTCATAATCTGCAATGTACAATTTCGAAATTTGAGAACATCATATCCGCCCAGGTGTTCCCTTTGAGGATGTGTGGCTACAACAACTCGCCGTACTGTTCTCAAATTCGCTGCACTTCACTGACACAGACTCAGCCTCCCCCTAGAACTCTGACCGCCATTAAAGAAACACTTAAGACCAGTGTCTCTGCCCTCCGCCACGAAAACATTTACACCATTCCCAACATCCTCACCTTCTCCCGCCTCCTTGCCACACCCGCCATTGGCTACCTAATAGTTCATAACCACCATCTATACGCCTTCTCCCTTTTCCTCTACGCCGGCTTCTCCGACCTCCTCGACGGATGGATAGCCCGCCGTTGGAAACTGCAGACCGTTGTCGGCTCCGTTGTCGATCCAATGGCCGACAAAGCGCTCATGACGACGCTTGTCAGCTGTCTCGCCATCAATGGAACTCTATCGCTGCCTCTAGCGACTCTCATCTTGGGCCGAGACATCAGTCTCGCTGTCGCGGCAGTGTATTACCGTTATGCCAGCTTACCAGCTCCGAAGACTTGGGGACGATATTGGGACTTCAGTCTCCCCAGTGCGGAAGTGCATCCAACGACGGTATCCAAGTTCAACACTTTCCTTCAGCTCGTGCTCATTGGGACCACCATGTGTGTATCCCTCTTGCACGATCCTTCGGCCATCAATTCGGTCGCGGGGACACACTTGCAGAACGTGCAGGAAATGTTGGGTGGCCCCGACGGTGTGAAGACGATGGTGCAGGGCATGTCCGCGGTTGTGGCCGGGACTACGATCTGGAGTGGTTTGAGTTATGCGTGGATGAAGAATGCGGTCAAGATCCTGGGGGACAACGAAGCGCTGAAGAGGAAGCAGGGGGCAAGAGGGAGAATGATCATTGGTAGCTGTTTTGGGACATGTCTCGCGCTTGCGGCTTGGCTGGCGTGGAGAGAAAGAGAGAAGAAGACGGAGGATGTGGAGCGGGAAGATGCACGGAAGTAGATCTATGTTGTACAATGGGATCAATTCGTTTGAAGCTTTAAGCCACGTCAATGGCTTTTTAAATGATGCACGTCATCTACAATCCGGTCGGTTTTGGGGATGTCTTTCGAAGTGGTTAATAGTTCCTTCCATGAAGTCAGTTACTAGATACACTTGTGTAGGGTACAATACAAGTCAAAGCCTATGGCTGAGCACCTGCTGTGGTGATTAATGAGTCTTGGCAGGTCGATGCCTAACCTTACATCCCCAGCCTAACCATCAAGCTCCAGACATTTACAAAAACATCAGCCTCAGCTGAGACATGTGCAAGTGCCATTTAATGGTAGGCGCATGAACATACTCTAGAAACTTGTTGAGATGAAATGTCCCCGATATCGGGCCATGTTACGCAGAAAACCAAGCACGACAATAACAAACCTGGGAACACTCAGCTCACGATTGTTCTTCCAAACATATTCACGTGCCTTACTTCCAGGTGTTTATTTATTTCTCGACGACACGTGAACTGCTTTGCTAAAGCTTGGTAGATCTTAAGTACAACGATGACCTGTTCAACTACACTCGTGGCCGCTTCATCAGCGATGAAGAGTTCGAACTCTCGCAACGCCATATTCGTTTCAATGTCAACGAATTAGCAAAATGTGCGGCAGAGGCCGTCGGTGCAAAATCCTGTGTTGATGTCGAAAAATACCCTGATGGGATGTACAACAAAGCAATGCTTCTCACGATGGACGATGGCACCCAAGTCGTCGCGAAGGTTCCAAATCCAAATGCTGGCTTACCGCATTTCACCACTGCGAGTGAAGTCGCAACCATGGATTTTGTACGTTTTCTTTTAGAACCATGAGCCTATCTGGACTTACACACGTTAGGTACGGAACGTTCTGAAAACGCCGATTCCTAGGGTTCTGGCATGGCGTTCGAAAGCCGAAGCGACTCCGGTTGGAGCCGAGTACATTATCATGGAGAAGGTCCCAGGAATTGAACTCGAACGCGTCTGGTCTAGCATGTCTATAGAAGACAAGTTCACGGTTGTCAAGACTGTCGCTGGCTTCCAAAAGGCTTGGACCTCAATCTCGTTCAAGAGATTTGGAAGTTTATACTACGCGAAAGATCTGAGTCCGACTCTATCTCCCCAAGACGAGCCACTCTATGTTGATGAGTCTGGGAAGGAAATCGTGGACCCACGGTTTGCAGTTGGGCCATGCACAGGTCGTGAGTGCCTTGACAGTGGGAGAATGAGGGTCGAGTTTGACAGGGGACCATGTACGTCACCTATTGCTAGTGATTTCTTCTACTCACCGTTAGCAGGGACATCATTAGAAGAGTATCACAAAGCTATTGGGTATCGAGAAATCGCCTCCGTTCGCCAGCTTCATGATTTACCCAAATCTCCCGTCATCCTCCATGGCCCAGGGACGTACATACCCACGAAAGAAAGAAAACTCCAAGCTCTGGAATGTTATCTGAATTTAATCAAGTATCTTCTTCCAACAGATACCTCAATCTCAACAGCAAACTTGTGGCACGGCGACCTACATGTAGCCAACGTCTTCGTCAACCCAACTAATCCCACCGAAATCACTGGTCTGATCGACTGGCAATCTACCGAAATTGCTCCTCTTTACTTCCAGGCGCGTCAACCCCATATTCTCGATTATGAAGGACCGCCTGTCAGTGGCTTGGAGCGACCCACGCTTCCGAAGAATCTGGACGAGCTCGAACCGGATGCGAGAAGACGGGCCGTGACGCTCTACTACCAACAATCCCTCTGCGTACTCTACAATACACTAACCCACCGCCAAAACCCCCGCCTGTACGCAGCCCTTGAATTCCAGCAGACGACGAGCTTCATGTTGCTCCTCCTCGCACGCAACCTCCTCGTCGATGGTGAATCGTCCTATCTCGCACAGGTGGCAGAGCTGGAAGCGACGTGGGAAACCCTCACAGGAGCCAAAAGCTCCAGATACCCGTTCTCCTTCTCGGCCAAGGAGCGAGAAGAACTCGAAGCTGAGGTGGAAGGCGTGGTACGTGGCATGGAAGCCATGCGCGCCATACGAGAGGGTATAGGAGAACTGTTTCCTGAACAGGGCATTGTGAGGCATGAGCTTTATGATGAGTCTGTGAATGCGTTGGGGCAGATGAAGGAACAGGTGATTGAGGAGTTTGCTAGGAGTGAGGAGGAGAGGAGGGTATGGGAGAGAATGTGGCCGTTTGGGACTTGAGGGGTCACTTGTGTTACTGGGGGGCTCTGCAACGATCAGGTGCTCAGTATTATATTGATAAAGAAGAATGTTTGTAGATCTAGTGGTTCCTTTTAATGAGAGTGTTCTCTTTTACTTGGATTCACATTACCGGGACTCGATCCGAATGCGAGTTTCTCTAAGAATTTCCAATTTATATACCTTTTGCTGGACAAGTGATTCTGGGCCTGGATTTGACGCCATGACTCTCTCTCTGCGTCGCCGATGTGCAGGATGCCCTGACAAGCATGCAAGAGTCGTGATGTCCAACTCATCGTCCTCCGCAAGTGCCTACAGAGCGGAAGTTCTTGGGCCATGGCAATGCAGATTCCCATTTTGTAATAGGAACAAGTAGGTTCTGCTGCAACTTAAACGTGATTTTATGATAGGTGGTCTTTCCGTGCATGATGCAAGTTCCTTCTCATAGCTCCGATTGCGTTTAGCTGGCCAAATATTACCCATGCCTTAAATAATCAGGGCCCAAATGGTGAAATAATATTAGAAGTGATTGAGATCCCTTCTCAGCCGAGCAATGAGGATTGGAAATAGTAGCATGTTAAGCCATAATGACCAGGTAGTCTTGCACATGCGAACACAAGACACGGAAACCCGAAAGGGATAAAGCTCGCCATATTCTAGAATTGTGCATGACTTCTCAGCAGAAAATTGTAGCCGAATCGATTAATGGCTCCTTAGGTCTGCTGCTGTTGCTACATAAACTGTGGAACAAACCCGATATCCATTCCGTCAACACCCAGCCAGCATCGTTGAAATTCGCCCAAACCCATAAAGATAAGGTGCATCCATCCCACTTCAAAACAAAGAGAATTTGAATTCCACATCCGCGACAATACTCGGCGCCGCCCATCAACCGTGGTGGTAAAGAGTGGGGAAGGATGGGGGTATGTCGAAGAACAGCACAGGAGTGCGCAAAAACTGGAATCGAGGTTGAAGATAGACAGGACCGGGGAGGAAGAAGCCATCCATCGGTGTTGCTGGCCACCTAGCGTGATCGCGTTGGGACCAGATCGACTCCGTACAACTCCACACCGGTTCGCGGTAAAGTTACATCTGTTGCCTTGATACGTCCAGCAAAGAGCTGAACGCGCTTGAAATCCAATTTATGCCTCCACTGCCTTGCCCTTCTTCTTCTGTTCCACCTTCAGCAACAGGGCGCGGTTGATATGGGGTAGGACACCTCCGAAAGCAATGGTCGCGCGGATGAGGGAGTCTAGTTCTTCGTCGCCGCGGATGGCAAGCTGCAGATGGCGTGGCGTGATGCGCTTGACCTTGAGGTCCTTGGCTGCATTCCCGGCTAACTCGAGGACTTCTGCGGTGAGGTATTCGAGTACTGCGGTAAGGTAGATAGCGGCTTTTCCGCCGATGCGTGTCTTCTGGCGCGTGATGGTGCGTAGATGACGCTTTATGCGACCGCAAGGGAACTATAACGAGGCGGTCGCGTTAGCGCGCAATCAACTAGGTTATCGGATGAGGGGTGAGGCAGCAACTAGAAATCGCCAGCGATGTAATGACTCACCTGCAAGCCAGCTTTCGCAGAGTGAGATTTCGGCGCTTTCGCGTGCGAGTCGCCCTTCCCTCCAGTCTTGCCACCAGTTTTGCCTAGTAGATGTTAGCTGGATTTGTTCTTCTCTTCCCATAGCATGTCCATCGGCGCGTACCCTTTCCGCCTGGCATGGTCGTTATTTACGTCTCGTTGAGAATAAAGGCTTGTTGCAAAGGTGGTGTCGTTGCGACGGGGTTGGCGAGGTTTGGTGCGGCGACGTGTTGTGATGATGCTGGTGGTGGTGCGAGGGCGGGTGGCTGGGGTTGGTGGTGGTGAAAGAATGGAGAACGCGCCCGCCGAGCTTAGACCAAAATACTCCTGATTAGGAAGCTATGACCACGTGACCAAAAGAAAACCTGGGCTGCCCATATGTCGATGCTGCCGCCTAGAACGCACCATAAATATCGAGCTGTTGAGTCCCTTAAGGAGAAGTAAAAGGCCATTCATATCGAAGAAGTCGTCGACGCATGACTCACGTGACCTGCCTCCATCAAGCTGGTCGGAACCAGAAGTGTTATGGAAGCTGGGTCGAAGTCCTCGAACCGGATGAAAGAGAAACTGAAGAGCAAGGCGAGGGAGTTTGAAAATGGACGATGATTGAGACTTGTCGAATTTTGGTCTTAAACTCTTAAAAATAAACAGGTTGAGATGGGAGAAGCTGGGACAGACTTGTCGAACTAGAGCTCGATAACGTCGTGGCCGGTTTTGGGTGACAAAAGGAATGGGTGGACTGAATGAAAACATGATAGGAAGATGTAAGAAATTCCACTTAGCTGTTCAAGTGTGCTTGGGCATACGCAACCGGGCGTGGTTAAGGCCCACGATGGGGCGTCGGAGTGTGGTCCATCTTGGTAAGACTCCTGGACAGCGGTCGCTTTAGCATGGCCTCCTGATAGATCCCGCAGCAAGATAAGATAGCCAAGATACGGCCGAGGGCCTAAAGAAGGGGTAGGTACAGTTGTAGAACCCGAGGTGGTGCATTCACATATCCAATATGCTGGTGGCCGAGTGAGGTTGTGATCGCATTGATGCGCACGGGCCGCACCTGCCCGCTGCCGCTGGCAGCTATTGTGAATAGGGGAAAGCGCCGTCTTGGCAACCCTGGACCCGTGGACCCCAACTCGACATCAGTTCAACCACATCACAGCGGTGTCGAGCCATTTTCCCCGCTCTTTCACTTCTATTGTCGCAGTAGTTGCTTTGTGCTCTCATCCTTCTGTATACTCTCGAACAGTATCACATAACCCGTCGGCGCCGCTGTTCAACCCGAGCTCTCGCCCTTACCACCCCGAGCTTCACGCTCACACAGTCCATCCGTTCGAGCTACGCCGCACAGTGCATGTGGACGAATCCCAGACTTGATTCCTCGGGACGCTGATATTGAGGAGCTCATTCATGGCGTGGCAGACGCCTTCAGCCATGAATGCCGGCGGTGCAGGAGATGGCTCTGTACCTACGGGAACGGAATATACATTGCAGGGTATGCAATAAGGATTCGTCTCTTGTTGCTTGGCAAGAGGGGTTCTATGGGACTCTAAGCTAAATGATGTTCCCAGGGGTTATGCGCTTTCTTCAGTTAGAGTGGCACAGCCATGAACGCGCGCGGAATGCCTGGGATATAGAGCGTGCAGAGATGAAAGCGAAGATCGCAAAACAGGAGGGCGAGGTTCGGAGTGCGAAGAAGTTGAACGAGCAGCTGAACAAGCAAATCCGCATGTTGGAACATGCTCTGAAGAATGAACGCGCAAAGAACAAGGCTGCAACATCTGGTGAAGACGTTCGACAGCCGGAAGGAACGAAGGATTCGGGTATGTCAAAGCAGTTTGTCATGCAAGTTACAATTCAAGGCTGACAGTTGCTAGCCCAACGACCGGGTCGCGACTCGAATGACGTCGATGTCGAACCCTTCGAGCAGTTTACCGATCCCGAAGGGCTACGTGAAAAGTCCAAGCTATACCTCACCAAGTGTGTGGAGGAGATAACATACCTCCTAACGCCCCCAGCCCAGCCCCCATCTTCCCATGCAGCTCTGCACGGTATGAACGGATCCGGTTTCCACAATGATGTACCCTTGGAGGAGATGTATCTTCAACAGCGGCAGAAGATGCAGACACATCTGCCCACTGCCCCTAACACTGCCATGTCCAATCATCAGCAACCAAACATTCATAACGCCGCTGACTCCCACGCCAACCTCCCATCCCAAGTAGCCCACCAAGCGCCTCCGATGCAGAGGAAACCGACAGGTCAACGGGCGAACCACGTAGAAATATACTCTCAGGACTTTGGTCAGCCGCCGCAGCCCCAAGCCCAACAAGATCTGAGTACATTGCCAGAAGAACAAGTCGAACGTGTTACGCACACTTTTGACAATCAAGGCCGTCAAATTGCGAACAGGGACGAGGCGAGTCTGGCAACAGGGAACGTAACAGCGCTTGACTCAGAGAGCTGGAATTTTGATGACCCCCCAATCATCGAGACATCTCAAGAGTTTATACCATCCCGCAGACCGGATACCGATGTTTTCCCAAGTGCTAACAGCATACCTTCCAAATCGCCACCGCCTAAGAGCCTTCATTCTCGCAGGAAAAGCTCAGACACGAAACTACGACGCCGGAGCGAAGGACATGAATCCCGGGACCTTTCCTTAGCGCAAAATGCACGTTCAGATCCGCAAAACTTCAAGGTCCGATTCGCTCTGCGAGGACATTTGGATGTCGTTCGTTCCGTTATTTTCACCGGTGGTGGTAGTCCTTCAGAGCCTGAGATTTGCACGGCTGGCGATGATGGTCTCATCAAGAGGTGGATCATTCCGGCGAGTTACGCCAACCAGCATTCCACAAACAATGACCTCGACATAACTCCTTATTGGTCTCACAGAGGCCATGAGGGAATTGTTACATCTCTTGCGGCGTGTCCAGTGTCGGCGTCTTTCTCCACGGGAGGCCGTGTATCAGGTGACGGCTGGATATTTTCAGGAGGCCAGGACGCTACCGTTCGTGTGTGGGAACGAGGGCGGGTCGACCCCAAAGCCACCTTGGAGGGACACACGGATGCTGTATGGACTGTTTGCGTGCTCCCCACAACATGCGCAACGATTTTCGGAAACGATTGTAACAACTATGGCGGCCCTGACAGGATACTGCTGGCTTCGGGCTCCGCTGACGGCACAATCAAGATCTGGGCGGTCAGCGCTCCGCCGCAAATCATATCCCCGCAAACAGGATCTCGAAGAGGTGTCGGTGGTAGCCGACGCCATAGCGTGACATCTGGCTCGAATTATCCCTCTTCTCCTCAACCAAGTGTTCCATCCTCGACGCCTTTCCACTATATGCTTGTGCATACAATTGAACGGGCCACATACGCATCGCCGACGTGCATTAGTCCGAGGGCGCCAACCGGGGAGAACTTCGTGGTGTCTTTCAACGACTCCACTATCCTCATCTACGACACAAGAACGGGTGAGGAAATCATCGGAATGGCAAGTGGCGAGACGTACGACGGCACACCCGCCACCGGCGTCAACTCAGTCGTCGCAACCTCGTTGGCACCGGAGGGCACAACGGATTCCAGTCGTGGTGGATCAGACGAGGAGGGTGTGCATGGTCCCACCGGTTCAAGCTTAGCTGGAGGCGTGGAAGGGGTCATCATCAGTGGCCACGAAGATCGATACATCCGCTTCTATGATGCCAACTCTGGTAAGGATCACGTTCACGTTGCTGACATGCTGAAACTAACAGCCGTTTAGGCCAATGTACATATAGCATGCTCGCCCACCCATCCGCCATCTCATCCCTCTCACTAAGCAAAGATGGCCACGAGATAGTGTCTGCCGGCCACGACGCCTCGATCCGCTTCTGGTCACTTGAAAAGCGCATCTGCACCCAGGAAATCACGGCTCACCAGGTCACGCGCGGCGAGGGCGTATGCAGCGTTGTCTGGAGCCAGGACGGGAGGCTCGTCGTTTCTACGGGCGGTGATGGCGTCGTCAAGGTCTTCGCTAGGTGACGTTGACCTCTCCCGCTTTGACCATACTATCACCAGCCATCTTCCAAGCCGCCAAGTAGGCTTCGTCCATCCAGCCTATGCCCACTCCTGATCGGTTTTTGTTAATGCATGAGACGCGGATTTGGCCGAGCCAGCAGAGAGCGAGCAACTTCGCTGTGCCGAATAACGCAATTACCTTCTTGTATGATCACCCTTTCGCTATCTTTAGGCTTGAAAACGTGCGATGCCTTCTTTCTTGCGCAGCAGTCTTTCTCTTCTTTTATTATTGCCAAGTGGGGCCAACGGAGAAATTCTGATTCAATATTTTCATTCTCCTCTCTTCGTTTGGGAAGACTGAGAAGAACGTCTTTACAAATCTTGACTTCCCTGCTGTATTATACACGGGAGATTATTAGGAGATGCAGGGAAGGTTTTAAAGGCGAGGGATGCATTGGGTGCTTCGAGCACGCGGCAATTTACTTCGTTTGGCTTGGTGATTGTGATGTGCCTATGATTCCATTCCAGATGCTATGGTTGACATCCTGGACCACATGCAGGTGCATATAGACGAAGCGAGCAGGCTACAAAGAGATTCGTTATAAATCATGCCATATGAAGGGTATTTACTCGATATACAGCTACCAAATGCGTAGGCACAGCCGCTTTTATGAGTCGACATCCTTCTCCTCTACGCCGGGGGACTTCCCAAAAAAAATGAGCACCAAAAGGGAATCTCCAACTCCGCAGAAATCTGCCAAGCCTAAACGTCCAAGTCGAGCCCGTCCCATCATGCCATGCGTCCCATCATCACCATCGTTTCGTTCGACACCAAGCCACTCCTTAGACCCTTTGCCTCTTCTCGTCCATCTCATCCACATCCTCCTCCTCCGCATCCCCACTCGTGACCGCCGGGCTCGCAGCCGAACTGCTCAAGCTCTCCACTCGCGACTGGTCATTCGACCCATCCAAGCCAAAGAGGTCGTCATTTCCGCCGCCGTAAGTCCCATTTATATTCGACTGCTGCTGCTGCTGCTCCGTAACCCCTGCACCCGCCGTCCCAGCCAACTCCTCAAGATTGAAATCCGGCAGTGCAGTCCCATCATTCGCAACTGCACCCGTCGCAACACCCGTCGGCGCATCTGCGGCAGCCTCACTGATCTGTGTGAAAAAGTCGTCTCCCTCAATGAAGCTGTCGAAGTTGTTGAGATCGTACTGGCCGGGCTCGCCCAGGTTGGCCGTGCTGCCAAAGTACGAGTTGTCTGAGAGGCCCGGGATGGTTCCGCTGGGGCTGAGAGGCTGAAGGCGTTCCTGGAGAGACTGCACGCGGGCGTTTTGTTCTTCCGACATCTTCTGAAGGAGGTCAAGTTGGGCTTGCGTTTCGGCGAATTGGCTGAGATCGGGCATGGTAGGCGGTTGCGGATTGACCATGGCGTTGTTGGTATTGCGGACAAGGGAGGAGTTGGTTGACGCTGCGGAAGTGCTGTTGGCCATGAGGGAGAGGACGTCGTTGCGTTCTTGGGGAGTGAGAGGTGTGTTGCCTTGGGCGTAACTCTGAAGCGCCGCGGGAAGGTCGATGGTCGGTGTTGTTGCAGATTGGGAAGTGCTTGCATTGACGTTTTGAATAGCGGACATGACCTCTTCGGCTTCAGGGAGTGATTGCAATACGTCTGGGGTGGGAGCAGTTTCGACCTTGGGTTGGATATGTGAAGTCGTACCAGCTACCGGCTGAGTATTCATTACCGCGGAGCTTGACGTACTCCTCGACATCGCTGGAGATCGGAAGATGGACTGCGAATTCCTGGCCTTGGGGATCGGGCTCCCGGTTGAGGACAGAGCTGACGGGCTAAGAGTAGCTGCTCGGTCCACCCCTTTGCCTGGGCCATCCTTGGCGGCAGGTGCGGGAAGGAGTAAGGATCTCCTATTGTGCCGTTGCATCTGCATTTGAGGAGACTTGGTAAAATTCTTCTCCGAGAATTCGTCAACGTCCACGACATTACCGCGGGGTTGTTGTTGATTCATGTTGGGATGGAACAGGTCTGCGAGGTTGGCGCCACCGTTCCCTTCCAGGGAACGATTGTAGAAAGTGGCGAGGAATGTGAGAATGGCGTTTATGGAGTTCTCGTGTCTTTCATGTAACGTCTGAAAAGCGGTCGCTTGCTGATAAAGTTGGTCATTCTGCCGCCGTATTGACCCCAACACGTTGGAGATGACCTTCTGTTGTTGTTGCAAAGCCTGGACTTCCTTTCTAAGGCTGTTATACTCTGTGCGGGGAATCATGGCCATCTCGGTGTTGCCGTGTACGCTAAGATCTCCTCCGTAATGGCCGCCGCCTCCTCCAGTATCTTGCACATATCTCCGTTCATCCTCGCTGTCACCATGCTTTCCGTCATCTTCCCTTTTCCGCTTGGCGCTTGAGGACTTATTGCTGGGCTTTTGTATCAACCACAGTAACTCGGGCCGGCCTCGCCTGAAATACTTGTTGTAGTACTCGCTGGGGGCTTTGGCCTTCAGCTCGCTCGCCTTCATGGAGTTGTCCGATAAGCCAACCTTCTTGTGGAAGCCATACATGTTCAACTGCCGAACGAAGGAGGCGTAGTTGTTGTGTTTGAAGAGTTCCGGAATGAGAGTTCTGGCGAACTCATCCTCGTCTATTACTATGAAGGAGTCGCCACTATCTGACCAGCGGATGAGATTGGAATTTCGGTTGTCGTCCAGAAAACTGCACGGCGATCAGATGAGATTCCTTCATCGTAGGGCGTCAACTTACCTGCTGAGTTTCTGGACGAAAGGGGGTATAGTCTTCTTCTTCGCAAGTGCCTCCTTCTTCGCCAGCAAAGCCTTCTGTTCTAGCTCCTCGTCCTCGTCATCTTGGTGGTGCCAATCGCCCTGTAAATCGTTGTTCATGGTCTCCCAGGGAGCAGGGCGCCTTGCCGCAAGTTGTTGGTTCGGGTTTCGCCGGACCAGCTGTCCCGAGTTCATTTCAGCAGCTGGCGCGGCGATATCGCTCATGCCGTCTAGAGAGACGACGCGGCTGCGGTTTGGTTGTCCGCCTGTAGCCCCTAAACTCCCTGCGTAGTCGTACAGACCATTATCCACAAAGGCGGTCCCCAGGTCACCTTCTACCCCAGCGTTCCAACTATGAGGGAATTGATCCCCAATGATGGGCGCGCCTGCCGATGTGTAGATATTGCTCTGGATTTCAGGCGGTGGTTGTGGTATGAGCGGCGAGGCTCCTGGGGCACGCCTCTTACGGGCCGCCATGGTTCGCTGGGTAGCGTCGATCTCGCTACCGTTCGGGGATGGTTATGGGAGAGGAAGGGAACACGGAGACGTTTGGAATATGCCGGGAGAACTACGGACCAGGGAGGCGACAGATGGAGGCTTCTCGGAGGTGCAGCAAAGGTATATAGAGTGAACAGCGACTTCTCTCACTGCTTTTGTATTGGGCGGTGGGGGCTTGCTGGTCTCACTGGCGACGAGTGTCCGCCAAACTACTCCGCAATTGTTTTCAAACAGTCTTTCCAGCACAAAGGGCGCTCAAAGCGGGCTGGCGCAAATTGATTTAACGGAGAAGGGCGTTCCGGAAGGCCGTAGAAGGACAACCGCCCGGCGCTGATGCTGATATGTTGAGGGCGTTGCGGATATCGCTCCAAGACAAGCTCTGAGTGGGAGGGTCAACGCAGGGTCAACGCAGCGGATTTTCGAGGCGGCGCATTCGTGGCTTGTGGGGAACTCTACTGCGACTCTAAGAGCGGAGGGCGAATCCGTGGATGACAGGAGGAAGAACGGTGCTGGGACTGCAGTCGCGCAGTGTGAAGCAATGCAATACACCAGCGTTGCAACAGCGGCAACATCGCCGCCGGGGTGCTAGTTTATCCGCCCCCCCCCCCCCCCCCCCCCCCCCCCCC